ATTGCTTTCTGGGCTGTTCTAAGAGGTACAATTTCATGCTTTACCCTCAATGAAAGACTCTGTCGTGCCTCTGTATCCCATCTGAGGATCCCCATTTTAGGTACATCAGGAAGTTTTTTATCGTACCTTAATTGCCATCTTCAGAACTATTAAGATCTTACTTAGCATACGTTCGCATCCTTTTGACGATTAATTTCCTACAGGACAACAAATTTTGACGAGAATTTTTGGTTCTATGCAATCTGTGAAGCTCAATTGTAAAAAGTCTCTAGAATTAAAGGGCAGTAAAGTCGTAGTATTTAGCTATCTAGCTCTTCTCATTTCATACACATAATATATCGATCTAAAACCAATGAAATCGCCCTCGAATGTACTCTACCCCAGAGTCAGTTGTCAGCATTTTAGTCCAGTTATTGTGATAAATATGACATCATATGACTAAGGTAAATAAAGCTCTGTGTTTTTTTGTTGAATAAATCTGACAAGAACAACGGTTATGCTCTTGCCTTTAGACATTGTCCTATTCCTGGCCCTCCCCTGTCCTACTGCCCTTTCTAGAACCTCTGCTTTAACGGGTGCCTGGATACAAATGTATTGGACTGCCAAATGAATATCTGTGATTGATCCTGGAAAATTCATAAACTTTCGTTTTCAAATCTCTCTGAACACTAGTTATATCTGGCAAGAATACGTTATATCATATGTTCTGTCAACAGCAACATTAACTTCTTCATATTTCAACTTTGAACCAACCTAGCAATATTATGGCAACTCATGTGGAAGAGGAGGAGATCTGTGAAAAATCACAATCAGTCGCAAGGTATCTGCCATCGCGACCCAGATTATTTCCCGGGAGTTTAAACTGCTAGATTTTAGTTGAGTGAAGAAAGATGGCAACAAATGAGCATTGGAAAACAAAGCATCAGAAAAGATTTGGATGGTAGTTTTTCATTGCGCATCATTCTCTGATCCGGGCAATTTTTATCTTCACATTTGGCAAAAATGGATCATAGAATTGGAATCTTCATGTTGAATTAGTCTGTGCCGAAAATTTCATGTTGTTTGGGCCGTCAGGCAGTGAATAACACCATTTCAAAATTTAGCTTTTCCTACACATTTCAATGAAATTTGTTGCTGTAGTGAAATTTTTTCACTGCAGCAGCATATTTCGGTCAAATCTAAAGAAATATCTAAATATTCAAAACAGTCATTAACTCGCGACCAAACGGTCCAAACAACATTAATTTTTCAGTATTTAAAGATGAAGATTTCAATTCTGAAGTCCATTTTCGAGAAAGATTCATAGATAGCAAGATACAAAATCGATGACGTCAACCCGGAACGGAGACATGGCAAGAAGATGTGCAACCACTGAAATTCGTGTAATACTGAAGAGTATCATTGCTCAATAGTGAAGGACACTGTTTAAATGCAGTTTAGCTCAGCAAATCCTCTTCGACAGATTTTGTTATCACTTCTTTGCAAACATTTGTAAACATTAACATTCCACCGATGCATCGTTCGGTGAATTTCGAGATATAAAACTTCATTGCAGTTGCTATTGTCACGTTTTATGAAACTATTTTTTGCCGGAACACCTTGGTGGTGTAAAGGATAGACCACTGTATCCGATTTAAGGGTTGAGAAAACTTGACGAGTTTTAAAAGTAAGGCGGGTTTGGTTTCAAGAGGGAAAAACCGAGACCTAAGATAATGGACCAATACAGCTTTAGGATTAAATATCGTTATCAAACAACCACTAAGAGAAATTCCAATTCGGAATGCTAGAAACGAAGTAGGAAATTGAGATTGCCTACAAGTTGATCTGAGCATTGCACCGCCCAGAATAGCAATGATATCCCGAGTTCATGACTATATCAGGACAACGCAATTACTTGTTAATTCATTAATTATATGTTCAGATGATGTGCCATTGTCCAGTTTATATAATCTCTATATAAAGAGGGCGTAATACGACGAATTAAGAGATCAGATTGACAATTTAGTCGGAATTTTTCACGCAACATTTGCAGACACTGCCTCTAGTCAAATTTGGTAAAACCAAAGAAAACTGAAGATTGGATAATTGCACGAAACATGCAAATATCTGTGCATAACATTTAACGGGCAAGCATTTAACGATAGTTGATTTTACCGCTTCTTCGTTATTGTTTTTGAAGACTTCCACGTCACCCAAAATGGACATCCAGTTGGAGGTTATGCAAATCTTGGATTGAATTAAGGGAAGTAAATTGCAGGGAATAAGCTGTTCTAACTTTTATGGCGATAATTCATGAGATAAGATTGTTTCAAGGCAATTGCACATCGACAAGGATTCCTCCAAGTGAAAATACACGTTGAATATTTATGCGACTGAAAAGCAGAGTCTATCCAATAAATCATAAAGACATCGGAAACGATACAGATGATACTCAGTCTCAAATAACTTAATCCTTGCTAATCAAATAGAAATCTTTCCAAAACGAGAACCGGTAAGTACCAACCTGCAGTGCGAAAGATTCGATTGAAAACAACACAAAACCGAGAAAAGAAACGCAATTTTCAGGGTAAAGACGTACTCACCAAAAAGCGGACCAGCCAAACATTTGGCCGTCAGCAGCAGACAAATCATGCACTCGATAACGATGTTCATGGTCGTTGTGGACTTTATCGTTCGTCTTACTTCGTCTGGCTTGTTCCTCTTCGACAAAAACAATGAAAGCCTCCTTTACGCATACGTCCAAATATACTTGCGATTTTGTGGTCAGCCTTAACAAGTGGGTCCTTCTGACTGGAATTACGGGCGTGTAATTTGACACTGCGTGGGCCAATTCAGTTCAACTTTAACCAGATTCATTTTGCTAGGACGCGCGTTTCGAGAATGGTGTTAGCAGATAGGTGTTGTGGCAAATGCTGCGTCACACCCCTGCCCCTAGAAGATTTGCTTTTGGCCAAAAGTGAATGGTAGCATATTTTGTGCTGGTTGATATTTGTTGTTTCAAATTTGGTGGAAAGTTAACATCACTTGAGCCCTGCTTTTTTGCTTAATACTATAACCATACAAATGTCAATAAAAAAAATAAAAGTATTTTGGCATAAAGATAAAAAGCAAGCAGAGGGCAGGGGCTCGACGATTAATGCGCAGAGAAATGGATATTTTGGAATAGTTACAGAAAGCATACATAAACTCTACGTCATTATAACGAAAGGCAGCGATAAAGGATGCTTGCAGGAACCTTGAACAACCAGTTTTTGAAATGATGGCCTGACTCTATATTTCTTAAGACCGCAAATCAAATTTTGCGTAAAATGATAGATTTCTTGAAGATTTGACATCCCCGTCAACTAAAGCTGTTATGACAAATTGCATTTACACGTTGAAATAAATAATTGTTATTCGTTTTGTTGATCAGACAGCTGACTTTAAAAACAGACGAATTCCAGTAGCGACAGGAAAATGAGGTCAGACCTGGAAACTTAAAGCGAGGCGTGCCAAGTCTAGACGACGAGATATACGATGGGCGGCCCTAAGAATGTCAATAACACATGCTTTTTCTTTAAGAAGCTTAGATATCGCCGAGTGTACTGTCACGAGTGCACTAATGGTTTTCAACTTTTGTGCAAATTGAGTACTCAAAGTTCTTTAAAAGTTTCTTCAATTTATTGGTTTGAAGGAAAAATTATAAAATTACCTGTAATGCAATTGCTTTTAATCAGAAAATTGCAAAATTAAACATCATTTTTTAGGTATCTACAATCCCGGAAAATTTTTTTGAGACAGAATGCAATTTTTGAAATTTTTCACTTTACGTTGCCCCTGTAAATTCGAATCCCCCCTTTCCCCGAATCAATGTTGGATTTGTAGTTCCGTCATTCCTCCTTTAAAATCATGCATTCAAAATTGAATTGGGGGAGGGGGAAGCTATTTTTCAAATGAAAGAGAAAAAATCAACTTTCCTTGAAAAGTATCAAATTTTTTGTCCGGGATTATAGGTAGAGGTGGATCATAATTGCTTTTTGTGATGGTTTAATTACCAACAAAAAACAGGTAAGATAAATTTTTTAATAGCTTGTACTAGTTCTGGGAATTTATCAACTTCCCAGAAGCCTCTGTACTGAATGTATAATAAAAAGTGCCATCATGAAAATAACGAGTTAATAACAAGTTTGGTTTTGTTTATCGCTAACATCGCCAACCTGCATTGCATTACAATGCCTGCCAAAAGTCTTGAAACACTTGCATCAATTTCCAAGGTCAAAACCAATCATCCCCCTCTCCCCTACAGAACAATGTTTGTTTACTATCAAACGGGTTAGGATTTTAACAAGCATTTTCTTTTGCGCTTCTTTTATGATATTTCCCTAAATCATCAACATTGTTTTAGGGGGAAGGGGGCGGAAGTAGCAATTTTTCTTCATGAAAGGAATGAAAGATATCAAATGCAGCGTAAATTGCTGGGTGTTCCAAGTACTTTTGGCAGGCATTGTACAAAAAAGCTTTTAAACGAAGCTTTTGCATAGTAAAAAGCCCATCCAATAATCGAGGGCTGTTCTTTATTCATGCTTGTAAAAATGTGCGTCTGGGGTTCTCAAACGGGTAAATTTCTATTCTCAAGGAGAATTGCGTATTGTCAATAATACACATCAAGACACACTTTGATTAACTCCGGCAGTTGGATTATACAAAGCCAAAGCGTTTTGGTTATGTCTTGAATACTTTCTCCCAGTTGCACCCCTGAATTTTGAATGCATTCTTGTAACTTTTAAAGACAATGATCTTGGACAGCATGACACACTTTGCGAGACACAAGATGATACGGCGTATGGGACTGAAGACTGAATGTTAGATGATACCTCCTAATATCTCTGAGTGTTAGATGATACCTCCGAACAGCAACGCAAACAGTAAACATACGCAAGAATACATATGCAAGAAGACATATGCAAGGAGACATGTGCAAGGAGAAATGTGCAAGAAGAATATGAGATCAAGAAGGACTGTTGAACAAAAACAATGTAATCATAATCATTATGCATAAAATACAAGTTCATTTAAAATGTCATGATATCTATTGCCTATACAATAATCCAGAAAAAATGTTACCCATTTACTGGAAGGCCCAGAAAAGCTGCCTCATCTAACTGAACAGAACCAAAACTGTCCTTCATTTTCCAATCGAAGTCTTCTATTAGGCCATATTTCCCAAACGATTCCACCACCCATTGTCTTATCTAAAATACCCCAGCTTTGCCTGCTGTGCTTATCTAACATACTGCTGCTGGTCTTGCTGTTGCTGTTGCTGCGGGGTATTCTGTCTTGAAGAGTAATTCCCGTACCTGTTGTATTGATCTGGAAACTGTTGATTTTGTCTGTATGAGTTCCATTGCTGGTTTCCATAATTCTGTCCTGGGGACGATCGAGCTTGGTCTTGCTGCAAAATGGCAACGGCTGGGTTGGCTGAGTGTGCTGGTGTACCCCTGGAATAGCCTTGCATCGACAAAGGTGTGAGGCGACTCATATCAATGTCGGTCAAAATAGAGTGCGGTGTTCCGCCAGGGGTGTACGGCGTGGCGTTAGTAGAGCCGCCTCCTGGTGTACGTGTCAGTTTAGGGGTAAGACCTAAGAAGAGAAAAAAACGCATTTAAAGTTAATGTTTAATTAATATGGAACGCTTTATTTTGTACCTAATCAATTCCGCAATCAAAACAGAACAGGCTCGCAACCAAAACTTATTAAAGCGACTTGCTAGTTTGCTTTCGATTTACTTAGAGAAGACATCTCACTTTAATTACATGCCAATGGCAACTCAGCCAAATACAAATCAGCTAACTATGCAATTTAATTGACCTCTAATCTTGGTACAAATCGTTGGGCAATACCGCGTCACTTTTGAAGCCCGTCAAGACACAAATTGAGAGGCCTGGTCGCAAAGCTAAGCCAGAAATTGAAAAAAGGGAGAGAATTTATATCCTACTTATAAAATTGAATGAAAAAATCTTAATGGTCGATCGGGTTTATTCAAAACCAGGGAAGAGCGAGACAGTCAGAAGTTTTGTGGGTGGGAGCAAATCGTCGTGAAATTCAGAATATTCGGTCAGAAGAATCAAAATATCACACCCACAAGGATTTTTTAGAATATTACTGGCATTGGGCTTTCATGAATACATGATGTCAGATTTTTACAAACATGAGAAGCAAGGTTACCAAGTACAAAACGGCCCTTGTTGACCTGACCAATCAGTATGCACTAGCCTTTGACAAGGTTGGCAATTCAAACTATATTTATGTGCATTTTAATGGATCTCTTGCTCTGATGAATTATCTACCTGATAAAAAGGAAATATTTCAAAGAAAACCCTTTAACAAACATCAAGAAATCGGCCTAACTTCAAGGGGTAGTACAAGCAGCAATTCTATCCCCATTTGTTTGTTTCACTTTTCAAAAAATTTCCATTAAGAGTTTGCGATTCAATATCCTGAAGTAACGACGCTGTCCAAGAAAAATTGCATCTTTACATAATCCCTTAGGGTTTCAATAAAGAAGAATAAAAGATTACGAAGTATTGCTACTCTCAAAAATCATTAAAAAGTATAATATTCACGAGAAATATTGCTAAACGACAAAGTACCTGGTATAGGATCTCTGAAATGCTCTTTAAACCAGCGGAGAAGCGCGTTAGTATTTCCGTGCACACGTCCTCTGTATCTAAATCCTTCTGGGCAAACTGTGACATATTCTACTCTCGGTTTGTTCCTGGGCATGTAGCCCAACATGAACTTCCCGGGGTAGGTCTGCGATGCGGAAAAGAAATACGGTATTCTGGACGGGTTTTTTCGCTTTTCGGTCACTAAAATTTCTTCTAACTTCTGCTTGACGCCACCTTCTGTCTCTCGATAATACCGATGATTAATGATTTCGCGGGCTTGGGATGACATGGGCTGAATATATCGCGCTATAATTTCATCTAAATCTTCGTACTCCTGTTGAATTTAAAAGATGAGTTAAGCAAAGAAGAAACTTCTTAACATGCAAAAGAACGTTTGAAACAAACTCTGTGAAACACTTTGCAACGGTAGCAGGAATGGCTACTAGCCACAAAATTCAGCGTTTTTGCTTGTCTCGGCCTAGATTTGACCTCGAGATGGGCCTCAACTTGGCCTCGAATTGGCTTTGACCTAGGAATGACGGTCTGGGTTGTTTGTAAATCTTTCCCTTGATTCCAAACAACAGGCTGGAGACGGTAATTTGGGTGTCAACAATGACTTTGCTAAGCAATAAACAAAGAATTGGGCAAAAACACATGCTACTAAGATGCTGGGAAATTAGGGTCATATAGAAGAAAGAGATCAACTGGATCATAAATATATCTTTGCAAAATCCACCATTGCTAGAAAAACAGCAAAATGCAACATGAATTTATAAAATTCCAATCAATGGAGTACTAGAAAGACACATCTGCAAAACTCAAAGGTTTTGCAGCGTCTTTCTACACCGTTAGTCCTGCCTCAAAAAGTAACACAAATACGAGAAGACAAGTATTTGAAAAAACAGGTTTTATACAGCAAAGCGAAGCCTGTACGAGCGTGGTGTAAATGAATCTAGCAAGCCCGTGTCATTTATTCGAGTACCATCTGGCTAGGCGCAGATATAACAACATGTCTGATAATTGCGTCATAGCGTTAAGTGCCACTGAATAGAGAGCTCCTCGTAAAGTGACAACGAGCGACTAATATGGTGATGGACTGGGAGTCTATTAAATGCTTTCCCACAGTAATATCCGCGTAATTACAATCAGCTATTCCCTAAACTGGACCGCAAATAGGACATGAAACGCTATTTTGGTCAGAGAAACATTCGATATAATCTTTGTTTAACGACACTGCGTTACTTTTGGTTATACTTGCCCAGCGAAAGATCAACACACCTCATTCTCAATCCACAAGGACTTTCCCAAACTGAACACGTTTTCTTTGCCTTCTTCTCTTATATCAACGTGTTGATATATTGCCGTGTGAACTTTCCAAGTCACAGTAAGATGATCACTACCCTATGAAAATAAACCAACACAACTCATTATGTTAGGGAACATTGTCTGTATACAATGCAGACGGAAGATGGTGTGGTGAATAAACAGAAATTACGAAGGATCACAACTCATTAAGATGTCTATCAAAAGAAGTGACCCATACATCGAAGGACAATGCAAGAGGACTTGCATTTGATTCGGTTGTGCATTTGGACAGTTTAAACTACCATTCTCCAGTTCTTAATTCCGTTGAAAAAGGAGAAAGACACTAGTCTTGTGGAACAGCTGCATGTTGTGCACAAAATGAAGTAGTAAAGGGCATCTTGGTGCAACTCTCTAAATGACATAGCAACAACAAGTCAACCAGGTTGAGTAACGACGTCCAATTAGAAGAAATTATGCAATGAAACAATAATTTGGCGGTACAAAATTTAAAAATTGCTTTGAAAAAAGCAAAAATTTTAAGACATAATTAAACTTTTAGCCTGATATTCTCCGGTCTATAAAACATCAGAATAATGAGCGTAAAATCATTTAACCTAAGAAATATATAATTAACCTAATAATATATAAGGTGGGTCGGTATATTATATAGCTTTGAAGTTTTATACATTGAGTGCCAGAGAACATGTCTTAAAATGTATGCTTTATTCAAAGCCATTTTGGTGTTATCATTCTGCGCCTCCTAAATAGCCCAACTTGAATTAACACTGACGTTTGAGCTAAGCCCTATTACATGGATTTGGCGTAAGCACTGTAACAGCCATGGAAAAATATCTAGCAAATAAGACATATCTACTAAATGGTGATACTTTCAACCGAATGGAAACTAAATTACACAAAGATCATCATTCATCTTATCATAAAAAAACTAACAGCGAAAAAAATGTTTAAAAATAAAAATCATTGTTGTTTGGAGCAGCTTTCGGCTTTTTTTATTATAAAAACGTTGAGAGTACAGTAAATAGAGTACAACAAAAGTTGCCATGTATACTAATACTTTAAATGAAGAATTAAAAATGTAAATATGTAAATGGACGATTAAAGTATGATGTGGACAATGGTGGGCCAGCAATGAATGGTTACCTAGCAGAACCAAGACAGCCATCTCACAGGGCACCAAAGTAGAATATTTAATATGAACATTATTTCGTTTTCTTCTCAACCCTGTACAAGTAACAATTCGGCTGTTTTTCAATGGAGATAAGGGCAACTCAAAACCTTCAATTAACCTTTCAATATGCCCTCCCAAGAACATCAAATAGCATTTACTTATTTCATTTCAGATCTCTTGAAATTAATCATAACTTATATGACTAATCTTTTCACTACTCCAAATTACTCCACGAAAGAGTGACAGAATTTTAAATTTCAGATACGCTGAATTGAATAGTGTTACTGTCACGGAACAACAAATCCAGTTTCTGACCAACCATAATTATAGCTCTAGTCTGCTATTCCAGCACCTAATACTTTCTAATCTTATGTTAAAACCTAAAGACAAATTGCAGACGGTTCTAATATAACCTTGAAGAGCAGAATGGATGTCGTGTCACAGAGATCAGATAGAAAATCCCTCCGTCATATTTGTTTTTTGCTCACAAAACAGTCAGGCCTGTTAACTACCCAATTAATAGGGACCAAATATTGAATAAGGAAGAAAAACCGACAATTAACTGTATAAATCATAAGCAACAAAGAATATAAGTGGTTCAAACGTAGCGACATAGAATCTGCCATTAGACATGGTAAAGGTAGATATCTGTAATCCCTCTTCGCATTGTTGTTGTTAGAATCTCGAATAAAGGATAAATGATAACGTTTCACAAAAAGAAGCTCTATTATAAGCCAAGGCAGTGCTAGAGTTTTAGATGATACAAATTTGAGAAGTGGGGTGTGATTTGACTTTGGTTAGGCAGGTTTCCCACTCAATTTTCTACTTTCCAAGCGACAGGCCAACGTTTTGTCTTAAAATGAACTTTCTTTCTCTACAAAAGCAGCCAAAATTTGACTCTAATTTTGTAGAAATATATCCCGACGCACTCTGCTGATAACAAACAAGACTGGGATCTTGATTTTCATACCTTGAATGAAAAGGTCCAAGGAAGAAGGATATATTTATCAAGCAGCACCACAGTGCTTTCCTTCGATATGGCCAAATCTCATGACTACAGACAGGTAACCACTCACTTCAGACAAGTATTCGCTCACTTAAGCAGGAATAAGACTCGTAATGACGGGACTTGAGTTTCGTCGCCCTGCCACCGAGGTGTTCTCCAGCCTCAGACGGGGCTGCAGAGACACTCAATTTTTAAAAAGAATCTCCGAAGATCGGTTTGCTTCACAGCCTTGAGATATTTTCTCATATTGAGGACAGAACTAAAGAAAGGAGCTAGGTTACTATTATATTGCGTGTCTCGCGAAATGTGTCGGTTTGATCAACAATATCTAGCCTAAGAAGTCATTTTGCTTGAGAGAATTCCCAGTGATGCTTATATATCCACAATCGTAATACTAATAAAACTCAAATGTTTTCTGCTTGCGTTTCTTTTTCGAGGTTTCCTGTTCATTCTATGAATAATAATGGTGTTTCTAACAACACTGGGAATGACAGTTGCAAGATCATTCGAGATAAAATCTGGGAATATCTACCCTCCCCACCTTACAACTTCAACTGCCAAAAAATTATTTGTCTTCAAAACTTAATTCTCGTAGTTATTCCAAAACTGAGAAACAACAACAAAAATCAGAAACTCTATTTGTAAATTTGCTAGGATTCTTGGTTCAAAATGTCTAATAAGAATCTGGCAAAGCTTGGGTGAAAAATGGAAAACACTAGAAATAGAAGAAACGCTCAAATTAAACAGCAAGAGAGATATAATTAAAACGTGGCAATTTGGGCCACATGTTTCCCATAGAGACCAAATTCAAACGTTAGAGATACGTTTCCTAACATTCAATTGAACAAGCTTCTTAAAGGGACCAAATTTAAACGTTAGAGATACGTTACCGAATCTAAACGTTAGAGATACGTTTCCTAACATTCAATTGAACAAGTTTCTTAAAGAGACCAAATTAAAACGTTAGAAATACGTTATCAAACATTCAGTTGAACAAGTTTCTTAAAGGAACCAAATTCAAACGTTAGAGATACGTTTCCTAACATTCAATTGAACAAGTTTCTTAAAGGGACCAAATTTAAACGTTAGAGATACGTTACCGAATCTAAACGTTAGAGATACGTTTCCTAACATTCAATTGAACAAGTTTCTTGAAGAGACCAAATTTAAACGTTAGAGATACGTTATCAAACATTCAGTTGAACAAGTTTCTTAAAGAGACCAAATTAAAACGTTAGAAATACGTTATCAAACATTCAGTTGAACAAGTTTCTTAAAGGAACCAAATTCAAACGTTAGAGATACGTTTCCTAACATTCAATTGAACAAGTTTCTTAAAGGGACCAAATTTAAACGTTAGAGATACGTTACCGAATCTAAACGTTAGAGATACGTTTCCTAACATTCAATTGAACAAGTTTCTTGAAGAGACCAAATTTAAACGTTAGAGATACGTTATCAAACATTCAGTTGAACAAGTTTCTTAAAGAGACCAAATTAAAACGTTAGAAATACGTTATCAAACATTCAGTTGAACAAGTTTCTTAAAGGAACCAAATTCAAACGTTAGAGATACGTTTCCTAACATTCAATTGAACAAGTTTCTTAAAGGGACCAAATTTAAACGTTAGAGATACGTTTCCTAACATTCAATTGAACAAGTTTCTTGAAGAGACCAAATTTAAACGCTAGAGATACGTTATCAAACATTCAGTTGAACAAGTTTCTTAAAGGGACCAAATTTAAACGTTAGAGATACGTTATCAAACATTCAGTTGAACAAGTTTCTTAAAGGGACCAAATTCAAACGTTAGAGATACGTTATCAAACATTCAGTTGAACAAGTTTCTTAAAGGGACCAAATTTAAACGCAAGAGATGCGTTATCAAACATTCAGTTGAACAAGTTTCTTAAAGGGACCAAATTTAAACGCAAGAGATGCGTTATCAAACATTCAGTTGAACAAGTTTCTTAAAGGGACCAAATTTAAACGCAAGAGATGCGTTATCAAACATTCAGTTGAACAAGTTTCTTAAAGGGACCAAATTTAAACGCAAGAGATGCGTTATCAAACATTCAGTTGAACAAGTTTCTTAAAGGGACCAAATTTAAACGCAAGAGATGCGTTATCAAACATTCAGTTGAACAAGTTTCTTAAAGGGACCAAATTTAAACGCAAGAGATGCGTTATCAAACATTCAGTTGAACAAGTTTCTTAAAGGGACCAAATTTAAACGCAAGAGATGCGTTATCAAACATTCAGTTGAACAAGTTTCTTAAAGGGACCAAATTTAAACGCAAGAGATACGTTATCAAACATTCAGTTGAACAAGTTTCTTAAAGGGACCAAATTTAAACGCAAGAGATGCGTTATCAAACATTCAGTTGAACAAGTTTCTTGAAGAGACCAAATTTAAACGCTAGAGATACGTTATCAAACATTCAGTTGAACAAGTTTCTTAAAGGGACCAAATTCAAACGTTAGAGATACGTTATCAAACATTCAGTTGAACAAGTTTCTTAAAGGGACCAAATTTAAACGCAAGAGATGCGTTATCAAACATTCAGTTGAACAAGTTTCTTAAAGGGACCAAATTTAAACGCAAGAGATGCGTTATCAAACATTCAGTTGAACAAGTTTCTTAAAGGGACCAAATTTAAACGCAAGAGATGCGTTATCAAACATTCAGTTGAACAAGTTTCTTAAAGAGACCAAATTCAAACGTTAGAGATACGTTATCAAATATTCAGTTGAACTAGTTTTAGTCTTGATAACTCAAACAAACATTTGTTAATAGAAGTTTAAATTTCTAAAAAAGACCTTCTACTCACTTCCTCGCTGTATCCACCACGAAACAAGAAGGTCAGAGAATATATCAAAAGCTGCAATTAACCATTTCAGCATTAAATAATATATTTCAAAAACATCAAGTGACATAAGAATCGATCTTTTACCTTGCTACTTGGCCTGAAGACACATTCACCTTGCTCCAGATCTTCCAGAAACTTTTCAGCATCTCTGAAGGTGAAGTTTTTGAAGGCAGGGTGCGAGATGACTCTCTTGATATAGGCTGTGGATATTGGAAAAAATTCAATGTAATTTTTAACACAAAAGTATACTGCTGATGTTTAAAGATTGAAAATAGAGCATTTTAATACAAGGACTTGTTAATGTATCAACACCTATAATTCATCTATGAATGATCACTTCTGCTTAACTGATAATTTGATTAACAGCGTTTTAGATACAATCTCACTACTTCTACTTGAAACGACTTTCATAAATTCTGAAAAGATTGATAAAAACCTTTCTACTAGACTTTACTGGTAGCTTCATAATGTTTCAATAAAGAAAATCAAATAAAGAAAACTGAGAGAAGAAAAAAAGGAGGCTGAACACAAAAACAAACACATACCTATTTAATACCTAAAACGAGCTTTTCTTGAAGGGTGGCAGAAATTAAGTACTTAAAAGGGGAAATGGAAACTAGTAATTTCGATTTCTTCCTTACACAGCCTCTTAATAAAAGGAAGGATAATTTTAGATTAAATCCAACGTCGGACTGTACACTGCCTAAATGTGTAGTAGGTGTTGAAAAGGAACTAGAAGTTTCACAGAATGAAATCTCAGCGAAAAATACCGATGAAATACAGCACCATGGGTATCTGTCCTAGCCGACAATTTCAATTTATTGGGGTTAAGCTGTATTAAAGACATAAGTTCTTCTCACTGAAACCACAGAGCCTCCTCGAGAATCTTAGGCGCCAATTTGCTTCATTCTTCGATCTCGTTTAAAGAACGTTAATAATGAAAGAATCGCCAAAATAAAAGTCTGTCTGACCTAGGGATATTAGATCATAATCGAGTATAATGACCGTGAACATTTGATAATCAAAGCTTGATTTCGACGGTATAAACGAAGGACAAAGAGGCTTTAGAAAGTAAAACACCACGCCATACCCTCTCGTTCTGGGAAAGAACTAAGAGCGAATTTGCTACAAACAGCAATTTTCCTTTGTTTTGGCAACTAATTTGTCATGTTTTTGAGAGTGTATTTTGATTTCAGTGTATGAGAATTCACGCGAGATTGAAGAGCCCTGAGACCCATGACGCCAAAAAAAACAAGGAGGGTTCTTAAACGCCGTTGCGAGCCTAGTGATTTGAAGAGGTTCGGAATTTTGTTAGTCGTTTTCAAAAAGGGTAATTGAGTGGAATTGAGTAGAATTGGACTTGCCAGGATTTCCAAGGCAAATGTGGTTAGGCCGATAGAAATACAGGAAAGAAAGAGAACAGATATGAGAGAATTTAGACTTGTTGACACTGGAATCAGAACTGCTAAGATCGATGGATATCGTGAGGACATAGATTGATGTTGCTCAAAGTAGTGGAGGAATCAGCCAGAAAGGAATTGTTTTGTAATATGACGTGCTAATAAAGATGGCGGACCGGTTATAAATTTTAGACGGGAGGAAACTTGTACTGATTAAAACCTTGATATAATATTGTGGAAGTTACTCCAACGAATCTCAGTGAAAGATAACACAACAACTATTTATTCATTCTCACTAAAATCTATGATTAGCCAGACACATGGAAGAAAAAGCGAAATAAAGATTTTTTTCGATTCAATTTGAGGTCCTTGAAAACATGCTTGGTTGTGTTTGCGATATTTTTACATAATCAAATGCTCATTTCTTTTAATTTTGTTAAAAAAGATAACAAAGGCAAAAAGATAAAACACATTTCTTAAAAAAAAGCTCATAGATGCCTAACGATGGTTGCTTTGGACTGATTCTAAATCTAGTTAAAGGGGCTCTTCAGTCACTCGGATCTCTTTACTACTGTATCACTAATGCCATTTGGCCATTTCACGTTTAACCATCAATTGTGGGTTGCTTTGTACAAAACAAATTCAGTATTCCAGACAAGGTTTCCATCAATTATCGAATAAGTTTATACTCCATTCCGACAGACAAATTCATTCCAGCTAAAACTCTTTGCCAAGTGAGAGACAATAGGCAGAAATGAAAAGCAGGCCTAACATGAATGCTGTTAGCGAAATGAGCCATGATCCCATGAAGCTCAAAGCCAAAATACTGTCTATACATACAAATCCACTTTCACACAGACATTCAAGCATCTGAAAACTGTCAGGTAAATGTCCTGTGATAAGGTCGAGACTAAACCTCAAACCTAAATAATCAAGCCATTACGATGTAGTCACTGAGTGGTCAGCGAATAATGTTATCAAAACAAATTAACATGGATTTATACTTTTTAAGATTCTTTCTATGGAGTTTTTTGACTCAAAATGTTTTTCCTCAGCTTTTTTATAGTCTTCCAAGATTTTAGAAATTCTTTTTAGGATTCTTCCCTTTGACATTTTGTTTAATATACACCAGCCCATCTACAAGATCCTAGACTTGTAAACCTTCCCTAGGGCAAAACTAGTTATTCCACGTTATGCTTCATTTATCCTATAATTACTTGTTAACAACAAACAGTTCAGAACATAATATATACTTATGTTGAGGAGCATTCACCGAAACAGAGAAAAGTAGGGGAAATTTTCTCATGCGTTTTGGCAAAGAGAATTTTTCAGATAGTAACGTAGATTCATAAGATTCCTTTCACATGCGTCAAGACTTTTCATTTCAACAACCAACTTCTGAAGGTCATCTGAACTTAAAAAAAGCGTGTTGGACATGTATGACATAATTTCAAATAGAAACGGCCAACGGTTTGTAAATAATACCATCAATATTTCATCCTGGTTGAATCATTAGAGCTTCATGATATACAATTTTGCCACAAAATGTTCTACTTTTACCACCACTAATGCAACATGAGACTCTACGAGTTAAATACTTCGCCTTTTACATCATCCCCTCGTGGAATAACCAAGATTAAAAATATCACACGTGTTAATACGCTCCGCCCAGTCACCAAAAAATTTTACTTCCCCAGTGATTTATTTTACATGGCAGTCTATATTGCAAGCAGCCTCAAGAGGGTATGGTATCAAATCCCCAAATAGTAAAGGAGGGTCCTTACACTTAAGGCTCTCAAAACAAAAAAATTGGCAACCACAACAGCATTTAAGGGTGATCAAAGTGACAACTAATCAAGGGCTGTCATATCTTTGGAATACCTCAAAAAACGTGAACGAACATGACGGTTCGGAACAAATTCTAAAAGTATCAGAATATCTAATGAGGACAAACCATTCCTGAAGTTGATTTAAATCTCATTTCATAAGTCAAATTATTATATTTTTTGAAGGTGGATGGGTTTGGCACCCAAGAATGACTAGCTATCTGTCTTAACTGAACAAACAGCCACAATAAGACAAACCAAGGATCAGAACCGGACTCTTAGCTCTTAATAGTTTGCTAGACTAATAAAAAGCCTTTTTGTAAATGGCAGAAATCGGTTCGTCAGGACAAAGGGCTGGAATCAAAGAATGATGGGGGTAGTTGCACCAAAACTATAATAGCTTGTGGGACAAAATGCAAAAAAATGAAATTTCGTATATTTATTGTGTGATTTTGGCAATTTGGGCCTGATTCTGCAGTTGGTTGTCAATTCTGATAGCTAAACAAACTAAATCCTGACCCTTAACAACCATTTAACATTGAGCGTTTGAAAAACAAACCTGTTCGTTTCATAAGCGCCTTTTTAGCGTCTTCTTCCACCTTTTTGTCTTTATCTGCTGCATCGTGATCATAATACAAATCTTTTGGTGGGCTGTTCAAGGAAAATGTTCAAATATTATTGTAAAATCTAATAGGCAAGAATCGATTACTATAGGAGTGATAAAATGAAAAACCCAGAATATTAATGACGCCTTAGCGGCAGCTTTGCGAGGGAAATGACAAAGAGGCAAAACCAAGACGAGGCATAATACTTCGCAGGAGTTCTCAAAAGGGCAATGAATACTAGCGAACAGGGACGTATGCAGTTTCGCCTTGAAGGAAAATAAAACGAATGTATAACATTATACAACAAGTCCAAGCTCAGGGTTTTAACAACTTTTTTAATTAGAAAGCTCACATTCAAAAGTAGGCGTCTATAAATTTACTAAAGTTTGTGCAGTCTTACTAATGAGGGTGAAAGTAGGCGCGTCGCGATGCGGTGTTCCTTATACACTACTATTTTATCGATTTTTCGCCGCAAGATTTCCTCCGGAGTCCGTCGAGCAGCCTGCTATCGTGGCCTCTCCTTTATTCGCACACTTCTAATGAAATCCCTGCAAGCTTTTTCAAGTAATGTAAAAGCAGTCTTAATGTAAAAACTGGACGTTTTGAGGTTGCGTAACAATCGGAGGGAAAGCTTGATCTAACACTGACTGGCAATATTAATATAAAACAATGAAGTCTTAAGGGATGAATTACACAGACGATCAATTACCAACTCAGATACCGAAGATTAGAGCACTTAAATGCCGGATCATTGTAGAGAAGTCAGTTACTCAAGTGTCTTGATAATTTGCTAAAAACGCGTCATTTGAAACTGGCCTTTGAAGTAAAGAAGTGATTCTGTTTGCTTTGGTTTCTGTTCTTGTACGTAGGATGAACCATCATTGTGAATTTGACAGGATGTATCAGCAAATGTATATCGAACCTGAGCGTTAACACCTCCCCCACTTGACAAAATGTCAGTTGAAGCTTTTTCTGGCAAAAACGTAAAAAGAGATTGGGGATATGTTAAAGTCTGGGCTAAAACCATCCAAAAACAAAAAGCTTACCTAAATTTCTTTTCTTTGTCCGCAAGATCAGAGGATTTGCAACTCAAATCAACCTGGAACCTTTCCATGTTTAGCTTTAAAACCCGCGCATGAAGAGTCATACCATGCTGTAGCAAAAAATTGCAGTTTTTAAAAACAAAGGCATTGAAATACTTGGAAGAATTCTTACTCATATGAAATTTAGCAGAAAAGCAATTAATAAAAAAAGATGCTATGTTTTGACTTGAAACGCAAACATGAAAACATTTCTAAATATTAAGGCATGATTAATGAAAAAAGACAAACACATTACAATGGCCTAAAGCACTGGCCAAGTGAAAGGTAGGCCATGCCTGAACTTAACCACTATGTTAACTTCCCATCGCATTTTGGTTCAATAACTGCATTTTGGTGCATTTTGGACCATTTTCACAAGTTTCTTGAATCAATTCAGTTACTCATTACCTTTTAGCAAACAGAACATATTTCTTGACCAAGAATAATTTTAAAAACCAGAACATTTACTGGATCCCCTGTTCAGACACTTTTATTGCCGCAGTAAATCCGCACTTTATGGTAGACACCCCGGCCCTACGTCTAAGTGATTATAAGGGAAGTCCACAGCTTTCAAAGCGATTTGATAATTGGAAAAAAACAAGCGACTTGTGGGCTGCCTGTTATCTGCTTTCTTAAGTTTATCAGCTACTTTATCTCAATAGGTTAACGAGATCACGCAGATTTACTAAAAAAAGATTGTCTTTAAGCAGTATTACTTCCTTGGTTAGAGGTTAGCAATGGCGATAACAATTATTTGCTAACATTCTCTTATCAACGCACGTACCGCCGCGTGTGCCACCGCATGTACCACCGCGACTACTATCGCGCGTTGTAACCTTCTATAGATCACTACATTTCTTCGGAGAATCAAAAATTAAAATCAGAAAAAGAATGGAAAAATACTATTAACGAAATCAAGAAACCATAACTGCATTTTCTCGAGAATTGTTTACCAAAAAATGAATAACAAACCTGAACACGATCTTCCGGCCTCTTGACACCTTTATCGCTGATGTTTCTGTTGCTGATGAATCCGGAGATTCCGTTGTCAAGCCGTACCCGGACACCTACCGCTTCTCCAGCGCAACTGCCATTATCGAAATGGGTCCAGACCTACGGATTGCAAACCGGTAAAAAATTATTGCTGGTGAATATTTTAAAAGTTTCTGCTACAAGAGGTATACAGGGCATCCATAGACACCCGATACTAATACCCTAAAAAACATTTATTTCAGATGGGCATCACTAAGTAAGATTAGGACGGTTTATTTGACTGAGAAAATCAGTCTACTGTCTAGAGTTCGTCAAATAAAATGCAACTTCGCCATATAAAATGAATCTATGCTTTTCCACAAATCACTTAGGTTTGGTCACCTGGACCCGTAGATTTCGCCCCGAGGTACAAGTCCTTATCAACAAAATGCATGTCTACGGTAATATTGTCGGCAGATTCTTAACTATGACCTGCGGATAAGATAATATTGTGGTGAGCAAGAAGTTATCAGACTTTCTCATCCAGTCCGCTGGATCGAAGAAACCACCATGGTTTTTTCACAAGAAAGCGACTAAGTACTGGAGTACTGGAGACGAGCTATGGACAGAAGGATAGGAATTGGAAATCAGAATAAACTTCTATTCAATGTATCTTAAACAGGAGGATTATTGAAAATTAAAGTTTTCTCTCTTATCATTAGATTTAAAAAATGTCATGCTATAAACCAGTTTTGCATCATTGTTCGGATGCTGAATATATTTAGGAAACAGACTCCAGGCGGTTCTACGCCCGAGAACCAGACGGGAGGCCACGCGAAAACAAATAATTTAAGCCAGCACACACATCACCCTCTTCGCTGTCATTCTGAGGAAGGTTTTAAAAGTGTTGGTTTATTAGACGGAGGAAGGGCGAAAACTTTTCATTACTTTAAGAACTTTTATAGACTTCTCTCATGAATAGGCGATCAGATTAACTAATGAAGAGGGTGCATAGTTGTCATAAAAACGGAAAAGAAATAGAGTATAATAAAACGTTTGAGACGCAGTAGTGATCTAAGTTGATATTACATGGCCCTCATACAAAACCGTAAGAATATTCCTAGCACGTATTGCATTTACCAACACTGGTAGAAATTCCTTGGGACATCGAACAGCCGTATGAACACAGCCTTTTTGATACCACAAAGCATCAACGCGAAAACGATCATCACAATAGCAACTGCCCTTGTTTGTCATAAATGTTCCCGATGACGTTTCCTTGGAACTCAAAACAACTTTAACCGACGCATGTCTGATTATAATCAGCCGCAGGGTCCAACCACAAGCTGCTGGCGCAAACCATCCTGCCACCTTGATATGCAACCTTTCGATATGGATGGGACAATTGTCAGACAGGCCAGCTTATCTCACCAATGAGACAACGCATTTCACCATCCAGAGTGTCACTCGTCTCTCAATACAGACATGGATTCAAGTACAAACTTCGTGGTTTGGCCTGAGCTTTAAATCTGAGTACCCTTCTTATTGCACGTTGAAAGCATTTTGTCACTATCAATTACATTTTCGCTATTTACCCAATTGGTACTTTCTCGGGGAGTTTTGATTTTATACAGCGGCTCGATATATATTCTAACTCAACTATAAAATTGGGGGATTAAAGCTACAAAAGCACCTAGTTTCCTCTTTTCTCATTTATTTATATTCTTTATGACTGGAAGAACAAATTCACAGTCTGGCACTCCAATCTGCCTTCAAATTCGCAACATTTTTTTAATCTCATAATAATGTGTTCAGTCAACGTAAGATACCAGCCCTGGCCTGGAACGCACCACCATGCTGTACACACTACGTCTCATCCACTAAAATCCTTGAGGCTGTGAGCAGATAAGACAAGGGGTCTGTTATCAAAACAGATTTCTGCTATCACAGGTGATGACATCGAGAGAAACGACAACAAAGTGTCTTACACACCACACACATAGCATTCCAAAACAGATAGGCCCTTAAACATGGAACAATACGTAAATAAATGATTAGCAACCATGCTTCGGATTATCGGTGATCAACAGCTTGGCTACTAATTTGTAAAACATACAGTGTGATTAATCGTATTTGAGATTAAAAAACTGACCTCACTGAGATCTGGAAAGTTATCTTTGAGGCAAAAGGGACATTGCCAAAGATTTGTGTCGTCATTTCGCACAGGATTGGCTTGGTCCAAAGCCTCTCTTGACGGCTTACGGTAGGCGAATCCCGTGACGATGCAAGTGACCATCTTACCAACAAACAAAGTCTCCTCCGTTTCACCAGTCAGCAGCTTGAACTTCTCATCTGGATCTAGCTGTCTGTACGGTACACGGTGATCTTTGAAGCGATTAATCAGTTCATCTCTGATGTCATAGAGCGTTATCTGTTTATTTCCATACCCTTGACGTGCCAGTTCATCGGCAAATGCGTCCAAATCTAAGTCTTTCAGGCGGTCGGGTTGCTCCAGAATCTCCTCCACAGCCGCAGAGGGTTGGGCCTCTTCCATACCCTGCAAGGTTAGCAACGAGTACATTAAAAATGAAACAAAAGAATGAAATAATGCCACATGCCTAACGATAATCCAACGTCTTACATATTCAGACGTCCCAGATTCAAAGCGTTTGTGCTACTGCTTCCGCTTTTGGAAATGGGTGTACTTCAATTTAGCACCATCAATGTCCTATCATTGCTTTTCGTGGTATTTTAAAAGGGGTAGCTGAAGATTGCTAGTAGGCGTCCTATTCAAAACCCTTGAAGCTGTTTCATGCGAAAGCTGCATAATCAAAACTGCTTAGGATATCAGATCCTGCGTCTGGCGATCTGGACACCTTGAACCTTTTCCAATCCAGCCATAGAGGGAAACGGTTACCCAGACTGAATAATTACAATGAATAAAAAACCTAGACTTAAGAATGGTTTTAACGAAAGTTTTCTGAGCGGCTTTACAAAAAAGGCCATCAATCTGCTGGCTTGGCGAGACAGACTTTGAATAAATGAAACACACTTACGTCATCGTATTCCAGTGCATCAACTGCCATCTTTCTCGCCCAGTCATATGTTTCTGGATGAATCCTCGTGCTATCAAGAACTTCCATATTGTCCCCGATTGACGAGGTGTCTATTTTAATAAAACCGGCGCAATTAAGGAATACTTGCGGACCCATGCCATATGTTAGAACCAACTGAGATCGGTTTTCCAAACGTGTTGTCTGCGTTTTCAATTTCTAAAAACAGAAACAGCTAATTGACGTATACAGTCTCCTGCATAAAAAAACATTTAAAACGTGAAAAAGGATTAACAACGTACCTGAAAAGGCTACTCGAACTTCAAGCCGACGAGTTCCATGAAAAAGAACAGACACTTTTACCCTGGGAACCAGAGCTTCAGCCTTAGTGAAAGAGATAGTTGGACCGTGGTCGGACCCATCTTACGGTGTTCCACTTACCGACCCACTCTTTCACCGAACGACTCGTTCACTGTGGCTCTGTCACCCAGGATAAAATTCTTGCAATTACATAATATAATTCGGCGAATAGTTTTCAAAAACCACGGAAAATGAAAACGAAATGTTGTCATAAAGCGCTAATAACAAATAGGCAATCTAAATGACGTCACAGCACTACAATAAAATATTCAAAAAAGCGCTTCTCTACCTTAATGAGGTCTCCACCTTTCCTCGGGCCCAGTCCACAAATAAACTGGATCAGCGCCGCGACATGCGGATGCTCTATAGCTCTGTTTACATCAACACCAACAACGTTTGTCCGGTTGATGAATTCGACTTCCAGGGCTTTTGCAAGCTGCTCCTTTGGGAGTAATTCCTGTTTCAAAGAAAATAAACTTATTATTCAGATTTGACATTGCTCAAGCTTAAATGCATAGGCAAATTATGAATTTAAAACATGATAATTGTGATTGACGATTCATGATTGATGGTGGACGTTGATGCTGATTTTGAAGGTAAACAAAGATTAACTATTTACCTGAAGCGGATGCAAAATTAGGCATTCTAGTTCGCCTTCTCCGTCACACAAGCCGGCGAATTCAATCAAAGGATCTTGCAGCCTCCTTCCAATAGACACAGCATGCCGAAGAAGAGGCGGGTAATCTTTAAATTCAGTCTTAAGATAGAAAGAAAGTGAAAGATTAGAAACAAAGTAAGCGAAAACACTGTATATTACCCATCTTTGCTTAGATTAAAGCAACAAAATTGCAAAAAAAGTAACCCAATTTGCAATGGTTACATGCGCTAAAATTAAAACAATAATTGGTTATTGAAATAGAACTGACCAGTCATACAAACGTAACTAAATATACTTTTAAAGAAGATGAAGTGTTACTTTTGCGAAACGAAATCTTCGATCAAATCTTTGATGTTCATACGGTGACCTAACAAACTGTGATGCACTGTGCCTAACATACAGTTAGGCAATCGTGCATGTTAAAGGTTTCCCACTTACCGTAGATCTCGGTGAGGCCTCGTAAATCTTAGCAACTTCCCCGTCAACCAGCTCAACATAGATGGGAGCCATCTGCTGCTCTTGTTCCAAATCAACAATACAAGAACGAATATCTTCCACGACGTTTTGCGCCTCCCTGCATTGCGCAGTCACGGCGACAACGTGAGGTCTGTGGTTCAAAATAAACTTCTTGACAGTTTCAAACTCCCGTTCCTGCAGGGAGAAAGTAATTGGTTCAGAGAAATACTGCATCAGACGGAGACGACTAGAGCACATTAACTTAGAAACGAGAAAAGAAAAAACGTTTGCACAAGCTATAATTTGATGAATCAGAGAAATATAATGAAGACCTTGATGAAAAACAGAACTAGAACATTTTGGAAAATTTTCCAGTTAGAAATTTCAAATACAATTGCGCTAGCTTCTACAAGAAACCAAAGGGCCTAAAAGATAAAAATATTTGCTAACCTTGGCCTCTCGGTCTGCCTGTCTTCCAACATTCCTCCTTTTCAATAAATGTTTCAGTCTTAGAAAATCGATCACTTCACCATCACCATCCAACATTGCTATGAATGCAGCAACATTCTGATCTGGCATGAAACCACAGGCTAGCACCCTGCAACCATGCTCCGTTTCCGTACGCCCTCCAAAGTCACTTTCTTGCCTCACGTGACTATCCCCTTGGTATGGAGCAACGGCTATCAAAGACTTCAATTTTCTCGCACAGAGCTAGAGAAATTGATACAATTGAGCGTGGCGGACACATTTAGAGAAAATACATGCAGATATTCAAATAGTTCAACGAAAGAAACTGGCCGATACATGAGACTATTCCTAATTTTACTCTGTTCCTTAAAGATTTACGTCTACAAACCGGCTTATTAACCTTATATCTACAACATTAAGCTCATTTATTATCCACGCAACGCTGCTTAAATAAAACAGTCTAAAATTTTCTAAACTGTAAAATTTTCACGAAGGCAACATCAGTCTAGTCATTTGAATATGATCAAACAATATCCATTCCTAATACATATGCATTGATAGTCAAAACCTGGCTGCAAGTCAAAACATCAGTACAAATTTCCCAATCTTGTTCCCAAAGATTAAAGTTTATTTCGCTTAGAGAATCTGGAAAGGATATAAAGAAGCGTAAAAGAGGCAGGTTACGAGCGAGAGAGAGGCTTGGAACGGTACTTCTGTGAAAAAAGCAACATCTTCCATGAAAACACAACAAATTTTTCATGGAAAGCATAAGGAGCATTTATGAACCTGTATGACGTAATCTGTTGACTCTCGCAGCAGCTTAGATTTCAGTTCGTTTGCAAAAGCTGGGTATAAAATTTGTTCTAATGCTTTGACGAGGACTTTTGTTCTATGTTTATTCCATTCTTGAACCACTCGACTGTACTCGTCCTGCAAATAAACAGAACAGTATCAAGAAAGGAAGCTTTCGGTACCGCAAAATTTGAAAATATCAAAGAAATGGGAACATATCATACTAAAGTACTTTTTGTCCCACGCTATTCAGGGTATAAACTTTAGATAATTTCCAAAGGTAATTTCTGCAGTGTCGGACGAGAACTACTTAAGTATGGTACGCTTCCGCTTTTTACCTTGCCTTTTTCTAAGAACAGTATTACAACATCACAATTTATTACAATATTACACTTTAAGAATATAATATCACATGTCAGTGATTTATACAGATATCTACAATCCTTGACAAAAGTCCTTGGAACACCCTGCGACCAATGAAAGATTTTGACGAAATGAAGGTTTCCGGCTGTAAGATACAGAAATATCCCCCCTCCCCCCAAAAACAATGTTGGCTGAAAAGCCTATTACTTACCCTAGCTGATAAAGTGACATTGGACGAATTTCGAGCTTTGAAACTGTTGTTATTCAACATTGTTTCAAGGGGGAGAGAGGGATGCTACTGAAGTTATGCAAAAATCTAGCTCTGTGTACCAAGACTTTTGGCAAGGATTGTATCAAGGGCAAAAGCAAGGCAAGGAACGTAATCAAATTTAAAAGACTTTTTGAAGTGGAAGAACCTTGTAAATCAAAAGAATTCTGTTCAAACTGAACACTTCTGCAACAAACATTCAACGTAATCGGCATGTCAGCAAGGTGGAATGTTCATTGTGTAAGAAAAGATTTTGTCTTAACTTACCCTGTAGAACAGCATCTTAATCTCCTCGAGATATGTAGTATAGCTGAAATCAACAAAACGAATACATGAATCCAATCTGGTAAGTTTTTATAAGTAACAATATAGAAGGTATTGCAACAAAACATGTCTCATCCGTGATTTTCTCAGTCAAATTTTGTTTCAGTTAAATTCAAATCAGACAATTTTATCCATCATTGAAAAACAGAGATGAGAAACTTAGAAGATTTTGCAAATTCGAAAGTTACTCTCATACCATTTGTTTATCGGAACAAGTTCATAAATAGTATAATAAAATTTAAAAAGAGTAAGAAGTTCTAATAAATCGGTGAATATTTGGAATGAGCAAAAAGGCTAGGAGGCCGCAAGATAGCAGCTGAACATTAGCTAGCTGAAAAAAACGCCAATATTTATTTTGATGCAATTCAATAAAAAAAATGTTGCATACCCTATAAAAAATTTTACGACCAGTAGTCTTACGAAAGCTGAATACAGATTTCTTTAATCAAGCCTGAAAAGGTATCAATTAAGCCGATGATTTTCAAGGAACGCGAATTCACACTCCACAGCTACTAGACAGTGTGGTAAAGCACATGGTCTGTAGAATATATTCCTACCCTAATTCTGCATCCAAGTCGATTCCGACTTTTACTTCGACGAGTCCTTCTTTTTCTGCTTGACACATTTTCAGGAACTGCTCGCCTTGTAGATCCCTTACAGGCTTATGTTTGATGTATTTAAAAGCAGCATATTGGTGGAAGTCGTCGATTTCCTACAAATGAAACGCAGAATTGTGAAGACTACCTGGCAATCGTAATGTTCCAGACATTCCAAGTGCGCAAATAAAAAAGAGAGAATACCCATTAAAAAAACAATAAGTCCTTTACAGATGACCAATCCAACAAATTCAAAAAACAAATCGACAGGTTTCTAAACCAGAAGAGAGCAAGTAGAAGTTTATCACTCTTGTAACACATCCTCGATCTAATGTGTTCTCTGGCCTAGTTCTGAAATGCTAATAATATTTTAATCCAGTTCTTCTCAGTTGGTTTCTGTTTCACAAAATTCAAATCAGACAATTTTTGACATCATTGAAGAACTTGATGTTAGAACTATAAATATGCAATCAATGAATTATTGAAATGTAATAAGATATGACTAGCATGAAAATTCTAAGAAATACTAATAGCCGGCTTACTTTTTTCCCCTTTTTTGTTGGGATAAGACTGACTTTGGCCCTGTCAAAAAACGCTTGCCTGACACTCTGGCGAACCAACGGAGTCCTGGCAATTTGAACCGCTAGCATATGACGAGCTCCTTCCAACACCGCTGCTGCCGTTTGAAAACCACTTAAAACAAAACACGCGCGTAAGGCTTGGTATATCAGCTTAAAAATGGGGAGCATCATTTCAAAATGACGCTGGCAGGCTGGCATCGTCTTATTAACTCATAAGTTAATGTAAAGGTTGCACATAAAATTTGTTATTACCACACACCATTCTGACTTTAACAATTTGTTTTTCTTTTTACTACCAATACCAAAATAATTCTCTAGTTGACTAGTTAGCGTGTGCCCTTGTCTCTTCATTTTCTAAGTTCAGGTCGTTTCTCTACTCAGAGTTATGCAGATGAAAAGCCCAACTTACATATAGCATGGGCACGAGCAAGAAACTCAAACTTGAAAACAGGCTTGGATTAATACATAAAAACACCATCCCGTGCCATTGGCAACTGAATATACGATACACATTTTAAGCTATGAAGATTTCTACTGAGCTTTTTCGTTCATAAATAAAAAACGGCTAGGTGGCGTCTTTAAAACTTTTAGATTGAGAAATGTTAAAAACCCCTCCCCAGAAAGACTATCACGGAATTAATCTACGAGATTCTTTCAATAGCAGAAGCATTCGGTGCAGTCTACCAACATAAACCACCTCAATTTCCCAACTGCTACCTTAACTCTGCACAACCTACTTGCAAATGTATTGTTCTGCCAATTCTTCTGGTTCTTCCGGCACTTGCTCTGGTTCATGACGCTGGTAATTATCCCTCAAATTCTCTGCGAACTGTAGCGGTGACAAGCCAAATTTCTTGGTCAGATTAAGCAAGCCATTATCCTTACAAATGGTATAGAAATCCCTCCTCCTGGGTATTTTTCTTGTCTCTTCAACATCTTCATTTGCGTCCTCATCTTCCTTCGTGGCTTCATCCTCCTCAGCTTCATCTCCTTCTTTTTCAGTACTCTCATCCAGGCCATCTTTCGTATTATCATCCTCACCCTCTCTGTCTTCTCCTTCACCAACTCCGTCGCTACTTTCTTTTTTCTTTGTTTTCTCTTTTACTTTTGACTTCGACTTCTTTGCAGCCCTCTCTTTGTCCTTAAACCAAGCCTGCATTTTCGGGATGTCGTCAGAGTAGTACAATTGGAACTGCATGTACACGTCCATCAACTCTTCCATTCCCTGAACATTGTCTAATCTAAGGGTTTTAAAATACAGAAACTATCCTTAGTATCAAAACCATTGTAAACCAAAAAGATGCAAAGACGAAAGGCAAGAAGACGACAGTAAACAAACGCTAGAATAAAATTTAACCGAGGATTTAGAAACTATAGCGTTCTTCTTGCCTAGATTATATCAAACATCTTTAGCATGCAGATTGAATTTAAAAAAAAAACATATCCATACTGACAATCTTTAATCTTCTTCAAATATATGTCAAAGTTTCAAGTATTTCAAGAGCCGTAAACGAAGACGTCTAAATACGCACAACGTGCTACTTTAAAACCATCCCACACATTTCAACCTATTATGAATTCACATTTGCAGCTTTGACAGAAAATTATAAGAGAAAACTCACGCATCAATATCTTCTTGCTCAAGTGTCCTGAAATGTTCATCGACTTTTTTGTCCTCATTTTTGAGTACGAGTTCAAATTGATATTTTTGCATCTGCTCGAAGAGCTTTTTCATATTTTGTTTCCTTCCATTCAATTGTGTCCACTAAAAAATTTCAAATATCAAATTCTGGGTGCAATGTAAAAAAAATAGATTGACAATTGTTCTACTCCAAGCAAAATTAAAAGAGTAAGAAAAGAAACTTATAAGTGTCTAGAAACTTATCAAGAAACTTACCCACATTTTATAAAAGAGCTTTGTATCTAGGTACTATACTTGTATAGTATAAATTGAACACAAACATGTTAATTTAGGCCATCTTACATTCACTTCCTTTTCTCATTCGTTGATCATGCCATCACAGTGACTTCCCCCTACGTCACTCACGGCTACCATGACAAATCACAAAGACCACAGGACATCCCCTCTACCACAGTTTACATACACCTTCACTCATTTTATCATTCATATGGTAGTCTCTTCTCTGACTCTATGTTTGCAACACAATAAATAGAATTCGCCGAGATGAAAACAACACTGTAGTTGATGGATGAAGACTATAGTAAAGCTATGAAATATGGTTTTTAAAAACGCATGGAATTGTTTACGAAAACAGACTTAAGAGTAAATGATGTGAACCAATACCTTAGCATCGAAGTCAAATATTGTCCAAAGATCATCAACTTTCAACTCTGGTTCGATGTATTCTTTTCTGTATGTTGCAATAAATGGGACCTGCAAAATAAAAACAAAATCAGATTTTTTCCAGCTTAACAAAAAGAACCACGAATTGTCTGTATAGCATTTCTGTTGAACAGTTGAACAGGCAAATCTCATCAGATAAAGCAATGAAAATTCTTATGAAAAGGAAATGGCATTGAAAAGATTTCATGCTTTCATCAATATGTTTAGCAATATGTGGAATACTTCAAAGAAACTCTGTTTACGGCTAGAAGAGATGCAAGAACGACTCGCAAAGTATAAGTCATTCTTCATTAGTGGGCCATTAACTCCGGCATCTGGGTAGCCCAGTGTGGAGTGTTGGGATGGTGGGGCTGTGAAAGGGTTCCGATCTGGATGGCAATTTTAAATTCGTGGGGGTAATGGATGTCAACATGGCGCGCCGTAACCTTGAAGCCTTTCACAAAAATACAGGATACTAAAAACATATGCAAACAACTCTCAAGGGTTCCAATACTTTTATACCACTTCACAAAAAATTCAAAAACCAACCCCCAGGAATTTGCTCTCTTTCTCTCTCTCTTGTTCTCTGAGTTTTGCCTTTCCGATTTCCCAAAAAAACGGAAGTTTATTTACGCAACTACTACAGACAAACCGAGCTTTTGATTCACAGAACCAACAGACATAAGCTTTTGCCACGTGTGTACTCACCTCGAACAATTCTTTCTTCATAAAGTTCAAAGCCGACCTGATTTTTGGTATTGTTGAAACAGGTTTTAACTGCGGTGCGGGGTGTCTTCGTTCAAAGTCTCTTGACTCCTGAAAAAAATATTGATAACACGTCAAGAGAACAAACAAAAATCCATTATTTAGAGAAGATAGAAAGTAAATGCTAGCAGCTTTATCTTTTAGATTCCCTTCAATCGACATGATAGACAAATTTTGTAATAAAGCTGGCAAAATGAGAAAAAATTCAAAAGAGATAGGTAGACAATGAAATTAGCATGCTTCAGGATTATCTATCATTATATATTGTGCTAATGACTTCGTTATGATCAGCTTTTAGTTTAACGTTATAAATTGTATTAGTTTCTATTTAGCTCGCAAATGCCTCCTTGTGATTGTATTTTTGCAACACCTCCTAGTATTGTACTTGGTTAGGGGCCATCTTGGCCTAGATACTAGATAGGCCTAAATATTGGCAGCTTGAAATGCACCTTGCAGAAATTCTTAACTGCCAATTAACTTTAAGCGCAATAAACCATGTCAAACTATTAGTAGCAAAGTTTTCACTACTCATACTATCAATCAAGCAAAAACTCGAATTCTTACCGGGAAATTCTGTTGCGATATGGGCGTCTGCATAAACGCTTGCTTGTAGATCCATTCAGCTTCGTCATCAAGCTCTATATCAGTGGCCAGCTTCACCGGCACTGCACGGAGCTGGAATCTCTCAGGAATGTCGCGCACTCTCACCTCGTTATCTTTATCAGTTAAATGGCTTTTCTCTAGTTCAGAAGGCTCGTAGACATCATAAATGGATTTCCTTGAAGTCTTCTTCTTCTTTCTCTTTTTCACAGTCTGTACTTCATCTTCATTTTCTTCGTAGTCTTCTTCGGATGCTTGATCAAGACCATCATCATATTGATCTAACTCATTCAAGTCAAACTCTAGGCCAAAAATATCTTGGGCTTCTTGCAATGCACTGTTCGATGAAAAATTTGACAGAAAATTACAATGACATGCATCGTCGTTCTGGCTTTGACACATGAAAGCTTCAAATGTTCAAGAATATTTTCAATTTATCATTAGACGGATAAAGAGCTTTTTATTACCAACTTCGAAAATTCTTCAATGGCCAGTTCATCAAGGATCGAAACTTCTTCCTTCTTCTTTTCTACAGACATCTGTTTTTTAATATGCACTATGTAATTATGACAGTCTTTTCGTGTCTTTACAGGTACATTTTAGGAGTACATTTTAAAAACGAGCTTTAGCTAAATTCACCTCAGCTTGAGATTTCTTAATCATAAGACCTTGGGAAATTTATGAACAAAGCAAAGTTAGATCTAGAAAGCACATTACTTTATGTTTCAGGAGTTAGTTATCATTTTTCAAAACAAAGCAAGCAAAAGGTCCTGAAGAAGCACTAGCTTTGTGTTTCATGTCCTGAAGTAGATATTTAGACCACTTGCATTAAAGAAATAAGGTATTAATGTGCACAAATAAACTAGAGAAAACTTATTTTACCTGCTTATGTATTTGTCCTTGCTTCGTTTCTTCTTTGCAGGTCTCGTGTGAATTGGCTGATCATCATCATCAACAATGAATCCATAGTCTCCATCGTCATCTTAATTGTACCAAAATCAATTATATAACAAACAAAATATCATATTTACTCACTAATGTTACGATTAGAACAAAGTAGGGCAAGCTTTTAGGAAATTTCTACTAGTTTAAGATATTTCGATTGGGAATAGGGGTTGGGAATGCAAAAGGGAATCTTACTTGTTGAGAAAGAACTCAAGGCAAAAATAAAGAGCATTGGAATACAGTAGTATCAAATAGACAGATACTGAATGACCACAGGGGGTAGAAAAGTAGCAAAAAGTATAAATAAGAAATTTCGGCTCTAGCTTTCATGTTGGAAGATCCTATTTAGGGTGGGTGAAAAACTTGAGAAAATCAACGTTTGCACTGATGGGGCTGTTGTTGCTTGCAATGTCATTTTATGACCACAAGTGTACTTCCCGGCATAAAGGCAAATTATCATTCATTCTACCTTCAACAAGTACAAAAATTATTTAGTTACAAATTTTCATCACTTCCTTGGACACAAAAAACAAGATGCAGTTGTTTATAGATTTAGATTTATACCTAAAGTCATTCATTGATCACACTGAAAAGTTTTAGATGGTTTTATATTGTTTCTATTGATTCTAAAAACAGTGAGATTGCATTGGTTACAGACTAATGAAGATTGCCAGTCTGTTAAATTTTGATCTAGGCAACTACTTCGCTTCATATCTTCTTCATGAGTTCATTACTATGAAGTTACAAACTATTTCTTACCCTCTTCATCAGTTAAATCCTCAATTGGTGCATATGCTTGGCTACTTCCTTGATTTCCAGCAGCTGATTCGTCTTCCCTCTAAAAATATATCAATTTTACCATGTAAAATAACCTGAAAACTATACAGTCCATCTTGTTTTGCATTTGGGCAAATACAGGTCTTAGGCCTTGGCAAATACAGATTCGTAGAAAAATCTATCTTCCAGTAAATAATTAACCTATATTAATTACCATTATATTAATTCATTTTCTCAATAAAGTACCACAAGAATGAAAGCAAAGAATGAAAAAACCACAGAAACCAGACCAACATCAATCCTATCTTTCTGACAAAAACTTTTAGAGACATTTCAGGGCTTACATTATTGGATAACAAACTCAATAATGGCCTATTGTTAGCTTTTGTTTGAATTCCCATCTATGAAACATTACGCACTTTTGTTCCAGCATTTTTTTAAATTATGAGATCTATTTTTTATCCTATTCTTTATTCTATAAAGTGTAACAGACCAAAGGAGAGCTTTAGGATATTCATAAGAAACAATATTGATTTAAAGTTTGTTTCACATATTTGATCTTGTCATTGTCATTTGAACCGTGTAATTAAATGCATAAAATACAATATCTAATATTGATAAATTGCTTAATGATCATTTGGAAACCTAGTTTAAAAAAAGCTAACTAAATGTTTCTAGTTAAATGGTTTATACAACTTTGATGGTTGGCAAATTAATGGTTGGGATAAAAAACCTGAAAATTGTCATTACTGATTATATTAAAATGACTGACAATAAAAAACATAACATGCAAATGTGTCACATACAAAAAAAAGTATGTGATCTGTAATGATTAGATAGAATAAACAAATGCACTAATCATTCTGTGTAACATGCTTGCTGAAAATAATTCAAAGACTTCAAAGGGATGATACCTCATCACTAGATCTTCCATTCTAAGAGATAAAACATCAAACTGATACTTTATGAAGGACAACACAAAGAACAGATTTAAAAGACAATCTATACTGGCTAATAGAAAACATCACTTTCTACCCAAGACAAAACTAAGCAAGGTACTAAAATGTGACGGTTAGAACTGTCCCTGCATGTCAAATGTTTGTAAACGTAGCTGTAAAAAGCTAACTAAATGCTAATTGTTAAATGATTCACACAACTTTGATGGTTGGCATTCAAAATCAGTAGTTGAGATCAAAATCTGGAATTTGTGTATACGAATCATATACACCATATAATGCAAAAACATGTCACACACAAAATATGTAACCCATATATCTAAAGTACCGTACTCTCTCTTGTATTCCCACTGTGGGTTTTATTGATTCAATCTCCTAATTTAATGCAGGATTAATAGAGAGGTGGGACTATCTGAGAGGCAGGATTAATTTCTCCATGTGCTTTCAAAAAGCAGGCATAAACTTTAAACGTGTTCTCCTGTGTTTTGGCATGGAAACTTTGCATGTAAATTGAGAAAAATGTTGATGAAAGTTGGTTGGAAAAATGACCCTGATTTTTCTCTTGCTGTCATCAAATCAAACAACAACTCACTATGCTAAATGTCTGCAACTCATTCAAAACTCCAATTGGCATGATTAATTTTTCAAAGTAAAGAAAAAAGACAAGATTATTAGTGAGGTGGGAATAGTAGAGACAGCAAGAATACAATAGAGAATACAGTATGTGCTCTGTAAAGGTTGGATAGAGCAAGCAATGGGCTAATCATTTTGCTCCGTATGCTTGCTAAAGAAAATCAAAGGCTTCAAAAGGGCTGGTACCTCGTCACTAGATCTTCCATTCTAAGAGATAAAACATCAAACTGATACTTTATGAAGGACAACACAAAGAACAGATTTTACAGACAATCTATACTGACTTCAGAAAACATCAGTTTCTATCTAAACAAAACTAGGCAACTTACAAAAATGTGCAGATTATGACTGTCCCTGAATGTCAAACACTTTAAAACTTAACTACAAAACGCTGACTACATGCTAATTGTTAAGTGTTTCATACAACTTTGGTGATTGGCATTCAAATCAGCAGTTGAGATTAAAAATCTTGGAATTGTGTATACAGATTATATAGAACAAACAATGAGAAAACACGTCACACATAAACTGTGTAACATAGACACAAAAGTTTGGGCTTTGTAATGAATTGGTAGAGTATATATACAAATGGGCTAATCGTTTTGCATCACATGCTTGCTAAAGATAATTCAAAGACTGCAAAAGGGATGGTACCTCATCACTAGATCTTCCATTCTAAGAGATAAAACATCAAACTGATACTTTACAAAGAACACCAAGAATAGATTTTACAGACAATCTAAGCTACTAGAAAACATTAAAAGACAAAACTAGACAACTAGGTTCTGTCAATAAATTTCCTGTTTCAAAATAACAACCACTACATACATTTTGAGCATCATTTTAGAAAATGACAATGACAGACGCACTTTAGTCCAAAATCAACAATTGAAATAAATTATGACCTATGTGACTATTTAGATATTTGAAATATCAACACAGTGCTACATCAGAAAAACATAAGGTGGTGCTTATATCACAGTCTGTCAAAAAGATGCACCTTCAATCAATCTTTCTATTAATTTTCTAAAATCTTTCCATAACTTGTGTTAACATTAAGCACTATAGATACACTCAACTTTTAGCTGTGATCCTGATAAATCAATGCAAAAATCTTCACTAAAATAACGAATCTCACTGGCAAATCTCCATCAATGTGGATTAATATTGCATTGAAAAGTTCAAAGCCACATATTCAAAACAAAAATGAAAAAAAGTAGTAAGTACCAATTCTTCATCATCTTTGAACAACTCATTCTCTATTTCCTCCCTTTCCTTGGTTTCATCTGGCTCATCTTCTTCATCAGAATCTAACAGTTTGACTCTAGAATGTTTTTTCTAAAAGGAATAAAAGTTATACTTCAATTAGTTTTGAGGTTATACTTCTATATTATCATTTAAATGTTTAATAGCAAATTTATTAGCAAGTATCTACTCCCAAAATGCTTTGACACTAAGTGCTAACTTTAAGTGTCAGAGCATTTTCACTATACATAGAGAATTTGTTGTTTCTACTGTCAAAAAATCTTATTGAGCTAATGCAAATGGCCATCATTAAACCTTGGTGCTTGAAGAGTGGCTTGATTGTTTAGAAAAATTTTCAAAAACATTTAATTGTTTTTATTAATATAACTATCATGATATTTTCACAAATTAGCTACCAGTGGCCAATAACTTTATTTGCTTGCTTTGCTAGCCTCTCCATATCAACCAGGGTGCATTTCATGTAGGTAGGCCCGAATATGTCCGGCGTGGGCTAAGAAAAATGCCTTGGCGTAGAAAAAAAAAATTCTGTTTTTAGCGTGTCAGCGACAGAAAACCCCGAATATCAATGACTTGTTTAGAATTATTGGCGTATCGTTGACAGAAAACGGCGTGACGGCGTGGCGCATCGCCGAGATATGATTTGATATGCTTAACTAATCTCCTCTGCGAGGTGTTTTCTTTGATTTCTATATTAGTTTCGTTATTCCGTGGTCCATGGTTCTGTGGTCCGTATTTCGACACAAAGAAGGAAAAATCATGTCAAGGAGCATGCTGAGTATTATATGCACCCTGGTGAGTCCATATAGATAAGGCGTTTCCCGACAGAAGTTGGGATGACACTTTCAAACGGAAGTACTGTCACAAAAAGGAAGTACTGTCACATTTTCGAACGTTTGTCATGTGGTCTCAATATTAAATGAAGAGGCAAAGCCAAGAACTTGCGTTCCGTTAGAATATTACATGGATTGAAATGGATATTGATGAAAACGGTAGGTTTTTAATTTTCCTGTGTATGTACTTGATTTTGCAAACTTTAAACAAGTGCAATAAGTGATAGATTCAAACAATCAAGAGGGGAGAAGTTGATGACTTAAAAGTACGTACTTACGCTCGAGGGAGGGGCAACCTCCAAACCGTACAAAAGCAAACAGTAGGGAGGGAGATCCAAAATCGATGGATATTGAGCACAAGTACTGTTTGAATGGCCCCTAAGGCCAATTAATGTGGAGGGGGGCTTTAGATTTTTCTCTATTTTGCAATCATAATAAACGTTTCGGTTAATTTGGTTTCTTACACCTTCACTTCTATGCTTCTATGGCTTCTTAATCACGCACATTTTTGTAAGGAATGAAATGCTGGCTAAGCAAAGACTAATTTTGGTTTAATCTAATTAGCTCATATTATTTTTGAATTGCCCAAGAAAAAGAGGGATCGCTTTTAATGAATAGCGGGAATAAAATGAATAAAATATAACAATTAACGTTTTTCAGATAATCAACAGAAACAAAGTCGACAGCAAAGTATAGGAAAGAAACAAGTGATTTTGTCCTGGGCGAAAGGATGTGCAAGTAGTAGCAAAGAAGTTATCCCTGAAAAGAGACAAAAAATCTCGTCAGAAAAGGGCAGCTTTACTTGCTTGCAATGCTTTGAATTACACTTGAAAGGAAAAAGGGATGAAAGATATACATCTGTATGCAGAACAGATCATTCAACTGTTCAACGTCATAAAAATAGATGGCACAGCATTCCTGGATCGAAGTTATGCACAATTGTTCCAACAGCTGCAAAAGAAGTGAGTTCATTGAAGTTAAAATATGCAAAACAGAACGTATCAGAAGTCACTACACCTGAAGAAAGAAACACCAGTACAACTTCATCACAGATTATTTCAATAGACCCGGTACATAGCACTGCAGCAGCTCAAGGCAAAAACAATCTAGAATTAGCTACGCCAAGCTACGAAGAATACCTTGATGAACTTGAATCAAATACTGAAAGTGAGGAAAATAAATTCATGGAGGCCCTATCACCCATAGAGCCCCTGGAACCCCTGGAAGCATGCAGCAACGAGCCTCAGTTGATGACAGAATCAAGTGACAAAGAAACATTGGATGGGATAGAAATATCTGGAATGGACACTCAAAGTACACTTTTATCTTTTAGAACTGAAAAATTAGATGCAACAAAGAAGAACAGCACCGTAGACATGGATGCCATTATGACTGAGATAAATAAATTAAGTTTAAAGGTGGATGATATTGGAGCAAAGCACAGAAGCTTACAGCAGCTTGTTTTTGAAGACCCAGAGACTGGAAGGCAAGTTGCTGCAATGAAGAAAGCCAACAATATCAATGAATTAGTTGAGGCATCAAAGCCAATTCAGTGGTTCTATGATGAGAAAAGTGGTTGTGCAGTTCTGAGATGTTTGCCATGTTATGAGCTTCATCTGAAAGCTAAGCCAACATTAGCCGATTTAACTCCATTACAAGCACAGCAAATCCTTAATCCAAGAAGCAGTGGAACATTTGCAACTGGAATTTTCTTGAAAAAGGAAATCGCGAGTCTGTTAATCAAAGGTCATAATAGGACTTGGTACCGGGAAAAAAATATGCTAATTGACCACATGTGTATCATAGGAAACGGCTCAGAGACACATAAAATTGCCATGGAAGCATACAAGCAGGCTTTGAAATCCAATAATGAAAATGCAACAACTGCAACACATTTATTTAAAGCGGCTATAGTGGATTTGAAACTTGGTGCAGCAGCAAGAAACTTTGAAGTGTTAGTGTCTTTACTCGCAAATTGCTCTGTAAATGTTGGAAACATTGGGCATGGCAGGAATCTGTTTAATGACATACTGTACTGCCTGGAAAAGTCGATGAACAAGAAGACGTCAGAATTCCTTAATCAGCCACTCCCATCAACATTCCTTCCTCCACACTTTTGGGTTACCATTGATAAAGCTACACCAGCCAGAACAACAAACCAAGCAGTATTGGTTGTCGCCAGAGATAAGAATGGGATACCCTCCCCAATACCTGTTGCAGCTCCTGCCATTTATACAGAATTTACCGAAGCCTCATATGATATATTGGCATTAAAACTTCTGGAAGCAATTTCTGATAATTTCTCCCCCCAAATTCTGGAAAGGCTTTGTGGTGTGGCAGCTGATGGCCCTTATCAGGCTTCTGGATTCAGAAGTTCACTTTTTCGGCAACTGGAGATCCCAGAGCATGTAGACAAAGTGATCGCTCTCCCCATAACGTGGGATACAGCCCATGTTTTAAACCTTGCTGTTACCGAAGTAAGAGATGCTAACTCACCTGGTGGAGAACATTTCCGTAGATTTATCAAGAGATGTAATGTGTTCAATCATGTTTTGGCAAATGGAAAGGGGTTTGCCTTTTTGCAGATGGTGGACAGTACTGCGAGACGACCTGTGTCATATGCTACTCAGCGTTTCATGAGTTCATCGTATGAGCAGTGGCTCAAAATTGAACAGAGCTACCAATCGTACTGGCAGGCATTTGAATTGTTACATCCACGGAGGGATGAAGACGAAGAGTGGCAATACATGATTGCTGGAAGTGATTTTGTGGCAGATCTTTTATCCTTTTTGGATATCATGGATCCTATTATTGATCTGATGCTGAGAGCCCAATCACTTGACACTCCAATCTGGAAGCTACAAATGTGGTGGCCTAAAGTCAGAGAAATTCTGCTAAAAGCTGTAAAAGGGAACCCCCTGGTCTTTCCTAGACTGTCAAAAGTCGAACACTCTTTGATACCTGGCTTAAAATTCAAAGGAGTTGAATTACTTCAAGGTTGGCTCATAACGAAAGATAATGGAAAAAATGCAGATGGAAATTCTCGCTTTACGTGGCATTTGCGTGACAGTAAAGATATCGAAGAAGATCGCAAGAATTTGGCCAAAGAGCTATGTGAAGCTTTGAATATTAGAATTGAATCGCTTGCTGAAAAATCACCATCAACATTTGAAGTATTTGATGCGGCGAATCTTGTTAAGCTTCACTGTGGAAAAAGAGTTAATAAAGAAATAAAATATTTTGTAGATGAAGGTGAGTATGAAGTATATGGAGTGGAAGAATGTAAGCGCATATTAACAACGATTAGCGAGCTAAAACATGTGAAGGAATCAGGGATGAATTTCGATTCAAGAATGGCGTATCTTTACATGTCCAGAATAAAAAACGCTGTTAAAGCAGGCATCTGGAATGGCAAGTGCCCAGAATGGTTTATTATAAGCCAAAATAATGTTAATTTACATACTCAAAATGCAACACTTGAAGAGTTTGAAGAAGAAGAAAGCAATACATTAGATTGTCAGTTCAAAATGGTATTTTCAAATGGAAAAGTTATGAAAGTGCGCTTACATGAACAGCGAATGTACCAATCATTTTACAACAACGAAGAAATCTGTCACATTGCAAGTAAGCCATCTTGCGCTCTAATTGACATTCTTTTGGCTAAGGGAGGGCCTGAAGCAATAGCTGAAAGCTTTTACAGCTCAATGAGATCGCAACAACAGTCAGGAGGGCAATCGAACGAAACACTGGCTAGAAGAACGAAGCTGCAATGGGCCTTGCCGTCACTTCAAAACTGCAAAAATATTATCAAGGATGGGATTAAAACTTACATTCAGGGAGATGATAAATTGCGGCCGCACCGACAGAACACGTTTTTTTCCAGTAGAAATAAGGATTATGTTGTATCAAAGGTAATTGATCGTATTGACAGTGATAAAGGCCGTTGTCCTTTCCTGTCTGATAATTGAAAGGTACTCTGGTATGAATAAGCTACGTACTAATATCTTATATTTCATTAACTCAACTGTTTTGTTTCTCTGTGAGATATGTTTGTGCATGAATGTATTGCCAAATCTTTGAAATTAATTGTTTGAAATCCAGGTTTTGTTCTTTTAATTTTTTATATAGCTAACTATTCTTTAAATCGTTTTCGTTAATTTATGAAATTTTAAGTGAAAATCTTGTTGTAGTTCTCTTGTCATTCCTCTCAAACCTTTATTATATGATTCTCAAAAAGAGGGTCACCAAAAATATTCGACCAGAAACGTTGGCTGTTGGCGTGCTGCTAGAAGCACCCTTTTTTAAGTCCACAAGACTTGGCGTAATTTATGAGTGCCAAAAAAAAGTGTCCGGCGTAGGATCAACATAGAATGCACCCTGGCATATCAAGGTCAATAGTAACCTCTTATTAAACATCACTACCTTTTTTAACTTAATACCAGTGTTTTCTTCAATCAATGCAAGATCCTCATCATCTACTTCGTCTTCACTCTCTAAAACAATATATATCAAATTAATTATAGGATTAAGAACGACTGCAACAAAATCATAAAATTTGGGGAAACCCAAAGTAACTGATTTATGGTGCCGGTTTTTAGGGTTTTTATTACCGAAATATTACGATATTTCAATTTTCATAAAACAGTTGTTTTTAATTCAATCTTTTATATGTATATTTGAAATCCGATTAGAAAGTTTTAGTGAGACAATATAAGCAGAATCTTAACCTCTTCTAGGCCGTTTTTTCCGCCGGGGTTCTTGGTCACTTTCTTCGACTTCTTCATCGTCATCATTGATTATATCATTTATCAATTCTTCATCAATCTCATCTTCCTCGTCATCCTCTTCTTCATCTTCAATTTTCTTTCTCTTCTTTTTCTTTTCAGATGGGCCTAAATCCTCCTCGTCGGAATTTGCTTCCAACTCTTCGTCCGATTCCTCGGCTTCATGTTCCAAGAAATCAGACATTTTCAACCAGCGCGGCTAGCCGAAATACAGGCTGGTTGAATAAGTTACGTTCAAAAAAAGAAGACCATAAATCTGTGAATTCGTTTACGCAAAAAACAAGGGCAAATTCAACAAATATTCTCACGATTCAAGGTTCTGAGAAGCACTGGCATCTTCATGTTTCGACCACATTGCGCATGCACATATATCGACCCTCGTTTTCAAGGTAGTGCAACAATGAAAGTGCCAGAGAAGCGCCAAGACATCTACGTCCAAAAAATTCAAATTCCTGTGCTGATTAAATAAAGCAATCTCAAAATTTAATTGATACTATAATATACCTAGGAGATTAATTTTTACGTAACGTAATATATGTGAATTATGTTAGTTTGCAGGGCCTCCGACGAAGGCCCCCCTACTTTTTTGCAAAACAATAGAGTCTTTTTCAAAATCTTTTGTTATGGGTGTTAAATTTTCCCTTGGCCCCCCCCCCCACTTTTCAACCTTTGTCGGAGCCCATGGTTTGTAACGAGTTTGCTTGGACTAGTTCTGTAGTGACTCGGTTGAACGAAAGGCATCTAAGAATCCACAACAATGCGCAATTTTCGTTTCACTAAAATTGTGACCACGACGTGATCGATTTGCTATGTAATGAATCTGCTAAGTCCTGTTTTCAACAACACTCCATCAAATTCTCACACGCAGCACAGACATCATCTACGACACTGTCATATAGCACGTATATCCCAAGCAACCCCCCCCCCCCCCCTATATAATATCCGTAACTGTTCAGGCCATTCGTTGATTTACGCGCTGTTGGATAGTATTGTTGATAATTAAAAATGACAGGCCTGGTCGCAAGCAGCAGAATGTAACAATCCATCTTAACAAATTGCAGATGAAATATGAATATGAAATAGCTGGCAAATTTTTAGTGTTTCTCTTTAATTATTTCTCTTTAATCATATCTGCACTTGAAGGGATTTTTATGGAGACTGGGTTCCTTATTTCTTGATATCTAAGGTCTTGTCTTGCTTTTCGTGAAAATGCGCCCCTTCGTGGTTAAAGGTGAGTCGTTTCATAATCTTCCATGACAATTAGGTATTCATGTCGAATAGTTTTGTAACTTTCTGCTGCAGGTTGGTGTAAATTTCTTGCCAGTTGGTAAGGTCAAACTTTGAATTGCTATACAATGTAGTCCCAACAATTTGTACTTCCTTCTACTACAATTTCCCTATACATGGACTCCGACCTTGAATAAAGCTCTATTGTTTTGCATTTTTCATATTTTGTACTACATTGTTCATAATCATCTGGCTTTTCCTTAATAATTATTAAATTGTTCAGGTCTTCATTGACTTGCATAGCATTGTCTTTGAACCAACGGGTTTTTAATGTGTTCCCTGCTCTGGTTTTGCGGAAATGTCTTGATTACCCATGCCTTCAATCCAAATGGCATTATCACCAGCAATGTGCCCTATTTATCTGCATACAGGATTAGAAATTTCATTGATGAAGATGCTGAAAAGAAAGGGCTAAGGACAGAACCTTGAGGGACCTCATTCATTCCCATTCATTAAACAAAGAACTAATCATTTCTCTGTGATGGGACATGACTGGTACCATGTATATGAAGAGCAACCCTTATTTTCCTTATTCAAAGTTGCAAGAAATGTTATTTTGACAACAGCGTTGAAGTTATGGTAAACGGGCGCAAAATTTTAATATTCTATGTCACCAAAACAGTTGCAAAATTTGGGCTTTGATTCTCCAGAATCCCATGCCGTTATCTCATGCAACACATTTACAGTGATATGAAATCTCGAAAGAGTAATGACAACTTAAATAACAATAGACCAACTTCAGACCCCGTTTAAACTGTGCCGGATAAATTCTATCCGCATAAAACTTGTTCGGATTGATTTGCGTTTACACTACGCCGCACAAATTTTGTCCACTTTGCTACACTGCGCCAGACAAGTGTAGTCACTTGACCTAAATCATGCACAGAACGCCCAAAATGAAGTCATTTCTGGGCAACAAAGTAACAACAAAATTCCCGCCAACATAAAAAGACTTATCATTCTCTCTTCAGAAATATCTGCTTCTCTTTAAGACGAAGTACGATGATTTTTTCAAAACAAATAAGGCAAAGTTAGCTTTCGTAATTCATTCTTTGTAACAAAATGACGGTGAAATAGCGAAGAAAGTAGGAAAGATAACAAGGATGCCAATTTTACGTGGACTGACGAAGATACTGCACTTTGAACACGAGTATTTATCGACTGCAAGGCAGCCAAGATGGCGAAAGGTCTTGATTGGGAGACAGTGGAAACTAAATTGAATGAAATAGCCAATCGCTTTCGAGCAAGATACGATGTGGATAAAATTTATCCGGATAAAACTGTATACACTGTACCACATAGCAATCCGAACTAATTTAATCCACATTCCTAGGTGAACTAACTTTGCTCGGATAGCGTGGGTCTAATGTAAACGCGATGTCTATCTGAACTAATTTTGACGCGGATAATATTTATTCGGCACAGTGTAAACGGGGTCTTAGACATTCGTTATACAAGTTACCTATTACAGCCCCTTCGGTACTTTCTCCTTTCATTTCTTTGTTTATACGAGTGATTTCAAAAGAAAAGCATTTGTTGCCAAACATTTCCTCTCTTTGGCAACTTCACTCATTTAAACTCATTTGTCATGATAAAGGGCTACGTTCGTAACGTCGTTCTTGAAATTCGCTTATTTTTCTCGTACAATTTTAAGTCTCGTACAAAATTATATTACCACTCATCTGAATTAAGTGCTCTTTTCAGCGACACGATGTCACATAGAACGGTAGTTGCAACTCACCAATAGATCAACCAGACGACACTAGTTCAATCTCATTGATGTTACATGCTTCTACAGTATTAACAATAATGATAGTCTGCGTTTTTTCTCCTCCGTAGAGTCTGCACGCAGGCTACAACAATGCTTGCTGCCAAAGGCCTTGCGACGTCATTCATGTACATCAATATTATAGCGTCAGATACTACACAATATGCATTTGATCAAAATAAAAGCTTACGTTAAAGGATAGGGGCCTTACGTTGAGGCTCTCAAAAACGTATCAGGCAAGCAAAACACAAATTTTAACAAACTTTTCTAAGATTGGTTACTTTTATAATTTAGAACAGAAAAAACTGGCCACGTTAACGTAACTGATTTTCATATGAAGCATAAAAGAGTTTTAGAAATCTGAGATGCACAGAAATCTGCGACGCACAGAAATCTGAGATGCATTAGACTAAACTTTGAGTCGGTACAGAATCCTTTGGAATCCAAACCTGGTTCATTTTGGAACTTGATTAACCTTGTTCGTGTTTTATATTTAAATTTTTTAACTAGCTTGATGTTAATATTCTTTTGCAGCGTCGTCAATAAATGAGATAAAAGCTAAGTCAGCGTTTTATTCGTGTCGATACTTAAACCAACAACGATCAGCAACTGAGCCCATTTTCACATTTCTTTGAAAATTAAGATAGTATTGAAGACATTAGGGTTTGTTACCTATAAAACTAAGAAATGTGCGAATTTACAAAGAGGTATTGACTATTATTTTGAATGTCGGAAAAATCAATTTGTATCAATAAGATACATTATAAAGTTATTATGAATTTTCACAATTGCAGTCTAAAGTATGAATTGCAGAAGGAAAAAATACCCAGCGAAAGTTTGGAATAGCATATCTAGAGAAAATGTATTTCTTTTCACGAACATTGTAATATTGTGCGTGCTGGATAAAGATAGGCATTGTAATGTAGTAGGCGATGATCCTCAGATTGGCTTAAAAATTCCAAGGTTACAACGTGTATTGCTCACCAGGAGCGCTGCAACCGCGCTATTAGCCTATCAACCATCAGGCTACGTTTAACGTTTGCTGTTCTCCTTGGCATAGCACTATTTGCGCGTCTCGTTCTCCTTGGTATTGCACTATTTGCGCGTCTTGTTCTTCTTGCAATTCGGCTACGTACATTGAAGTCACTTATTGTTGCCATATGCTGAGTAAGTGTAGGCCTGTGGTTATATTCGTAAAATGCCTTTCTCAACTGCCGGTCCCGCGGATCCCCATCAGGATGCACAATTATCGGCGGTCTTTCGTCCTTTTTCTTTGCTGCCTCATTTGAAATTCTAGCTAGTCTTGAAGCCCTGTTACGAAACTCGTTTATCGATTTTTTGTAACCTTCGTCTTCATCCTCGTTATCATCATGAGGCTCATTCCAACGTTCTTCACTTGGGTAATAGTCACCCTGTGGCCTTTCGTTGCGGTTCTGGGCAATATCAGGCTCTAAATCTCGGTTCTGTGTTGGATAATCGAGTTCTTTTTCCTCGTCTCCATAATTATGTGGCATCCCACTCATATTCACGTAAACTTGCGATGGGCTACCGAAATCCTTCGTGTTACCTGCCGTTTCCTTGACTGGAAATTCGTCTTCCGCTGGGATATCTGGCTTTATCTTGCTAGCAATACGCTCCAGTTCTTTCGTGTTTATCTTTGACATACTGTGCCTTGCATTTTCTTCCACATCGTTTCCCTGTTTCCTTTCTTCACTGTTTCTCATTGCTCCCTCATTTCTGGCGTCATTATCGTCATCAAACGGAGATATAGTTCCCCTCGCTGACCCGTCGTCAGTGTCATCTTTATCCACTTTAAAGCCTGGAGCTATCTTTGAGGAGAATTTTTCAAATTTATCTTGGATATTACTTTTGTGTGTAGGAGCTGCCACGTCGTCTGGGTAGATTTTTTCTAGATTGAAAGAAAATACAATTAAATTGAGATTTATAAAATTATCAGTAATGCAAAACTAAATTAATAAAACTTCTACATTTTCTGCAGATAATATTGATTTTGCAATAGCGTTTTCCCAAAAAATTCAAATCCCGATCGAGAAACCTTTGCCATTACAAAAAACTAAAACAGTCACATATACAAGCTCTAGATTTGATACCTCTATTAAAAGCCATTTCCAAATTACAATTTAAAGCAAGCAAAAAAGCTTTACCAAAAAGGACAGTTAAAAAGTGAAAACCTTAAACTGCCTGAGTAAACTTTTTGTAGTCAGAGGTATAATGACAGACAAGGAGAGACAAAAAGTGCCTTCCAATCCAGGATTGACAAGTTATCTAATAATTAGGATGAGGTTAGCATATTCCTTCACAAGATAAACAGTTGAATGAATGTTGGAAAACGGCAAACGTGAATGAGAGGCTCCTTTCCTGTATTTTCAGAGATATTAACAAGGAAAAGGTCAAAACTCAAGCATAACTTATAAAGGAAATCAAAATGATATCTACTTCCAAATATTTCTGCGTCTGTACGCCTATCGTAAAAGCTTCTTTGATAGGCCATTTCTGGCTCTTCCCGTTCTTTTGTGTCCTCGTTTGCTCCTCCGATATTATGTCTTGAGTAAGCATCGTCGTCCTCTCCCGCGTGTTTTGTTGCAGTCTCAGGTTCATGCGAATCCTCGATTTCATCTCGAAAATGACCGCCGTGATTACCGTGATGATCGTTGTGATAAAAATCGTTTCCTAGAAATGATTGCTCACCGTGTAGACTATTTGGCCAGTGGCTAAAATGGCGAAAACCGTACCCTTCGTCGTCATGGCCACCGTGCTCGTCATGGTGATAAGAGTGATGCCACCCGTGGTGGCCTGAATGATCTTCCTCCTCTTCGTGCTCGATTTCGTGGTGTTCCACTGGCTCTTCGTGATGTTCGTCGTGATGGGAGTGAGTGACAATCACGTTGTGAATCGGGCGCACGTAGCCGTGGGCTGGATGCAAATCGACATCAAGGTCACCTCCTGTGAAAACCAGTTTTGCGCCCTCTGGCTTTACCTTGATCTTCATTTTCCCCATTTTGTGATGAACCTTAGCAAAACAAGATTAAGCCACATAAAAAAAGATAAACATGCGTGGCATTTTGAACAGCTATATTGGAATACATCAAATATAATTCCTAGCATCTTGACTACACACTTTTTATAAGAATATCTTATTTTATGCTGAGCCTCAATATTCTTAAATTTTTTTTTATTTTGAGCCCAAGATTATGCCTAGATTATTCTTAAGTGAGAAATAGTGTTACTGGGTTGCGTTATTGTATTCATTAAATCAAGGCCATATACGTTTATTTCAAGACATACAGCGCGAAACCCTTTTTTTTCTTTCCAAAAGACTCAAACAAACAAAAACCTCGTGATAAAGCCTTGCATTATTCTTAAATCAAATTTAAATTTCAGCAATTTTGAGCCATAATATTTTTAAAGACTGGAACAGCGGAAGCGGCGGGAGCTATGGGACCCCCAAATATTTTCCATAATGTACTTAAAACCAATAAAAATCGCCCTGCTCTTGGTTTTTTAGCATGTTTAGCCCCCCCATAACGTTTTAGCCCCAGCAATATCTAATTACCCTGCAGTTCTTGCTTAAGTTGTTTTGGTTATGTACTCAAGTAAATGCGAAGAGATCTTTAAGGCAACTTCAGTCATAAAGCAACGTTAAGATAGAGAAATAGGAATCCAAAGTGTATACTGCATAGTCCTACCTTATAATCGGAGTGGTGAAAATGCATCGCTACTCCCATCTCAAGAAGAACCAAAATCGTAAATAGTTCCAAAGCTTCACCAAAATTCGATCTCATGATTAAATGAATTTTTGTCATCTACTGATAAGGGATCAATTACATCTCCTAATTCTTTCTCATTTTCGCATGATTCTTGTTCGGTATTGTATTAACCTGACTCTGATGTCAGTTGCTTATCTGTGTATTTGAATCTGATTGGTTGATCTCTACACAGACTTTTGAATACCCATTCACAGAACAGGTGACTATGGCACGTGATAAATTTTCAAGACGCGATACATTTTTTCCGCAGTAGTTTAGCACAGGTCACATGATCCAACATTTCACCCAACGATACATCAACATTGTTCAACAACTTTTTTGGTGACCCAACATTGATGGACAGGCGATCCAACAATTCACCAAACATTTCTCACCCAACATTTTCTCGCGCAGATGAAAAGGGACTAGGGAGGATATTGCATTGATCTTGTTAATCAACTGGTTGGCAAAACTTTCTTGTAATGACGGCTGGTCAGAATGATTCGTAATCATTTTAAGCAAAGAACTTTCAGCACCTTTTTTTCTTGCCTCGTTTTGACAGTTCTTCGGCTTAATTAAGTATAAATTGCTTAAATAGCGACTTTCTTTGCATCGTTCATAACACTTTTTTCTGTCGTCACTGCCGTCATGGTCTTCCAGGACAAAAGTCATATCCCTCGGGAAATAGCACAGGCTATGTGATGACATTTGTATTTGAAACGTGGCTGGTTTGCAATGAAACTCCAAATGACGTTTCAAACATATCGTGGCGATTAAGTAAATTTGATGTGTTTGTGGGCAGGATTTACAAAAGGGCATTTCATACTTTATTTGAAAGCATCTCATAGTGAATTTGCAATGGTTATATTGCCCTTTGATACCTGTGTTGTGTGGTTACCCTTTGAAGCAATGAACTTTTGATATTGTTATAATGATTGTTTCTACAAACGTCAGACGCAGGCCGTGTTTTCAGGAAGAGGTCTTTTGGAAAAAAGAAGACCAAAGTTGACTGGACTAACGTAAACAACAGGTTATTATCAATCAAAATATTTTCGAAGTGCCCAAAAAAACTTAAAAAAACCCAGGCTTTCTATTGCATAAACAACCTCGAAAACATTCACATTCATTGTTAGATTGTTTAAGAAGTCGTCAACATAAAATCTTGTCGTCCTTTTGGATGTAAACAACTGATGTTAACAGTAGGAAATGGCATTCCCCGAAGTTCTGTTTATGGTGTTTGTCGTGAAAATGCAGCATTAGCTGTTTCCAATGAGACATTATCGAATTACTGGGGGGTAACTCAAGGGCAATGAAAACCTAATTCGATTCAAAGGGCTCTCTGATTTCAGTGATCATTGGGATCAATACCAGTAACAAGATGCTCATGCGCAGAGGCATGCAATAACCGTAAAACAAAAGGTCATTGTTCCAGAACCGTGCATCGTGCTAAAACGCGGTTATTTTTCTCTCGTTCAAGAAAATCAAGGCAGCTTGCAGACGCACGGATATTCAATAGCAGTTCTGTTGACGAAACTTGGACTATGTTCGGCAGACTTGTCTATGCTGTTGTTGTTTTATCGTGCTTGAAAATAGCAGCCACAGAAGACGGAGATGCAGGACATTTCCAGGTTCATAACGAGCAAGAGGGCAGCCTTAAAATACATGCAACCAAAGAAATTGCTCAGGTAAAAAAATTTTCATATTCCCTCTTAGTGGTAACACACTACAGTAACACTTCTTGTTATGCAAGAGAAAATTAAATTAACGAGATCCAGACAATATTTTATTCGCTTTTCGGTGAAACTATATTTCTTGAAAATCAACGAAAACCGGCCAAAATTGTTTAAGTGAGCAGTAACATTAAGATGCAGTTTTTTTCTTACAATCAAGTTACTTAAAATTCAAAGTATACGAATTGAAAAACTGACAACTGCTAGATAGCTAATTGACCAAATGTATACTTTTGTTTGTGTCAATTGTATTGAATATAATCAAAGTTTAGGCATAGATCCAACACCTTAGACGTTTTGTAGTGGACGTTTCGCAATAGTCTATTCAATAGATTAATTTTATAAAGAGAGTGCAAACACAGATCATTTGCATTAATGCAGCTAAACAAATAGTGTTGTGCTTGACAGCCTTCAAAAATGTTCGTGAACAATTTCTGCTAGATGTTGTTTGCTTTCAGCCAATTGCAAAGATAGTGCTGGCCTATTTGCTTGAAACCAATCTAGGTAGTTATTGGTAAAAATAGACTAAGAGTTAAATTAATGTTTTATGTTATCAATTTTGTAGATAGAGACTCAAGCAAATTCGGTCCAAGTTGTCCTGGAGCCAGGGAAAGTGAACGCTCCCGAGGTGGAGAATACAGGAGAAGGCAAAGGAAAGATAAGAAAGCTTGTTAAGATAATAAGTCCAGCTTATCTGAATGGTCTCAAAAAGAGTGGAATAAATAAAATTCCAGGGAAAATCATAGGTAAAAGTCGTCTGAAAAGAGCTTTGATAGAAGGGGTTAAAATGTTTCAAAATTCTGTTATGTTGGAGAAGTGGATGGAACACAACGGTCACCTCGTTAGAGCAAACCGAAGAAAAGACCACCAGATGAGCAGAAGATCGGCTGCAAGTGCAAGAAAATACAAAAAGGAAAATGTTCGAGGCAAGAAGTCAGAAATCGAAAAAGAGACCAGAGTGCGAGGGAGGACCGGAGGCCTTCATGTTACCACAAGCAAACATGGAACAAAACTCATATCAAAAGGTGGAGCACTAAACGTTTTCATACGAAATGACAAGGAAAATCAAGCAGAGGAAAATACTGATGAAAATTCGGAGAGAAGATCAAACGCAGAAAATGACAACTATCATGTCATAGACTCAAATCTGGTTGGGCTCAGTTTAAAAAGAGACGTTGTTAAAAAACGCACAAAATGTTTGATACCGCCATGCATGCCGTAGAACAGCAGGCATCGCAAAATTTGCATTAATACATGAGCTGGTCTCATTGTTTTGAGCAGGGAAATGTTTTGAATTCAAAACGTTAAAAACAATATTGTTAATAGGCGTATTTTGTTATGCTAGTTTCGGGAAAGAAATATGAGACACTTTCTTTTGCCGCACTAAAGATATTGCTACATATCAAGAGAAGAGTTCACAGATATGTGAATAGGTTTAAATATGAGCGATGCGTGGGCATTGGCGATCAAATCGGTAATAATGGGGAAAATTAAATAGGTGGAACAGGATTGAAGATCATCCAGTGGTTGCAAATGTTCTGATTTCAAATGTCAATAGAACCGTGCAAAAATGTTATGCTTGACTGGTTGCGAATTATCACAGGTCAGTTGTATTAGTGTTCTCGGAGGACGGGTCACCTGAAACAGGTCTTGCTTTATTCAACTAACCTTTGCTCATTGCGTTAATTACAAACTCGATTATGCTCTTATGTCGTTTTGGTAACTTGCTCTGCAATAAAGCGATAAGAAAAAACCTGGTCAATATGTCATCTTTGTTACCTGGAATGTTCACCCAGCATATGTCCATAGCTTTGGAAAAACGTATATTGCAACACCTAGTTCAAAACACAGCCTCTTCTTGAAAAAGAAACATTTCAGCTAGAAGGCCAAAACAAGATTTAATCCGGCACTAGTAACCATAGGTAGGGTTGTTTCATTGAGGTTATTGGCATATTATCATTCCTGTTAAAAAACTTCTAAATGACTGCCGAAGCTATCTTGAATTGGCTACACGTTTTTGTATTGAAAAAACAAGTGGCTCGGATTCGCTGAAAATTAAGAAACTTTTAAGAAACAACTGCTAAACTGGGGTAGCACATATAGAAAAGTTGAAGGAGATTCGCAAAAAAGTCTTATCCCAAAAAAAGGCTACAATAAATACAGGTTCAGAAGAAGAGACTATAACATCATGTCGTGGTTTTCAATGAACAAGGTTATCAAAAAAGACCCTATCACATTTTTAGTAATTATGGAATACTAAAAATTGAAGATGGCACGGAATAGTGGAATCACAGCATACTAAAGCACTTTTTTGAACAAATCAACCACTTCATTTTTCTTCTCACGTTGCTTTCGATCCACACCTGGATATAAATCTTCCGCTTACTTTCGGTCATTATCAGATGAAAAGGAATTCAGTATGCTATGGCTATGCATCCGCTTTTTTAAACCATCTTCCAATTTTGCGGTACCAAAAACATACCAAGAATTCTAAAAGATGGCTAAGATACATTTTAGGCTGAAAAATTGGGGGGGGGGAAGAGTTGCCCAGGCTGGAGTTTATTTCTGTATTTATCATATGAAAAAATCTGTATGTCAGCGATGGAAGTTACCAAAAATTTAACGTTAACCTTGTTTGCGAATAAATTTTCACGTGTTAAATTTTCAAGACAATGCTTTAATGGAGTCGAGAATAATGAAAATAAATGGATACTGAGGAACGAAAAACTTTTATAATTGCGATTATAAGCAAGAGTAAAATATTTAGTTACAATATATCGAGGCAAAAACAGAAATAAATGTTAATTAAAATAACTGTAATGATCTGAGATTATAAATACAATAAGTTCTAAATGAATCTCAACACGATAACACGAAACGGGTATTAGTGGACTATGGTAATTGTTATAGGAATATGGCAAGTTATCTGTGATAAAGTTATCAAGTTACTTATATGAAGATAGATTTTTCGTACATTTAAAATGTTTCTAGACATAATTTTGTTTACAATGCAATTTATATAAGAAAAGCAAAGAAATTGGTTTTTCGCCGGACAATAATTACGACAACTTGCCTGACTCTAAATGTATAATATCTTTAACCACACTATATAATCTTTTTGCAATTTTACATCACAGTTTTTATGATAAATACTACAACTTTTATACGTCACACAATAAACATTGGACACGGGGGGTCACATGGGCTCAAAGGGGACTAAAAGTATCTTCATTGCCAAACGCACTCATTATACCGCGGATTACCAATAAAATAATGAAGCAGATAAATAAAAATCTTATTTTGACAGCTGTTGTCATGATTACTTTGTTCAGTTCTTTTAAGACATATACACCCGTTTTTTTATAAGAAACAGGTCATAAGAAAGTGTAGGCTCAGTTTTTCGAAAATTAAGAAACAACCCTATCCAAATTGAAAAAGCTAAGAAACTTTAACAATTTGCAGTTTTAATTTTCCGAGTTGACACTCGAAACAGTCTTGACATTGAACATCACTGTATATTGCAACACTACACTTACCATGCAGTTTGCATTCTCAGTAAATTGCGCACTCAAGAAGTTTCCATTTAAAAATTTGTTTTGACTTCAACTTTACATGAAGTTCAATGAACTTTACTGTTTACAGATCTCAACAGAGATAATCATTCTAGGAAAACAAAACTCCTTGATCACTTTGTTAGTTTACCTCTGAATGTGGGTAAACTATTTACTTTACCTTGGAAGCACGCTTAAAAAATTCATAAACTAAGAAATTTAAGAAACATGTAAGAAACTTTAGATAGTGAAATGGCCAGAAAATTTATGAAACTGCCTACCAGCACCAGACCTTAGTTTCTTAAAAAAAGACGTGTAATCTTGGGTACAGGTGGTCCCTCCTCCCCCCTAGACAATTACGTGTCCCCTGCAGAGACATCTCTCTTGCAACAACAGCTAACTGTCCACCGTCATTAAAAGGTGCCTTGACAGCACGTGCCATTAAGGTATGCTTGCTCTCCATTGGCTGCGACAGACCTTACGAGTTTAATGAATTGAATTATATTTTTCAAAAGGCTAAAAATTCACCAACTTTTTGCCAAAAATGTCAAGACGATTTAAATTTGTTTGTGACAATAGATGTTGAGCTTTAAATCTAAACAAAGGGGAATAGATATTTTATAATGTCAGTTTTTTCGATGATAAAATATTTGTATTTGGATGAGAATCAAAAGCTCGTAACAGGTTGTTTTGAATGAGCTTGGTCTGTCACCTATCACTGCATACGAGAAATGACGTCATGGAAAAAGGAAGTACTACATGTTTACATATATAAAAGAGGCTAGTATTGAAAAGAGGCAGTGGTAGGCCATGAATTTAGCGAGGAAGTTAGGGTTGTAAAAAAAGTCTAAAAAATGGTCTCAAAACAAGCTTTGGGCGAACGAAAAAACTGTATAATATACAATCTTATTTCGAAAATTCTACATTCGATTAAAATTTCTGATATAGCATACTCAATGTGTATGTTATGTGAAAATATATGTTTCTTACCAATTCTGACATAGTTAAGTGAGATCCAACAAAGGTTGGCGTCTCACCTTCTTACGTCGATAAACTAAACAAGCGGGAACTATACCCCTGGTACTCGATTCTTTAGGCTTGCCTGGATTATATTTGATTGAAATATAAAAGTTTAAAATTAGTAACGGAATAATCAATACTTATAAAATTAAAAAATCAATCTATCGATCTCTGATTGTTATTATTTTTATCAACTTCGTATTTGTATTTATCTATAATCAGTAGATATCCATTCTAAATTGATATTAAATCTACGTGTAAAATAATCTATATGTGCTTGAAATATGTCGAACGGACAAATCAGAGTAAAGGTCGTGAAATCATCTATACATCTCACTGAGAGCTTGGCTTAAAAATACTATTTTTAATTGAGAAAATTATTCAAAGTTTGTAAAAAAGCTATTACTAGATACCGCAAGTCCTCGAATAAGCCCCGGGGGCTTATTTTTCAAAAAAGAAATTGGTGTGGAGGCTCAAAAAAGCAGCAAAAATATTACAAGGGAAAACTTTCTTCCTCTATTTGAGGCTGATCAGATATGCTTAAAAATGCATGAAATACAGATATATTGGGATATACCTATGGCTGTCGAGGCAATACTTCAGCTAATGGGGGCTTATTCGAGGGTTGGGGCTTACTTTGCAAAAAGTACTTTAGGGAGGGGGCTTTTTCGAGAGAGGAATAATTCGAAGGTGGGGGCTTACTCGAGAACTTACGGTACCCAAGTTTGCCAGTATGAGGGGGATCTCCCTTTCAATTATTCGGGAACAATATTCCAAAACGAAATGAAACATGATCTATGAGAAGTAGGGCGTTAGTCATCATAACAAATTATGCATATGTCTCCATTACTTTAGACGATTCGGAGCACTGGGCAGGTGTAGTCACTTAGCCCAGTGAAACATTAAGGGCTGGAAGTGATGAATGGGAAAAAGAAATGAGTCGTGATAAAATCAATTCTGGGAAAAAACGTCGGATTCTCAAGTCAATGCTTAGATACTATTTCCAGAAGTAGAATCTTAGAAAGAAGAATTTCACAATCTCTTGAAGAAGGTTTATACGAAATCTGTCACACGTTCTTGTGCATGGGAAAGCGAAATTAAACAAAATAAAGAATTACATGAAATTAAGACAACTTTCCCAGCAGTAACTTTAGAACATATGTTCTGCCAGCATATAAATAAAAATATAAACAGAAAACAAGATGTGAAAAAATGATAAACTAAACAAAAATAAATTTACCTCGCATCTCTTGTCATAAATAGATGTAGATATTGCCATTTCAAGACATATTTTGGACAGTATACATGTAAATGTCTTAAAAAGAATGAAAGAACTTAGGAATTAAAGAATTCAACTCTCTTTCAACGCTAATACACGATTTTTGAGATCATTGAAAGCCTCTATCAAAGAGAAAAGTCACGGATCCTTCCAAACAGCAGGCCGGAACATAACAGCCAAAGGATAGGTCTCATACAAGAATGGCTACAAAATGATTAGCAGAAAATCTTTGCTTAGGTAAAATAGTTTGTAAAATTTCTACTTATCTGTCATGGGGTATTCTATGGTCGCTGTTTCATCCATAAGCATTTTATCGAAACGTACACGAGCACGTTTTTTTTGTCGAGCGTGCAACAGGCACAGGGTGACCACACCAATTGCCACAAGGACTCCAACCACGAGGAGAACGGCCATTAATGTGTAATTGTTCTTTTTCTTCTTATGACTCTCTTCAACTATAACTAAATGTAATATAAAAAAATTAATAGCTTATATCGGAAAAATCTCTTGGCAGTTCGATTTCTATTTTCAATTGAAGACGTTTCTAGAAGACGTATTACTGATAACAACGCGTACAATTCATTACTTTTTCACAATGTTGTGGAAAGCAAGAAATTGACAAGCCATTTGGGAGTCTTTGTTGTGAAAAAGTCGTAAAGAGCATGTGCGATAATGTTCTTGTTCAATGCACATATTCACTGATGACTGCAAGGATGGGGGTATGGTTTGTTCAAATGAATACCAACTTCCCTCTCTCAAACAAACGGAATTTCAATCCCATTCCACAACCGGGGACTAAATCGAAATTCCCATAAAAACTACAATTTTATAGACAAGATTTGTCTTTTGCTCTTTATAACCACAAATAGTCACAACAGAATCTTTTTTCTTCCTCTTTTTTCCAAAATACAGTTCTTTTCAGACATCCATAATTATTAAAAACACAAATTCGTAATCAAGAGAGCAAATAAACCATTATGACCCCTATTTGGAGCTCTTGAGATAAAAGGATGGAAACTTTTATGAAGTTTGCAGAAAATTGGCCTAAAAATTCTTCTAATCTAGATTCTAGAAGCGCACAGCAATGCCGTAAAAATACGAGCAAGCACGACTCAAAAAGCCACTAATCTTGCTTTAACGTGGCTTTGCTATGAGAAGATAAAGTTCCTCATCATAGTGCCTTAATTTTGACTGTTAAATATAGATTAAAACGTTAATGAACGCAGTAGAAATACTGATTTTCAGTAGGTTAACCTATTAAGTTCACAGATGCAGATTTTTATACAATCATTGAAACATGTCTGTATTGAATTGACGGTAACACCCGTGTCAAACCAGCCCGGGGAAAACCGTCTCCATCTCTGTGCCCCCAGTTAGTCATAAACTCCCTTTTTGGCACGATATACCACCCCCTACTAGCCCAAGCAAATTGCTGCCCCTGCCATATCTACCAGTTATCTCCCGTGAAGAAAAAACCTCGCTGGCGTTGTTAGACAGGAGTGTGGATCATGCTAGCAAAATAAAGGTGGAAACTTGCAATGGGAGAGTAAGACATATGCAAATGATTGTATTGCAAAGTTCGTTCCTAAATCATTCAAAACTATGTGACGAGCAACAACACAAACATCATTGATGGAGAAAGACCTTACCTTCTTTGTATGAATCTTTGTCTACTGTGAATTCACCAAGAGACCCCGTTTCTACTTTTGCTTTTAGTGGTTTGGCAGGGCTCTCTACACCAGATTTGAAGTAGAGAGAAAATTCACAGACGATGCTTCCTTTCCTAGTAAAAAGGATTAAATGTGAGATGCAGTTTTCATTTTTAACCTTGATAAGCTGCACTCACATACTTGTCAGTTCCAAATAAGCAATGAAGCGGATTTGAACAGACTCAGAAATTAATAAAGAATGGGGGATGGGAGTCCACTGCCGACCTTGGTTTATGGGAAAGTTGTTAGCTTAGGCCAGCAGCCATTTTTGTTCAGCAAGCAATCTGCCGGGTTTTGTTAGATAAAGAAGTAGGGTAGCATTAAAATTGCAAAAAAGAACATAAATTGAATGACGTGGCATAATTTGATGTGATGAAATGATGCAATATTCAGTAATATAATACTCGACATAATGTTGCATGCCACGATATGACTTTATATATTGTAATAAAGAAATAGGGTAGTTTATGCTATAAAACGAAACAATATCACATAATTAAATCTATCACAAGACACTGACATGAATTCTTGATATTGCTAAGGTTAGGAAAAAACTTGCTGGGAATTATAAATCAAACAATAAAAACAATATTTTTACCTGATGCTTTCAATCACAACAGCTACGTACTTGGACTCGTTAGCATATGTTTTCTTGAACTGTGGAGATATTAAAATATGAGTTCACTCTTGATTGTGTTTTCCAATAAGCTTGATAAAAATAATTTCACATGCTGGACCTGATAAAAATTTGTACTTTTGTGTTGTTTTCGCATAAAAAACTCTGTAATGATATTTTCTGGTTTGAAACATTTCACGTCTCTGGGTAACGAAATGGTAACGAATGATAACGAAACAAATAACATTTTGGCTTAAAAACGGCAAAGTCATATTCTAAATCAGTCAATGAATCAACCTTTTGTACCTTTGACCGGTTTCCAATTGCCTATAAAATTTTGAAACTTAAAGAAAAGAAAGATTTAAGTGACCTGCTTTACCAAAACAACACACTGGGGCTCTACAAGAGTCCCCGCTCGACCCTATTGATCACAATTGCAAAAGGAAAGAGCTAAACAACAGAGCGATTTAAATTGTGTTTAAACCTAGATATTCTTACCGCATCTTCCAGCTTCTTACGTAGCTGAACGTAGCTATAGGAGTTTTTATTGAGTAAGTCATCCGACCAATTTTCGCTCGTTATGCGCACGGTGGCTTTGAGTTTAACGAATGATTCTTTTTCTAGAAATAAAGGATAAAACATATAAATAAAAAATACATTTTGCCATATCACTTAGAAAACCAATGCTGTCAAAATATGAAACTTACGAAACAAAAGAAAAATCAATCGTAATCCACCTGCTTTATGTATAAACTTGTTCTTGCTTAAAAATATTACTTAGTTGAAAATTTGTTAAGCATTATTACTGGTAAATTTTCAATTATACTTTTTAACTAATGGCCCATGCTATATAAGTTCATACTGTTCTCTGGCCGTGCCTATTGCAGTATTATCATAAAAATCTACTTGTACAATTCAAGTATACAAATAAAACTGAGTTGAATTGAACTGAATTGAATTAAATTACAAAATACGAACCATCTTACGGCACTACAAGGAGATTAAGGGATACCAAGGAGAGCAAGGGACATTGATAACGTAAAAGGCATGAAACTATATTAAAACCAAGTATAGGAACACAACAGCTACACATTAACGATTCAAATACGAAGATAAAAAGTATTCTTTCCTCGTAGTCAAGCTTGCATTGAATATGGTTCTCCAAAATAACTAATGTCGGTAAAGAAATCAAGAATACACAACGTACCGATACACTGATCTCTACTGGTTGCTGCTTCTTCAAGCGTTGTTTTCTTGTCGGGACAGTTCTGGCAATCGAAATGGCCTCTAAAAGGTTGGAACTTTCCAATGCCACATTTGAAGCACTTTCCGTCAAAACCTTCTCCTGGAGGGCAGCCTGTTTAAATGACAAAACAGCTTTATAAGGCAGTGCTTTTCCTATTCTCAGTCTTTGACAACAATATCGTCAAAGTTCTGTTAAACCTTAAGCAAGTTAGCAATCAAGCCCCTTCAATGATAATTTTCGATGTTGCAGTATTCACACAATTTCTTTTTCTCAATAATTCCCTCAAAATATCAATTGAACCTTCCTTCCTTCCCTCCATCCTTATTTCAGTACCCTAACTTTATATTTTCACAAATATTGGGTATTTACGGTACATAAAAATAAAAAACCGCTATAATGTGATGGGAGGAGTTCGTTTTCACCCTTGAACTCAATTGGTGACATTTTCGATAGGCAAGCGGCGCTGCTTGGGCAACCTTTACGGTCACGTGCTCGACTGAACCATTTCAATCCAAAACTGGGTACATAAATTTCGTAACTTAACACTTTCGATCATTATTCTGAAGTTTGGTACTCTGAGGAGTGTCAGACGAAAAACTTTAATATGTCTTAAAATGTTTGATTTTTTTAAACCCATTTTTAAATTTTATATCACAATTGTTTGCTACTTTACATGAAAAAGGAACAATGTCATGGAGAGAAAAAGGAAAGATAGGAGGGAAATGACACTGAAAGGTGAGCGAGCAGGCAACCCGACGTCAAATGTTGTAGCTGTGTAAAACTTTGGCAGTACAGTAAGCGGTTGGAGGACAATGTCTTTTGTTCTAAAACAATGGGAAAATGTGACGTTATATTTTCAAAACAATAGGCTTGGCCCCAATATTTGACCAAGTGTCCACCCCTGCAGTAAGCTAAATTGCAGCAAGGGAAGAAACGCTAATCATAATGAGCCTGATAATGAACTTACCAAGGGCCTCTCCACATTTATCACCTATATATCCAATTTTGCAGCTACAATAAAATCCTTTTTCTCTATCCTCACAAGCCTCCGTCCCTGTTTTGTTGCAGTCGTTTTTGACACAGTCATCGATAACTGCAAGGAAAGCTTGTGAATTAGGTTTGTAGAAACCCAACTAAAGAAGTTGATTTATAATTCACTTCCTTTACTACGTCTGTTACGTTACGTTATCTTAACCTCGCATTCACCCGCCTCATAACGACACAGGTGTCTTAATATGTTTCCAAACCTCTCGGAGTCGAATGCTTAGAAAACCTGAAGTGGCCTTTAAATCCTGTAAAGATTGCTGGAGTGTTGCAAGGGAGGGGACGGATCAAGGAAAGGTGAACGAACCAAATTTTAAATTTCGCCATACTGTTTTATTCCAACAAGAGATATTTATTGAGCACCCTCGTTGGCCTCATTTCTATATTTTTCTTATTGAGGCTGGGCTTCAAGCAAAACAGTTTTTGGAAGTACTTTTTTCAGCAAAATTACAATCATTGTAGCAAAAAAGCAGCGGTTTCATAAAAATAGCCAATAATTGATGGTTTCTAACAAACAAAAGAAGCCATAGCGTACCTGTTTCACAGTTTTTCCCAGTGTAGTCGATCCAACACGAGCAGGTGTACGGAGGAATTGATCCTTGGTGGGGTCCATCGGTACAATCTCCATGCAGGCCGCAACGACGGTCCACACACGGCTTTCTGATTGCTAAAAGATAGTTGGGTATTTGTTAAAATCATTTTTTGAGAATCGAAAGATTCTGTCACGTGACAAATACCAGGTATTCGGTAGTGAGATGATTGGATAAAGTAAACCTATCAGTTAACAACGGCCAATCTAACGACGATTGTTGCCTGACATATCCATTTTGACCAATGCGATTCCGTGGTAGATTTCTGGTAACAGTCACGCGTCCAGCACCCTGATGCGAAAGCGTGGTGGTAAAATAATGGGGGAGAATGAAAAAGAATTTACTGCTTTTGAATTTAAAATGAAGGAATATCAAAGGCAGAACGATCGTTATATTTAGAGAGAATAAGGAGATAGAGATTTAAAAGATTTGGTTTAGTATCTCAACATCGAGTTACAGATGTTAAACACGTGCTTACAAGTTTCGCAATTGGTTCCTTCGTACCATGGTGGACAATGGCAAGTAAATTTACCACCACTGTCGGTGCAGTTTCCTCTGTTGCAAAGGTATTTATTTTCAAGACATGGGTGATATTCTGAAAAAAGAAATAAAAACTTGATTAGAGATTGTCACCATAAGCAACTGGCCTAAATCTACCGAAAGTATTTTCCTTTAGAGGCTAAGACCAATTAAGGCCAGCAGTTTTTAACAAAAATGACGACAAGATACGATGACGTCATTGGACGCAGACGATAACATACTCTATGCTACAAAGCCACGAAATTCGATCACTGTAAGTAATGGATAAATCCCCACTTTCGAATAAGCCCCCCTCCCATATCCCCTCTCGAATTAGCTCCGATCCTAAAACAATTCTTGTGAAATAAGCCCAAATGGGCTGAGGTATTGCCTCAACAGCAACAGGTTTTTTCCCAATTTATCTACCTTTTTAAGCACACTGACCAGCCTAGAAAAAAGAAAGAAAATTTACAAGAAAGAAGGAGATTTTTTCAAAATGCACTAAGCATGCAAAGAAATAAATACCACTTTCGCAGTTTTTTCCTGTAAATGCAGGTGGGCATTGGCATCTGTAGTTATAGTCTCCCAGATACAGATTATGGCATGTGCCATTATTGAGGCAAGGCTGCGACTCACATACATGCGTACCTACAAGAAATGAGTCATTTTTAGCGAGTGAATAATGAACAATACATGAACACTTGACACAATTCTTCCTTTACAAACCAGCTCCAACTGCTTTCCAAATGCTTGAAAACAATAACTATGTTCTTTTTAATTAAAGAGGCGCCACAATATTTCAGCCATTATTAAGAAGATTGATGGAGTTTACGTTAAACTAGAGGCAATTACCCAACGACCCACGACCATGACTCTGTACGGTACAAACCAGACTGTTTTACTTCCACGCGTGAATGAGATCTGAACATTTTCAGAAGAAATGCAAATCAAAATGCCTTAAATAACTCTATTTCTTTATAGGCGTCAGAAGAGTGGAAGATATTTGTGCATGCGATTTCAAAAATTGGTTTTAATGTAGTATGGTGGTCAGGACCAACTGAAAAAATATCTCGCAAATGATCAGATTGCAGTTGAAAGGTTCACAAATTGACAACAGTGTTGTAACTGGAGGAAACTGATCAAACATTTGTGATCAATCATTTGAGATCAATCATTTGTGATCAATCATTTGTGATCAATCATTTGTGATCAATCATTTGTGATTGATAGAGTGTGATAAGTCATCAAAGATAAGTCAAGATAAGTGATAAGTCATCAAGAGATAGAAAATAAGCAATGGTCGATAAGAGAACGAAGGTAAAAAGGGAAACAATGAAGAAAATAAAACCGATGGAGGGCCAAAGGTTGCTAGTGAACAGACATTACGTGTTGTGAATCCTTATAGGATAACGAAGAAATTGATCTTAAATATGAGTAATAAAAATGAGCATCGTTACATTAGAGAACTGAGTCAATTTAGTAACTAAATCTTGCAGTGTTGTTCATGCTAGATGATATCTTTCTGAAAAAAAATTATTCATTACTGCTACTAGATTATCAAAAATTAAGAAAGGGAAAAAGAATATCGAAAAATGTACGGTAACATACGATTTTCACAGTACTGTCCGACGTAATTGTGAGGACAATGACATTTAAAACCCGTCCCTGTATCTTCGCACCATCCTGGAAATTTACAGGGGTTTGGTGAGCAGTTGTCGTAAGAATCTGTAAAAAAAATAACAAATTTTAAAGAAATTAAAGCTTTTCTTTTCACATAGCTTTTATGATAATTATGAGGAAGAAAACGACACCAAAAACGAAAGTAAGAGAAATGTAAGCCAAGAAATGAAGAAATTATTTTATCTACCGATGCATTCTGTCACGCTAGCAGCGCCAATCCTATTTGTCGTGTGATTTGTGGGACATCCTGTACACTGGAGCACCTGTTTGTCACTTGCTAATTTGTAAGTTCCAACTGGACATTTTTTGCATTGACCATCTTTTGGATCATAGTACTCTCCTTCGTAGAAACATGCAACTGAAACAAAAAATGCTGTGATAAAAACACCCTCTTCAAAACAAACAATATGTTTTTCTCTACCCATTGAAATCTGGATTAAAAAAGCAAAATACATGCTTATCTAACACATCGAATACATGGTGAGAATTCAAATGCAAGAGAAATTGACCAGAGACAAACAGATAAATACTGAGTTTCCTCTAAAGAACGGCGCGGCGTTTATCACAAAATCCAACTTTTTAATACGGGGTTTATGGAGGGCGGTATTTATTAGACGGCGGCGTTAAATACAAAATGAAAAGTGTCAAATGAAAAATGGCAATGAAAGTGTGATGAAAAGAAATACAAACAGATTTTTAACAATGTTTTCTTGTTTCCAAAATCACGCAATAAAGATTGGGTGAAAAATTTTTAAAGTTCACTTTGAGGATGTGTTCACGTTAAGGAAATGTCAAGGAATGTCAATATTCCTGTCTCTGCCAGAGTCCTCATCTCTATAACATAACAACTTTCATAGCTTTTGAATAGTAAGCGTATATATTTAAATTATTCGTTACTTCTTGTTTGGTATACTTTCCAATGAGCGCCGCTTTTAAAAATGCGACGTTTAAAAGAGAACGTTTAAAAATTTCTATGATTGTCTGGAAAAGACATTCCAGTGGAACATATACGAGCTTAAAAAAATGACGATAAATGACGATGAAAACGGTGAATATCTGACAAGGTGAAAATCGATATTTCTGTATACAGCCGAAAAAAACCATAAACCGAAGGATTTGAGCCATAGAGAAGATAAAAGTATTTCTGTTCTTAATGCTTCCCAGACAATTTTAAAACCAAAACGAAAAAAACATTAAAAAAGAATCTACAATCGAATAACTTTTACCACTAAGGCCTAGAGCCAAAAATTGACAAAAAGCTCACTGATGTTTTCTTATTTCAGCTAAGGGAACTTACCAACACATGAATCATTTGACTTTGAACCATATTCTATCGTGGTGGTTCCTTTACGACAAAACTTGCAGAACTCGTAGGCATGCACATCAATATCCTGATACATTCCATTTTTACAGGGCTTGCAGCCATCTTTGGACTTGAACTGGCCAGCAGTACAAGGTTCTGAAAGTATTAGAGAAATTGTTTCTAGGTCGCTCATATCTTGCCTTTATATTGATAAAAGACAGTAAATACATCAGTTTATCGTGCACAAAGACCGAGATACAACTTTTTTTGGTGGGGGGTGGGGGGGGTGGGGGGGGGTCAGCCCTGATGAATAAGTGTAACAACAGCCATCTTTTACAAAATAAAAGTATTTTACAAATACTTATGCAACTCAAGATTTTGGGGGGAACCAAGGCCCCCCGGTATCTCGGTCCTTGATCGTGCATCAAAGTATTCACAATAACTAGTCACAGATTTGCGAAAGATTTTTCAAATCCTAGAGTTTAACTTTTTCACATCTCTTCATGCGCTTACATATCATTCTATTCAAAATTGTGACCAATCTTTTCAGCACTGACAAATCAGGCACTCACCTGTGCAATCGCTTATGGAGGTAGAGTGCCCTCTTCTAGTGATTGTATTGTTTGGACATTTAATACATGATGTCTTTTCAGCTTCTTCCTGGTAGTACCCTAATGGGCATCCTTGGCACGATGTCCCATTTATAAATGTTCCTTTCGGACACAAAGCTGCAAAGAAAAGTTACGCTTAAATCATAATTTCTCGACATTAATAACATCCTGAAATTCAGGCTGATTTTTCTTGATTTTAATCAAACTTTGAGGCTAGATTGTTCTTAATGTGTTCTTAAATAATAAGCGTATAAGCAGTGAATTCGCTGGCTATTGTGCTTATGGGGAGTGTTCAGTCCCCATTTGCCAAAAAGTGGGCTATCCTTCATTTGCCGAAAAGTTTGAAAATTCAACAACAAAGCATCCCTAGATGAAATTTTTTAAGGAAATTTCACAATTTTGTTCTTAATTTGTTCTTAAATTTTGATCATTTTGAGGCTCGTGTTCGTATAAATTTGCTCTTATAAAAGAAATAGTGTAATGGCTTTAAAAAAAGCAAACATTTTTCAAATATATTTTCAAATTTGTACCGCCAAAAAATTGTTGAAATAGTGTAGTAGAAAATACTTTGTTATAGAAATTATATCTAATATAGAATGTATTGAAAGAAGCTCATAGTTTCTGCTCTGCGATGTAATTCACATGAGAGGGGATGGATTTTTGTGAAGGCGTAAATATATATAGTTATATTCATATAGGCTGATATTAACTAACAACAATCAATCAGTGACTTGTCACTTACAAACACATCCGGTTGCCCCACTCTCTCTTGCTACAGTTCCATTTCCACATTGAATGCAAGATGTAGAGTTAATTGTGGTCTGATAAGTGTTCAAAGGGCATTTCATACACTTGGCTGCACTGAAATCGAAGACTTCTCCAATCTGGCAATCCGCTGTTTGGATAAAAGGGTTATGTTTGCAGTTACATAATAGATATCCTAAAGCAATATGCAATGCTATATAATACTTCTAAATGTAACAATTTATAACACACTACACATAGAACAGAACAGAACAGAACAGAACAGAACAGAACAGAACAGAACAGAACAGAACAGAACAGAACAGAACAGAACAGAACAGAACAGAACAGAACAGAACAGAACAGAGCAGAACAAAGCAGAGCAGAGCAGAGCAGAGCAGAGCAGAGCAGAGCAGAGCAGAGCAGAGCAGAGCAGAGCAGAGCAGAGCAGAGCAGAGCAGAGCAGAGCAGAGCAGAGCAGAGCAGAGCAGAGCAGAGCAGCAGAGCAGAGCAGAGCAGAGCAGAGCAGAGCAGAGCAGAGCAGAGCAGAGCAGAGCAGAGCAGAGCAGAGCAGAGCAGAGCAGAGCAGAGCAGAGCAGAGCAGAGCAGAGCAGAACAGAGCAGAGCAGAGCAGAGCAGAGCAGAGCAGAGCAGAGCAGAGCAGAGCAGAGCAGAGCAGAGCAGAGCAGAGCAGAGCAGTGCAGTGCAGAACAGAACAGAGCAGAGCAGAGCAGAGCAGAGCAGAACAGAACAGAGCAGAACAAAACAAAGCAGAGCAGAGCAGAGCAGTGCAGAACAGAGCAGAGCAGAGCAGAGCAGAGCAGAGCAGAGCAGAGCAGAGCAGAGCAGAGCAGAGCAGAGCAGAGCAGAGCAAAACAAAGCAGAGCAGAACAGAGCAGAGCAAAACAAAGCAGAGCAGAGCAGAGCAGAGCAGAGCAGAACAGAGCAGAGCAGAGCAGAGCAGAGCAGAGCAGAGCAGAGCAGTGCAGAACAGAACAGAGCAGAGCAGAGCAGAGCAGAGCAGAGCAGAGCAGAGCAGAACAGAACAGAACGGAACAGAACAGAACGGAACGGAACAGAACAGAATATATTAGAATATATTAGAATATATTAGAATATATTAGACTACATTAGAATATAATAGAAAATAATAGAATACAATAGAATACAATAGAATACAATAGAATATAATAGAATGGAGAATAAAATATGATTACATGATGTGACATGATTGACATGATCGCATTAAAACAAAAAACATACCTCTGCCAAATGTAACGTTCAAGAGGGCATTAGAGGCATTCGAAACAGAAAATTCCACTATTAGGCCAATTTCTGTTGTGTCAACAAAGATTGGTTCGCTGATTTTCGCTCCACATAAACGTGGGGTTAGATCGAATCTGACTTCATTCAACACAGCTGTAACTCGCACAAAATCATTTGAGCAATTCGAAATTTGTTTCAAATATGTCGACTGAAATCGTAGAGCTATAGGTCTATATTTTCGAGGATCTTTGAAGGCATTCGGTTTGATCTTAAGACGGTACAATGATGCATTTGCTGGCTTGATTTGTTCTGATCCGGAATCGCCAATAAAGTATCTTCCATACACTGTAAAATAAAACGCTTTATTACTAAGCAAAGTCTCGACGCAGAACCTCTAAAACATACTCGCCAGCATATAAAATGGGCGCTAAACACAATTACTTCGCTTTTTAGAATTTGTGCATACATACGAAAAAACAACGCGGATCCAAATATGATATTGAGAACTACTATGAAAAATTACGCATTTTCATAAAAATATGTATAATTATCTAGCCAATTACGAAATGTTTGGCACATTTATTAAAGAACGATTTGAGCTTTAAATTATCACCTAACGATTTCTGTAGCAAATACAGTCAATGTAACAATGGAAAAATCAATAACAAAACTCCAAAGCTATTAGCCACAAGATAAAGGAGATACAAAACTGATAGTCAAAAGATGCATTTTACTTATTCCTGTGCTACAAGGAACGAAAGTCACTGCTGGTACATTCAAAATTGGATATTCATGTAAATTACCTTTTAACTAATCATCGTTCAATCGCTAAAGTTGATGACCAAAATGATGGCAAATATACACAATAAATAAAACTACAACTGGAATAACATGCTGTTCGGTAGGCAAATCATTCTCTGCTTTTCATGTTTAAGACAAAAACTTCCACAATTCATATCGATTCCAAACACCAAGCACCATACTCAGCAACTTTTGTATCTAACTAAACATAGTCAGTTTTTTATTGCCATGTTTCTCAAAGTGTACGTTTTCAAATTATATTAACCTCAAGCTTGAAAAAATTCTCATTTGGGTGCTTTAAAGTCAAAATTTACATACAGGGTTAGAAGCAGCACAGGCCGAATAGTGAATATATAATAAATAGTGATTTTTATTATCTGAAATTATGTTTATATGTAGATTTCGGCTTTAAAATGATTGAGATCTATATACAATGAGTAAAACTGGCGGTGCTATCATAAAAACAAGGTAACGAACAGTACAGGCCTAAATCCGACACTTCTTGTTTTGTGAATATTTTCAAATTAGAGGGGCGATTAAAGATACATCCACGTCTTCAGGCAAAACAAAAGGTATATCTATTCACATGTAATTTAAGAGTATACTTAAAAACACAGTTGTTCCATACCACAGTCTTCCAATTTTGTTGATAACTCATCCAGGGTTGTAAGACCTTCAGGACATTTTGTACATTCTCTAGCCCCAGACATGGCATAGTAGCCATAAGTGCAATTAGTGCAAGTTGTGTTTGTTGAATCAAGCCACGTGCCTGGACTGCAAATATCTACAAAATGGTTATAAGGAAAGTATTATTTGTCTCATAGCTTAGTTGTTTGTCTTAGGCTGGGGAGAGGGCAGGTAAGAGACAGAACCTCAAACAAAAGGGAGCCAGGTAAACCTGGGTGACAAAAAAGCAAGAAAATGGCAATGGGGGGGGGGGGGTTTAATTTTGAGGTAGAAGATCGTAGGATAATCTTAAAGATTGAAGGATAATTTCTTACCAAGCAGTAGAAAATAATATTAAGTACTATGCCAGGACCTGAAATACCATACTATGTCAAGACGAAAGCCAATATTCTTCTGATTATACAGCTCTTGAAAGCTTCGGATGTCGGGTTGATAACGATTCAAATGATATGCAGATTAAAATCTATAATATTTATTTTAAACGAGTGTTCCAAATGAATGAGAATAAGATCTGATATTTGATTTATCAGAGATACAATAGATATAATCAGAAAACAAACCTTCACAGAATCTTGGTGCTTCTGGCAATCTCGTCATTTGATGTTTTGGGCATGGATAACAGGTAGGGCTGCTATATTCATGATTGGTCGTGTTTGGAGGACAAACATGGCACATTTTTGCCGTTTGATTGAAAAACATGCTGCGTTCACATGGAACTAAAAAAATTGAGTCAACAACTAAGCAATAGGAATTGTTTAAAAATATGATCACTGTTAGCTCAAATTTTTTTCATAGCAAACGACAATATCGCCCGACATTAAGACATTTCATTCGCATACCAGTGCAGGCATCTTGCTCCTGGATTTGTGCGAAGTACCACTTCAAAAATATAGAACAATAATATTTTCAGCCTCTATGATATTCCTGTGTCATGATGCACTTCCTGGCAAGAAAAGGCCAGTGAATTCTGAACCCACACCTCTCTGGTAACAGTGAATATGAATTGATCTGCACACTTTCCAAGAAAAAAGGGTCATGTGTGTTTGTAGCAAATCATAACTGTTATGCTGCGAGTCATAAACCATTTGTGTGTGTTCATTACTCTGTACTTTGGCTAAGCATAAAACAGATAATAATCAATCACCATTGAGGCAACTTTCTGTCGCTCACGAAATACCAAAAGACTTATCATTGAAAAATTACTGTTTCCTGAAATTTCATCTTAACATAATAATAAGAAAATTATAAATATTTATGTAAACTGAACTGACGTGAAGGACAGAGTAAGGTTACTTACAGCAAAGTTTCCCACGATTTCCCAATACAGTACCATTCGGGCAGGTTCCATTTTCTAAAGCCGCTAGAGCAGCTACAATAAAATTTTTATTTAAATGTCAATCGTGAAGGCTTGACACGTGTCAAGGAACATTCCATTAAACATTCATTATAAAATAAAACCATGCTTTAGTCTCCAAGCAGCGGAGATATACGTCTGAGGCAACAAAGAAGACTTTAAAAGACGATCGTAAAAACTTTGATTGAAGCTTCCTATATAAATATGAATATACACTTCTTTTCTGTTCTGTTCGAAATTTGTGATCATTTTAAGTATCATAGGTTGTTACATATTTAAGGATAGCATGTGTTATTGTGGAGCATACAAATTACACAAGAGCACGAAAAGGTGAAGAAGGGAAAAACAACCAAGGGCCAACGTGCTTAGCATTCCTCCCCTGACTAATCATTAAGTTGATGTTTCAGTGCCAATTTGCAATAATTTCATGCAAAGCCTCTGACATAGCTTACTTTCAAAACGAATTTCAAACCGGGTGTCTTTCAATATCCCAAAGGGTGAGGTTCAGTGGCGGAGCCACGGGGGGGAGTGGGTGGGGGACTAGTCCCCCCCACTTTTTCAGAAAGTTGGTCCTTGAGATTCTTGCAAACCTGATGAGAAAACTTCTCATCAGGGGGGTTTATGTACGTTATCTAGATAGTCACATTTAAATGACATTTCTTGGAAGACAACAGGTGTTTCCTCAGGAAAAAAAAGTTTCAAACAGGGGGAAAGGGCGTGGTCCAAAAGGGCGTGGTACAAAAGGGCGTTGTCCCTGACACACCTTTTGTCCCCCCCCACTTATCCCAGGCTGGAGCCACCACTGGTAAGGTTAGGAAAATCTTTTGGGAAAAACTTCCAAAGAACCCTTTTCTGCTTGGTTTACACTACTCGCCTTTGCCTTTTTCCACACTTGCACTTGTAATGCTACATTAAAATATAGTACATAAATCAAGAGTACTGCAATATTCGATTGAATTCGAAAATAAAACAAGATAATCATCGAAAAAACTTACAATTATTCACACAACCTATAAGCGGTTTATTCATAACTCCTCCAGAACAACCAACACCGAGGAAAGGGAAGCTATCATGTTCACAGCGATAGAAGTCAAAGTGCATCCAAGCTGCGTAGGAGCCCTCACAAAGGTGGCGTGTTCCATTTTGGCATCTCGAAAAGTAAGCGCCTTTCTTTGGGCTAAATACTGGAAATGCATTTGGTGGAGGCACTTTCATCTGGCAAGGCTTCGCAGCTGTGGAAAAGATTCACTGGGTTTTAATACTGTTAAATATTAATTAAGTATTTCAACACATAGCAAATAAACAGGCTACGCAAAAAGAAAACTGTGATAGGAAAGGATCTTTCATCGTCCCCTCTATGAGAAGGGGAACTTAATGCCGACATGTTTATCGCAAAAAAGCAAATAAGGTAGAATAATTTCTCTCCATTGATAAAAAAAGGAAATATTTATGACAGGATAAGACCCACGGGCTCTCAACGACCACATGTGTATGGCTTCCCTAAAATACACATGCCAAACGTCCCACTTAGACCCATCTTGTTTATGATTGGCTCAGCACAACACGAACTGGCTTAGTAGATTTCTAAAGTTTTGGACCCTGTTCTTAAAAAAGATATTTTGGGATATACCTATTGCTGTCGGGACAAAACATCAGCCCATGGGGGCTTATTCGAGAGAGGGGGCCTATTTATCAAAAATTCTTATAGGCCGGAGGCATATTTGAGAGGCGGGCTTATTCAAAGGTGGGAGGGGCTTTTTCGAGAACTGCCTGCATTACAAGAACTAACGAGAAGTAAAACAAAAAAGAGTTTGCTTTAAAGTTAACTGTCATAAGAAAAAAATTATTTCCTTAAGGACCAATTTGGTAGTGTACAAGACCAAAAAAAGCCAAAGGGTCTGTTGATAATGACGAGTTACTGTTTGGAATTGACTGGGCTATGAAATAAATACTGCTTCTTTGCTAGCTACATTAAAAGAGACATACGGTTTTTGCCAGATCAAAGAGGTTGATAAATCTAAATAAAGTTCAGGACATACGTTTGATTTCTAAGTCAATTCTATTAACATATATTTCTTTCTTCGATATAGCATCTTCAAGTTTTCTTAATCAATGTAAATAGGCTGGCTAGTTATGTTTTAAGGCAGGACACATTGGAAATCAGTATATTTAAATATACTCAATGTGTTTAACCCTGCTGAAATAAAACAAAAATAGAAAATTGTCATCATTTGACTTTTTGAGAAACGTATAATTGAATCCTGAGATCGAGGTTGTGCCCCATAAATGTTTTGGTTTCACCCCATTAGTACTTCGGTTGCTGAATGTTCAATTCTTGTGGCACCCCAGCCCAGGTTTTTTCTCTAAAAAGTTTGTGCGTCTACTTAACAGAATATTTATCGAGCATAAATTGTAAGTAGCATAAATTGCAAAATAAAATAGTCAAAATGAAGTACAAACAAACCTTTTACAATGACAGTGATAGTGCAATCTGCATGGTTGTTGCTGGAATCATACGCAGAGAATATCATAGTATAGACACCAGGGGGTTTTAAATCGTTCACTGAAACCTCTGTTCTTGATACAGGTTGATAATGAGTTTTCAAGCCGTCAACATTATCATAAAACCGCACTTCGTTTGCACTGTCTAGCACAATTCTGGCTTCAACGCCACCAAACGCAGTATAGAGAAGATGCTTTGGGCAACGTAACACTCTTGGTGGCTCTTTATCTAAAGTAAAAACAGGGAGATTAGCATTGTTATCTTTATCACATCAACATAGGCAATACACTTTTTCCATATCCCCACGTTTGATTTGCATAAAGAAACCTGGGCGAGAAATTGGGTGAAAAAGTTGCCACGCATAGATACGGCGTTTACTGGCGGCTAATCACTGCATGAATTTATATAAAAAGTATTCGAAAATTTGTAGATTTGATTCTGAAAAGCAAAAAATGGAGACAAATCCAGAGAGAAAACCCAAGTTTTTGAGAGGATTGTTTAGCAATAAAGGAAATGTCAGGTTTTTAGTTAAGGTTGGATGATACAGAAAGGCTTAGTTATAAAAACGAGGTAGATATGTCCAAATCAGCACCATGTATGGATAGAGGAGGAAAGTCAGGGTCTCGTTTATGTGAAATACAACCTATATTGTTTTAGTTTGATTAAACCTAACAGGACTGTCTTTATCCCACTTCTCGAGTATTGCCAGGTCATCAATGAGAAGTTAGGCTGAAATATTGCTTTCAAAAGGGCTGTTGATAGGAGAATTATGTTGAGAATCGAAGGAGAAAATAGAGGTGAAGTGATGGAAGTTAATATATAATTCATTAAAAGGATGAATGAAATAGGAGATATGACAGAGCACTGTGGTACATCAGCGTTAACTGAGTGGGGATTGGAGAGATGGCCCTAAACTCTTATGGCTATTGGCCTATAAGAGAGAAAGCTGTCAATCAAAATTGGTGCATACCATACCGAGGAAAGAAGACCTTTGTGCCAAACGCGATCAAAGGCTTTTAAGATGTTGAGAGAGATGACGTTGCTCTTAACAAAAAATTCCACAGCAGTGGACCAAAAATGAGCAGCATAAGTTAGAAGATCACTAGTAGATCGCGCTTGGTGAAAACCTTACTGGTGATCAGTAAGAAGTTTATTGGTTTCAAGAAACAAAAATTGCAGTTGGTGATGATCGTTTCTATCGTTTTGCATATTACGGAAGTGGTTGCGATTGGATGATAGTAAGTAGGGTCAGTCTTGTCCTCCCTTTCAGGAATAGGTGGAGTGAATTATGGGCTAGTGGAGTGAATTATGGGCTAGTGGAGTGACATGTATCAAATGAATATGAATGACATGATAAACTTTTTCTGCTCTCCTATTCACTCCGTATACTTCAATCATCCTGGAGAATAGACCCTGTTTTTTCTATTCCTAAAAAGGGGGACAAGTCTGACACAACCAACTATGGCCATTCTTAAAAGTTGAATGTAATCTTTTTTGACTCTACATACCTAGAACCCTGAAGCTAACCCAACAATATTTTGCCGACTGAACACCTTTTGTGTTAATTGTGTACTTTATTGACTGATACCCTTCGGGTAAAGCACGCAGGTCTTTTCCATTATCGAAAATTATTTCCGAATCAGCAATTCCAGAAGTTGGGAACGAAAATCCTGTAGTAACATCAGCTGTAGCTTTTCCAGGGTCAGTTTTTACAATGCGATAATCCTGGCAGTGGATTGTTATTGGAAGCGGACCTGAAACAACAAAACCCTTCACAGTATAAACATCAGAAAATTTGAATGAATCAAAATGAAATATACTTGGTTAAACGAAAACATGACTCGGGCAATCAACAGACAAAAAAGTTGCTTAGGCCATATCTTATTTCCAAGATAATAGCCAAACCTTGAAAAATAAGTCAACCAAAAATAAGCCAAGATATTCTTAGAGATCCTTCTCAAAAACAAGTCGAGCTATAAATAGATTATCATGATGATTCACTAATGTCATGATGTGTGTCCAACATTTAATTGCATGTAATGTAATTTTACACAGGTTGCTATGTGCAGCAATGACCATACAATAAATACTGATCTGGGTATAATTGATATGATGCTACCCCAGGGGGAGGGGGGGCTTATAAAAATTTTGATCCTCTAGAGGGGGCTAAATCGATAGAGAGGAAAGGGCTAATTGAGAAAAGACAATATTGATATAAGCTATTTAGTGGTTTATTAATAATGCACTTCTGATGATTTGTTTATATATATATCAAAGAAACATGAATATATTGATGATTGAAAATAGCATAATTAGTCGTTAAGTATATCGTCATTATGATCTGAGTCAATCAACAAAGCAGGAATATCCTCAAGATATCAAAACTCAAAAAAGACATCAAAACTGTCATCTCTAGTGGACATGAAATTTAAAAATGAGATATTAATAAAAAATGTGATTATTCATAGCAAAACATTTGCATTTTATGTGGCCCCTGGTATATGAAACTTGGGGGGGGGCAAAAAGATAGGGGACTTTTTGCAAAAATTTATGATCGAGGGCGCTTTAAAGAGAAAGAGGGATAAAAGAGCTCTTAGGGTAATTATACATAACTGTATTGTATTTTGTGATGTCATAATTTATATATATTTCTGCCACCAATTTGAGATAAATTTGGCACCAAGCATAGAAAGACGTGCTTACCAGGTGGACAAAATCGTCCTCCAAGTGGTGTCCATGTACCATTGCTTTGGCATAATTTTTCTTTTGGGCCTTGCTCAGAGTTGCAAAGTATAGCTTTACATACACTGCCAACATTTGATGCTTGAGCTGAACAGGATGCGTAAGGGTAAATATAGAGATTGCCATCCAGCGCAGGGCACTTGGTAGTTGCTACATAAAGAAATGGAAAAAATTGCACACATACTGTGGAGTGAAAGCTAAAATAAATGCTGAAAACATCATATCCATTATATCAACTGAAACTTACCTGAGCATTTATTATATAGTTACGATAAACTGTAATTTTTTGAGAATAATAAATGTGTTTAATTTTAGATAAACAAAATAACAGACAGCAGGTCCTTGTATTCAATAAACACAATGCCATGCATTCCTTACATTCATTCAACTCACACCTGAACTAATACAGCTGGAAAATGCACAAAACATAATTAACTTGTAATATTCAAGGAACTTTATGGCTAGCAAAATCAATTGATATTTCTTGTATAAAGTAGCACAGATGATGCAGTTTCAACTTAAAAATCTCAAAGATAACTTTATTCATTATAAGTAGTAATTGATTAAACTCTAAACCATCAGGGACAAAAGTTATTTCTTTTAATTAGCATTACCTTTAATTCTAAGAAAATCCCAAAAGCATGAGATATAAAGTTTTATCAAAAAAATTAAGAATATAAAAACTAAACATCTTAACAACATGATTTCATAAGCAAATAGTTATTTAATCAAAAGGTGGTAACATCTACACACTTACATTTGCATTCGTTGTCATAAAAATAGTAGTTTCTCCAATCAGGGTCATTATCATAACGCTGCAGGTTACATTCTGTCTCAGTGTGAGAATCATCTCGAAAGCCATAACCTTTGTTGCAAACCCAGTAACAGGCTGTCCTAAACGGAACAGTTTTGTTTAGGCAAATGTCTGGGTAAATGTGTGCATTTTTCAATTGGGCTTTAGTTCCATTCAATCCAGGACAGGAAAAAGCATCTGTAAAATAAAAGAATGCTATTGATTCAAAGAGAAAACATTTGAAAATTTAGATGCACAACACTATGTCGATTAAGAGATACCCCAAGCTTTACACCCAAAAATAATAGTGCTTAGTTACCAGCAGCATAGCGTCTATGTAAAAAATTTTATACAAATTCTAAAATTCTTGTAACACTTCTACGGTAATAAATACGTTGTAGTGTTAAAGTCAATGCATAACATTTTCCGCAATTAACGGTTTTTTCTGGTCATGAGCAGCATGCAGTGCCAATATGCCAATTGGTTATTTTTCCAAGTAAACAGATGACCAAAAAATTGTGAAATTTGAAAAATCTAAAAAACTGAAGCCCCTCCACATCACTCTTTTTGCCTGTCTAAAACAAGAGAAACATGCGATGCTCCAGTGCAGCTTTAGTGCAGCTTAAGAGAAGCTTCTGAGAGCAGTGAGAATTTTCCGGACTGGAGCTTGCAGTCAGCCTTAGCGCAAGCATTCCCAAATATTTGATAATCCACAACATTTTTCTGCCTCTAAGCTGCTTTTTGCGAATATTCTTTGCGTGATACATCATTTCAAATCTAGGTATTTTCCATTCTCTACTTTGTAACTGTTAAAAAGAGAAAAAGTTTCATCAAAGTGGGGTCAAAGTCTATTTGTCATGATCCACATTCCTTAATTCAAGTCAGAAGGCTTGCCAGTATAGTCAGAATTTACGGACCAAAGCACGCGGTAGACCTGAGCGCAAGCCTTGCCAAATAGTTGATGATTTGCAAGGAACAACTCTCTGAAACCATTACACATGTAAGCATCTTCAATTCTAAGAACTCTCACAGCTCATTATTGTCATCTTTGTTAACTATGAGAGTAGAAAATTAGCAGAAACTTGCTCCTGTTCACCTAGGCTCTGCAGTGTGTTAACAATTTCGCAATGTGGAGAGCTCCTATTGCGGGAATCCCCAGCTGCATATAGCATAAAAATTCTTACATTAGGTGGGCATTAGGTGATGCCTTTTTTTGAGGAGTATGAATAAGAATGAGATCTTTTGCAAAACGGTTTTAGCACTAGGAGTTATTCTGAAAAATTTTGTAAAACAATTGAGCTTTTTTCAAAAACTTTTGCATGGATGATAATTTTTCCCTTGGCCCCCATTCACTTTCCAACCTGTGTCGGAGCCTCTGGTGCAAAGAATAGACATCTTGATTGATTAGAACTAGAGTACAAACGATTTGTTACTTTCAAAATCAAAATTTATTATCACGATTATCATTAATTACCGCTTGTATTTTTAAGAAGCTGAAATTACGATTACATTCATTCAACATGGCCATATATTTTATGTTACCGCATGCCTTAGTTCTGCGCTCACGCTACACCACTGTTAGTTACAGTGGTAGCTCGTGAGGAAATTTCTTGGGCTGATGAATATTCAAAATTTAAAGCTATATACAAGAGCACCAAGAATAATAAGAACATTTCCCTTCTTTACTACCTCTAGTTGACAACTTTACTTTCATCATTTTGAAAGTTTTAATTGAAATAACAAGTGTAACTATTAACAATATGGTGTTTCTCAACAAATGCAACTTTGTTGGAATGCTCAATTTTATTTTTTCAAATCCCCTGGATGGTTTCTCTCTTCACAAAAAAGTGGAGTTTGGGAGACCTTGAATATGGCAAACCCATAGATGATATCCCTAGCATAGCAATGCAATGAATTTTTTTTACAGAAACAAAGAGATAAAACTTTAATTTAATTGATTGTTGTTTGCTTTGGAGGAAGAATTGTTCAAAATGAAAGCATGCATTTGATATACTTAATGCTGTTAGAAGACTTCTGTGTATTTGTCATTGGTATCCCCTTTGGATGAAGATGGCCTTTGGCCTAATATTCCCATTTTGAATTGTATTTGAGGATTGACAAAAAGGATTCTGATGAAGATATACCTTGTTTGCTTTACTTCAAAATTTTAAAGCTGAGAATGTGAGTCTTTGAATAAACACCACTTTGCTATGTTCCACTTTAAGCGCTGCATAGCCAGTCACAGGAGTACACACTCAATACTGTTGAATTAATTACTTGAGACTACAATTAATATAATTTTATTTTTAACTACCTAAAAGGCAGCTCTCATTTCAATAGTCAAATAACCTTCACTTATATTTGGAGCGTTAAATAAGGAATACAAAACAATAGAACAAAAGAACACATTTTACAAGCAAGGGCTATATATATATCCAAAAATAGTTCATAATTCTTGAAACACACAATTGTACCCTGAAATAAGTAAGGGGTCCGAATATATAGACAAAAACAGTGCTTTATTATCCATGAAAATATTCTACCATTAAAATTTCTTTTCATTGCTACTTTCATGGTTTTATTAAGGTGAACACTGTGTTATCCCATTTCAGTTGAGGACTGGCCAGTTTTGAATGACTTAGTTGCAATGACTTATTGTTATTCATGCGGGTACCACTACAGAAATGAACAACAATGCATAGCGTTTTTGGCTCCATTACAATTTGTAAAAGAGGCAAAACATATGTTTTAGTAATTTCCTTAGTTTGAAAGACAACAAAGCACTGGAAACTATTTAAAGATAACATCTATCTGGCTTTTATAACAAACACTTTGATCTTCAGATACACAATAACAGCATTCCACTCTAGCCTAAACAGTCTAATCAAAAATGGTTTACTGTTTGAAAACAATTCATAATATTGGTGAAACAAGCTTTGGTCCATAAACTTGGTCTTGGGAGTCGCATGAGATGAGGGTTCTAATAAGATTTAATTATAACTTGAAGGGAATGAAATTGTTTGTCGTATCTAAACATGATACATTTAAATCAAGGAAACAGAAAACAAAGGGCAAATGGTGTAAATATATCATCCAGGGGGTGGTTTTCTTTTCAAGGCCGTTTTATATTCATCATGCACAGTTCAAAATGTAGTCACGTAAAATATGGTGCTGTGATGTTTATCCGCAATCCTTTCTTCTCAGAACATAAACAAAAATTGTTAAGAACATGGGTCACGTTTGAGTTAAATCTATTTCAATTAATATGTAATTTGTTAAAGGTTCAACGGAATTACGTGCACTTAACATTAACAGAATTTGTTAGATCAAGTTCTGTGGAAATTGGGAAAGTTGAGTGACCCAAGATATTGTAACGAGCTTGATAGGCGATGTTAAGTTGTCATACGTTAAGCCTGACTCCAAACGGGTCACTTCTCTCCGAAATAAATTCGTAATCGACTGTGAATAACTAACTTACAGAAAAATTACAGAAAAAAATCGTGTTCCGTGACAGAAACTGCTTTTCAAAATCATAAAGGCAATAATGAAAAGTCGTCTTTGTGAATAAGTAAAAATATCATTTGAACAATTACAAGTATTACAGTTAATTATACATACAATGAATTTTGCTTTATACTTGCCTGTAAAAGAAGGTAGAAGACTCGCAGTGATCAGAAGAAAAGTTGAAGAAATCATTTCTAAACCACTTTCCGCATAAATAAATCTTCGTCAGCGAAAAATGTGTTTGTCGAGGGCAAATCTCTCCTTCGCAGGGAGATGACAGAAATTATCCGCATTATATATTCAAAGGAAGCAGACAGTCATAGGTAATGACGTCATAGAAATATATCTTTAGAATTCATTAATTTGGATCATAAAATCCGAAAGAGCATCTGGAAATACCGCTAGATATGTAAATTCAAGATATCATTCCATGTATGGCGAGATATAAACATGAGTTCAATGATGCTGGAAATACTCTGGTGGTGGCAGCGGGGGCTGACTTTCCTTGAAGGAGACTTTGAGCAAAAAAGAGAAACGATATGCTTTATTAAGTTCGTATGTTTTGAACTTTCATTTCAGACAATGATACTTAAACGAAATAAAAACACTTAGCCCGTCATGCCACAGATGGCCTCCACAAATGTCTCTACTCATTACGATCTTGGACCCCTTACAATACAGCTATAAACTAAATGATACAAAATATGGGAATCGTATGCTGTATACTTAATTTCGCTCTGAGCTTTTTTATGGGCACCATAGTGGAGCGAAGTTAAATCCCCTCTCTTTGCAATGTTTTAGAGAGGGGTCGAAAGCATTAATTTTACTACACTCAATTTTTATTAGAATGCTATAAATTTTTTCCAGCTTCAATATCTTTAAAAATGTTCATCTTGAGCCAGAATATATTCTTGAAATGTTCTTGTTTTCCTTTATTTCATTTCCAATTTTTAGGCCATGTAGCCCCTCAGTAATATAAAAAGAATTATTAACAGGGTGCCCTGCATTTAAAGATTATATAAACTAGATAAAAGATAATAATTGCAATATAATACAAAAGGATTAAAATAATTAAACTTAAATCTACCAGCTTTTGAAATTGGCGAACTTTCTTGGAAGACACCCTAACCTTCTTAATTTCTAAAGTTTATCCAAATTAACTCATCGGTTATCCACCTTTGTCCACAAAGCCTAAATGTTTGGTCCATGACATTGCGTGACAAACTGTTGCAGATTAGCCATGGGTCAAAGGTTAAGAAAATCAGTGTGGACAAAGTCACGACTACTAGGTCTCTCTGAAAACATTTCTAGAAAAGCCATAGCAAGAATTCTTAGCTTCTAGTTGTACACCAACTATTCTATTCTCACAAGAAAGCCATTTTCTTACAGCAATTTTCTAAAAAAAATCGGTGTAAAAAATCGGTGTAAACGTTGCTTGTTCGAACTTGAGACTTCCACGTGTCGTTTCGGGTTTCGAATAAAGCCTTGTAAATAAAAGATGTTTATTCAAGAATATATTCTGTGGTATTGCTACAAATTCCCAAGTCTTAAGCCGCACCTAAATCCAATTGCCGGTGTTCAATGAAAATTTGATGTCATAAACAGGCACGGCGCAACTGGGAAGCTAATGGGCCGAAGCCCCCATCCCCGCTTTTTTCCAGATAAGAACTTTTTACCGTTTTTTCTATTACTTTTTAAAACAGAGTATAAAATTCTTACAGAGAATTTTCTTATTCTTACCATTTGTCTATCATTTGCATTAATTCAGTAATTCATTTTCTGTATCATTGCAATGTCTTATTTCGGATGTGTAAACGAAGCTTTCTCGAGACAAGAAAGGTGCACATTTATGTTCAGGAAATAATATTCTCCCAATCCATACAACAGCTTCGTGTCATTTACATTGTAGCCATTAGTTTTTAATCATTAGCAATGTAGTTGTATGTAGTTTAATGTTGCCTGTTGGCCATGGGGTAGTGATTATCTTTCACTCCCCTTGGTATCGTCCATGTGGTGTAGTATAGTAACTAGGATAAATATAGTAGAAAGTAACATGTTTTATAATATTTTATATGCATAGAAAGAAAGATCGATCTAAAATCGACACCAGCTCTCACCCAAGCTTTACAAGAGATCCTGGCGAGAAAAAACTTCAAAGGAGAAGATGAAGAACAAAACGAACTAGATAGCTTCCTGATTCTGAATTCGATAAAATTTTAGAGAAATTTCATAGATTATGATCATTGTTACTATTATTTATTCGCCTTTTATATTATAATGCCCTTTTATAAGCTTTATGTGTCTACTGGTAGTTGCTGCCATTTTACTTTTTCACTACTAAATCGCTTTTTTTTTAGTTTTATCACTGCACAAAATTCCAGTTTATCACTGCAAAATTACGATTTATCATTTCACAAATGGTTCATAGCTGCACGTTAAAATAAACCCTGTCTATTCATTTTGGAGTTGCTGCGTTAACGAGTTTTTATTACCTTATTAATTCAAGTTAAAAGCGTTGTCTGCTTACAGTAACGCCGACCATTTCGGACAAAATATTTTCGGACATAAAATTTTTTTCCACGAAATTCCGGATGATTCAAAAAATAACGGACAAACACAAAGGCACTCTTATTTTATTCAAAATATCACATTGCACAATATTCAGCTCAGAATAGTTTATTTTTCACTTGACTTAACATAAAAGTCACAAGTTTTCGAAGAGGTTCCCACTACGAATTTCATTTCTCTCAATGGGGTAATGCCTGCTTACGATTGGTGAAAAGTTCACCATAGCAGATGTCAAGCGAAGGTATCCTGCAAAGGTAACATTGATTCAAGGAAATTACAGAGTTGGCGAAGTAGAGCCGGATGAAAAAAGTGAATGAAACGAAGATATGAATGTTGACTAAGATAAAAGTATTACAAAAGACAATATAATAACTATCGAAGGTGATCAGCAAGTTTATGAGGATTAGTCAATTTGACAAATTATGATACTGTTTCACTTTGTAGTTTGCCCTTAAAACAGGATTTCTTTAAAGGCTAAATATTTGCGAGCAAGCCATCTAATTTGAATAGTGAAACAATTTTCAGTAACTTTTCTTTAGTGTAAAATATTTCGGTCGGTAAAAAGTAAGGAACACAAAGAAACACGGACGGTAAAAACTTCTGACGCAACTACTGTTGAATGTATAATTCAATGTGGCCCAAGATGAAACCTTAGATCCATACCTGAACCCATGAGGGGTGCCATAAAGCTAAATTCTTAATCGAAATTAGGTGCATGGATGACGCTCAAACTGTTGAGAATCTTGCAAGAAAAATTGAAGGAATCCTAAAAGTGATATTGGGTATGCACTGAGTAAATATGATCAAGCAGGCTTAAGCGATAATGGGAAAAAGACGAGAAATGTTAATATGAGAAATGACTTTTAATGCCTTTTCAATGGGAAATAAGCTGGAGGGGGGATAAGCCTTTGTTGATATAAAGATGAGAACACTAGCCAATCGCTTTAAACAATGGAAGGTCACTTTGGCTGGAGGGGCAATTGCCCCCTAGTTAGTATGCTAAAAAAGGCTCTGACAAGGAACTACAAATATATCAGCCTTCCGTCTGACAAAATAAATCTTCTTTGCTCATAAATGATACCACTGATTGTGAAAACCCTTCTATGATTTCCAGGAAAAGATTCAACGGGCATTTTCTTGGAATAAATTGACAAAAAGTGTCTCAATAACAAGAGAAGTATACCTTGACTGGTGTATGCATTTGCGAAAACGAATAAGATCCTCCTTCACATCACCCATCCCAGACATAGAAACCAAATTCCAGTCCCCACAAATCTGGGTTTATGTCAATAAAAAAGAGCACGCATGGAAAACAGTTTGTTGTCTGTCGTCTGTGTATTACATAGAATAAAAGACAGCAATTGCCGGATAAGAGAACCCTGTTATGGTAGACAACAGACTATACTACTAGAGGGAAGGTGGGTAGAAGGTGGGCTGTTGTGCCATTTGGAAACCAAAAGTAGCGTAGTACAAGAGTTACAGGGCAAGCTCCAGCTATAAAAACATGACACGAGCCTTGATTGGGTGGAATGTAAAAAAGCTCGATCTGCTTCGTTTTCTTTGGTGCTTTTGTTTGTTACACGTCACTGATTGTTACACGTGACGAAGAACAGAAAACAAAACTGAGCAGTGTACAAATATTTTTTTCGATTTGGTTTATATGTCTACATTAATATACTGCTGGAAATTGAAAAGATAAGCTTAAAAAATGACAAAAAACATCGTGCTACTACTCTACTGAAGAAAAATAATCCGAGCATAAAGCGTGATACGATCTGTAATAGAGTATTTTTATACGTGGTATCAAAGTGCAAAAACAACCTAAATTTTGGGCAACCTATTCCAACCATTTCCTATCAAATAAAAAAGATTTAACAGAATGGTCAAATTAAGAAAAATATCAATCGACAAAAAGTGAGGCAAATTCGAAGCATTGCCAACAGGCAACTCTATAGGAGAGAACCTTGGGAGAATGTGCACCGTACCATTTTATCAATTCAAATAAAATGGAGACTATATAATGCGTGAATTGCGTCCATAGATATCTCGTAAATTTGAACAGTCAAAACAGATGGTTCAAAAAGATTAACTATGTTTTAAAGTGACGTCTCCAAGCAATGGCTGGAAATTATGTCTAGAAAGATGTATGGGACGATAAAAAGAAGATAGTATCTTCAATTTGGTAAAAAAGTGAAGATTGACACGTCAACATAAGAGATGACAGAAGCTTTGTAAGGAGAGCCTAAAAATATTAAAGGTAAAGAAAAAGGGAAAGCCCCCTAAAACGTTGGGCAAAACAAACACGTGAAGACCTGAGAACCCCCTCACAAACACTGATGCGCAAGCTAAAGATCGCTCTGAATGGACAGATTGCGTCAAAGTCATAATCTTGCATATAAACCAGAAGTTCGCTATGGAAAAAGTTATTGTCAAACAGTAAGCTACAGATTGTAAATTTGGTACAGGAAATGAATAAACTACTTAACGCTATAAAAATTCACCTGTTCCTTGCTCAAAATAAAGACATCCTATCGAGCAATAATTTCCGAGAGGAACTCAGATCATGTTAATAGACTTCAAAGAGGATTCTTGAGTAGGAGAACAGTTAGAAAAGTTATAAAAAGTTCTGTTGCGAGGGTGGTAAAAATAATGGCTTAGAAATTTTGGAAATGTTCCCAATCTAATGAGGAGACGGAAACCTATAATCACATCTTACATTCACTAAGGCGGGCCTAAAACAATACATGATACAGAAAGAAAGAAAAAAGAAGTAAGAGAGGGGGACAATGTCACTTTTGTGATGTTAGTTCTGAAAGTGGATTAGATATAAGAATTTAGGAAGCAAAGAGGAGGCAAAGAATTCCAAAGTTTGCAATTTCTGAGAAAAAAAGAATATTTATGACACACGATTCATTAACTAAATAAAGATGCTCTGCAAGGAAATGAAATCATGGTACAAACAGAGTTCTTTTTTAAAACCAATCGAAAGTTCTAGCACAGATTGAATGAGGAATATAAATGATAGGAGTAGCCGTGGATAATTTTTCAAGAGACGGATATTTTTCCAAAATCTTATCCTTTTTCATTGCATTAATTCTGCCTTTCATCAACTGCTGAACAGATAAAACTGAACATACGCCATGGATTTCCAACAACAGCAGCATTTGAAAAAGTTGTATAAAAATATCACATGATCAATAAAATACATTCACGTGTCCATTCATATATCACCACGTGCAATTCATTTATCTTCGCGTGTTTATGACAAAAGTTGTCGTCAAAAATCAGCAGGTCTTTGTTCATCCTTCCAACATATAAATCTTCATTTTCATCCAAACAGTTTTACGAAACAGGAATGGCAGTAGGGCTTGTCGTTCTGTTCTTTGAACGTACCTTTGTTCAGCTGCTTCAGGCAAAAAGCGCAAATAAAGTGTTCCGGGTGGAACTTCCGGTGCATTGCAGTAATGCACCGACCCGTGATCGGTTTCTGGCAACTGTAGCATAGCGATCCGCGTCTTGCATGGTAGTGCATCTCGCAGTAGGGCATGCCTTCGTGTTCAAAGAAGCTGCCCCCTTGAAATGGCTGGCGGCATTCCTGCACAGGAAAGAAGGAATCATGATGCATGTATAAATTTTTGATAATTTCCACAAAAGGGAACCAGTTAAATTGCGGACTATACTTATTTTATCATTTATTCATGATAACCTAACCAATTTCTCATATTTACAATCAGACCTTATATTCAGTTAATAGAAATTAAGTCGATACATTAAAAGCCTGATAGCAACCAAATTTCGAGGAATTCCTACCTTTTAACTTCCTCACAAAACGAGATGAATCAAGAGGAAGTGCATCTGTCCTGCAGGCAATCGCACTCAAACAAACTACAACTTAGACTGTATCATTATTTCAAACTTAGAATTAGGCCCTTTCAACTCATCAGTTCTCACAAACAAGCCGATAAACTTTTATGATGAAGCTGAGATGGCTGACATTGGAAGCAAACAGGACGAATGGAGTTTCGTGCCTTAAGTGACAATTACCAAATTTTATAGATTGACACAATTAGAACTATCCTGTTCTATAAACCAAAGTGTCTACCGTACTACTGACATGGCACCAAGCACTATATGACAAATCGGTAAGCGCTAATTTTCATGATCACACACCTTTACAACAGACAAATAAAGGCTTGTGGGTGACAATAAAATGACAAAGTTGTTTACGTACCATACACACAAAGCATTCTGGGTGCCAATGTCCGTTCAAGGCGGTAATATAATTATCCATAATAGCCCTGTCACAGCCGCTACACTTTGGGGCAAAGAGGCCATAATAATCATCACGACAATAAGGTTTGCCATCCTTCTCGTGATAGCCACTTTCCCCAAAGGGTTTGCCGCACTGTGCACAAACAAAGTGCTCTGGGTGCCAAGTCTGATCCATCGCAGTGACACAGGACTGCAGAGGGAAAAAGAAATTGCAAATATATCACCTCCTATTTGGGATCAATTTCAAATAATACTGATCCTACTACACTAATACACCTATTTTACAAGACACTCTTACACCAAAAGACATGTTGTTACACCAAAAGAAAGTTGGTCAAGATATCTGCCAAGCATCCAATTTGTCCTGTCCGGGCCTAAATATGTGCAGTTGTTATGAGGTGAATAGCTACAAAAATTGTTTGAACTGTAAATAGGTTAAGACATCGATATCATCATAATTCAACTAACATAACAAGTATATTCAAAATAACAATCTGATTCTCTTTGCTGAATTATTCATTTTTCAAATGAGAAACAAAACACAAAAAAATCATGGCTATGTTTTACAGAAAATCGGATATCTTTTTCATCATCATCAGGTACCGTCTTCTTCTATCAGAAGGTTGGCTACCATGACCCTCAAACTATCCCTATCCACAGAATATCAAAATCTGAGTTTTGGTTTGTTGTCATGGTCATATGTTTTATCTATGACCATATCTTTTTATTGCATATAAACCAAAAAACATGCTTTTCATATCAAAATCTCAAGAATGCATGAAAAAATGGGAAAATAATTCAGCAAATGCAAGTAACTGAACGTTTGTGAATTTTGTGCAATCTAGAGAACCAAGCTATAAATTCTAAAAATCGATAATAAATTGCATATCATAAAAGCATCATTTATTAAGAACCCAAGGGCATTCATAAACGAATACCACACGAAAATAAATTTAACTGTATAAAAAACTTTGCCTCTCCTCATGGGAACAAAAAAAATCCAAAAAGTGAAGTCAGCCTAGCCTAGGAAATTTTACAACATCCTCTGATATTGAAAATGAAAATATTCAACAATATATAAAGTAATACAAAACTAGAACAAAATTATTGAGCCACTTAGCACAGAACCAAGTAAAATTTTGGAAGCAACCAACACAGAATTATGTATATCACAAATCTGGTTTACATTATTACATGCAGCTTTCAATTCACGATGAAAAACAATGTACTTACATCAAGAATCGGTCCTTCACAATAGGAACACCTTGGTGCAAATTGCTCATGATAATCTTGCTCACAATATGGCTTCCCATCTCTCTCGAAAAAGGTTTTCGTCCCTAACGGAACTTCGCAGACTGCACATGTAAAATGTTCCGGATGCCAAGTTCTTCCGAGTGCGGTACAGACCTGTCCTACGATAGGTTTACTACAAGCTGCACATACACCTTTGGTAACAGTAGCGACCCCCTGGCGAGACATGTCGGATTGCAGGTTTCCAAGCATAGAGTCCAGCTGGTTTATCTTCGCAGCTCCTTTACAAAAATCAAATCAATGATAGGGTCAGCAAAAAACAGTTGCTATCTTGTAAAAAAATTATATCAAAGAATCGGGTTTTATTTTTCGAAAACAAAATCACAAAATTTGGAATGGTTACTTATAAATAACACAGGTTTACAGCAACAGCTTGGCAAAAAGCGTTGACAATTTCACCGGCATATTTGAAAGTTTTGTTTTCACATTTATTTACAGAAATTCATTTGACGTTCATTTGAAAAAGATAGAAACATATTCAGACTTCACACAACTTGAAATTCTTTATTTAAGAAAACGCTCGTGCTTGAAAAAAGCAGTAGATTTAATAAAAGGGAAGACTTCTTAATATACTAAAAGAAATATTAATACCGATTATTTCGAAACAAACAACCATTTACCATCCACATAACCAATTACATTACTTATCGATTTTCAAGAATGTGTTATCAAAAAGATCTTTGCAAGAAACATTTTCTCGCTGAAATAAATATATGTGCGATTTCATGAATCAGAAAAAGCAGACAATAAAAAACAGAACTACCTGATTTTCCTTTAAGCGATGGTTGCTTGTCAACTTTCGCATAGTCGGCAGTTTTTGATGCCATGCCACTGGGGGGAGGTTCCTTTTGTGCAGCCTGTTCAGGGGGTAACGCAGCAGAGAGGGTTGGTACACGAGAATCCCGCTGTACGCTCACTCTAAAGTCTGACAACGAGGCCATTAGGTCGTCAAGCTCTTTGGTGGCGCTTGAAGCTAGAAATAAATTTATGAAAACATAACGTACAATAATGGTTTTGTCAAGCAAAATCACTAGATTGTGTGTTAGCTAGCGATTTCTCGTCTTTTAACTGGGTTCCATGCAGTAGCACTAGATGGTGTGTCTGCCAGATAATTTTGTTCTGTAAACTGGTTACTGGCGTTTAGGCAAGGTCGAACAAGTCCCATAGCTTGTGACTGTCTGATTTCCATCTCAGGAATGCAACTCACGTGTATAATTTTGTCACAAGACTGATAAAGCTAGTTGTATTTTTTCTGGAAATTGTCAGATTTTTTCGTTAAATATCTAGTTGCTACCTGGACATGGCGAGCAATACACGATGTCACAAAATTTGGGCAGTCGGCGACGCCCAAACTAAACATTTCATATCATGAAGTATTTCATAACTAACAACAATAAATCAAATGGCTGAAGCAGCAATGGCCTAAGAAATACTCAGCTCAACCGATATGATGAATATAGAGGCACAGATATGCAGCATTAAGCTACATGAAAACAGTTTCTTACCATCAAAAAAGTCATCGTCCTGAAGGCTTTTAACATTCATGTTCGTTGTTAAACAGGACAGAAGGATCATAGAGAAATCGGTTCCAAGCAACAGAACTTGAATATACATACAAATTCATTGTGGCTAGGAGGGTGGGTTTAGCTGAAAGTAAACCGGCTTAATTGTCAAGGATCGTTTGATGTGAACAATCCTAATAAAGAGATAAAACTTTTCACTATTATGACCAGACGAAGAACGGCATGCACGCCTGATTTTATGGCTTAACTATGAAGAGAACAATCTCAAAGCACATTTCTGTGATAACCTACTCAAATGCATAATATAACGTAGAAACATTCATTGAGGTAGGAATTCTAGGAAAATCGTTCAGTCAACCCTCTTGTGAAGCGCTTGATCATGCTTCGCGTTATATCATAGTTCAAGGCTACGCGTTTATGACAAATTTCCTGCAAAATTGTCTTTAATGATAGAAGAGACTAAATAAAGCTATTTGAAAAACATTTCGCAAAAATAGCTAGAACTTATACAATTAACTGGATTGATATATGTGATTAGTGGCTACTGAGTTCACCAAGGTGTTTGTCCTTCGCTTGGCGATTGAGGTAGCTTTCCTTGAAAAAAAAATGAGAATAAGGTACAGGCTGGGTGTGACAACTTAATTATTTTGCTTCTCAATGACTATCTTGTGGCCATCTGCGGTGTACCAGTCATATTTTTGTCCACTCTAAGCAACTTTGTTGTAATTTCGATCAAAATGGCTATAAAACAAAGACTGATTCTGCTTGGGTTTCGTCACTGGCAATTCAGTTTGGCCAGCCCGAATATAACGCCAACTTGGCCAAACAGGTAAGCTACCACAAAACGCAGTGAAATACAAAGCCTCGCTTTTCTGATCCCTCGATAATCGATTTAAATAGGATTTGTTGAATGGCGCAGTTGTTTGAGCGCAATAGAATTACTGTTTTAAAATCAGAAGACACTCAATGAAAACAAAGTTTTCAGCGCTGAAAAGCTCTTGATTGTAATGAACGGGAGCGAATATCCGATTAAACAACAGTTTTAACACGAGTGAAGATTCGGATACGAGACTGCTGAAGGAAAAAGGAGGCAATGGAAAAGTAATCGGACAATGGAGCCACAGAAGGCCATGGAAATTATTTTTGACTCCAAGGGAAATTTAAAGTTGTAGGTAGTCGGGTAACGGACTTTGGTTACAGTAAGGAATAAAATTAAGAGCCCCAAAGAATTTCTTCAGAAAAAATGTGCATGGACCGAAGGATTTTTAAATTGACTGCTAGACTCAACTGGATATATGAGTAGCAGCACATAATTATATAAAATATAGCAGTTCGGTGACACGATGACAAACATGAAGTATTTTACATGTTATCAATAGAATAGAATAAGATCCAAAAACGAGAAGACGAGGTTAGCGTGGGTGTGGGTGGTGTAGTGTGAACGGGGTGGGGAAGTGTGGGTCGAAATGACAGTGATGATGGGAAAAAGCGAACAGTGGCTTGACTCACAGTTGCGAGTTCTGTAAGATATCAGGGTCATCCTCACACGCCACGTCAAGACTGGACAATAAACCTGAACTTCCAGCTCAGATTGAAACTCTTTCAAAAGTCTTCAACAAAAGAAGTAAATCCAACAGTCATTAGATTTTGATGATTTGAGCTATTAAGACTACTTTTTCATTCCCTGGCATGTTAGCATCAGACCTTAACATGCTTTAAAGCAAGTTCAAGCAAGTTTGAGCTGTACAATGGTATCTTTTTGGGAATGTGACCCCAATTAATTCCTGTTGCTTTGAGACAAATCGATTTCCCACCATTGATACATAGTAAGGAAACATACTTATAAATACCAAATTCAAAGATATATTCACACTATAGGACTAATGCACTGGTTTAGATGTAAATATTTACTTAACATACCTGTTTTAGAAGGCAACGTGCCATCATTTGAAAGACCAGCCCTTCCGGCAGCAGGGCGTCTCTCAACTACAGGGGCTGGTGTGGGAGCAACAGCACTGTCAAGTTCATCAAGGAGGGCTTCCACTGAAAAAACATGGGTGAATTTAAGTATATTAACTCAGATTTTGTGAGAAATGATTCGCAATAAGAAAAATCTGTTTGGAGCATCACTGATGCAGATTGATACCTAATTCATAAAAGATATTGGCAGCAACGGATGCATCCCAAATACACTTTCTACACTAGATTACAAATGTATCTTATCTTTCAGAGGAGCAAAATATCTATTTAGGCAACCAGAAATGTTTTTAGCTTCAAAAAGATTTTAGCTCAGTCTTTATCTAGAACAGTAAACATTCAAATGAGAATAATATGCCTAAAATCCAACTTTTGAACAAATAAGTCTTGATCATTCTTTCTTCATCATTCTATTTCTTTTTTCACATTTCATATACTTCTTTAACTGATTTTCATTGATCAAAAATAAGATGCAGACCCTAGCTGAGAAATGCCCCCAAGTGCTATTTTTAGACCTTCACTAAGTCCCAGACCCCAAAAGAGTTTAATCTAAATATGCTGCTGCAAGTTGTGATGCCAGCATAAAAATTGGTAGAGATGAGTAGTTTGATATGCTCAAAAAGACAGGATGCAGACCCCAACTGATAAATGCCCCCAAATGCTATTTATAGACTGTTGTACTAGGTCCCAGGCTCCAAAAGCGGTTTTTCTAACAATGTTGCTGCTAGTTGTGATGCCAGCATAAAAATTGATAGAGATGAGTAGTTTGATATGCTCAAAAAGACAGGATGCAGACCCCAGCTGAAAAATGCCCCCATGTGCTATTTTTAGACTGTTGTTCTAGGTCCGATGCCCTAAAAGCGGTTTTTCTACTACAACTAGCAACTGCTAGTTGCGATACCAGCATGGAGATTGGTAGAGATAGGTAGTTTGATATGCTCAAAAAGACAGGATGCAGACCCCAACTGATAAATGCCCCCAAATGCTATTCATAGACTGTTGTAATAGGTCCCAGGTTCCAAAAGCGGTTTTTCTAACAATGTTGCTGCTAGTTGTGATGCCAGCATAAAAATTGGTAGAGATAATTAGTTTGATATGCTCAAAAAGACAGGATGCAGACCCCAGCTGAAAAATGCCCCCATGTGCTATTTTTAGACTGTTGTTCTAGGTCCGATGCCCTAAAAGCGGTTTTTCTAACAATGTTGCTGCTAGTTGAGATGCCAGCATAAAAATTGGTAGAGATGAGTAGTTTGATATGCTCAAAAAGACAGGATGCAGACCCCAGCTGAAAAATGCCCCCATGTGCTATTTTTAGACTGTTGTTCTAGGTCCGATGCCCTAAAAGCGGTTTTTCTAACAATGTTGCTGCTGTTGAGATGCCAGCATAAAAATTGGTAGAGATGAGTAGTTTGATATGCTCAAAAAGACAGGATGCAGACCCCAGCTGAAAAATGCCCCCATGTGCTATTTTTAGACTGTTGTTCTAGGTCCGATGCCCTAAAAGCGGTTTTTCTAACAATGTTGCTGCTGTTGAGATGCCAGCATAAAAATTGGTAGAGATGAGTAGTTTGATATGCTCAAAAAGATAGGATGCAACCACGAAGACGCCAACACTAGCTTAGGCCTTCTGAAAATCTGCATATGAACAGTTGATACTTATGTAGTCGTCACGGCTCTGTCAGTATTCGACAACTTATATTATTTTTATGCATAGAAATCGATTGCACACAGGCTAACCCAGTTGAAACAAATGTCTTCTAGAGGTAGAGGTGTTTTCTATTTCTATATCTTAACATTATTCACGGTTCTACCACATTCGATTGGTGGAAGATTAGCTTTACCGAGTTCTGATAAATAAGTTTTGCCGGAAGATTAACGTGACCTGTGAATAAACTTAGCGGAGGCTTCGCAAGCATGCTACAATCTTTTAAAATGCAGCTGTAAGAGGAATTGCTCTTCAAGATGCAAATACAATAATGTACAAATCTTGAATGTACTTAGCAGGGGTATCGTGGAAAGTGACTTTCAGGGTTGGCACCGACTGCAAATTTTCCGACAATGGGTTTACATTAAAATCAATGTTGTCATCATGGACATGCGCAATTACTTCAAATGCTGAAAGACATATATGTATCTTTGCAACGTTAATTTTACTTGCATTTTCTCCCAACTGGTGGTTTCAGTAAATCATTCAGAGAAAATGCAACGTCCGTATTCAAACTCTGTTTGATTATCAGTAGTTATCAGTAAACGGTAATTATAATCAGCAGTAAGACACGCAATGAAAATCGTAAAAATCTAAATAAATGAACTGGATGATTTTCAGTGCATGAAAAGTCTCCTTAGCAATGTTATGTCAGCTAAACTGTTGATTACTCTACCATAACTAACAGTAACAGCTGAGACAAGCTTAAAATTCATTATCATTTGAAGATGGCACGAAATAGCGGAAACATGGCATACTAAAGTTTATCATCATGTTGATCGCAGCCTGTTTTTCACATACTTGAGCTGTTTCAAGGTCCATACACATTTGGTAGAGCCAATTTGCAAGATTGTGAAAACTTGTACTGCGGGTTTGACCGCGAGTTTGCCTGTCATCAAAAACTTTCTCTTTTTTATTCTTTTTATTTACTCTTTTTAATGTTGGTTGTTTTCAAATGTTGGTTATCCAATATTTTTTTCATTCACTTTATTCCCCGTCTACATCTATCTCGGCAATCTCCTTCTTATACTTATTCTATTTGAACTCTAAAATTTTCTATAAACGACTAATAGTCCTCAGCCGAACAGATATGAAATTCCCGAAGAAATTCAGAGTAGTCTGCTAGGGGGCATGTGCACCCTGCCTCCCACCCCTACAAAACATGACACCCCTGGTACTGAGCTCTCCAAAAGTGTAGGACAATGTCAATGAATAAATACAACATATTTATATCCTTTCATTTGTTACCTCTGTGCTTGAACAGTTAATACTTCCCTAGAGACCTGGGTCGGATATCGAATACCTAAAAATAATTTTGCGGGCATTTTCATATGAGATTGGCATATCGCGGTCTTCAGCATTGCACTTTGACTATCTCTACCAACTTTCATGTTGGCAACACAAATTGCAGCAACATATTTAGAATAAACGCTTTTAGGGACTGAGATCTAGTGAAACTCTAAAAATAGCACTTGGGGGCATTTCTCAGCTAGGATCTGCATCCTATCTTTTTGAGCATATCAAACTGCCAATATCTTCCAAATTTTATGCTGGTATCACAACTTGCAGCGATATCATTATAAATTGCTTTGAAAAAAGCAAACATTTTACGACATACTAAAAGCTTTTTCGTCTGACACTCCTCAGAGCATAAAACGTCAGAATAAGGTTTCGAAAGAACACGATGGAAAATATATACCCAGTTGTGGATCGAAATAGGCCAATCAGAAAAACGCAAGCACAAGACCGGTATATTTGACCAATCAGTGCCACGAGCCTAAAGAAAAATTACCAATGGAGTCCAAGGGAGAAAACGAACTCCTTTTGTCTACACAATGGCGGCTTTTTCGTTTTTATGTAGATTGACTCCAAAACTGCTAGATGGAAGGACGACCGGGCTCTGCCAATTATCCGAAACATGTCGTCATTATAGAGTTTTGCACAATCTGGGTTGTCTAAAAGATGTTGACCGATGGCAGAATCACTTGTTATCACCGATGGCAAAATCACGATGGCAGATATCATTATAATAAATGCTTTTGGGGCCTGGGACCGAGTACAACAGTCTAAAGATAGCATTTGGGCCATTTCTCAGCTAGGGTCTGCATCTTATCTTGTTCAGCGCCTAAAACTACCCTTGTGGACGAAGTTTCATGCTGAAATCCGATTTTGCATAACATTTTGGCTAACAGTCCTGACTACTACATAAAATATACAACTCAATCTCTATAAAAAAGAAAATGTTTCTATATTACATTTTGTATTCAGCTTCAGTCATTGTTTTTTTTGCTGTATTTGATTTGGCCACTTGAGATGATTCACACTAAGTAACCTCTTAAAGCATACTTTACAAATCAAATTGGTGTGTCGTTTACCTTGCTTTCAGCAAATATCTAGCATTTGAAAAAGCTGAATCTGAGGCATAATGCAGATTACACAATTTTTTGCAAACGAAAAATACATTAATGCAACCCTCTGACTGACAACAAGGTTAAGATAAATACAAAACTTTAATTAAATTCCCACCTTTAGTTGAAAGCAAATTGGATTGCTGCATCAAGCTTTCTGGACCTATAATGAAAATAGCATGACAATGATTGTAGTGGTATGAGAAGCTACATGACATTACTCTTCAACCCCAGAATTTTAACATAAAGACTAGAAACAGTGATACCTGGGATACTTTAAAAATACTGAGACTGGACCCTTATTCAAGTGTGTAGAGCATGTCGAACAACATAGAATGTTGTAAAAACAATTGCTTTTCTCAGTAGCTAGTGCAGAACTGAGTTGTTTCCTTGGTGAACCTGAGCAAATTCTTAAAAACATGGATGCATAATTGATTTGTGGGCCCTATTTGATCTGGATCCACTGCCACAAAGCAATCTGGCTATGACAAAAACAACTTGATTGGTGTACTTTTTAATGTTTTAAATTAAAAGCAGCATGAAAAAAATTCAAACCCTTGGACCTCAGAAAAATAACTCTAGGAGTAGTGATCCTTGTTGCTTTGACAGCTGTATGTTTTCATTCTTATCAGTAAAAATTTTATTGATAAAGATGTGGATTTTTGTTGCTTTATTTGTTAGTAATTTCAACCTTCAATATCAAGATTCAGTATCAATGTCAAAGAGAAAGCTTTTAAAAATCTACCAGATGTTGCAGGTTGATCAGAGTTTCGTTGAGAGTCTCTTGGTGATGAACTGGCATTTGAACCTTTCAGACTTTGCCTTGATGAAGTACTTCCTACAAGTTTAGAAATAAAATGACTGGTGAATAACTTTCTTGCTGACATAATGAAGACTAAAAAAGCAATTCTGTCAACAACCCAGGAAAATTAAATTTTGTGTTTGATATTTGATGGACCTGAAACTGGGATTATATTGAGACAATTGAATGTACATATACACTTGGGGTACAAAAGTATGAAAACGATAGTCAACTATGGCAAAAATGTTCGCAGTTTTGAAGAAGCACAACATACTTTGTTCATACTTAAATCTGGATACATTTACGTTTGTTCTGAAAATAAAATTATTACTTGGAAGATTCTTTTTGGTGAGATATTTGCCTGCAGATTGTTGATAATGAAACAAACACTGTTTAAAGGTGACGTTTAGTGACAAAAATAGTTTATTGCCTAAAAACATAAACAGCTATGATTTAAATTATTCTGTTCATGTTACAAAAGCACAATGAAAATAAAATGTTTAACTAAATTTTTTGAATTGTTACTTGTGTAGATGATGAACACATTAAAGATTCAAACCACAGTCTTTTTGGTCAAATGAACAGCGACTCATTTGGTGTCAATAATGAAACTTTCAAGCCCTAGATTTCTGCTAAAACAGTTTTCTAAGTAATAATCTGGTCATCAGAGCAAATCTTGAAGTTCCTTTTTTCAAAAAAGCTTCATTTTGTTGTCACTATTTACAAATGCTTCAGAAATTTTGTAGAGAACCAATTTGAAGCAGTGCTTCAATGTTTTACTGAATTTCTTCCTTTAAATAGCAAACTAATCATTCAATTTTGTTTTCAACTTAAACTCTGTAAGATGATGAATGCGTTTTCGTGCCATTAACTATCGTTCCCAAGCCCCTTCACCTAGTAATTTTGTTTCAGAAATTTATCGCCTTAGGCCCTTGGCCACTGTGAGCCGCCATTTTTAACTACCCTTTCCATACTTTTGTACCCTAAGTGTAGTTCTTTTAATTGAGTTGATTCATCAACAAAATTCAAACACATTCTTGCTAAGTAAATTTTGATAACTTCTATAGTCATTCAACAATAGTAATGGTTGATAATGTTAAATTTGAATTTATTTAGTAATGAAATGAGACATTCTATGAAAGGAACATTAACTTACCCTGGCTTTTCCGTTTCAGGCTTTCCTCATCACTACTTGCTTCTACAATTGAAAATTTAATTGAAAAACATTTGCTCACATGTTTGAACAATAGTGTTATATTTCTTGAATATCTGCTTCCATTAAACCCAAAGAAAATTAATTCGTGTTTTCAGTAATCAATTTGTTAGCTTCTTTTTCAAATTTATTCAAACAGAAAGAGTACTTGCTTGAAATTTACACTGAGGTTACAAGGCATCTGAATTTAATTACACAAATACTTAAACATATATAATAAAAAATAGCTCTGATAATCCTGTGTAACTTCCTGCAACACATAGGGCAACGTCAGCCTGACTGAACATACTTAGCAACTTTGTATTTATACAAACCATATAAGTTTAATGTGAAAAGTTTGAGAGACTGGGACTAAACCATGACCAAAAAGGCAAGTCATCTGCTTATACCATTTTCTCAAAAAACTGTATACATAGAACTGAATTAATGAACAAAGTATTGGATTTGATGCATGAAATGAAAATAATGTCTGTCATTTTGTGCAAAAGATTTGGTGTCAAACTGTAAAAGTCCTATTTTCTTTTTTTACAACAAGATATAAACCTAAAGCTCTTAGACAACAAAGGCAACAAATACTCTCAGACAAAGTCATCAAATTCCTAGACATATGTAAATGGCACTTACAATATTAATATATCCATATTTCATATTCATATTTATTAAATAAACATTGTTACTCTAGCAAGCAAGAATAAATAAACAACCAAAAAACAAACCAACAAAAAAACAAAACAGAAACAAAACCAAGGGTTAGCTGCATTTTGGTATTATCCAATCAAGCCCTTTTGTTAAATTAATTATTGAACTTTCTATAATCATTATCCAACAATTGAGATCCAAATAGAAGCAATGCGCCTAAGGATTTTGTACCACAATGTGAGATGTCTAAACCAGGAATTTCTGAGAGTCAACCAAGGTTCCTTGATCCAATTTACTACGATCCTTGTAAAAGCGTCAATATAACATACTCAAGATTGAGAATATATAGATTTTTGCTAACATGTTGGCCTGCAAGAATTGTCTACTATTGTTTGCAAGTGTGTATTAGCTTGATAATCAAATTGCAATGCAAAAGAGAAAAAAACTAACTTGTATCCAGCAATACTCAATCATGGTGATACTACCCTACTTTGCCAAAGTCATTATATATTTCAATGCTATTCACGATCATAAAACCTAACAACCACAATATATACAATATTGTATTCAACAAAAAAGGTAGAAAGTCCTAAAATTCAATACATATTTAAAACATTGATTAGGACATGGATATAAATATGCAATTTGAATGTCAACAGGTGCTAAGTAAAGTCTATCCTGATCTCAAACATTTGTGTATCATTTTTAGCAGGTTTGAAAGAAAACTTGTTATTTTGAGGAGAAATAACCATAGGCCTAAATACAATTTTCTTTATGACTTACTCTTTTCGTTGAGATCATCTAGTAGGTTATCTAATTCTGATACACTTGTTTCTGGTTTTCTTGGTGGAATTGGAGAATATGAGAATGGTTTTCCAGCAGAAGGACTTTCTTTTCCATTGCTTTCATGTCCATTCACTTTTTCATTAGCATCGAAAGATGTCACCCCTGCAGTTCCTTGCAGGTCTGCCAATAATGCATCTATAAATTTCATAGAATACAATATTACTTACAATCAATTGAATTACAAACCCTTGATATCAAGGGTCTTATAAATCTTAAAGCATTGATCCAGTATGATCACAAAAGTTTGAGCAGTGGATAATTTAAACTTCAAGATGGATTCCTTAACAATGGTAGTCTATTAAATTGGTGGATTTGCCATATTTTCTCTAAAGAACAACTCCTTAAGAAAGTTCCCAACCTAAAAAAACACCCCCTGAAACCATCAAGAATGTAAGAAGCATTTACCCTCATAAAGTGCCCCCCCCCAATCACAAAAAACTTACAAAAGTAATGTATAGTAACATATGTAATCAGTTACTAAATTTCTAGATAAAATATGGCACTTAAGTTATTATGTTTTTTCATACATAAATTCACAATGTGTGTATTTTGTTCTAGGTTTTGTAGCTCATCATGTAAAATGCCTGCTAGTCTAGCATCAATCCTTATAGCCTTAAAATTTCCTGGAGAAAGAGACCAATTTCATGCTAATGTTTTCTTGTTGGACTTGCAAACAGTTAATTTTTTGTGAAAAACTGAGCGAAATGTCAAAAAATTGAAAGCACCCACCCTTCAAAAAGTGTCCCCTTCAAAAATTTTTTCACTCAGAACCATCAAAAATTTAAAAAGTGTTGAGGGTGCCTTTTAGAAGAAACAGTGCAAGGGAATAGTCAGAAAAAAAGCAAAACGATGACGATAATCCAATACGTTGTAAAATCAAATTTCAAAATAAATTGTTAGTTTTACATTTAACTTATTTTGAAATTCAGTTCTACAAAGTATTCAATTTTTTTTTTGTTTCCCAACTATTAACTTATTCATGTTACTTCTCATTGCAAGATTCAAAGAATCCAGTGGGCAGCCTTTCCTGGGATTCTTCCTTCTTACATACAAATATGGTACAGCCATATTTTAAAAATTCATGTCATAATTTAACACCATCTGCATAACTGAGAAACTGAGTAGATTAATTATATTGTTCTTGACTTTAAAATAGTACTCCAACTCCCTCCAATATCTAGAACACAAAGCTGATATGATTGTAGAATATACAACTGGGATTAAGTTTGATCCAATTTGTTGTAAATATAAGCAAATTTATTGATGTTGATCTAATTATTATCAAAAGGCATAATACTAAACCAAGAGTCTGCTCAGGCATGAATCATACAATATTTATGGGCTACTGTATAATACCATATTTATGTTTGAAAAGATTCTAACTTGGAATCATTTCTTTACATAGATATATTTTGCAATTTCCCTTGCAAATGCTGTTTTCAAAATTATTAATGGCCTAAACTTGCAAATTTACCAAATCCTGAAAAATTAGATATTGCAAAAAAATAAATTCATGCAAAATGGTGGTCATGGCTTTTTGCAACACAATAAAGAGGAATCCAAGAAATGACCATGGCCTTATGAAATTTGCTATTAATACAATTAGAAAATATTCTTGGCATTTCCTTTAATAAAGTAACAAAATGGCCCTTACTGCTTTTGAAAAAAATACTTATCAATTCTTTACATTGTCTGATATTGTTTTTTATCAACTTTCTACCTTATTAATATTTGTTGCCATAAATGGATGATCCCTAATCTTGCATTGTTACAAGTTAGACATTGGTAAACATCCTTCAACAAATGCAGTGTTGTGAATCCATCTCAAAGGAAAACAAATCTAAGATGCCATGTTTTGAAAATGACTTGTAGTCGAAAACAACTTTGCCCAAAATCTCCAGTGTGCAAAGTACAAAATTTGAAAATTTGTAGGTGTACAGAGTACAAAACCATGAGCTGTGTGCTTCAAGTGTTCTCTTGGAATCTTTACATACCTGCTTTGCATAATATAACAGACTTTTTTCCTAAATTTCTTGTGTTTAAAAATTTTTGGTGACAAAAAACCTTAAAATTTATTACGACACGCCCATTCTGTTCGCGACACACCCATTTTATAAAGTGTGCGGTGATCATTGTCAAAAAATACCTCCGGTGTTGACACTTTCCAAGCAGGGTAAAAGTGGATTGAACCCATTGCCCCTTATCAGCCACAACGAAGACCACCAACATCACTTGAAGTTAAATGACCACATTTGCTTAAGGGTGACTTCGCTTACGACTTGAATCGTGTCACACGGGAAATTTATTTTGATTAAATAAGTTATCACACATAGGCCTGTTGTAGAGGAAATGGCTGAGGAAACACACCCTTTATGTTTTGTACCATATATGGATTGCGGCCAGCTTAATGTCAACGTTAAGCGAGCTCAGCAAACATAAGAATGTAGTGAAAATATTAAACACGAGCGAAAAAACACAGATATTTACATTAACATTTGCCAGGCTCACTTTTTCTAGGAGCGCTGGTTCTTTCAACCTTGTCAAGGGGCACCCGTTTGTTTGGTCATCGTGAGAACAACATACCCTTCAGTCTTACAATACGTCATAAAAAAAGATAATTTGATTCTGAATGGCTTAAATCAAGAAAGTAGCATACCCATAAACTCGAGATTGCGTTTTATTTTAACATAAGACTCCTCGGTTGACAACTTTCGACTTGCGCTTGACATCCCGTTTTAGTGATATCGGAGCATCGACTGGGCGACGAGCAAGTTTTCTCTCAAAACATAAACTACTCAGGTCCCACCTTGCCTGTGAATATCTCTATCCCTCAATTAAAAAGTAGCACAAAAGCAACACAGCTTTTCCAACTGAGTTTGAGAATAAAGCTAGAAGTATTTCAGTTCAGTGATCAAGCAACTGCCTTTTAGGCAGGCCCCTTTATTCGAAAGAATGCATTCCTTACATCTCCTGTTAAAGGAGAATCACAAATGATGTTCATGGATTAAAATGGGTATGGACAATAATGCCTCGTGGCTCCTTTTTGTTTGTATTTTTTAGATCTTCAGACAGTTAGTCGCCTAAAGACGTTCGTTACTTTGGCCAAACGTGAAGCTGGTTCACAAGTCAAGAGAAATGGAGTGAAAAGATGTCATGATTTCGTGTTGGCATAATAAATCATGTTATATGACGAGTAATTCCGCCTAACTAACGATGAGTTGATTCTTCTAGACACAAACTTGCTAGAATGAAGTGGATAACAGAGATATTGCTGCCGATAATACTCACCAAGATCATCCATGTTGGTACGACGACAAAGATTCTTGCAGTGGCCTAAACTGCAAACTAAAAACTTCAGCTTCTCTAAGTCACAAAATCAACTTTCAGTTCTCATCCATCAACTTTTCAGTCCAGATCAACTTGGACCTTTTCAAGGTTAAAATTCTTGCTTCTCAAACAACATTCACCCTCGAGAAGCTACGATTTACTGCTTGGAACATAATACACCGCCAAAACCGAGTGAAGAGGAAGTTCGCTAACTCAATCTCCATGAGAAATGCAGGAAATATGTCACTTCCATTGACAATAGTCATCAGACAATGGGTATTGTATGAATTTGAAAAGATTTGGAACCATCTAAATAATAAAACAATAGAAAATAATCGCAAATAACGGTACCTGACGTTGACAACCGTCGGGTGGAGAAAAGGAACTCTGCCTCAAACTTTCCAGAACCAGCATATTTGGAAAAGACCCGCTCAACACCAAGAACAGGACATCATCCCAATCTTCGAAAATTAAATAAGATAATCTCTGTCTTTTTGTAAAACTCTAGATAGGAAATATATCTTATACCAGTTTTTTAATAGATTTTTGAATAACGTTGTCCCCCATCAGTTCTCTAAAAAACAGTGCAAATTGCAGTAAACGAGACTAGAAGTTTTAGACGTACATAAAAATATCACTGAAGCCATTCATAATTACCTTTACATAATTACATTACACCTTGACTTGGCCAGGGCTGTTGATACAGCGAATAGAAGAACCGAATTGTATCAAAAATTGAAGATTGCATTAGACTGAATTTAAACTGCCCGTTAACAACTCATTTAACTTATCTTACATATTAAGCCGTATTTTGCGGTTCTCTTTAAGGGTATTTATCCCAATATCAGATATTTTAAAGCTCCATCTTTATGACGTCATCACTAAGGCCTAAGGTTTTCAAGGCAGCCTTTCCACCAAAGACATTGTTTCTACTACCCTATGTTAAAGCAACATTGGATTAAGATGTATCCGTTTATTGAAGTGAGTCAATGGAAACACCATTTTACTTAAAAAGCGGGTTAGTGGGAACGCAACGAAAAAATCCAGGCAAACGAAAAGGCAGACTTTGTCATCTTCGTGCAAAAGTGCTTTTTACGAATCAGGGATAGGTTCCGAACATTGAAATAAGGAAGATCATCTCGACACGCCCAGTCCAAAAAAACACCATAAATAGATATTGTAAAATAAAGTATTTTCTTTTTTAAAACCAAGATTCTTCAATAGTGATAGTATAAATTAGCAGCAACCAACGATTACAAAATGACGACTTTATTCAACGAAAACTTCGACTCGACTGGACTTGCACTCAAAGAACATACGCTTTTAACAACACGAGTGACGCACATAAAACCCTAATGACACAAATTAACGGCAAATGAACTAATAACAACTAAAATAGAGATGGCACGATGACAAACAAAATTACTGACGCAAACATCGAAAGACATTCTCATTAACAATAACGAACCACAAACACGATGCACGACAGACAAAACTAGTTGTATAACAATATCTTTAAAAAAAAGTGCCCCGTGTGATTTGTTATCTTCATAAGCCTGGAGCTGTGGGTGCACTGAACACTTGCCCTCCACTTCATGCGGTCTCCAGCATTGTGGTTCATATCTTGCAAGCCGCATCCTGTCCATTCAACCAAATTATTCTCCTACTTCATTCCTGCATTTCCACGTCCTATTTTGTCTTTGACATTTCTAGAATGGCAATTTATTGGGTCCACAAAGTTTTAGCTTCCTTTCTATTATGTAAAATATCACATACACATATTTTTCCCTACATTCGCTTGTATCCTTAAGTTACTCGTTCGTTTTTCAGTCTTTCAGAGTCGAGAAACATTTTAATCTTTCTCCAAACCTTCGAAAACCTTCCCAATAATGTAAGGAAATATGGTGGGGTCTAGGCGTGCCATTTTATCTAGTTTTGTTTGCTTAGGCCTTGCTCGTGGTCTGTGACCGTATGGACGCTATGTTGTTCCGGCTAAGTTTGATCTTATTACTCATCTTTATATCTTTTGACTTGCATAAGGATTTCCATGAAGTCTCAAGAAAGCGTCCCTTTTTATGAGAAAGTAATATCGAGTCTGCTAAGCAGTTTCGTAAACTTTCCAGCCATTTTGCAAAAAAAAAAGATTTCCAGCTTTTTTCAAATAATGATTTTAAACGTGCTTCCAAGGTACAGTGAGTAGTTACATTTTAATGTTAGATTCTAAAGCCAAGGTACGGTATTAACAGGGCTCACATTCAAAGATCTGCATGTCAAGGGTACTTATGCAGTATAAAATTGTGTTCAATGCCAAACCTGCATTAAGGGACCGGGAAAATTAAAACTGCAAAGTACTTTGGCTTTATATATTAAGGTAGGGCTGTTTCTTATAAAAACTGTTTCTTATAAAAAAGTTAATCTATCTCTGGAAAGCAAATTCTTTAAAACATACCAGAATAAGAACTAGTTTTTTTATGAAATAGGTAGATCTAAAAATTTGAAAAATAGCATATAGCGTGGCAAAATTTGGGCATAGAATTTTTCTAAATACATCACTTTTGAAAACTTTAGTGTTGGTGACTTGGTCACTTTGTGGTTTTCCCTATTTATAACTCCTCACAGTTTCGCTGTGTTACGTCAATGGGCAAAAAACCATGATTAAATGGATCCATTAAAAGTGTCTTGTAAAATGACAACACTGTTAATTGATTTTCTTCAACCATTCTGTCGGTTAGTCACTTTCAGCGGCCTTCTTGGTTACTTAAAGTTACCGATTGTTTTAAATAGATTCATATTCAGTCCACATAAGAAACTGTCGCTAAAACCTATATTATCAAAAACAAATTTTTATTCTTAAAATTCAATTTCTATAATGGCGACATGTTTCGGATTATTGGTAAAGCCCGATCGTCGTTCCACCTAGCAGTTTTAGAATCTATCTATATAAGCACGAAAAAACCGCTACTGTGTAGACAAAAGGAGTTTGTTTTCACCTTAGGACTCCACTGGTAACATTCTAATAGGCAAGCGGCACTGATTGGTCAACCTTTACAGTCATGTGCTCGTGTTTCTGATTGGCCTATTTCGATCCACAACTGGGTGTATATATTTCTTAGCGTAGAGTTTTCGATCTATGTTCTGACGTTTTCAACTCTGAAGAGTGTCAGACGAAAAGCTTTAGTTTACTAAATGTTTGCTTTTTTCAAAGCCATTTATTCTTAAAATATTACAAGAGATGGAAAATATAATTTCTAAGTTTTCCCGAGCCTAACAGCAGGTACATCTATCCCCAGAAGATTGGTGCCTGACTTAACGAGAAATAGAAAGAAAGTGGCACTTTTCAAATGATATAATTTCGGCAAAACTAAAAAATTCAGATTGTTACCTTAATACAGTGGCGGACACATGGGGGGGGGGGGCGATGAACAACGGACTTTAGAGAGCAATGGTCTTTTGTTCTAAAACAATGGGAAATGTGACGTCATCTTATTAAAACAATAGGCTTGCCCCCCCCAATATTTGACCAAGTGTCCGCCCCTGCCTTAAAAGTAAAAGAAAAATCGTTCAATTTGACAAAGAAAAGTCTTGAACAAAGAATCTGGAAACCTGGATAGGAAAATCATCCTTGACTAAATGCATAAAGCTATACAAATTATGGAATAACGAAAAGAGAGAAGAAATGAGAATTGTTTTGTTTACAAATTTACTTAAATGTATGACTGACATTGTACAAACGTTTTCCATAACATTGTTTGTCATAGAATAGATGCTATTTAATGTGTAGATAATATAAGATACATTTGTAAGATCGACAAATTTATTAAATTTCAAAAAATCATTTTAGCTCTATTGTTTGGTATTTTCGTGCTTGAAACTTAAAGCGATTAAAAGCAATTATTTTGTCATCGATTCTCCAAATTATAAATTTGATTTTTTGTCGAACCTGGAGGCTCGTAATGGGGTCAGATCATATTCAGGCTGAATCTTCGATGCAAGTTGAGCAAGAATCTTTCCGGTAACTGGTGCAAGTTTGAACCCATGTCCTGTATAATTAGAGAAAAACAAGAGAGAAATTAGACAATTTCAGTACACGTCCTGATATGGTGAGATGCAACATTTGCACAAATGTAAGGAGCATATTACGCTTAACAAACTTTTACAAACTTCTACAAACTATTTCAGCAAATCACAGAACGCCATTTATTTACAAAGACCTATATTTTTCTATGCCTTCCTTTTCTCGCTAATGAAACCATTTCTCGTGGAGGTTGTACGAAAGACATGGCTAATGATAAAGGCCAGCAGAGAGATAACATCTGGTGTATTTTAGGAACAGGATCAACTCGGCTGACAACCGTTGTCAGTTAATGGGAGAGAACCCGATAGACCAAATATTCCCGAAATTCCACTCTGAATCCAAAATATCACTTCCAAAAAGCTGTTTCTACAAAAATACTAATACTCTCTGACCAAGCTTAACCAGTGGCGGATTTAAGGGGGGGGGGGCAACTAGGGGCAGCCTCCTTCTGCCCCTCCGTCAAGTTTGTTTTGAATCCGCCCCTGAGCCTAACATTGTCTCCTTTTCAGGGGTTAGTGCCTCATTTAGTTTCTGACTCATTTAAGAACTCGTAACAACTGTATCTACATCTTGAGATTGGCTTGAGTGCCAAAGTTCAAAATTCAACAAGGAATAAACATGGCTGCAGGCACATTGAGAGGAAACCAGGGCTATTAACAAATTAAAACGTTTGGGTTCTATACATGTTACGGGTGAAGATGAATTTTCAAGACAGCCAACTTTTCGCGTCAAGTGCTGCAGCAACGGGTGACAAGAGACAGCATGTATCAACAGTTACTCTGTTGAAAGAAACATTCTTTTCGAAAATCACAACATAAGTTTAAAGGAAAAGTAAGAATGCTTGACACAATCTCTTGAACACAAAAAAACAAGATAATGAATGGGTGTACCGACCATATTACGCACAAATGCAGATTAGGCAGTTATTTGGGTTGACACACCCATTTCAATGTCTATGGGTTAGGAAATAAGATTAAGTTGAAGCAAAGCAAAACGCAAAGAGAATGTTTAAATGGATAAAACGATTGCGGAGGGGTAATCAAATAGAGTAGTGTAAAGCAGAAAATAACAAAGAAATATGAATAAATAGAAATAATTCAATTGATGAAAATAGGAAAGTCGATAAAACGAAATGCCATAATTATAACTTTCAAGCAAACAAATACTTAGAAAATATTTCAAGAGTTATTTCAAATCTTTATATGGTTCCCAACCAATTTAGGTTTTAACAGGCCTATTAATCGTCCCTTGTTATCCTGTGACCAGCATACATACCGTATACTTCTTATCAGTTAATCACTTTGAGGGTCAATGTATTCAAACCACATCAGATTCGAAAAATCACGCAAAAGCATTCTCGTGTGGTTAATGGTGCGTGGCAATAGATGTTTTTAACTGTGTTTTTAGTTGTGAGATCTTGGGTTTTCTGAGACTGTGATCAGAATTAAAAGTTATAATCCCCATTGAAAACTTTACATTGAGTTATACGACATACAGACATGAGTCATTCACAGCAGTGTGATATAACTGATTCTATAAAGATGTTAGTAATAACGTATTCAAGAGGAAGATAAGGGAGATATATTTAGTGAAAAAGTCATCTATTTTCATGGCTGTTAACAGTTCGAGGAAATCTCACATACCCTGGGGCACAGTAGCCCGGGTATGCAGCTGTTCTTTTCGGAAGTTCATAAAGACCAGCATTAATTGGACCTACTTAACGGTCTATTCAGGATTCTTGGTTGTGGAACCCTTTCTTCTGGAGGTTGTACGAAGGACATGGCTAGTTAAAAAGCTCCGAAAAGCCATATTGTTTAGGAACAAGATCACCTTGGTTGGCAACCTTTGCCAGTTAATAGGAGAGTACCCAATAGGCCATAAATTCTCGAAATTCCACTCTAATTTCAATCACAATTTCTCCACCGACCCCACTTAAAAAAGCTGCCTTCAGAAAAAGCTGGTACTCTTTGACTATGCCAAAAAATTACTCTCTTTCAAGGACTATAGCCTCATTCAGATTCAGACTAGCTTATGAGCTCTTAACAAATGTATCTACAGCTGTTAAAGTGCCTATGAAATGAAATTTCAAAAGTTTAGATAGCGGCACACTTTTTATAAGCAAAATTTGCTGATTTAAATGATATAAGTTAAGATGATATTTTTCATGCGGAACCGTCTAAAAATTTAGGTTTAATACCCCATTTTCACGTTTTCGACTTTGACAAAGCGCGCGTTATCAGTGACGTCACAAAGTTTGCAAACACGGAAGCAGTTGGCGTTTTGTAATACGCCGTTAGAGGCTTGGGGCAAAGAACGCAGAACTAAAAATAGCTAAAGGGGGCCATTTTCAGTTGGTTTCCATGTTCTATCTTTTTCAGTGTATCAAACTACCCCTTTTTGCAAAATTGCATGCTTATATGGTATGTTTATTGTGTAGACGGAACCAACTGCAAACCTTGTGACGTCACTGATTCTCATGCTATGTCACTGTTACTAAAACCCCCAAACCAAACTTTCCCGTGCAAATTTTCGACCTAATTTTCGTTTCATATTGCAACAACATGTAGAAGTTTCAATTTCTCTCAAAAAAGCTATGTGTAAAATTTCATTTCATAGGCAATTTTAAGGAACTTTTCCAAAAACTTTTTCCAGATCCAAATAATGGTCCAACTGCAGATAACACGTCTCAGCGTTCTATAAACGACCCATTGTTTTTCATTCTATCTTGGTGAAGTGTCTAGTTTTGTTGTTATACTCAAGTCTAGCATCTATATATGGGGAAAATGCAGGCAATAAAAGATTCTAATTATTGTAAGTAAGGCAAACCTTATAAAAATATTGTAAGTATGGGAAAGGCTCCAGATATGCATATATCTTATCATAAACTGCAACTGCATGCTAACAATCATGATAAACTGCAACACCTATTCGTAACCGCAGTGACAATACCAAGATTTTGTCATACTATGTCTTGCTGAACTCGACTTTCTCTTAAAAGGAATACAAGTGAATGTTCTACCTGAAAATCCTGCACCAAAGATGATGTTTTTGTGCACTGGATGTTGGTCGAGAATAAAATCTTCATCTGGTGTCCACTGTTACACGAAAACAGAAAAGTGCTTTACTAAAGAAGTAAGGAAGAAGATGGAGTTTGAAAATAACTTCTAAAATTTTCAAGATTGTCAGGCTCTTGAAGATGAAAAGTAAATTTTGGTTATGGTAGTAAAAAGGCCACAGTGAGAAAATGATTTCTAGTAATTAAATATTTACTAAAGAAAAAATCGAACAACATTTATAAACAAAATGAGTAATTTTTCCTAGAAAAAGTGGAGCTGATTTATGCAAAAAATGACAAAGTGAATGAAAAACAAAATTAAAACTTGGTTGGAATAAATACGACCATAAAAACATGATTTCATAATATGTTCAAAACTTTAAAGAACAGACCACATCAGAGATATTACTTCGCTTTTTAATTCAACATACTTACAGAGTAATAGCATTTATCAACGATTGATGGTTTGCTATCAACACCTTTGAAAAACATTTTCAAGTACCCTGCAACAACTTGCACCTCTTTGTTATCATTCTCAGCGTCACGTTGGTCAGGGTGATATACCTTGCCGTAGTGAGCACAAACCTGCAAAAGCAACAATAATAATTATTAGAAATGTGACAAGGGAGAGTAGAGAGACCTAACTCCCGAACTTCAAAATAATTAGGAGTACAGCAAAACAGAATAATGTTGTAAAGAATGGAACTAGACTATACATGCCATGATATGTTTTCAACTGTTTTCAAACTCCTTCTGTTTTGCAGGGTTTTTGAGCCATCAAGGCAATAAATAAAGATTTTATAAGATGGGCTACTGAAGGAGAACACTTTTCAGAAAAAATTCGCCTTTTTACTAGTTGATGTAATGGCTCTTAGGTTTAATCAACCTACAAGTTGGTTTTTTGGGCTGTCGAGTTAGATAAATTGAAATAAATCATTAACAAATTGAGCAAACACAGCTAGATTTTAATGCTCCCCCTCTTCTAGGTTTCAATGGGACGAATACACTCCTTCATACCTATAAGCTTTTAATAGAAGTAGACCCTAATTCAATCTCAGAAATATTTCTTTTTATTGACCATCACAAATAATAGCATCAATTTCCCCTGCCTTATCAGACCAGGTTTGCCAAGAGTTGCGAGAAAAGGGGAAAGATTGCCCATGTGCCTGTAAGAAATGATGGGCTTGCTGGTAATGAAACTGTCCCTAATTAAATAAAATATAACACTAACAACTTTTATTTAGTTTAGTCTAAGTAAAACAAAGATTAGCAATGCTTTTGGAGTATATAAGAACATTATAGGTTTATTGATATGGGTATGAAAGGGCCCAAGCGATTGTCCAGTCCCTGTCTCCAGTGTGGGTCTCTGTGGCCCTGTATCAAACAGTGTTTTAGCTCTATTAAATCATACAAGAACTACAGGGATTTCGTAAGGGAATTGCACCTCTTCAGGAAATTGTATGGCATAGACAACTCTACCTTCAGTAGTCCAGGGAATTCAAAGTTTGGTAGGCCGTAAAGATGCCAGTTATCACCATCTTTGACAGTGTAGTCAATGAAGCAAGGGAAACCAGACTTTAAAGAATAAACTGAGTCTGGAGCTTTCCAGTAGCAAACATTAATCTTCATTGTCTGTTAATCAAAGACAAAGAATAATTAAATTAAATAATATATTAGATATATAAACACATTTAAATGAGCAACATAAATTTAGGTTTGACGAAAAGGCAACGGTTGTGTACCGAACAGTTATAAATAAAAGGAAGAACAGTTAATTGATTAAAGGAAATATGGTATGGCAATTCAACGGCAAATCTCAACATTAGAGCAGGGATGCCTTCCAAGGGCAAGGCAGATGAATTTTGTAACCGTGACAAAGAAGGAGGAAATTACATCCTAATAAACAAAGTTTAACTGACACAAGAAAATAGTAAAACTAGAGTTAATATGTTTCAATTTGCAAATAGATAATTAAAAAATGTCTTTTAAAGGCAAAATGACAAAAAAGTCAAACCTAATAAAAAGTCTTGATACTTTCTTAAAGTATTTTGATGCTACCATTAATTATCCAGCCTGAAAGTAACCTACGAAAACTTGTTGCTTGCAATCAACAAATGGCATACTTACTTGCAATGGAAGATGGACACCTAGCGGATTCAAAATATCATTTGTCCAAGGGCCTGTTTGTATAAAGAAAAAAACAAACATGAAACACACATATTAAATATGTCATAGCCAACACCTTGTTTATGTTACTGTAATTACTGCTACACTTTTATTTTCTAGTTATACCTTTTGTTAATGGCCCAAGCTGGGTAAGTCCATACTTTTCTTTGGTCCAGTATATAAAAGTTTTAATATATGGTACTCGTCTTCTGTAGTATACAAATAAAATCGAATTGAATATAATTATCATTTGTGTTCAGTAAGTTTGTTTAAACAATAGTTCTGTAGTTGCCATGAGGAGGGATTGTTTCACATACACAATTTGCATTCTTTGTCTGATGATCACATTAAGCGCTAAAATTGCAGTAGCAACTTAGAACTGTCCTGTTCTATACACCAAATAGCATGTACAGTTTTGCTTAAATGGCATTGAGCATTTTATGACAGACCGGTAAACAGTAATTTTCATTATCTTACAAAATAGATAAACTAAACATGCAACCACAGCTCAATTGTCATTGTCATGTGAATAAAGTAAACTCCAAACTTTTTCACTTAATTGTAAATTTATAGAAAAAAACAGGTACTATATAAGAATCAACTTTTATAAGTACCAGTAGGCTACAAAATGAAATGTTTGTCTATTTTGATAGCCAACTTGTTCAGCTTTATTTGAAAAAGGTTCTTGCTCAAATAACGAAAGTCTAATCTAGATTTGCATATACTGGAAACATAGCATACTGAAGCAAACAGCATAAAGTACAGTAAAGTGCAGTGTCATAAAGTACATCACTCAGCATCATTAATAATTCATATGAAAGCAAGAAAATGATGTTATTGCTGTATTATCAAAGAAAAACATAAAATAAACAAGTTTTCAGCAGCAAAACTGAGCTAATGAATAAAATATAAATAGTTGTCTAAAAAGGTTGCATAAACTGGTACTGTATTCTATATCTTACTTAAATATTTTATTCATCTGAAATCTAATGAAAAATATAAAGGTTTTAAGAATATAATAAAATGATGGGATATACTGATTTGCAAATGTAGTGCCTGTCAGCTTCTGCCATTAAATGCAAGTTAATCTTTAACGTTGTATCTATAATTACTTTAATGTACTAATTGGCAGCTATGTTCGATTTTGATTATTTAACATTGTATATTTATGTATATAGTATTAGCTATTGTTTTTATATCGAATCAAAATAAATCTACAACAACAACAACAACATTTTTGGAAAAACAGTCAAAAAAATAAACAACATAAATGAGAGTGTGCCTAAATTTTCATTCTGAAGTAACATTAATTCAAGCAATGAACTAATCACTCACTAAGGTTTACGATGTATACATACCTGCAGTGAAAATCACACTTTTTGCCTTGATCACAGATTCATTAGAAGCAATGGTTACCACACTGCCAGGTATTACTTTTGTTACTTTGAAGCATTCCTTGGTAGTGCCACCATTTTTCTTGAAAAGTGCCTAAAAACATTAAAATAAGCCTTGACTAACTGAATACTTTTGACTTGCCTTGATTACAATACTTGCAGCTTCAATAACTAGCAACCTTCAGACTCAAAGTCATCGCTGTGATTCTATCAACAAGGCAACACCAGCTTTGTTTAAATTGAGTATATTCTAGAGCAATGATGTTAAATTCTTTCTTCATTTCTTCAATGATTCCATGATATACCTTTCAAGTCTTACGCTTGGATTTAAGTCTTGCATAATTTCAGTTACTTTTGAATCTATTGGCATAAGATGAAAATCTTACATTTTTCTCTGCCCTTTTTTCAATGTTTGTTTTAAACAATATGAAATAACATAAACAGGCCATATGCAAATTCAATTCAGGGCTCTGGCTAAAGGAGAGTTAATTCTGTATATTCTGTTTGTCATTGCTATTTTGTAAAAGATGATCTAAAAACATTGAAGTTTTGATTGCCGGTAGCTCCATTTTAGTAAATCCTTGTAAACTGTGTGTAGTGTTAATACTGAGTCATTTGTTTTTGCTTTTGTTGTTTACATTAAGTTTCATTCTGGGCTGCCTTGGCTTTGAAACAAACAAATAAATGATAAAATATATTTTTCTCATGGTCTAATGACCATTTTGTAAATCAAACTAATGACTCAATATGCAAAATCTTAAAGAAGCATACCAAAGTTGCTTTAAAGGTATGCCATGACCACTCAAGACCAAAAACAATTTTTTTCTTTTGTTATCTTGAAAATGTTGTTATAGTGAAAATACATCTTGACATAAAATAACAGAAATAAAAAAGAACCAAATAATAGTCAATCACTTAACAATTCAAATTTGATTCAACGGGTATGGGCATGCAAAGATAAATATTTATGTTCATTGCATCTTTGATCACAAGTCTCTGCTGTATCTTTGACATTAGCATTATAACTGTTTTTTCATTCACAGTTATCTTATACAGTGACATACTTGCAAAAAATCCCCTTGGTTAATGTGTACACACCCCATTCTGTAACTTAGCCAGTAAGCTTATCAATATTCAATGTTTCAGTAGATCAAATATATAGTATCTAAAAATGATTTAAGAAAAAGTCAAATATAAAAGACAGCAAAGTGTTTGTAATTCGATAGTTCCTGCAAGCTACACATATTACCTGTAAAACAGCACAGCATTTGTCTGCTCTTAAAATCCCCCCAGTTGGCTCATAAACAGCATTGTATGTTCCTAAGTGCTGAAGCATTGGAAACTTCTGTTTCAACCCATCCCTGTCAAGGTACTTGAAGTCAGCATTGATCCCCTCTAAATGTCTTTTCATTTTTAGGATATTTTCATGGGGACTGTCTTCCAATGTCAGCAGACCGGTATTTCTGGAATAAAAACACATCAATTTCAATCTTTCAATTCCTTGATGTAAAATTTTCTCAAGATTTTAAGGTTGAAATAAAAAACAGAGTTTTGAACTGTTTTTTATTGACTTAATTATCTTTCGCCTTGCATACTATCTGTTATTCAAATTAATAAGGAACTTTCTATTTATTCAAACATTTTGAGAAAATGCACCTCCAAAGAATAATTTTTCCTCAAATTTCATTCTTTCAGCAAAAGCCATACAAAACAATGTTTTCTGATGCTCACATTTAGAAGGAAACTCAGAATACCAACTTAGACTATACAGCAATTTTCTGAACAGATAGTTTATATGATTTTCAAATACATTGAAATAGTTTTTGATCATCTAGAAACGACTTACCTTTGCAACATAATTGTTTGATTTGCCTATTTTCTTGCAAGAAAGCAATCAATAAGACCATTTTGTTTCTTTCTAATTCCAGAATCAGAATTGGGGGGAAGGAAATCTGTTTTAGAGATCAAAACTATAAAAGTTTGAAAATCTTACAAAAGAAGTTCTTCGCCGCTCAGTTGCTCTAACTCGTGCCATATTTTGTAGGCTTCTGGCATCATCCTTGCATAATGTTCTTGAATATAGGATTTGCGTATAATTCTACTGTGTCCATGTGAGCTTCCTCTAGAGTGGCCTAAAGGAAACTATAAAAATCATTGGTTCGACGTATGACTTTTTACTAGGATAACATATTATAGAAATTAGCAGAAAAACATTCAGCTGGATGAGTCAATCTTTGTTCTCCTTTATTAAGCAGGTCTTGTCTCTTTGATCACATGTTTCCGGGGCGAATCGACTTAACTGTAGGTTTGGAATAGAATACAATAACAGACTAGACATGAAACGTGCGATACCACTACAGGCTTTAAAATAGAGCGTGACCTTACAAAATAACAGTCATTAATACCTGCTCACATAGAACCACAGATTTGGTGTATTTTAGGGCATTATAAGCTGCGCAACTGCCCACAATACCAGCGCCAACAACACAGATATCAAAAACACATTCTTCCGCCATGTTTCTTGGAAAGGACTTCTAAGTGAGATTGAGGCTGTTTCAACATGACAGCTTAATATCGGAAACAACGAAGCAAAATAAACGTGGAAGAGGGCCTGGAGTTTTTTTCTGTGGTATGTGTGACCATGGTGCCAGCTGCCATTTTCATGATTCAGTTAGCAGTTCTGTTGCTCAGTCGCTAGATGAGCTCGAGTTTCAACGGGGAATCTGGCAGGCTGCGTTGGACAATGATTACGCTAGAGTCAATGCCCTAATTCGCAAGGGGGTTTCTCCGAACACTCCAGACACATATGGGTATACGGCTTTGCATTATGCTTGTCGATCAGGACATGAACAAATAGCAATGCTGTTATTAGAGAATGGAGCTGATCCCAATGCAAAAACTGCAAGTGGGAAAGAGTGCCCGATTCACAGGGCTGCCTATCAAGGCCACGAAGCCATTGTACGATTACTTCTAAAGAAAGGTGCTGATCCAACAATTCAGAGCTCTGACGGACAGACTGCCTTGCACAAAGCTGGACAAAGAGACAAACAAGCGGTTATAAAGATATTGCTAGAAGCCGCACCTGATTTAGACAGCATTCGCGATAATAAAGGAAATACAGCTTTGACGTCTTCCGAGGAACGATGACAGAAGCAACAAAAATTGTTAATAATAGAAAAGTTCTCCTTGTCTGTTAATATTTGTTTTCGACCTTGAAATATTTCATCAGTGTCTAAAACCCTTGTCCGTTGAACATATATTTTTATAAAAGGCCATCGCAATACCTTGATAAAGGGTCGGTGTTAATCGTACACTTATTTTCACATTTAATAGCTAATATTAAATATATGTTGAATCTGCTCTAAAGTAACTTATCTGATGCAGTGTAAGATTTCTCAAACTCTACCTCAGGACTCTGGACAATACACTTGAGATAACAATATTATCAATGGTTAAACACCCTTTGTTTCCTTTTCCTTAATCGAACCTAGAGCATTTAACGATGTAGTAAAATGTAATGACAATAACGGGCATGGACACGAATGTAAAATATCAGTCCTTCAACATAAGCAATTTTTACATCATGCAGAACAGATACGTTGCCTGGTAAACCTCTATTTCCCCTCGATTTCATAACGAAACCAGCTTCAATAGAAACTATTGACTCCAGTATGAATCTTTAATCAGAAATCCGCAATAAATTATGCCTAGGTCCTCAAATTTCAATTTTGCTTTTTCAAATAAGTACTTGAACGTTAAAAAAGCTTACATTAAATTTCATTTGAATATGACTTCTGTTGAATTTTTCAATGTATTTGCGGTTTCTATCGTCATAGAAGGCAAATATAAATAGTTCTGTCATGATAACAAATTGATATACAACTAGAGATGGGCGTGATCGTATCTTTTTTCTCTGATGAGGGTTTACAGGACCCTAAGAAGCCTGGGGATCAAGAAAACAAAAAGAAAAGCAGTAAAAATCGGTACATTCTACTCGATTATAACAAAGTGTACGAAACGAGACAATACAAACAAGAATTCTGGATATCAAGAACAGCCGAAATAAGAACAGGCGAGGACATCGAGAGGACCATAAAGAGGTCTTCAGTTAAACTGAAAAGCTATTTGCAAAGACAAAACGGCAAAGCAATGAACATTGGAGAAACGCAGACGACAATTTGCATGGTGACGTCGGAAAATGACACAGTCACTATTTCGATGTTGTTGCCAGATGAATACAAAACTGACCCACCACAGCCCACTGATAAAGACGTATTTCTTCACGAGCATTGTCCAAAGTTGATTTACGCAATGAAACTCCAAGGCCCTTGTAAAGAGAGTAACTGGGCAAGAGCCCACAATGAAATCAAAGAACAACTTGATTATAACGAAGAAGCATATTCAGTAGGTGTACACTATCGCGTGAAGCAGTTTCCAGTTGGAAATCGATGGCAAAATGAAGTATGGTTTCTTGGCCCTGATGTTGATAAAGAGTATGAATGTATTTAAATTATAAGTTAATGACAAAACATCAATCTATGACACACATAAACACGACTGTTTTAATTCTGATATTGTAATTATTCTGAAGAGGCCAGTTATAATTATCTATCGCATTCATGATTGAAGCCTTTTGGTTTATCTGTTAGGCAATGTCAAAAAAGCGAGTCTAGCTTTTCTTGAGCAAATGAAGAAATTATAATGGAAATATAGAAAGCCAAAGGTTATTCCAAGAATGAAGATGCAGAAAAGTTATGGTAAACTTGTGTCTGAAAAACATGAAGTTGTAAGATACAAGAAAAACCAGAAAAATGACATGCCAAACATTCGACTATTTCATTTTCTATATTCTTAAATTTGAGAGAGAGTGTCAAGATCTTCGGCTACATGTTGCATCTTACTTACCAGTTAAAAACGTATTGTTTTCTGTAAATGCCAATTCCTTTGATAGTTCAAAATTCATTTCATTAAAAAATATGAAAGTTAACTCGATCTCTGCATGAATTCGAGCGGTACCACCTTATTTGGCATGGTTTAATCTTGAAAGAAATCTACTCAGCTTTTGACAAATTAATAATCACAAAACTTCAAATTAAAAGAAAAATTCCAAAAAGACCGGTTGGTCGATAGAGGGTCGCTGCCGATTTGTTGTTACGCCTCTAGGACAAAATTGGCATCCAAAGTAACCGGAGAATCCGGGTAGGTGCCTAATGACACAATAGGAATCTTTAGATAACAGAAACCTTGCTTTGATGAGGTATCACAATAGCCAACTACATAAGACAAAACTTTGACATTAAAAGAACCAAACATTCATATCACAATGCAGTACAAAGACACTCAAAACTTCCTAGGTAATATCATAATTACATGAAATGACATTAAATGCAATTTAACTTTCACTATTTCTATATACGTCATCTGTTTCATTGTAGTCAATGTTGATAATTTTCCAAGACAGTGGATAACGATCAATTGTTTCGCTGCCATCTTCCAAAATTGATTCAAATCTGAGTCTATGAGCTGCTGAGACTATATCAATACCACCAAATACAATATGCCAGCCACTCTCCCTTTTTTCCTCTATATAGTACCTGAAATGGAAAGCAAAAATATTTAAAATGGCCATCATCCTTACCAGTATTGCAAGAGCTGACGACTCAACCAACATCATACAAAATGTTTATGTTTATAAAATTATGTATAAAGCCACAAAGACCAGTTCACCGTATTTCTTTTTAGAATCGATCAACACATTTACTTTGACAATGTCGTGTTAAATCCAATTAGACCATACCTTTCACTTGTAGCGAACTTCACATCTATTTGAAATCGAATTTCCTTCTCTGCTGCACTGAAACCAAGTTTTTTACCGTAATCGAATAAAGTAGAATAGCCTACGAAGAAAACCAAGAAAAGCTAGAAAATAGTGTTGCGTTTTTACTGTGCATAAAAACTTACGTTCAAAAAAGTGTTGGGACGCCTTAAAAGTTTCGAAGACTCGTGTAATGAATTTTTAAAGAATTTTCAATCCTTTCTCATCGACTTGAAGTTTTAAAATATGAACAAATAACTTAAACAAGAAGCTGTCAGAGATCGTGTCTACTACAATAACAAGAAAAGTTTTTGAGAAGCTGCAGCGATTTTAGGCAGCTTGAAGAGTGCATCTTTCCGCATAAAATATTTGAAAATGGCTTTGAAAAAAGCAAACCTTTTACAACATATTCATTGGCTAAAAGCTATTTTGTCTGACATTCCCCAGAGCATAAAATGTCAGAATAAGGGCCAGAAAGGACACGATGAAAAATATATACCCAGTTATGTATCAAAATAGGCAATCAGAAAAACGCAGGTACAAGACCGGTATAGTTGACCAATCAGTGCCGCGTGCCTAAAGAGAATTTACCACTTGAGTCTAATTGGACAATCTAAAGGATAATTAAAGGTATGTTACATTCTAATTGGACAATCTAACAACACAAATTCATTTGATTGGCTTGAAATCTAACATGAAAAACAAAGCTGGTTTAAGTGTGTCTGTTAGAATTCTTGCGGTGGAAAACATTGTTAATGTGTGCAAGGTGTGTATGTGTATAAGAACCTTGTTAAGAACCTTTTAGACTGGAATTTAGAATAGCAGCCTGTTAATTAAGAACCTATTCAGGCTGTCAGAAAAAAGTTCTTTTATGCGGGTTTCTACTGTATTACTTAGACCAATATTACAAAAAGAAAAAACTTTGTGAATCTTGGCAACTTTCCATTGCAAAATTTAATAAAATTCAATGCCTTAACAGTTTTATCAAAGTTTCTCAATATTTTTTTAACAAAAGTATCATCATCACCAGATCAATATGTTTTTACAAACACCCAGATATCGTGTCCTTTTGCAAAAAAATTCTTAAACTATAAACATCAAATGAATAAACTCAAAATATGAAGTAACAAAAGTAAAAAATAAAAAGTTGTTTCTAAATTTTGTGCCATCCAGCTTCTTAACCTATCGTTTGATCAACTTTGCTAGTTTTTGTAATAAGAAGTATTTTTGAAAATTAGCAAACAAAATAAAGGACTAGCTTTACAAAGTCAACATACTACATCAGTGATAACCTGCAAGATCAGCTCGTTTCTCCAGCTCGAACATATCTCTTTTGCTGGCGATGATTTTTTGGCCAAAGCAACTGATGACATATTGATCTCCTGGATCTGCACCACCAAAAATTGCACGCACCCCTTGAAGTGAAGGGGACAAAAAATGAATTTCAAGCAAAAGGTGATGGGATTATTTTGGGATTAGAAAAAGGTGGGATTATTTTTTTTGACATTAAGTTTTGTCTTCCAAGCTGCAGGGCAAGTAGCATATATTTGTATCAGCTAAGCAGTTGAATATGAATATCACAGACAAAAAACTATGGCAACTATCATCACAAAATTCAAGAAATGTGAATTTTATTGACATTCCCTTAACAGGGATGTTATAAAAAGATAGCATGGAGCTTCTTGCAAGTTTTTTGCATCTTTCAAATATCTTCAAAATACAGCAAGTAGTGAAAATTAGTAAATTTTTGGCATTAATTTGAGGTCCTGAGCCCCCCTTAACACTAAATCCCTGTTCCTAAACTTTGATAAAACAACAATGCTTCAAAAAAACTTTTCAAAACTGTAAACCTTCACTTAAACACTTTCAATAGTTCCAGTTGGCATTTGAATACTATCTGTACTCTGAAATTGACTTAAAACACAAAAACATGCACAGAAAATTAACATTCAGCAATCCTTAAAATCAATAATGGTATTTCAAAATTAAGATCAAAATCAGAATCAACATTATCAAAAATGATTCTTTAGTTTACTTCAACATAGAAAATAAACACAATCCACAAAACAAATTTCCATTTAATGAAAACCTATTGCTATCAATTGAATATGATGCTTACCACTTATTCTAAAGTCTTTTAAACTTTCAACCTCCTAAAAATCAACAAGCAAATTATCAAACAAAAGTTTTGATAGACACTGAACAATTTTTTTAAAGAAGAAAGAAGAATGATATGTAAATCAAATGATAAATCAAACATACTAGTGCTTCTTCCTAAATTGAAATAAATAATAATAATATGATATAATGAGGGATAAGGAGGCCATTGGCCTATAAAACCCTTTAGCGTTCGTTTTTAAGCGTATTCATAGTTGTACTTCTCGTTCCCACAAAAATTAGCATATAATTTCTCAAACTCTATAACTGACTTCACATCGACTATGGTTGCTGGCAAATTGTTCCATTCATTTATTACTCTGTTTGAGAAATAGTTCTTCCTCAGGCTCGACGATGAAGCAAACTTGAAAAGCAAACCATAAAGACATCAAGTAAATACAAAAACAGAAAGTAACTGAAGAATCGTCATTGGGAAGCTCTTCCTGAGAGAAAAAAGTGACTTACCAATATGACCCTTTGTTTCCTTTTCTTCATCTCATCAAAAGCTTGCCGAAATTTTATTTGAAGGTTTGATCCTAGAATAACAAAATGGTAATGAAGTTCCAAATACCTAATAGGAGTCTATATTTATTCCACACATTTCTTCTCTTAAAAATTGCAAATTCATCTTTAATTCCTGTGAATTTAAGTCTAACATCATTTTGTTAGCAACTTGATAATTTTTATTATCAAAGATTAGGTGACCAGATTTAAGAATAAATTCTATCCAATAAGAACTAAATCTCATTTAATGATAACTAACTATTAAGATTAATTGATTTCCATAGAATAATGAATAATATACTATAATTAACATCATAAGAAGTAGATTTACCTAGCATCCTTATCATGGTTTCATCCTTGTCTTCTGACTGAATGGAAAAGGCTAGGGCCTTGATAGCATGCTGAAGGAAAAAGATCAAAGCAGTTTTAACACAAAATCTTGTTCGAAAAACCTTTAAATGAAAAATTTGGCAGAAAGACACTAGTTAGTAGAGCTTCTTCATTTTATTGAATATCATAAAAATTCTAAACTCAAGATAGGTCGACGTTGCTAAAACGAGGAACAAGCGGAACAACCCAGTAACAAGAGGAACAACCCAGTAACAACCCAGTAACAAGCGGAACAACCCAGGAACAAGCAGAACAACCCAGAAACAAGCGGAAATGTGAATTATTGTTTAGTAAATACCACATGGGGGCGTTTATAATCCAACTCTCTGAAGTTCCTGTGGGCTAGAACTATCAAGAGGTCGTCAATCATGTCTTCGTCTGTTTCGGAGGCTTTGTGATTTTGCCAACGGACAGGGAGAATCTATCGACCCCGGATCGGGACGAAAAATAAATAGTAAAGCATGCGTATACATTCGATCACAACAGACACACTGTTGCAAATAGATGTGCATGCCATAGTGTAAATCTGTACATGTAGCCCTGTTGCAATCACATTTTTCAGGCCCGTCGGAGCCGGGGGGCTGGGAGGGGGGGGGGGTTTCTGAAGCCCCACCAATAATTGTCTTACTGTAGTATGTTTCCTTTATAACAATGTACTGCATGGGAAGGAATACAATGGGCAGCCTCTTAAAACTTATAATTTGGATTAAAGAAGAACTTTCCGCCTCAATGAAAATGATTCTAGGCAAACCATCAGTTTCCTGGTTCCTGGATTTTCCGACTTTTATCCCACGACAGGGCATGAATTTGCTTGTAGGCACATCAATGTCATTTTTCTCCCCAGGCGATTGAATGGCGCAATATCGTGAAATTTTGATGGTAGGGTGACAAACACGCAACCGATGTTTGGCGTTTCCATCATCATCATCATAAAAAAATTTATTTATCTAAATAGAATTAGTTGAAGAGCCATAATACACTCTAAATACAATCATATCTAAGTACACAAAATATAACGACATCAGAACTGAAATAAATAAATATTTTGACATATTCAGATATTCTTATTTTCATTGCTTTAAATTCTTTCCTATAAAACATGGCAAGTAGATAAACATAGAAAATTTCCAGAAGACCAGAGGTTTTCCGACAAAATAGGAGTCTAGCTCGAGGGGCAAATCACTCCAAGAAAATCTTGTACACCTTTTATAAAAATCCTATTGCTTTATCTGAAAATCCCTAGAAATCCTTTTGTTTTGGTAAAATCTTGTACGCAATTTTCAAGAGTGAATTGCCCCTCGGTCTAGCTCTACAGGGTTTTGTTGCCCCCCTCTGATTCCCTCTATCTTAGCCACTGCCGCCAGAGCAGTTTACCCAGCATAGCTATTTTAGCAACCAAAATAGCCACCAGAGCAGCCACCATTTTCAAAAAATTTCTGGGGGAGCATTCCCCATACCCCTTTAGGCATGCTTTACTATTTATTTTTCGTCCCGATCCGGGGTCGATAGATTCTCTCTGTCCGTTGGCAAAATCACAAAGCCTCCGAAACTGATGAAGACATGATTGACGGCCTCTTGATAGTTCTAGCCCACACAAACTTCAGAGAGTTGGATTATAAACGCCCCCATGTGGTATGTACTAAACAATTAATTCACATTTCCGCTTGTTACTGGGTTGTTCTGCTTGTTCCTGGGTTGTTCCGCTTGTTACTGGGTTGTTACTGGGTTGTTCCGCTTGTTACTAGGTTGTTCCGCTTGTTCCTCGTTTTAGCAACGTCGCAAGATAGGTACCTTTAAGGCAAAGAAACACAGGATTTGTAGCCTCAACAGATAGCTACATTTATTTCAATAGAAATAAGAGCACCTCAAAACACGTACAACAAAACCAGTAGAAAATCATTAACACACTATGCATTGCAAATCTAAAGACAGTGGTAACAGGACTTCTTGACAAACACCAAACAAGTCATTGTGATGACAAAAGAATAAAAAAACACAAAACTGTGCAGTACATTAAGAAAAACAGAGAACAATAATGAGAATGACTTGTGTACTGATACTTCACATACAAGACATTCTCAGAGATATTTCATAAAACCAATATGTAAAGTAAAGTTAAAGGATATAATAAAGTGTAAAGTAACGGTTTATTGCAAAAGAAAACAATTAACAGAAAAAAACCTAAATGGTACCTTGACACCATGTATGAACTCATTCAACTTAAATTCTTCCCTAAAAGAAGAAGATGCCTGTTTCTAAAAATGTTCATGAAGATGTTCATAATTTTTGAAATACAACCCATCAAACAAAAGGGCTAGATTCAAGGAGGCATAAATGCTTTCCTAACAGATAAACATGGGGTTCTAAGTTATGTTATATTAAGTTGTATTCAATACAAAAAGCCTTCATAAACATGTAACAACACCTTCCTAAGTCTAAGTAAAGTCTGTACAATAACCTTATGTCTATCATGCAACTTTCAAAGCCTTAGCTTTTCTATTTGTTTATGTTATTCGAGTTTATGTTAAGTATATTTTTTGTCCTGTCCCTGATCAGTCTGTAGAGCATTGGCATAAACTTGTTTATGAAAAGAGCAGATAAAAACATTTGCATGTGTGCAATTCAATTGTTCAAAATTAGTGTTTATTCTTGTGTGCACAAGCGACATTCTGCCAACAAGTATCGTTCTGCAAGAGTTTATTTCAAATGCACATGGCACATGCAATAAATTATTTAAATTAAACAATAAGGCTATCAAATCCCAGTGCCAATGATTCAACACTACAGGAACTGAGGAATATCAAATGAATCTTTGACACTTTTACCTAGAGGTATTTTTTAGTACTCTCCTTAGTAATATCATGCCAACAAGCTTGTGATGAAAAGGATCATCATTTGTTTCATCTGTGCAAAAGAAAACAATATATTACAAACACATCCTGTAAGTTTAGGATATCTTCAATAATCAAAGCTAACAAACATAAAAGATTTCAAGACGCAACAGTATCTCAGTGAATTTGATATACCATTCCCAGAATAAACAGCCCCTTGTTCACTCTGCCCTTTTAATTTTAAAAAGTATTTTCTACAAAATAATAAGTAGTTTGTATATTTTAGAAAAAATAAAAAGGTATTCACTAAATATAAATCTAAATAAATGCAACCTCTCTGTTGCCCCGCCCTGGGTTAGTTTAAAAATACTATTATTAAACCTGTTGGAGCATTCCTGCTATGCTGTGTAAAGCTCTAACCAATATATAAATGAATAACATATTATGTTTATCTGTCTTAAATCACTTGAATTTATGAAAGTTCAAACAAAGCTTATGATAAGGGGAGACTCCTTAATTAGTTCACTTATTGACCATTGCTATATGTCTAATCTGTAGATTTTTTCAATGCTTATCTAATGCACTCAAAAATGTAGGGCTGCAAATGGGTACAGAAAAAAATTCTAGTGCCACCCTTTTTAAAACGTTGGAAAACATTGGTTCCAATCTTCATTTATACAAGATGTTAATGGAAGTATTCAAGTGCTAATGGATTCTTAGTGTTTATAAAAACGTTTTAACTTGAAGAGAGCTGGTCAGTATCAGAACCATCTGATTGTGACAAGGGGAGAAAATGCTCCAAAAATGATTTTGTTAATTGAAGGTCCAATCTGGTCTCTCTTAAAAGCAGTGGGAAAGGCATAACCAAGTTAGAAACCATGTATCTTGTGTGTAGTGTGTGACCTATTCTTATTTTTTTGATTATACTCCTATTCCAATTTTAAAGGATCTAGCATCCAAAAGTATCAATAAAAGACTTTCCAGGTGGAACATAAATTGTATGCAAGCCACTAATTTTCAGGGGTGGATCCAAGAACTATCTGAGGTACATCAAGAAGGAGAAAGAGGGGTCTGGGAGACTGGGAAAAATTTTAAGGACCACACCCTACAGATTGTCATAGAATAACCATGGAATCTTTTCACATCTCAATATTTTGATTTTATGTTTTGAAATCATTTCCCATGCTCATGCTAAGACCATTGATGCTATTCCGGTTATCTGGTAACTCTAGCCTGAGTTTCATGTCAGTCTCCTAAGCAAGGGCTGGTAAAGAGAGGAGTTGCCCATTGGCCAAAAGCTGCATAGAAAGGTCTCAATCAAAGAAAAAAAGGCTTTTCAGGAATCTATATAGTCTGACTTATGCTCAAGCATCACTCACAATATTCTGGATCTGCCTATACTTTGTTGGTTATTTTAAAAAAGCTAGATTTTCACCAGAAGCCAATAAACGGTTTGAGACTGTGGCCTTGTATATTTAAACTTGCTTGAAATTGGGGCTATGCGTGCAAGTTCTCAAGCCTTTAACTTTGATAACAAATTCCTTGTGTGATCCTGCTTTTACAAAATTCTTTGCAGTTAACACCCCGGTGAAAAATCTTGCAGGATCCTGTATAGGATCCTCGCAGGATCCTCACAGGATATTGGTAAAGGATCCTACAGGATCTTGTGCAAGATTCTGTACAAGATCCTATAGGATCTTATAGGATCCTATAGGATCTTAATAAGATCTTACAGGATCCTGATAAGAATAAAAGTATTCCTTAAAAGATCTTAATAGGATCCTATGTATTTCTTGAACCTTAGTGAAAAATCTTGCAGGATCCTGTATAGGATCCTATATAGGATATGTGCAGGGTCCTGAATAGGATCTCATCAAGATCCTGTAGGAAATGATTCGGGTCTTGGACAGGATATTTTTAAGATCCTGTATAGGATCTAATCAGGATCCTGTATATGATCTAATCAGGATCCTGTATATGATCTGTTCAGGATCCTATATATGATCTTGTCAGGATCCTGTATATGATCTGTTCAGGATCCTATATATGATCTTATCAGGATCCTGTATAGGATCTAATCAGGATCCTGTATATGATCTAATCAGGATCCTGTATATGATCTGTTAAGGATCCTAATAAAGGATATTGTAGGACCTTCTACCAAATAAGAGTTCAAGAAGTAGATCTGTAGAGAGCAAATCAAGTTTCATGTGATTCACATTTAATAAAGTCACAATCTTTGTTTACTACATCTTCATAAACTATGCTTAATTTACTAGTTTGTCAAGACATTTCTGTTTAATTGTTCTGTTTATAACCTCACTCTGCTTTGCTGTATTTTACTCTCTTTAAACTGCATTGAAAGCACCTAGAATGAGAAAAGATTTAAAATTTCAAAAAATAGAAGGTTCCAGATGAATCATAAGGATTTGAAATTGGTTTTAATTTTACATTGTAAAATTAAGTCTTGAAATGTCTTACAATGAATATCTCGCAGAAGGGTGACTGTTTTGCATAGCCATGCCCTCTTTCCATCAAGTACAAGAAAGGATGGTGCAACGGACCAAAGGGGGCCACTGAACTCTTGTTTTTGCATGTTTACATGGCAGACAAACTTTTATTTGCATTTATGAACTTCATTACAGTATTATCCCTACTATAATCCTATATATTTTGAATATAATAATGTACCCCTATACCTGGTCCCGTCAAGATATACAATTATAGCGATTTTAAAATATTTTCGGTTATGGCATGATTTGTCTTCAATCTACTATTTTGTCTTCAATCATAGTATGGTAGAACACTTTATGAACCGATTTCAGTTTATTAACATCATCAACTGATTCTTAACATCAACAAATGTTGCTTTTCGCAACCTCTTGGTATTATGGCCAAAGATGTGACTTTCTTGCAAAAATCGTAAAATCTTTTAGCCAAAGGAAATAGTAGATTGAAGACAAATCATGCCATAACCAAAAATATTTTAAAATCGCTATAATTGTATATCTTGCCGGGACCAGGAGGTAGATCTTCGTACCTTGACAATCCAAGGTTGAAATCTCCACAGAACATTACTTGTTTGTTTTCTTTTGTAACCTACAAAAAATCGTTTTTACAGACAAAAAAGTCAGAATCCCCTTTTTATCAACAAAATTATCATAACCTGGAGGACTGAGACTTTCAGTTACAGTCTTTTATGAAGTAGATGTTCTAAACGCTTTTTTCATATAGAAGAGAGCTAATATTTGTTTGAGATAAGCTGAAAACGTTATGACATTTGTGTAAAGCATTTTCCTTGAAGTCAGGGAAGCTACAGCCCCCCTAAAGCATCTCATTGTTGGAAAATGTGTACGAAATTTGCTACTCTGTCGAGATTTTTAGGAAATATTGTCTATCGACAACCTCCTAATACGAGTTTTGACTCTCACTGCGCCTGAATTATTTATGAAATGCACGATCATATTAAAAGTAGCATGGTGGCATTTGCTTATAAGTATTTATGACCTGGGTCTGCGCTATCAAGCCTTTCAAGAAGACTGCAACCATTTCCTTGCAACCGATTGTTTGACAGAAACAAAACAAATTGGAATTCAATGTGATTTCTAGTAATGGGGTGTCATCTAGATAATTGAGTGGAATTTAGCTTGTCGGCATTTGGAACAGCCCCAATTTTGGCAGTGGGTTGAAAGATGTGTGCCAGCTCTTTATTTTAAAAGAGAAAGCCTCTTTGATGTGCGTCATGAAACTAATGAGGCGCCAGAAAATGATTCTCTGAATAGCATTTTTTTAGTAGTTTTTTACAGATTTTCCATAAGAACGAGCCCAAAATGGCCAAAAAATTAAAAAATAGTATTCATCACCCCCAACTTTAAGAAGCTGCTCGAAATTTAGTTCTTTTAGTCGATAAGAAACCTATTTGTGGTTAAATTTTCATAGATAATAGAAAGAATATAACTCCTTACAACTGATTAGGTGTTTGTTACGTTTGATATTCTGTTGCGTTTGTTTGTGTTTTTTCCCATAAAGTAGCTTTTTAGTTCTTGGTATTGAAGCAAACTTTCAATAATAAATTCATTAATAAAGTTAAGAAAATTTTAACTGGTAGTTTGCTTAGTTTCTTATGAAAAATGCCCATGTTAGCTTTTGTGATGTAAAAACTTGGCCCACTAAGAACATTTAAAACGATACAAAGATTTCTAAACTTTGTAGCAAATTGGCTGTTGGCGGTTTGAAACAGTTTTTGAGCAATTTAAAATTTTAAAGTGCAATTTTCAAGGTTCACACAAAATCTACTCATTTAAAGTGTTTCCTGAAATTAGCCTTCTTGGCCTTTACATGTTCTAGCAGCAGTTTTAGGTCAGACTCTAATTTTTTTAAAATAATCTCTGGTCTAGCACAGTACCAAAGAAGAATATTCATTTACCTGCTGGGCTGGATCCATTCTTCTCGATTCTTCTGCTTTCAATCTTGACTTTTTGGAAAAAGCGCCTGACAGATGTTCAGCATTTTGCATCTCTGGTCGCGTTTTACAGCGGGTCGCATTTTGCAAGTCTTTCTTCTGTTTTCCACCAACAGATTGTCTCGTTCAAAATGTGACCCGCTGGACTGCCAAGTGTCCTCTGATTGGTTGGTAAAAAAGGCATGCGACAATTCACTTCATTAGCGATGGTTATCGCAGTTTATGAATCCCCGTACCTACCAGAACACCGGTTACAGCACGATCACCCCTTGAAAGTCCCTGATTTTGAATAAGTCGAAAACAAGTTATTTGAAAAATATTCTTTCCAGTTCAACATCGTTTTCTATAACCATATTTACCCGACAGCATATCTAATTTGGGGTGCAATGATAACCAATTTGTGCAATGACAAAACGGTTTTGTGCAGTGCTAAAATGGAAAGCTGCTCCGTTATAAAACTGATGCTTTAATTATGGCGGACGAATTTTATGCCTTTTAGATAAACTTCAAACTTTTTGAACCTTAAAAAGAAAATTGATAGCCTGAACATGCCCAGGGCCCCCAAGAGTTGGGGAAGAGGCAGGAGTGTAGCCAAGAAAATTGTTTAGAGGGATGAAGAGGCGATTTTTGCCGACAAAAAAGGGCGCGTTTCATTCTTTAAGGGTGTGGTCAAAAACTATAAATACTCTAAAAAAGATAAATACTCTTGCATGCTGCTTTTATTCCTTTCTGTTTCAAAGTTTATACTCTAGTGCCATACTTTGATAGTTCAACTACACAGAAATGTTGCAAAAAGGTTGCAGAGCGAGTGCCCAGAAAAAATCCTTACTGTGCCGACCAACAAATTGTTGGGATACCACACCCCCACCGTACCCCCCTATGCCGACGCCTCTGGGAAGAGGGGGCAAACTGCAACAGAGAATCAACGTCTAGCATCTAAGGAGCCACATAAAGTAATGAGTTCCATTTTAAAAATGGAATTAATTCAACTTAAAAAGAGTATGCCTAAAAATAGTAAATCGATTTAAGCCAATACATGAAAGTGACATGAAGAAATAATTCTGAAATGTATTTGAAAAAGCTAAACTAAAGGGTGTGGTATTTATATACATCAGAGATTGATATGATCATATGTTTTGTTTTTCTTGCGCTTTGCTGCATCAAAAGTCCACGAAATCGATTGATATACACTTAGGATCAGGGGTGTAGTGCTAGGGGCTGAGCCCCCCTTGTTAATGCCAAAACTTGGCAAATTTATATTTTTCTATTGTTTTTTGCAACTTTTTGTGCAAGAGCCCCCCTTGTTTTTTTGATAGCACTACACCACCGCTTAGGATTCAAGATGTTGGTAGGATCCTGGTCAGAATGTAACAGGATCCTCTTTAAGATTCTACAGGATCCTATCGTTATATTCAAGATCCTGGCAGGATCCATGTCACAATCAAATAGGATCTTGGAATCGTTATGTGTAAGATCCTAATCTAGTTCTTGTAAGATCCTGCAATGTCACTATGGATCCTTGCAAGATCCTATTCAAGATCCTGTTTTAGAATTCTGTAAGATTTTTGGTAGGATCCTGTGTAAGATCTTCAGCTGTTTATCTCCTACAGGATCCTTATGTAAGGTCTTGTATAGGATCCTATACATTTAGGATTCAAGATGCTGGAAGGATCCTGGTCAGAATGTAACAGGATCCTGTTTGAATTTGTACAGGATCCTATCTTTATATTCAAGATCCTGACAGGATCCATGTCACAATTCAATAGGATCTTGGAATTGTTTTGTGTAAGATCCTAATCTAGTTCTTGTAAGATCCTACAATGTCATTCTGGATCCTAGCAAGATCCCATTCAAGATCCTGTTTTAAAATCCTGTAAGATTTTTGGTAGGATCCTGTGTAAGATCTTAAGTTGTGTTTGTCTTACAGGATCCTTATGTGGGATCTTGCATCAGATCCTATGCACACAGGATCTTGCAGGATTTGTGGTAGGATCTTGTCCAGGATCCTAAAAATCTAGGATCCTCCTAGGATCCCACAGGATCCTGTAGGATCCTGCAAGATATGAAGGGGACAAAGGCTGAAATGCCTAAAATTGACTGACGGAGATCCCCACAAGTCCCACACTTATGTACACATTTTTATTGGTTCTTACACAAACCAGATCCTGCTCAAAAACTGACATGCTTTGCAGACTGGTTGTAGGCAAAGTATAGCAGCTCTCGACAATATCTCGCACATGCACAATCATTTCAGGAGCATTTTTCGTGTGCAAATTTGATCTAACATTTGATATGGTGTGCAAACAGAAGTTTATCATAAAAATGCTACTGTAAATTCGGTGCGCAATGTCAATTTCGGCCTGCATAACTACAATGACTAGCTTTCTGGTAAAATTAGACACACCCCCTTGCATTCTTAACTTTTAAAACGTTTGAAGGCATATAAAATCGAAACTAAGGCCCTAAACTGAATACGTAGATTGACTATCTTACCATGAGTATTTTGAAGCCATGGAAGAGTTAGAAAAGAATTTGAGGCATACGTCATTCGACTGAAGCCTGAAGGGTTTCGTGACCTCCTCCCTTTCAAGAATTGGGAGCAGATACATGATGATGATGAGACCACTTCCCTTTGCCTCCAAAAGACTGACAGCATGCATTTGTTTGGAAAGAGCCTGGGCTTAAGGATCATATTTGCTCTTTCTAGTTGATGCCTGTGGATATTTTAACTCGCGGGAATCAAGTCTGCAGATATTTCGACATCTCTAATGATGAACTGCGGTTAATGGAAGCTAGGCCAAATAGCCTCGTTCTCGATACCTTTCTCGGAGAGGTTCGTCTAACCAGAGCTAACTCGTCTGACCAGTGGTCCGTTTCAAAAAATCTATACTTTCTAAAAGATTATTTTTATGTTGAATCTTTCCAAATATTTTCTACGAAAGTCTCTATGAACCTTTCTGAGCTCAAAACCAACTTTGGCAAGGCAACTTAGTGTAAGCAACGCCAAAAAAGTTAGAGAAAATTGCTGTTATAAAAAATCGTGTCTATGGGACTTCAGCATCCGCACCAGCCTCAGGTGTTACCCTTCCTTTTGCATTTAAACGAGGTAATCGTGATGATTCGACTAATTTTCAAAAGGTCGAGCTAAAAGTTGAATGCAAAATTTGTAAGAGCTGAGGTTAAAGAAGATTTGAAGGCTAAACGTTAAGCCATATTGAAAGCCATTCCAACTGAAACAACAGACACTTCTAAACTCTCCAATTCAGATGGAATTATCACATTCGATTTGATAAATGAATCTATAAACACTTTCTTATGAATTTTTCAATATCAAAAAGGAAATAATTCCTAACAAGCTAAGAATCGCTTCATGTGTGCTAGAAGAAACCAGAAATGTTGTTAGACCGAGGAGAAAGAGTGCAATTACCTCAAATCATGCAATTTTCACAATTGATTTAACAGTTTTTGATCCCTGCTCGTTTTTTGGGAAAAGAATGTTTACCAAAAAGTTTTTACTGTATTCTGGGATAACTATGACAAAGAAAGAAAAAGATCCACATCCCATGAAAAAGGTTTAAAAGCAGCTGCCTCATCGGGCCCCGTAGCTTTAATCTTGTTAATTACTATAACGATTATACACCAAGCATCAGTGAAACAATCAGTCATTCCAAACGACTAGAGGAAAGCCCATCAATGAGACAGTCAGTCATCCCAAACGATTAGAGAAAGCCAATGTCACACCAATTTTCAAAAAGGGAGATAGAGCGAACCTTGAGATATCGTTAACATTTATCTGCTGCAAGTTATTAGAGCACATCATCAGCTCCAAAGTTATGGATCATTTCAGCGAGTTTGACATCCTTTTGATGCCCAACATGGATTCAGACTAAAGAAATCCTGTGAATCGCAGCTGATAATAGCCATCCATGAAATTGCCCAAGCACTTGATCAAGGAGAGCAAACAGATGTTATACTACTTGACTTTCAGAAAGCGTTTAATAAATAAAGTGCCCCACAAACGACTGCTGGCAAAATTAGATCACTATGAGAATCGAGAGGTGACTTAAATGCCTGGATCTACTCATTTCTTTCTGATCGCACTCAGAGAGTAGTCATTGGAGGTGAACAATCTGACGAAGTAAATGTTACATCAGGAGTCCCCCAAGGCTCAGTACTAGGCCCAATCCTCTTTTCAGCCTACATCAATGACTTGCCATCAGAATCACAAGTTCGCCTTTTTGCTGATGACTGCATTCTGTAATGAAAGATCAAACACCAAAGTGATGCTTCCGCTCTGCAAAAGGATCTCGATAGACTACAGAAATGGTGTGATGACTGGCTTGTGTTCTTTTACCCTGAGAAATGCAAAGTCCTGCGAGTAACAAAGAAGAAAAAACCTCTAGAGTCCACGTACACGAAAAAAGACCATAGTCTAGAAATAGTTTCCAATAAAAAGTATCTTGGGGTTATTCTCCGCAAAAACTTCAGCTGGAATGATCAAATGCAAAAAGTGTGCTCTGAAGCAAACACCATGTTGGGCCTCCTCAGAAGAAATATGAGCAGCTGCCCTCGAGATGTGAAAGATCCATGCTATGAAACGCTTGCCAGGCCAATTCTTGAATATTCGTGCACTGTCTGGGATCCTCATCTGTCAAAAAACGTCAACAATCTGAAAATGGTTCAACGGAGGAGTGCAAGATTTGTCTATGGCAATTACCGCAGGACTGCCAACCCGAGTAACATGATAAAAACTTCAGAATGAGAAAGCTTAGCTCTAAGAAGAAAGAAATTCAAGATCATCATGATGTATAAGATTGATAACAACCTAATAGATATTCCTAAAACTCTTTTCAAACCAGTTAATCCCCACGGACGTCGAAGCAGTAGGATATTCCGCGTACCATATTGTCACACAGACGCATTTCGGTTCTCGTTTATACCAAGCGCAGCTGACATTTGGAAGTCACTAGCAGATAATACAAGTAATCAGAATTCGTTGGACACCCTGAAAAGAGCATTAGATAGCCTAAAATAGAATCTCGCTAGCATTTGCTACTCCGCTAATGCTATTGTTTTGGCAAGGTGACCTCACTGGTACTAGATGCATCTAGAAGCCTTTGCTTCCCTAATTTTTCTCCTGTAGTCTTTTTTATTTATTGCCAGTCTAAGATCGAGGACCATTCTAGAACGCATACAATCAAGGCCGTGGGGACGGTGTGAATATCGCCCTAATGCTCCTGGTAAAATTTTCAGTAAACCTACAATATTATCCCCATTCAATCTCCTCATGGGGTTCACACTGCCAAAACATTTATTATTCATATTTACTTTTATCTTATTTTATTTTCACTAACTTAATCATACTAACAAACATACCATTGTACGTAATACCTATTTAGAGGTTAATGTACAGTAAGTAATAGATAGATATAATCGTCTCATTTATCAGAACTAATGTCTGGCCCACCAACTAATGTCCTTCAAAAAACGAAGTGAAGTTTATATTGTACTAACTAAAAACTTGGAGGGATGATAACACTATAGCATTCATGACCATAGGCAGAGGGAAAGTTATCGGACGAGCTGTACCCTGCCTAGCGATTAGGAAGGAGGGTGGAAAGGAGGTTGGCATATCCTTCTTTCATGCCATAGTCAGACCTACAGCACGTAGATCCAAAAAGTTGATCAATCAGAACAAAACCAATTATCTGAGTTTGTTGGTCAGCTAAGATCTTGAAACAGTTTTAAAAAATGCCCAGCAATTCACATCAGTTCCCTTAGACGCAGAATACATCAAAGTGATAGACCTTAATATTTTAACCTTAATCCTAGGAATTCAACGTGGACATTATGCAGGTACCTTAATTATGACTGGGGCTTTGACATTATCATCTATATATTTTCCTTTCTATCAAAAACCCACATATTACCGCAAAGCCTCGTTATGAAACTCCTCTTTTTGAAGTCCTCTCTTGACTTCATCGAAGCTCCTCTTTTGATAGTCCTGGCTAAGTACTTATCATTGTTCCACCTTGTAAACAATTTGTTTACACCAGTTCACCTTTTCATAGGCAGCTGCTACGACTTCCATTAACCAAAAATAATAAAGCAAACATACAAGGTTTGCAGTCGCTCAGTCAAGTATCAGAATAAGGCTTAGGCTTTTGTTAACCTTCACCTGAAACCAACATTGAGCATCCATCCACTGAAGAATAATACCAGAAATAAGAGATAAATTACAACTTTGTAAATGTTTTGATAGAAAACAATTATCAGTAACCAAGTGTGTTTTTCCTTTTGCTCGTCTAGGAAGAGACAAAAACGTACCCTTCATCAATTTAATGAAATCGATGATCATAACATTGATGCAAAGTTAAAATTGCTCATGCACATTTAAAGGTTAAACGTCTTTTGAATCGAAATGGCAAGGGTTGTATAACAATCTATTGCTACAATAAATAAACTTAACAACATGTGAAACAAAGTTAAACTATGTATCTGAAAGAATTTACATTGTTCCTATAATGAGATAAATACTCTCATATGTTACGAAGATTTAGAAAGCCTATACTTTAGATAGGTTCCAAAAGTTGTTGTTCAATGATGTTGCTGTCTATCTTCAGTGGCTCGAGGTCAGATGCCTCGTTGTTTTCTTTCAATAGGCCCGAAAAATTTCTCTAATGAACCAAAGACATGAGGTTTAAAGATTGTTCATAAAGCTTCGGAAGCAGTTTATTAAAATTTTGAATGAATAGCAACTGGGGTTTGAACGGAGGCTGTAGAAACTTCATAAAACTATCGAAATACACTGTAAAATGGCGGCAAATCATTCAAAGCAGGGAATTACTGTAAGGTGAAGCAACTGCTGAGGTCAACAAAATCAATTCAGGAGGTTTGGGCATTAACAATTAATGTCGCTTGGCATTAGTTGACCTCTTACGGAAAACAAAAAAGAGCTCCAAAGTCGTCGCTTTGTTTCATCTTCGGAGGCTAATGAAAAGCTTTGATAAGATGTAATCTTTCATAAGATTAACAAAAGAGCATGTCATTTGTATTACAATATCGCGAAGCAGGACGGAGTGAGTCGCTCGCAGAATTAGATGCAAAAATGAGCAGAAGGCAACCAAAACGTAAGAATCATTTCCATAATTTCACTTTATAATGGATTTGTGAAATCAAGCAATTAACTGCAACACAACAGCAGCAATTGTTGTAAACACTGTGTTGCTTTTGATGAAAGTGGACAGAGCGACATAAAGCTCTTTGTATACTTTAACTGTTGGACTAGGTTTTTTAAGAAGAACAAGTCGCTTATTATCCTGCTGTTTTCCGTAACTTAAAGCATTTAAACAAACAACGTAGTTTGCAAGTTGCTGTTCCTGTATTTGTCTACCAAACAAGCCGTGCCAATCATAGGGGAATTTATTAGCCTTTCTTATGTTTACTTCACCTACTCAATGTTTTAAGTTCATTGTGAATCAAGACTCATTACTTTTGAAATTGTGAGTTAACAGAGCATTTTCATAGTATGCTTTCACTGTGTGTTACTTTTGCAAGGGGGTTTAACAAACAGGACGTCTTTTATGAAAACAAGTGTAACTTTGAAACGTGTGCACTGGACTAGAATATTGAAGTAATTACGTCTGGCGAACAAAAGGCTTTAAAGAAGTTTTATCAGTTCTGGCTACAGTAACGTAATAAGATTAAAACCACATTGTATAAGATCGAATGGTCAAAATACATGCTATAATAATCAGCTACTGTTTTCAGCATAATCTCTTGATTATGAGCTGTTATCTCAAGCTCGGACTTTTGATCTTGTTTGTAAAATGAAATCCTGTAAGAGTTTCAGAAAAACAGATTTTCTTTCCACTACCCGACATATTAATGATATGGTCAATGGCTGTAGTGCTTTGAAAAGAGAACGGAACAGTCACAAGAACTTCTCAAAACAATAGCAAGAAGAAGAAAAGCGTAATTTTCATTATGACAAGGGGGCCCAGTCCCACTTACCCCCTTTTCTAAACCATTCAACTAGTCCAATCCTCTATTTATTTGATAATGGTAGCGTTTGTGCTAATGGAAATTTTATGGAGCTGTCTTACTTAAACAATCATCATCGTTAATATCTTTGAAATGAAATTTCTTCTGGTCAGACTGCGCTTCATGTGACACGCTTCCCTTCCCAGACCAGCATTAATGATTGTGATGTTCATTAGCAATTTCATTATAACCATAGTCCACATTTGTTCTTAAACACATTAAGCTACAGAATATTTGGATCATTCTGGTAGTGTACACAGAAGGACAGATTATTTAGCTTGCGGTTCCGGAAAAAATGTTTAAAGGAAGGATAAAGGACTTCGTTTTATAGTGTATAAAACAGTTCTTTTTCTGAACTTTAAACCATACAAAAAATAACCTTGCTTTAGGGCTCAATGTTTAACCACCCCTCCCCTCCCCAAAGCCTGTGCTTTGACTTCTCAGTCCCTGATTTACACGTCTTTTTCTTAAAAAAGATTTGGATCAGGACTAAAAGTACTAAACGTTTCATAATTTGGCATGAAAATTTTTGTGTCTTAGATGGTTTCTAATTTTCGGGATCTAAAACTGCCTTATTGTTTTGTAGTACAGCATTTTTAGAATAATATAAACGTAGATCGTCACGACAACACCCATGCAGATCAAAATCTTATGTTGAGCGCGAATGTTTCTACAGTCAGAATGGTTGCCATGCGAATTTAATGCATATTAATGCCCATTTTATTTTCGAATTATTAAGGGGAGGGGGGGGGCTCATTCGAACGGTGAAGCTAGTTGGCCTATACTTATTCCTTAAGATCGTAAGTTACAAAAAAGATAATAAGACTTGTTAAATAAACTGTGTATTACATAGTAGGCTTCTTTAGAAAAAGAACCGTTCTTGTTCCTGTTTTCGTCATATTTAGAATCTTCAACCACCGGCTCCAGTCTTTTCATAAACAGACTATTGCGGTGGATGCTAAATATGCGATAAACTTCGAAGATAAAATTTTAAAGCACAAACTCAGAGCCTACATTTGACAAATCTGTTCTTGGTCCACTCCTTTTTCTTATTTATATCAATGATTTTTCCAAGGCTACATTCAAATTATTTTTTTATCTTTTTGCTGATGATACCAACATTTATTATGAGTCAGGAAATTTAGAGCAACTTCAAAAGGTTGTAAACAACGAACTGAGTATGTTAAGAAGTGGCTTGATGCAAACAAGCTTGCATTGAATGTTGATAAAACTAGCTTCATTATTTTTCATTCACCACAAAAGCCCCTAAATGACACTGTTGACATAAGATTTGGTAAACAACATGTGAGGAAGGCAAAATATCTTAAATTTCTCGGTTATCTCCTGGACGAAAATCTTTCTTGGAAGCATCATTTAAATGAACTCTCCAAAAAGTTAGCAATAACCTGTGGTATACTGTATTTTCTAAGGTGAGACATTTGCTTCCCAAAAATGTGCTGGTTTCCTGTAATTCCCTATTTGCTTCTTTCCTCCAATATGGAATTGTTGTTTGGGGTCTTACTTGTGACTCATACATTAAACCGATTTTCATCCTACAAAAGAAAGCTGTAAGAGCTATTGCTTTTGAAAATCGTTCTGCTCCATCTTCTCTTATTTTTTATTTCAATTGAAACTATTGACTTTTGTTTATGAATCTGTAAATAAGATCTCCCCTTTTTGCTTTCATGAGTTTTTTTATTTACTTTCCAATGTTCATCAACATGATACCAGGCAGGCTTGTAAAGGCGACATTCTTCTTACGCGTATAAACACTCTGCAATATGGCTTAAAATCTGTCAGGTATGCAGGTGCAAGATCTTGAACGGCATCCCAACCTTGATCAAACAAGCCCATTCTGTAATTTTCTTCCGCCGGCAAGTTAAACTGCATTTGTTTTTCATCAACTATCAGTCGTAAGATCTTAATATTTTCAAGTGATGACTTTCTGCAAATTGCTTCGATGCACACTTTTTCCGAACATAAACAAATTTTTTAACTAAAGGATTGCTCTCTCCTCGATTAGTTTATCTATCGAGAGAGCTCCTCCTATAAGAACTTCCCTACATGCATATCCCTCCTTTGTTTTGTATTGTACTTTGTTTTGTACATAGAATCGTATTTCATTAATTTTGTAAAGCTTTTGTTGTTTGCTTTTTGGAATTATGGGTCACATTTTTTCAGACATTTGAGGAATTATGGGTCCAAATTTTTAACCAAAATAGCACGTCCCCGTCAAGGCTTAGTTTACCCCCCGAGAATGGAGCACTTATTCAAAAGGGTTCTAAATTCTAGGATTTGCGATATACATACATTTGTTTTCAGCGATTATTTTCAACCAGCTGTTGCTAGGAAACACCGAAAGCCTCGCATTGAAACGTTTATTTCTATTTTTCAAGGAAGCATCAGAAAACGCCGTACAAAATATATTGGGATGTTTAAGGCAAAAGTATTGGTTATTGGGCCGTGTGAGGTAATTAAGTATATTTTAAAGGGAAAATATTGTAGCTGTTCACGTTTGTTGTCTTTAATTTACTGTTGAGTTGCAAATCTCTGATGGATGAGTTGGCCTAATTCAAGTTGTATTCTACACAAATATACTGCACACAAATCGCAGATTTTACTGCATGCAATTAGATTCTTGCATTGCTTTTGCTACTTTCAACTGCTCAGAACTTACATACATCTTCTCTTATCTGTTTATTTATGTCTCGAACATGTAGGAACATGTCGAAATGGAGGGACAGCGGGATTGTTTGTATTGTTTCTAGAGGGGTTTTTACGACATACAAGACGAGAAAAATGTCCTTCTATGACAAAAAGGAGCATTTTAAGATAAAAAAGGCACCTCCAAGAGCGGGCATAAAATTTATTGCAAGTGCCTCCTAGCCCCCAAGCTTCTACACCACCGCCTAATATTGTTGTTAAAGCAATGTTTACATAATAAAATGATAGGTACATAACTGCACCTGAAATATGCACAGGTGGATCAAACTGAGTTTTCAGCATTTTTTTATGTTTTGACAAACAGGGTCTTCATCTTCATCAGTACTTTTTTACTATTTCCTGTTTATTTTTTTTGAGAATGAAACTTTTTGGATTGCAGGTTGGGAAAACTGTGCTGTCAAATTACTTGGCAGATGCAACTGAAATGTCCAGTGGGGAGTATTACCCTACAGAAGGAGTGAGGTCAGATGCAAATAAACAAACAGTAGCTCTTCAAATTAGTAAAGAATTTCTGTACGCTTAAGAAGGCCTTGAGAATGATATGGCTCTCCAGTAACAGTAATTTTCATTAAGAAAGCAGAGAGATTCGACTTTTATTTTTTCTTTTATTTCAACAGCTTGTCTTATACCAAATGCCCTTTTAGGTGATAGCCCAGTGTTGTAAGAACCTCACTGCCTGGTAAATCTATTGAAGATGCCAAACCCATCTACCCTATTTGAATGCTAAGCAGTGTTTTTTGGCTATTGACAAATGAACCAAATCTCCCAACCAGATAAAAGGGGGTACACTACATTCACAGCATTGCTAACCAGCCACCTCAGCTATTGTAGCTAGCTGCAGGCTGTGCAAATATTCCATCTGTTAAATCTCTAGTTTGCGAACTTATTAGCGTTGATGTTTTTATCCATTTCTAGGATTTTAGAATTCGAGGTTGAATCTGTTGCATTGAATGATGGAAGATCAGCTAATGTTGAAGTGGAATTGTGGGATTGCAGTGGAAATCACAAGTAGAGAAGTATTTTATTGTACTCAATATTGATAAGCTATCAAGTTTGGTACTAGTTTAAATCCTACATTGCCAAAATTTGTTTATTGAATGCAAGATATGACTATGTTGCCAGATACTTATTAATAACATACTATTTTGCATATGGTTTTTGTAGATACATGCCTATGTTAATCAAAATGGCTTAAGATGAAATATCAAGGAAACATCAAACCTAAACCCATTCATATGCAGATGCGTAATAGCTAAATGATATGACATGCAATTATTTTCACAGTTGTTATATGTGTAAAATATCAGAAAATTTAAGAGACTGACAATTGAAATGTGAACAAGTATTTGAGAATTACAATGAGTGTCATACCTGTTTTCATATAAAGATCTTTTAATGTTTCATTTACCCTCCATCTTTATCAAAGCATATTTTTGCAGATTTGAAAACTGTTGGCCTGCAATACAGAAAGACACAAATGGTGTTGTTTTTGTGCTAAACCCAGAGAAATCTGACCAAGTCAAAGATCTAGATAATTGGTAAGATTGACAATAGGGGTCAGCTTAATTCACAATGTCCTAAAGATGCTCCAGCCATTGCTGAATTTACAATACTTGTTTCCACATTTGGAAGCTTATTTATGTAAATTTTCCATTGATAGCTTTCCTTCCTAACTCAATATTAATGGATATAACTAGATATAACCCAAATGTTTGCATTAAATAATAACAAGAGTGACATTCTCATTAATAAGTAATATTGAAACAATCTCCAGCCATAATCTTTTTTTATCAATGATTTATAATGACAGAAAACCTTGAAGGACACATTGACAACCATGCTGCATTCAAACCTGTCAAAAAATATTTCATTCCTGTTAAAACAGGCCTTTAATTTAAAACCAAACAGATATTCACAAAGGTATACTTACTGTTAAACAAAAAGTTTCAACTTATCATTTACATCATGATTTAGCAACTATGTGGTGTAAAGAGATGGTTTATCTCATTATTCCCCATATTTTCCCATCTGTTGTTATGTCAGAAATTTAAGTTCAGCTTTATTCACTTCCATTTTACTACATCATAAAACAAATTCATTTCCCATGTCTTTTGCTTTTTAAAAAAGACAATTTTCTATGCTCAGTAATGCTTTAATACATGAGCTTTAAGTTGCTATCTTGTAAATAATTTGGGATCCTATTTGATCATCAACCTATTGAATCAGCAACAGTTGTCTATTTATATTCTTTCAATCAATATATAAGGTATTGATCTGAAATGGGAACTTTTGAAAACAACAATCAGGAGAACTTCATATCTCCAAACCTCACACAAGTTAGGCATTTTCCTTGAAATTTTTCTTTCATGTGTATTTAGAATTTTTGGGAAATTTTCAGGTACCTCCATTTTGTACGCCAGCAAGGAATAAAAGATAGCCAATGTATGGTATTTGTCCATCACAAACCTGGTCAAGCAGAGAATGCTAGGGCAAATCTGTGTAAGTAAATTTGTTTGTAGATGACATAAGATTTTGTGGAACATTCGATTCCTTCTAAATGTGTTTACCTTCACAATTTTTATTTCTATGACACTCAGGCCCTTTTCTATCTGAATAACCTCTAGCATCTTTTGAGAAACATTCAATGTTTTCTATAAAGTTTTTTCTTATTCCTCGCAAAGTCAAAGCATCATCCCTGTTAACATTTCTCAAGGAAACAGAATCTATTTTATCAGCATTTATAAAAGTAGCCGTCATCAGTGCTTCAAAGGTTTAGACACCATTTATCAGAAATCTGAATTACAATCATTCAGTTGGCATGTGTTTCTATACTGTTTTAAACTGAACATTCATAACACATCTCAAATAAATAAAAGCTGTGTGCATTCTTTTCTAGCTTCCAATTTCTCCCGCATCAGAGTCTCACACACTAATTTAGAAGATGACCCAGATGGCATAAAAGAAGTTTTCAGACAATACCTCGAGAACATTGTTTCTAACCTAGCTGACAGACGTGACCAAGAAGAGCTTAGCATTGTTAACAATCGGCAATCCACAGCTGCCTATTGAACTGTTTTAATCAAAAGCATTTTAGCCAGATGCTGTGACTTTTGTTCCTTTTGCTCATAAAATGTAAATAATAGCATCTCATAGAATAGTTTGAATCTGTTTGGGACAGTGGAAATGCTCAAAACATTATGCATGTTAATTAAAATCAGGATTGTGTCTTTCTGTATAATACCCCCACAACAGGATTATTTATTTCTTGATAGCTTAATGACTCCTAATTCTGTTCAGAAGATCCTCTGTTTTTCCCATCTCCTTTTTGAAACTCCCATTTCTCCCTTTGCCATACTGGTAATAATGACCTTACATCTTGTCCATATTAAAATGTATTTTAGACCATAGTCAATATAATGTAGATAGAACCAACAGATTGTGAAAATAATAAAAATAACAGAGAAATGTAAAATGCATATTAATTTGTTTGATAATTTATTTCACTTGTGAAACTAATGCTGTCATTTACAACAGGCCATCTTGAAAAACTCATCTGATAAGCTTGTTATTCCGATTAAGATGATGGAAAGTTTATCTTTTAAACTATTAACACCTGCAGGGAGGCCATTTATCAAGATATTACAAAACATGAAAGAAAATCTATGAAACTAAATTAGTGCCCATCTTCAAATATCTACACAGCCCTTCATTTGTGTTTAATGAGAGACAAGTAGAGTGCAGACTACACTGTACTGTACTGCACATAAAAGGAACAAATAATTCAAAGGCTTAGATGCAGGGTCTTTTTGTAAGATTTATCTGGATCCAAGGGTGCATCAAATTTTGATTTATCTTTGCATCAGATTCGCAAGAGGCAATAAATATGTTTTTTAAACAGCCTTTGGTGTTCAATGGCCAATTTTACACTAATTTTACTTCAAATTATAACTAAAGTATGGGTATTTCAAAACAGTTTTGGATCTCTAAACATCTAGATGCAGACCTTAAACCAAAAACTAGTTCTGATTTGATGATCGAAGGTGCAGAAATCTAACACTGGGTAAAGGCTGTAAATTTATTTAAGTAAAGGAGAATTTCCACCCAAGGTGAAATATTCTAATCTGCAACTCCCAGTTATTGCCCACAATTGGTGGTAAAATGTGATATTTTTTCAGTTAGCAACTACAGTTTTAGTGAATTATGATCTACAATAAAAATTTAGGCTGTGTAATGCTGTTCAAAACACTGACTGCATACTCTCACAGGTTCATACAGTTGCTCATCGGGTAATGGCATATACTGATTTGCACAAGCACCACAAAATATTCTTCCACATTTTCTAGAATAAAAGATAAAAAGAAAATTCTTAACTGCTGCATTGTGTCATAGAGAGTCTTCCTAATAGAGCCAATTCGATTCAAGGTGGTAGGTCTTTTGTACAAACCACCTTATCAAAACAGATTTAACTTGATGATTTCTCATTTTGTTTTATTATTCTGACCGTTTTTTTATTTTTCAATATCAGTCTTCAACCTGATGGCAAAGAAAGTGCATAGCACCTTAACGCCATGAAAATACTTTAAAAAGTCACTCTACCAATGTAGAAATAACTCATTAACAATTTTCCTTACAAAATTATGAAACAATCATTAGAAGCTATTGCTATGTAATACCTTTAAATTTTGGGGATTGTAAGATTGCAAAAACTTGGAAGGGAAAAATAAAAACAGAGGAACATTTACCTGCAATGGTGTTTTCTAACAACTAAATTGAATTGTTGATTGCATTCTGTGCAAATATTCACTATGTGGTCAGGGACCCAACGTGTGGCCAGTGTTTCTTCCATCTGGACTCTCTCCCAGCTTTCTTCATTGCTAATACTGGACAGTGACTGAGTTTCAACACTTGCTGAATCTGAAAGGACAGCCTTAAAGAAAACCAAACACAAAATATTAATCAACCATGTCTCTAATTACTAAGAAAAGAAGCTGTAAAATTTTAAACAAGAGTATTCACTTGTAAATAACCACATGTATAAATAGTTAAATTGTTCAATGTTCAAAATATATTTTAAAATATCACCTCTTTTGGCATGGAAGACCAGGATTCTGAAAATGAATTACCTACCAGTTTCTGCATAATATCTTAGCTTGGAAACCATGTATAAATATATATATATATATATATTTCACTTTCCATAAGATACATTAAATTAATTTTATAGTGACCTTACCACATCATCACAGTTTTCACTGGTTTTTCTTGATGAAGAAGTTGATTGTACATCTTCTCTTCTACTAGCCATATGCAGCCTTGCTTTTCTTTCTGATTCAAATCTTCTATGCCATTTTCGCACTTCTGCACTATGTTCTAAGTTAATTTCTTGCAATCTTTGTTGCAATGCATCCTCTGATTTAATTAGTCCATCAATTGACAGCAACTTGCTAATCAAATTCACATTTTCTGAAGGATTTTGCAATGATTTAATTGGGACCTGTTCAGGAATTTCTTGAGAGTAATATGCTGAAGAGGTCATTCCCTCCGAATATGAAACAGTTTTGATTACATTTTTAACTGGTGAGCCATCAGAACTGTGAGTTCTACGATGCCCTATAAATTTTCCACTTTTTGGTGTTGTAGGCTCTGAATTAGAGTTCTCTTCTGTTTTATTTTTATCATCTGAAAGAATTGTTTCGCCTTCAGTATTAAAAGTTATAGTCTTTGTACTGCTTGTTGTACTCGTGTATAAAGAATCATCGCAACATTCTCCAACATCATCCTGCTTCATTTCACTACTTTCCCCACAACCATCAGTACAATTGTTCTTTTCACTGCTACTTAGTAGTCCTTCATTAGAATCATTACCCTTATCTAAAAATCCATTTTCATTACAGTTAATACATTCACTAACCAATTCCGCTTTATCATTAAAACCATTTTGATCTCCTTTACAACAACAAATATCATCACCATTTGCCAAATCATTGAATATTTTTTTGACCTTATTTTTGACATTATCTTTCTCACTATTTACATGCCCATTGCAATCTACAGGATCATTTTGATGCATCTCTCCACAAAAACCATTTTTGTTAATGTCCTTTTTTTCTGCTGCAACATCTGCTTTCGTACATGAAAGTCCTATGTCATGATCATCAGGTAGGTATCCAGATTCGTTGTTCTCCATGGCCAAATTGGCCAAATCCTCTTCGTATTCAACAACATCAGCGAATTTCGGAGTTTTCGGTAAATAAACCTTTTCCCAAAGTACCAAATGCCGAATTTGGTAATTTGGGTACAAAACCTTGAAAGATAAAAAAGTACAAAATTGATATTTTCCTTAAATTGTCATCTTAAATGTAACAATATTGAACATTTCTGAGCTTGACTACAAAAAGTTCAGCACCATAAAAAACGCAACAACATTTGAATAATGGCTGAATTGCCAAGCAAACAAATTCATTAATGCTTAGCAAAAATAAGCCCTGACAGCACCCACGATAACACTTCAAATAAAACATGGCAATATGGCTTAAAAAACAAAGACCTACTCTCTGCTTATGTATGTATAGAAAGTTTTTGTAGTCATTCTTTGATGCCTTAAACAGTTCCCAAATCTGTGATGTATTCTGTTTCAATTTAATCTCTTGTCTCTCTCGAGCATTGTTGCACAGAAAAGTCCCATATAGACAGCTGTAAGTATGTAATGCCAGCTTAACCTAGAATTGAATGGGTAAAGAACACTCATAAATGGGAAAGATTCAATAAAACCATAATTATTTCAATTAAAAGCATGAGTATAATACTCATAATTGAAGATCCATATATCTCAAACTTCTCAAAATACAGTGCAAAGCAGCACCAAAAGAGAATTTCAGGGTCAAAAGGAGGAAATTCTGTTGATGAATAATGCACTCCAGGTATGATATAGTGTGAAGGATGGGCAGAGAGACAATTCAGAATAAGAATCCAGACACTTTCATAAGAAAAAATTCCAAGAATGCACAAGCACCCACTTGATTTTTCTTGCAGAAGCGATTGCTCCCAGCAAAGATAGCCAATGTTAATAATAAAAATATGCAATGCTAATAATAAATGCTCAGAATGTTTATGAAAACTGTAAAATCCTGTTATAATGTACTTTGCTGTACAGGCCTTGTAAGGAGAAGCACTCGAGCTTGATCAATCTGCATGTGCCTAGAAAGTTGTGGGATCTTGATTCATTGAGAGCCTAGTGCGTCTATACTGTCTAAAAACTAAATGTGAAAAACCAAATTTTGCTATTGATGATATTTGATGAGGCTCAATTTAGCGTCTAGAAAGTTGAAGATGCTGAGTTTGTCAGGCACCTGCTTTTTGCTCCTCACAAGGCCTGTTGCTGTAAGATAACATCAAATAAAAATAAACTCTCAGAGGATAACCTTCAATGCACTCAAAAAAACCAAATACCCAATTTGATGAACAGCACAAAAGTCAAATAAACATTACTGCCAGATGATCGCAAAAGGTTGTACCAAACCTTTTTAAAAATGCTTTAACTGCCCAGACAATGTTCTTAAGGCTTTGTAATTAAAATGCTTAGTGCCTATGGAATTCCTAAGCATTTGCAGGTGCATTGATATTCAAAAGATGACTGGAAATGTGTTTATTGGTGAAACATTTGTTCCTCAGAATTACAGATCATGCGGTTGCCTGGTTGAGTTCGCAAGAGTGCCAAACAAAAAGGCCTGACAGTCCCAGGCAAAGAGATTGCAAGAGATACCAAGATATATAGCAAAGACTGCATAAGAGGTCGTTCTTGTCACATGCAATATCACATCATGCTTGCGGCCTTTACAAAGCAATAAATGCAAGACTTCTGCTTATTAAACTTACCAATAAGTGCTCATTGAACTCAAAAGCAGTAGGAAATTGCTTCACAAGCTGATGTACACAATCAAGCCATTGTAAAAAAACAGGGCTCCGTTCATTCACATCTCTTTCAATAGAATGGCCACATCGATCACCAAACTTATGTCCAAAGTCAAGCCATTCACGCTCAATAAGAGTTTGGAAACCCTGAAAAGAAAATACACCACAAATACTCACACCCTTCTAATCAATGGTCATCTAAACAGTACTTTATATGATAATAATTTGCTTTCTAGGAAACAAACTTTGCTAGTCTGTATCACAATACATTTACTAGTGTTCGGGCTAACTGAATTCAACTGATTTCTAATCAATAAGATGCTACATAATATTCCAGCAATAGCACACACTTTCTGAAAAACAATGTCACAGCTTTAGGTCCTAAAACATGACAAGGTAGCTCAGTTGCTATCACATTGACTCCTGTGTTGCTTGTTATGAGTTTGATTCCTACCCAAGTTGTGTCATTGCTGATATACTGAAATTCTCAGTACAATTCTCAGAATTTGTTGGTTTTAAGTGTTTTTTGCTTGGGCCAGTTTAGTGATTCAACAACTTAGCCAAAGTGCAAGACATGATTTCCTACTGACTTTACAGGTCCTATCCACTCAACCAAACATAACAACAATTGTAATGCCATAATCATAACCATTGAATAGTCAAAACTTTACACCTTTCGAGTGACTCTAGTATCATCTAAAGATGAAATTCAGAGGAACTAATCCTTGATTACCTTAAGTAGCACAATATTTTTCCTTTTTGAATTCAATTTATTTATTTCTTTGAATTTGCAAACTGGATTGGTTATAGAACAAAACTGTATGACTTCAAGTTGTTTATATATAGGTCATATACCACAACCCAGTACAAGATCAGAAGTACCTTTATGGTTCGATAAAATGGATCCATTAAGAGTTTAGCAAGTGAAACAAGTTGTGCAGTTCTATCCCAACCATCTGAGCAATGAACCAAAACAGACTGTCCTTCATTTCTGATGGCATTAACAATCAATGTGGCTGATCTAAATAGGACTGACAAATAGTGGAGCCATTTGGTTGCCTCTAATGATGACATCCAGCTAAACAAAAAAGAAATTTAAGTAGGTTCAGAATGGTTTACCATGTACTTCTCTCAGATAATATCAAAATGCTTGAAGATATTTAGCTTAAAATCTATTTTGTCATCTAAAGCTTTCTGAACAACTCTGTTGTGTTATTTGGACATTTTAGTATAAGTACTGCTACAATTCCAGTTAATCAAAAAAAAGGACAGATCAAGGGACCCTGGTATACATTGTACAGAAAAGCATTGGGCTCCTAACCTAAAAACTTTGTCTTTAATGAAAGAGCGACATAACATGTAGATAAGGAATGCCAAAAATATTACTTAAAAAAAGTTAAAATAAAAATTGAATACATTCTTACTTGGTCTGATCTTGTCCTTGTTGACAAAGAGTTCTTAAACTCTGAAAACTTTTGCGAATCCCATGGATATTTGTCAAACTCATAAACTGAATTTGACAATCAGCATAATATTCTAAACAAAAAACAGCTCAGTTATTTCAATTTGAATCATATGGAATATCCTAAAAACTTGGGTTTTCTTTCATTTTATCATGCTTTGTTTAATTTTATCATGGTATTTCTCATTCACGATCTCTAGACACAATTCACTTGCTCGAGATAATTTCTTGTTTTCATCAAAGTCTATTGAAATTCAAATAACATACCCTGGTATTCAAATCCACCACCTTTAGCTCTGTTTGCAAATGCTGCTGTATATGACCTTGCATCAATAACTAACAATGGCTTCATTGTCTTACCAGGCTCTGCATAAAAGATTAGAAACTCTCAAATGCTTTTCAAATAATAATTGTTAATTATTTAGTTGTATCATCACTTTTCTATTTTACTTGATAACGGGCTATGCTTGAAAGGTCGTTAATTATTTTCAAAAAGAAAAAAAATTTTCCAGGTACAATTTACTTACATTGATCGTTATTATATAATTGTTGGGGTGTATCGGGATACTGAAAATAATTTACACTCTTACAATAAATCTGACTCATTGGTTATTGCCAATTGTGAGAATTTTCATTGACGGTGGATCAAGTTCTCTAATGTTGATTTGTTTTCATTTATGCAGATTGATGATGATTTATAAAGATTCATGATCACTGGAGCTGATTTACGACAACTTTAACAGATTTATGATTCATGACGACTTTCGATCAACTACACTGATTCACAATTATTAACACAGCTTCATGGTGATTAATGTTGATTCACAGTCATCTGCATCCATTCACGATGATGGCTCATAAAAAAAGTTGAAGAGCTTGTTGTTTCATTCAAAGTTTCATAGTTAGATAAGGTGGCTTGTGATCAGTGTAGTAAATTTCTTAAGACACCATAAGATGATACAATATGCGGCACCTTCAGATGATCGATCAATCAATCGATCAGTGCATCGTAGTCAGCTGTATTTTCACTGATTAACTGTGTATACCGTATAGCACTTGAAGTCAATCATATACAATATAAGTCGATTTCATGCTTCTTTTATTTTTCTTTCAAATTTGCACTGAAGTTGCCTAATATCACAATAGGGTCAGAAACACTTGTTAAGTATGAGCAAACATGAGTGAGATAAAGTTGCAACATTAACTTTCAACAAACCATATTCTGGCTAAGATGTTGAGTTGAGTCAACATCATTTCGTAGCTGCAAGCAAAAGCAAGCGGGACTCTAATTAGAGGAGAGTAGGAATTCCTCGCTAGGCATTCTGAAACTGCAACAGCATAACCCCCAGTATCAGAACCAAAAAATGTGTTGTTTGGCTGCAGCCAAAGGGTCCACCCAATTCATCAGCCCGTCCTAGTGAAGATGTGCCAACTTCCCTTTTGGCATGGCCAAAATAAAAATTTGCAAAATTGACTTACTGATGATGTTGAGTCAACATCATTTCGCAGCCGCAAGTAGTAGAAATCAGGAGACTAATTAGAGAAAAATAGGAATTCTTTTTGTAGCATTCTATTATGGAAACCGTGTCACTTCATTGGTTAGTTACTTACAGGGTCCCCAGCCATTCCTATATGTATTCTTTGTACATAAAAAAAATTGCAAAGAGTGTACTTACCAATGGGCACATGTGTCCAGCTATTTAGCAACGCAGACCTAGCAACTGATGATAAGAGCTTTTCATCTTCACTGCATCTCCATCCAAACAACCCAACTTCAGGCTGACTAGCTCTTGCCAATACTGCTCCATTTTTTACATCCCTTGAAATTCATGAAAATAATAGCTTTCAGTAACATTCAGACATAAACAGTAACAGAAAAAAAGAAATATTTGTAAAAAAGACAGAATGGTTAAAGCAGCACCCTTTACAAATTAACAGCTATAAATTTACTTTTAATTACTTATCAAAAAAAGCAACTGCTCTAAAAAAACAATTAAAAAACACTTGCAGGCTCAGATTTCTCAATTACACACATAAAGCCTTAATCCTAAATTTTTTGTGTATCTATCTCCAACATTTCGATAATTGATGCTCTACTCACACTTTCAATTTAGTAGAAATTTTGAAGCTTTGGTGTAATTTGTCATTCAGTTACTGTACACCCCCCACCCCTCACGAAAGTATCAGGACAGTTTCGAATAAAGTTAAGAATCTGTTGTTAGAAAAATTTATTTACAAATTTCAAAGTCAGTTTTCATGGAAAGCTGTTGATAAATATTGCAAGGAAAATGATAAAGAATTGTGAATGTACCCTTGTACCAACCGATTTCAGCAAGACTTGCAGCAGTAAAGAAATAATATGGTTTTATGGCCCTGCACTGAACGAGATTTCTGCTTTGCAAGAAAGTTTTTGATTTGGTAAAATGTTACCAAATGTCATCCATGTTATATAATCGATTGGTGACATCTCCATGCAAACATTTTTGCCAACTGAGAGTAAACACATTGTATTTCTCTCTATTCAAAAATATTTGTGTCTCAACAACCAGTTTGTAAAAAATTACCATGTTGTAAAAAATTTCCAAAAAATCCATTCGACCTAAGTCCAAGGCTTGTGTCCCAAAGGTTTCTTATTTTAACAAAAAATGATAACAGATAAAAAGCACAGAAGTTTTGCAGCATTTTAATGTTCTGATTTATTTTGGAAAGGTTTCTCAAAAAATTATTATTACTAAGTTAAAAAGTCGTTATCACCAGCTTCAATTTTGTTTTTTCTGTTAGCGCAATCAATCTTAGAACTGTCTGGGTACTTTCTTGAGGGGAGTGTATATGTAGACCTATAGACCTTATGACTTAGACAAAGCCTAGAATTTGCAAAGTTAAACAAATAACTGCTATATGCAATCTTACCTCCACACCACAGATGGAAAACGTCCAATGGATCTAAATTTTGAGCTTTCCATGAGGTCCTTATCACTTGTCCATGCAGGAACAATATGAAATTTGGGGTAGCTAGGACAAATCCTAAAAACAGGTAGAATTAGTAAGCTACAATTTATCATAAAGATTTGATAAACTTTTTGAGCAAACAAAAAAATTTATGTTTCCCCTTTCCCAGAAGTCTACAATGCTACTCAAAGCACAGAATTTCAATAATTGTAGCAAAACCATCAGAATTTGAAATCAGCTTGGTTGCAGTCTTGCAGTTTTCAGCAGCATTGTGTTCATTTTTCCCCAAAAAAACTACAGGGTTCTTCAGGAAAAATAGAAAAAGCTGGACATTTATTCTAAACACTTGGAGGGTCTCAGCCAATGAAAATCAAGATTAAGCTTGGCTTAAATTATTAGGAATTGATTCAAACAGAATAGAATCTGATCATACACTAAGAAAGAATGGAGTGTTTGCTTCACAGGAAATTATATACTTTATAACTAACATATTACAAAGAGTCAAGAGCACATAAATAACAGGCTGGGATAGCCAAGATGAACTAACTATTTTTTATTAACTTATTAAAGAGGAAACAAAAAACCTACTCAAACTTAGAATTAATCTCTGAAATTCTCCAGATACTTCTGGTGTCAAATTCAAGTCTCTTGAGCTCAGATATAAACACACTTGCATCTGCAAATAAGAAAATGGATACTGTATATTTTAAAGGTTTGGCAAGTTTAAGGGAAAAACGACAAATTTAATTAAAAATTGATAGTCAAAGCTAAAAGATTAAATATAATTCAAATTAGGCTTCTGTAAACAAAGGATTTAAATTTTAGAACGTGGGGACAAGAAATGAAAGTGACTTCATCTAGTGAAATTATTGAACCCCAGTTTTTCTTCACTTCCATTGTCTCATTCTTTGCAAGTGTTGGAAGCAAAGAGTCCATAAGTAAAGGGTCAAGAAAGAAGAAGATCCAATTTTTCAGAGTTAAAGAAACTGATCTTTAGCAAATAGTATTCCAATGTACTACGCATTATGGTTTATTTTCTACAGATTTTTCATCATTATTTCTTTACTCTTACCAATTTATAGGTTGAATCGCTTAAGAATGAAGAAATTATGACTTTAGGGTCAGAATAAAATATTCTTGAGAAGACTTAGACACACCAAAAAGTTTAGGTACTTATTTAGAAAAAAATTGTTTATTTTTCGCATTTTGCTGTCTTTCAAAACAATGTACTCATACATCCATTGTACAGAACAGGGTGTTCCTTAAACAAAATCATATCTTTGTAACAAGCAAATTTAAAACAACTCAAAGCAACTAAAGAAAACATTTAACAATTAGATACCAAACAAACCATTTTGATTCAAAGATAATGATCCACTTTGTGACTTCTTTAAGTAGGTGTGAAACATGAAGGCAAAAAGGTCATTAACTTTTCCTGGGGTTGCTGAGGCTGTTGTTAGAAATTGCCACCACTTCGTAGATGCTTCTGGTGTATCAAAACTCAACCTTCAATAAAAACTCTGCATAAATATATATAACTTTTAATGGAAATTTGTTTGGCATTTTATTGTCATTCCAGTACAGTACAAGTACAAGTACAAGCTTCCAGTACAAGTGAGTGATGGATCATTTCATATATCTAAAAGCAGGAGCTTACTGGTGCTTTACAATCATTTTAGTCTATGATCTACTTATAAACATCATGGCTGCCAGGATGGAGAAACATTTTGTTAAAATTAATTTCACCACTTCTCTATAGGGATTACATAAATATAGAATCAATTGATACAAGCATGACTGGACACATATAATCTTGAATACAATTATAGTGTGTAGCAACCCAAAGGGGCCATTGGTCCAGGCTTTGTTTAAAACAAATGGAGGAGATGAAGTTGAGAAATTGATGCATCATGGCTGATAGCAAGCCAAAAGTGCACAAATTTAAATGGATATCAAATATGCATATCAAAATCTAACCAGAAAAGCAACCTGCCTAATCTGCAAAGACTACTTTGCTAGTTACTCCATTAATTAATAATACCTTACCTAACGGTTATTGAAAGTGTTGTAAACATGTTAAAATAGACCAAGACTAAATATATGCAGAACCAAAAATGTTCTTATGAAACTGCTTCATTAACAATAACAGACAGCCTTCAGTAAGACTGAATGCAAGGATTTCAGTGTTCTGCATAAAACACCATATTATTTATGACAATTAAAAACAAGTAGAATGAAAAATGCACATAGAAAGCAAAATGATATCAACCTTCCAACAGTTCCATCCTTAGTATAAACAGTCAGCTCCAACAGGTCCCTTATCTCAACATATTCTATATTACGAATTGGTATCTGCATAAACAAAGACAACAAAGTCATCAGTAAACTAGCCTGTGTGCAATAAAAAGTGCACAATGCCATATAGACAGTAGACCTCTTTCTAAAAATAATAAAAAGGTGGATGAAATCAAACCACTGAAAACCCAAGAATACAGTTGATTTCCTAAATATTTGCCATGATATCAGTAAGACCATTGGGTTACCAGATCCTTGTGTTTCTTGCCCTTCTAACAATTAGCAAGATTGCTTTCTGACTTTTAACTAAAACATCCCATCTTATTGACTATTAATTCAATGTATCTAAACTACTGATTCAAAAAATGAAAAAGTCTTCTTGAGGACCAGCTTATTTTATATTTCTCTACATCAAAAATAAAACACTTTTTGTAAAAGTCATAACCATATAGTGATAGAATGTTATTAATCTTTTTGCTGTTTTTTACTTGGTTTGCTTCCTTTCAGTTTAGTTTTTGTAACAAAAAAGGTTTTCTTAACTGAATAATATAAACAGGAGACCAAAATGGAAACATTTACATTGGTTTTTATAGGAAGATATTAAGTATGAATTAGAAGTGCCTTACAAATATAGGATGACAACTAAACAATATGAAACAAAATTGCTCACATACAACACAAACCAAAAAAAGGTATCATAACACTCTTTTTTTGACATAAATTCGACACTATCATTGAACAAATAGTGTGTGAATGCTTTGTTCATCAAGCTTGATAATCTCAGGGGATTTTTGTGAAGACTGATTATTGATATTCAAATTAATGCCAAAAATTCAAGGGATATTCAAATTAATGCCAAAAATTTTTGATTTAATCAATGACTTACATTGAGAAATGTATCAGACAAGCAGATAATTAATCTGTAGTTGGTCAGAACAATGAAGTTTTCTTTAGAGCTGTATGTGCGCTCATGTATTTCACCAGGCAATGGATTAAATGGAAGATACCAATTTTCATCATCTGAAAAAAGATTGGGCAAAGATACATTTGTAGTTGTAGCAAAGGCAAATTGAGCTTGGAGGTACATGTGGTGCTTAAAAGATGTGTCAATACCAGTGGCATGTTTTGAGGGGGTGAAGCTTGAGCAAAACCAACCACTTTGTAAATTACCGTAAATCCTCGAAATGGCCCCCTGGAAAGAGCCCCTCCCCTTGAATAAGCACCCACCCTAGAACAACAATTTGTCAATAAGCCTCCCACTCGAAGAAGCCCCCGCTGCTACCGTAAATTCTCCAATTGGACCCGATCCATTTGATGATTTTTGCCATCTGAGGTTGCCTATGGCGTTTTATTGAATTACCACAACAAATTCATACTTTTGGTAGCAATTAGTTAAATGCTCATAAATAAATTCTAATAATCAAAGTCTTTTAATAATGTCTTCTTTATGTCTACAATAATTTTATAAGCCCCCCCTCATATAAGCCCCCCTTGAATAAGTCCCCCCCCCTTGAATAAGCCCCCAGGGCTAATTTGAGGGTTTTTGGTAATTACATTAAACAATTAGTCTAAACTTGATATTTGGTGACATTCTTATTTTAATTGATAACATCCTTATTATAAATAAAAGTATATATTTTTGTTCTTCTATTCAGTATCTTTTAGTCATTTCAATGACATTTATATCCAATAGAAACAGGTACAAGTAGCTTGGTTGAAACAAATCAAATTACAGTACAACTGAATTCATTCGCAGTTCATATCAGAGCTGCAGAAAGTAGCAACTGGTGCAACTGGCAGTCAAAGGCGCAATATGAAATCTGCAAGAACATTTTTGTAAACGAACTATACTTAAAAAACAGATGTCTATAGTAAATTGACCTAAGAGAATAGTCTTAATTTTTTGTTTTGTCAACATTTTAATAGCCTAATCAAGTTTAGGGGATAAATGCCCAGTCATTCTTGACAGCTAATTCCATCTGGTGGGTCACAGAGGCTTTTCCATAGAGAAAATGTATACTGTATTTACTATACAGCAAGATCAACATATTATATATTATATATACTATTATATAACATATTATATATACATTTTATTCAATCATAATAAATTTAGTTTTTAGCTTGTTGTTATGTTTTAAATTCACCATAAAGTTAAAGAGACATAGGTAATATGCTACCTTTGACTAAAAAACGTTCTTGTTTGGTGGAAATATTTTGAACAACAACTTATTGTGTTGTTTTTACTAGAAATACTATTGACAACTAATAGAATCATCAATTCAGTCCACTGTTGTATTTCTGCTGAGAGCTTTGTGTTTGCATAACATGCCTCAATATGTGCAGGCACATTACACATCATAAGATGTTGGCCTCAGGCATATTAAAAACCTCTCCACCCCTGATTCTTATCATTGTGGAAGCAGTTGCAATCTAGATGATCACGATGCCTTTACATAAACTGTCCATCAAATGGATTCTGCAAAGCTCTAAAGCAAGTTATGAGTTAATAGCATACAAATAAGAATGGCTTACCACTGACAAGACTTTTGCCATAGACATGGAGTGCCATGTCTTGCATTTCAAGTACTGATGAGTTGCTTCCATGGTTGGAGTTTCTTTTTGCTACGCCATTCATTCTAAGCAAAAAGCAAACAAAATTTCTGCTTCAAAATTGTGCATCAATGATCAGCAAAAGTTTTTTTTGTTTTCTTAACATGCCAGATAACTCGTGGGTGCTATCCCAATGGTCTTTTCAAATCATTAAGATTTGAAAAAATTATAATAGCCCTGGCCAGGAAGCCCACAGGCTAAGGAATTCCAGTGACTACAACTTTCAAAATAAACAATGAAATTGTGGGTAGGGCAAAAAATAAAAGCAACCATGCTTCAGGCTGAACAGTTATAAAACTGGATTGACAGAATCGGTCAAGGCGTGGGTCTAGTTATCCTTGGAAAAAACCAATTTATAATGCAGTGAGTACCTGAAGTCTTTCAAGTACCTGTGAGTCCATCTGTACAAATATAAAGACCTTGGAGTTTCTATATTATGTAACAAATAGAAAGCACTTCCTACAGTCTAAAGTTTCAAATTACATCTGCTGAATACTTGGAAATAATGAAAATCTATCTGCCACTTCAGGTCATGAGACTTCCTATGAAAGACATATTTGACAGAATTGAATTACAAGGGTTCCTGAAACTGCTTGAATCATGGTGCTGGTGCTGAGAAGCAATATATACATTTTTTTCATAAGAAGCTGTTCTTTCCAACTTCATCAAGCATAGCAGATGCTAATTTCTGAACCTGAACTCTCATTGGGATTTTTAAACAAATTATATGCAACAAATATTGATGCATTTGATTAACATACTCCACATTAGGTAATAATTTTCTTATGTAATATGTAGATTGGTAATGGGCAATGGTAAATTGTGCAATGATAAAACTGCAACCTCATTAAAATTGTATAAATTCAGACTATTTGGGAGTAGATCTGGGATTAAAGCGTTTTAAGAAATTCAGCAGTAGAAGCAAAAATATTTAAAAAACACATAATTTTTTTAAAAAAGCTAGACTCTTGATGCATTAAGGTGCCAACCTGCCAATGACATCAATGGAAACCATTATAAGTTCTTCAAAGGTTTTGCACATTCTTTAATTCAAGCTTTAATTCTAACTTTTGCTTTTCATTCAAAATATATTCTAGTCAGAAATCAAACTTTTTCCAAATATGAATGATTTTGAAAAATTAAAACTTTTAAGAAATAACAGCCAACCTTGCTTTCTTTTAAAAAGTGGATGACATATAGCTGAGCTTTGCTTATAAATGATACCGTTGAAAATAAACATGAGGTTTTTCTATAAAAGTCTAAGGGTAAGATTTATATGGCCTAATTACATTATCCGTCTGGTCAAACAGGTCTAAAAAACCAGCCAGGATGATGAATTAAGATATTAACCTTAATACTATCAGTGTAAATGATAAAATTCTGATTAAATGCATTTCAAGATTCCAGGATTAAATGCACTATCGTACTTGGGCCCTGAAAACCCCCAGAGTCAAAGCAAATCTTATTTCCACGAATACACACATTCCTTCAGTAAAGCGCTAAGCGCATAACGACTCCTGCACGGCCCTTCCATTCTTCGGCAGTCTGGTGATAACTGTCCAAGAAAATGAAGTGATCTGAATGAATAAATTAGTAGCTTTCCAAGGCCTGCGCAGAATTCGTGATATTAGTCCGTATTTAATAAAGCATTGGTGTTTCTCAAAATCATATAAGTGAATTTAAAGGTTCCAGAAACTGTTGAGTTTTGCTGTAAAAAACAAAGCAGAGATTGAGTGGGTGTAACTTAGATCCGACATTTATGATAGATAGATCCTACAATTCCAAAAAGCACAGACAACGAATGTTTGAGCGATAATCAAGGCTAAACAGATTTTTGCACGCATTCTTAAACATTGTGGTTTCATTTGAAAAGTAGGTGATCTGCCATCTGCAAAGTGTGAAATAACTTGAGGCGTATCAAGTTTTAGGCCCACATGCTATTCCGTCTACTTTCGATTTTGAAAAATATAGACTCACGATCAAAGGAAAGGATTTGAAGGAATAAATTCAAAACTACATTTATCTATGCCTTTTTAGCCACACTCAATTACCGTTTCCCGATAAAGTGATAAGCAGGAACTGCAGAGGTTAAGCGGAAACATGAAGAATAAAAACACCATTTTAATATCGCAGGAAGCAGATCTCCCAGGATAAAAATGAAAATTTCAAACCTTTCAGAAGCTTGGTTTTTTGATATCCTCGATAACTTTCAACAACTGCCAGTAAGAACTATAGAGCATCCATCAAAGGCGTTTCAAAAATTATTCGCGCAGACGGTATCATTTCCCCAACACTTCTTCACACTGGCCTAAACTTTAACCCAACGAGCTTCGCCTGGTTGTGACGTAATATCACGTGACTTTTCAGCCTTGAATTGTTTTTGTGCTTGTTGTTTTCACTTATTACGATACAAAGCTTCCAATAAGAACAGTTGCGAATTGACTTCTTGGACCCAAACCTGCTAAGGTCTAACTAAATAATCACACTCTATTCGCTGATTTTTCTCGTAACATCGAATCTATTTTCTCATGGTATATAAACCGATACATTTCAAAGGCTGCCCATTCGTGAAAAACTATCATATCTTGCAGACTATAATTAAAAAGTATGTATTTCGCGCATTCACAAAAAACTTTTTTGCGTTTATTCGAATGAATCACAAAGTTTTGTTATTTTTGGGTACTTCCTAGTAAGAGAAGTCGAAGAAAAGGTTTGAAATCTATTTTTTTCACAGACAAAAATTTTGGCAGTAAACAACCATTGTAGGCCAATTTTAGATAAACCCTGCATGCCACGCCACGCCCAGGAAGGGAACACCAATTTCCAATAACTGCCTTCCTCGATGGATTTAAAGCCATGACGTCCCCCATCAAACCTAGATCATGAAATAAACTTCATTAATGTTTTCAAACTTAGCAAATTTTAGAAGAAAAAATGAATGTGTCTGTGGAGAGAACAATCACACCTTTTGCCGTTATCGTGAAACAGTACAAACAACAAGATGTTCACACGCTGTTGAATTTGGTATGAAATATAACTAGAAATGTTAACAAGATCAAGCTTAGCAAATGAAATTTTCTGCTTTAAAACTACAATCCTTCATTATTTTGCTGCTGGTTTTGCAGGGAAGGTACTCGTCCAAACGTATTCTAAATGATGACCATGTCACGTTGAGCACATTAATAAATAGTGTTTAAATCCTCCTGAAAATGCGTAACATCATTTTCATTAGAAACAGCTTTTGATGCTCGAATGTCACCTGCAAATGATCTAACAGTGGAATTCTTCACATCTTCATCAATATCAGTTATGGTAATAAGAAAATTTATTAAGTTGGCCCCCAATAATAACCCTTGTGGGATCTTTAACATAGGGGTGAGTGAATCCAGAGACCAGGCTTACAGCCAATTATAAGATTAAACAGTTTTCGAGAAAGAACTTCAAAGTCTGCTTTATCAAAAGCCTTATCAAATATATAGTGTCAATTCAGGCTTTATTCTGATTTTAGTGAAGTTCTCTATTTTCATTCAGTGCTGATAATTCGCTAAGACAATAAGGACTTGTAACAAAACCATGCTGATTTCGATTAAACATATTGAATATTAGTTTCAAGGTTTTTCTCCCCAGCTCTCCACCTTGTATATTGCAATAATGTCAAGGTGCAGGCACCGCGAAGCTATTGGGATAGCAGGGGCTATAGCCCCCCCCCCACTTTTTTGCAATAATAGGTTAGAGAATTGTTAGAAAGTTTGCTCTAGCGCAACTTTGGAAAGCTTACTCTAACGGATCCAAAGTAGTAGCAGTTTGCCTTGGCTGGAAACCCTTTTTTGTTCATTTTCTTGGTCTCTTTTCTTGTAAAGTCTATTTGCTATAATAATTGATGTCTTCTCTGAATCGTAATGTTTATAAATAAAATGCTTTGAAAAATTTTCGGCAACGCCCTTTTCAGCCCACCCACTTTTAGAAGGGTGCGCAGTGCCTATCAGGGTGTTTTATGTGGAATCATTTCAGAATCTGGTCAACAGTGTTCTAGGCAATGCAAACTCTTTTACATGTTTGTCTCAAAAGGCTCCACAGACCGTCAGGGTAGTCACTTAGTCCTTTAAAAAAGTTGTCATTAGTCAGGTAAATTTGTTCCGGAGACAAAACCTTCAGTCCTTTGTTTCGAAACAATACCGTCTTAAACCAATCAGTGTTGCAGGGTCATAGCACAGGTGCATTCATAACAGTATCCACAAAGCAGTTTTGTCTGGGACCACACACCTCCCCCCCTCCCCCTCAGGGCTTCAAGTGATAATGCGCAGGTGCAATGACCCTATAGTGGGGGCTAGTGCATGTCTGGAAGACGGGCATGATTCATCTCCCGAACAGAAAATGTCATGTATTTCAAAATAATGTTGGCTGAATTTTTAGCAAATCCTGATCAGATGAATGGAAACTAAAGAAAATTGCGTTGCAAATGATTCGGCCACATCAGAGTTATCGTGTATCAATTTTCCTTCAGAGGCCCAACATCGGGTTTCAATTTACTCTTAGGTGCTTATTGGCCGTGAGGGTCAGAATTAACGGGGGAGGTCGGATTTTATGTTCAAAATTAACTGGTGGGGGTTCCAATTAACGGGGGGTCTAAATTTTGAAGTTACATATACTGAATACTCGAAATGCACTTAAAATCAGTTTTTTACAGAAACCATATCGACAGAACAAATGATTATGCAAAAAGTTTATAAGCTAAGAAAATTGATAAAACAACAGTTTTTGCCGATAGGAATTATTATGGGCTCGGGTAACTTGCGCACCAAGTCTTCTAAGCATACTTCAAACTTCGTGCCTTCAAAACATTAAGGCGAAATGAATTGTTTCTGCTGCATGATTCAAAATAACACACTGATAAAGGATTAGCTTTCATTACAATTACAAACATTGTACGTGAACCATATTTTACCTCCCAATACTCTCCAGTTTGAGGCATTGCTATGGTTGTGAAACAATCTGTGTCAATAGACACCGAAATATGCGATTCTTCCACTTCATTTGAAGCAGCAGCTTGAAGAAGTGGTAGCCCATCGTTCTGTTCTTGTGTAGAGCTCATTGAGTTCCCTCTTTATTTGTTTGCAATCGATCTTCTTCTTGCCTTTTGATAAGTGGCTTTTAGTTAAAAAATATACGGGGTAAATAAATCGCAGAAGTTTTGATTTTTTTCACTACAGTTATTAATAAGAGCGGAGGAGGGGTTGTGAAAATTTTCAAAAATTAATTAGCGGGAGGGGCGGCAATTAGACACCTAAGAGTAGACTGCTTTTAGCATAAGAGAAGAAACATAAAAAATCCTTTTTGTGGCATTCTTCCTTTTCTTTTCTTCAGAGTCTATCGGGAATTTTGCAGCTCATTTTCTATATCTACTACTCTATTTTTGCAATCATCCGTTGGAATTTAATGTTTCTCATTTTCTTGTCAACCCTACCCTCCTGTTTAATGGTCTGTCACGTTGAATTCTATTAGTTTTGTTTGACATTTTGGATTTAGGTACAAGCATCTGAGTTATGAGAAGACTTATTGCCAGAGTACCCTCTATCATATTGGCAGGCCCTGAATGTTAGACCTTCCCTAATTCAATTCTCGAATTCTTTTTAACGAAGAGCTGCCTATCAGCTTTCACATTGTCAAGAAGACTTGCAGCACAACAGCTCTACCCAAGCAACTTTTGATTCTAATAGCCTCAAGTCACTTTGTTCTCTTTTACTACCCAATGAACTAGAGCTAACAGTTAAAAGTGACCCTGCTCACGAGACAAATTAAAAACAGGAATGGGCCACCTGCAGATGCAACGTAGATGGAAAAACAGCTTATGTTTTAATATTGTCCCTCTCAATTTTCTCCAAAAAAGTTGTGACCTAAAATATTTGAAATTGATTAGGCGGGTTGCTTTATTAGAGCTAAATTTGATCTCCATCTGAAAAAAACAACAAATAATTACACACAAAGAGCAACCTTGCTTCTTGTCTGCAAAAGATACTGTATTTCTTTTTACTGTTAGGTTTCAGGTACAATGGTTGACTGACTTTATATAATACATAGCAGGTTGCCAATTCACAAATGAATTTTTAAGTATGAAAAGCTAAGCAAATCGTAATTTGCCTGGCCTTTTGATAAATGACACAAAAAATAAACTCAAGTATTTTTTATCTGATAAATCAATTTATTGACTGAAATTGATTGCTCAGCTAAATTTATCTGGTACAAAGTACTACTGTACTTCCAGCATGTTTAGGATTACTGCAGATGACAGTCTGTTTATTCTCTTGACAGCGTGTCATTTGAAAATTTGGGTACCCCCAGAACACAACTACAAATTTACTTATAACAAACATTACATATGTGTAGACAAAAATAAAAACCCATACAGATAACTTCTCATTAATTATGCACAAAGTACAAAGCAAAAGATACTGTAGCTGAGGTGTCAACCAACTATCCAACCAACCAACCATACCAACCAACCAGTCAACCACTTCAACCAACCAAACAACCAACCAACCAACCATCACCATTTGAAATCTATTTGATATTTTTTCAAGGCTTGTAACCAGAAGCTTAACCAAAGAGGGCAGTATTGTTAGCCATAGTACCTTTAATGGTGAAACACCACATCAAAAATGCAGAATTAAAAGTGATAGCAAAGCATATCATGCAGAATAAATTTAAGCAAGTTAAGCGTTTGTTTTAAAAATTAGACTAGTCAGGATTGTCAATCTTAGATTTCAATAAACATCATGTGAGCTTTGTCTGAAGTACCTCCACTTTTAAGAGTCAAGCAGTTGATTAAGTTTTGCAGGGAAAAGGGAAATCATTTCTCTACTCAATGAGAGTTCCTCCTCAAACACATTGGGCATGTCTGGATGGCTATCACAATACTTGACAATTGCTTCATACAAATCTTTTTCCTTCTGTAAATACTCTGCTTTTATTCTCTTGTCTGGTGATAAATATTTTGAATGCAGTCTTGCCATGTAAAAATGAGAAAGAAGGACACCTCTAACAGCATCATCTTCATATTTTTCAGGTTGCTTGTCCATATGTATATAAGAATCAATAAATCCTTGATAATATTTTATCCCTTGTGCAAGCAACCTGTTAAATTTATTTACACTCTCAGCACTAAGTCTTGAGGGTTCCTGCTCCAATATGGCCTTTTTCAAATCTGCCATGAATGAATAAATTTCTGCAATTTCAAATGTCAACTGCCTGCAAATCTGGAGAAAGTGCTTTGGGTTTAGCTCAATAAGTGGTGCATTTAACAGGTCGATTCTCCGTTTATGCATTTTGCATCTTCTTTCAAAACTGTCATCAAAAAATGCTAGGTATTTGAAAAGTTGGCTTAAATCTTGGTTTATCTCCACAAAATCTGAAACATATCCATCAAAAATATAAAATTCTTTTGCTTTTTGTAACCACTTTTGTCCACAAAGAAAAACATTCCTAGCTTCATCATATGTTTTTACCAGTTTATCAGTAACTTCTTCTTCAAGGGATGTGACCTCAATGCCTTTGAATCTTAGATGCTTCAAATCATCTTCAGAGGATGAATCTTCACTAGCATTAGAAGGTTGCGCCACCATACCAGATTCATCAGAATTTTCAATCTTGAACTCATGGGAAGCTATTAGCAGATTAAGACAATACTTTGCCCAGCATCTTGCGATATCTGCTTCCATCTTATGTACTTTATCCTCTGCCCTTTGTCTCTCTCCTTCCTCATAATTCTCAGGGTTGAATTTTGACAATGCCTCTTCTCCAATTCTTGATGCACAAGCTAAACAGTATCTTGAGAAATTATACTTATCTTTTGTTATATAGTATTGCCCCAAAGTGGCACAGTTTAGTGCCCAGTCTTGAGGGTCATATTGTGCTGTTTCCATCTGTCGCAAGAGGGTGATGTGACAATACTTGCCAGATTCCTCTCTCTTGCCAAGATTACTGTACGATTGTGCTATGTAGTAGAGTGTAAGAGTATGCTGCTTCTCAAACTCTGATTCTCTTTCTTTGGGTGTCGATGCATCCTTTTGTTCATTCATAACTAAAATATCTTTATAAAATAGAGGTGCATTACCCACTGATGCCTTGTATTTTTCATATAGAGCTTCTGCTTCCTGAATAAAGATCAATGCCTTGGTGTGATCTGACCTGTTTGACCATAGAATGCCTTGCTGGCACTTCACTGCAATCATAAGGCTTATGACACATGGACTGTGAGGGTTAAAATTCTTCAGATAGTTCAAACTAGAGTCAAAATGCTCCTCTCCTGTTGGTATTTCCTCAGTTTCAACAAAGTTCACAGCCAATTCGTACTCCAAGGCAGCAAAATAAACTGCTGGCTGCAAAGGTTTTCTGATGCATTCTTCTTCTGAATCCCATTTAACTCCACGATCATCAGCATCATCTCCCTCTCTTATCTGCCCGACATCATTTTGCTCTTCCAGGTCTGCGAGAACATCTTTTAGAATCTTCCTTGCTTCATACTTCGACTTGTATGGATTAGTTTCTGGGTCGTTTTTCGATGCAACATCTGATAGTTCTCGTGCTTTGGAGATATCACTGGATACCTTATCTAGCCAATGTGATAGATTGTGTGCCATTATCCTTAATAATGCGAAAACAATCGATATATTTACTACCAAATCTGAACTACTTTCTCCCTCAAACCGCCTCGCAAAATAGCAACAACAACTTAAAAGTTTAAAATGTAACCTCGCTCGATACATCAGGCCTCGTTTCCGCTCACGGCCTGATCGCCTCCATTTCTTCCACACTGGGGGGAAACCAATGAAGACAAATTCTAGAAGCAGTAAAATTAGAAGAAGAAAAATAGCTAAATACGAGAATGTTGCTTAATATTGTCTTCATTTCGCCTAAATTTTGACTGGATTTATAAATTGCATAATAGTAGAGTCGGATTCGAATTGAATATGCGATGTGTGTTAATCTGAATTTCTTTTTCTGCTGAAAATCCGTCGAAAAGTGTCACTTGTCAGAACTTGGCCACGAACTACTGTTTTTTTGCTCTGTTCATTAAGCTACTTGGTTAGTTCCCCACGCATAATTTGCTTTACGAGATGCTTGATTGGCAAACAATTGCGAGTTAGTTCTGTATCTGACAGGCACAGCGAAGCCTTTTGGCTAGCAGCAGGTATACCACCCTCCCCCCCCCCCACTTTTTTGTAACAATAGGCTAGAAATTTTATTGGAAGGTTTACTCAAACGCAACTTTGGATAGTTAAATCCAATGTAGTAGCAGTTCTTCTTGCCTGGAAACCAATTTTGGTCATTTTCTAGATGTTTTATCTTTTATTACCCTCAAGCTAATTTTATCTTTTTTATAGTTATTGATATCTTCTCTGAACCAGACTGTTTATGAGAATTAAGAAGAAATAGTTAATTTCAGCCCCTTCACTTTTAGAATGGTGCGCGGTCGCTGGTTTCTGATGAAATGAATGACATTTCGCAATAAGAATATAAATTAAAGAACACTACTTGGTGCCGAAATGAGCCATGTATTCTTTTAAGCGCACAAGCCTTCTTGGTCACTTGTATCTCAAATCATCTGCAAGCGTTTCGATTATGTTCAATTAATCTTATTTTCTCTCAGAATGAGTGATTGAACATCCAGTCGCCTGTAAGAATCGCTAAAAAGCTGCCATGCACCCCTGTACTTAGGAGTCTCGTTAGAGCGTCTTACCTTACTGGTTGAATGGTTGTTTTACAAATTGATAAGAAATAAACAAAGTGTGATTTGCATGGTTGTAAGGTATCTGTTAGTTGCCCTTTCGCTTTGGTTTATACCTAAATATTTATAACATAAGACTGCCAATGATTTTTAAAAAGTAGCAGAGAGAAAAAAGAGCCTTGAAGGTGGCCACTAGCTGTTGAAGTACATTCAAGCTTGTTTGGCTAAAGCCAGTTCGCTTTTTGGAACTTTTCAATTTTATTAGAATCCCAAAGAGCTTGCATGCTCATTTCCCAGCTCTCGACCATTACCCGGACACCTGTAAACTTGTAAAGGGCTGTCTATTATTCAGTCTTAAAACGTGTCGTCTTTTATTGAAAAGTCAAACTTTCAATAATTCTTCGGCAAACAAGATAAAAGGCTGCAGTTTTTGACAGGAAATTGCATTCGCCTTTTTACAGGAATCGTCGATCTCCTGGAGTCTGCCTGTTTCATGTTCCAGATTTTACTCTTTGACTTTTAGGTGGTCTGTTTATAAATTGGAAGGAAGCAAATGTAACAGTTTGTGGATCATGTTTACACAGATACCACAAAGAGTCGGTCAATTCAACATGTAACTGCAATTTTGTAAACTTTACAAATCACGAAGACGATTGCAGAGACAAAGCTACAGCAAGTGGTATTATAGAATTCAGTAGTGTGAAATTGCCAACACATTGCTTTTTGAATATAGGCTTCTTCAAGACAGTTCAGTTCGGGTAAAGATCCAAGTTTTATAGAAAGTTGCAAAAGGATCTTAGATGGATGGGTGGAAATATGATGCTGTACCTGAAGAAGATGACGAAGAAGAGAATGCAAAAACCAGCATGGATATTGATGAAGTCCAACAGTCTGTGGAAGATACCGTCAACTTAACGATAAGCAGTGAGCCATCAGAAAAAGAGTCGAGCAACTTTGAGCAAAAGCTCGATAAAGATGAAATCAAACACAAAATTTTGACTCTTACAGAGAAGAAGTTGATCTTGAGGTAAATATCAAGGCGACGATGTTGCCGGTTGGTGTTTCTGCCCCGGGTGCATGTTCAGTGATCAATAGTCTATTTCTGCAGGTTTTCGTATACAATATCGCGTACGGAATCATCACGTAATTGATAAATCCGCCACTTCCTTTTAACTTTCTTACATTTGATTATTTAATGTGCTGTATATAGTAAAATCAATTTCATACACGATAACTACAGCGTTTGAACTAATTGCATTTAGCCTTTTGAACAAGTCAATTAAACATTATTTCTTTCGGAATCATCACATTACTAGGGCATCACCATAAGAACCTTTTGCTGTTTCTTGAAAGAAGCATCAAGCAATGTAGGGGGAGAGTGGTAAAATGAGAAATCTCTAGAAATTCTTAATGCTCTCTAAACGCCCCTTACACTAGACCAGGAAATAACCCATGGGCACTTTAAGAAGGTTCCTCGAGAGAAAGCTTACAGCTCACAAAAATTAGTAGAATATACACACCTGCTGTTTACATCAATTATACAATACGAACAGATCGCATTATACGGTTAAAAAGCCCCATTTAACCGATTATCCTTTGTCTGATTTGCTATCATGAACTTTTGCTAAAGACGTGAAGGACTTTGATCTAGCTGTCAAATTGTAGACATGGCTTGTTTTCTGCACACATCTTTACACTATGCACAATATTTGACTCAATTTAGCAATTTGGTAGATCAAACCTGTCCTGGCCTATTCATGATGATGACAGAGTTATGGTTGCTCATTTCATTTTAATTTTATTTTCAACTTATTTATACAGGTTTGCAAGTCAGTGTTAAAATCCTGCTTTACGATTGTCTCTGTGAAAAGGGATATAATAAAACCTACTTGCAATATAATCTTAATTGAATCATATAAGCAATTAAAATCTGATGCATGATCAAAGCAACAAAAAACAAACGCGCGAAGCTGTTCATGTTAGAGATCCTTTTAAGTTTTTGTCTTGATTTGAAACAATTTTGTTTCTGAGTTAGGATTATTCCAAACTTTGGCTTAGTGAAAAATAAAAGACTTGTGTCCATCGGGTACAAGAATACAAGTCAGTAATAGAGTTGCGAAGAACATGAATTTGACAGTTGAACAAAACAACCAGTTATGTTTTAGCTAACTACTGATGTTTCACTATAAATTTGTTTCCAGATTCCTAATTCTTTGAATAAAGGTGTCGATTTGTCAAAGCACTGCTAGCTACTTTAGCTCGCTACCTTGATTGTAATTTTTGCAAATTATTCAACCAAGTGGCTTCACAAGATCCCAATACCGAGCAACAATAGTTGAAATGCGGCTCCACTATACCTTTATACGTACTTTTTAGCGTACCCAGTGGAACATATCATTTTTCAACAGGCCAAGAGTCCATGAAACTTTGTTCTAGACGTTTTCATATTTGCTATCCCATTTCAAATTTTTATCGATAATGATGCGAAGGTACTTTGCATCATTCGCAAAATCAATGTCATCGCTTCCTGCCTTAAGCCTCGAGTTAACAGATGACATCTTCTTCATGTTGTATAGCTTTTGCTTAGAGCCAAGAGTCTTGGCCTGTGATTCAATGATGTCAGAGAAATGCATATTGCCAATTGTATTAAGAATCCAAGAATAACTACTTATATTACAAAAGATTCACATTGCAAATGAAACTACAAAATAACTCATACCTTTGCATACTTTACTTAAGCTTGATCTTCCTCCAAGCATTGACATTGAAACAGCCAGGTAAATATTTTTGCCTTGTTTTCCTATGATGAGAAAAAAAACCAGTGATATTGTTGTGAAGGTACAATAAAAATGAATGAATTAGCTGTCTCAGTATCTCTCTGGGACACAAGACAAAAAATGCTCCAAAAACAACTGCCACAACTGCCCAAGGCTAAATGTAGTTTAATTTTAAAAAGCAGGTCTTAGCACTGTTTGAAGATATTTTTTACACTTTTTCTTGTTTTTTTGCATACTTTTCTTAAACAAAGAGAATTGGTCAAAAAAAGAAATATGAAATTGCAAGCAGCAAGCACCCAGATCTCGTCACTTCAAGTCTCCTTGTCAGCAACTATTGTTGTAAGTCTCTAATTCAAGATTTTTCATTTTGATAAATATTCAAAAAATTCAACACATCATTTCAGGTATTATCTTATTTCTTTTCGTATTCTTGAAGTAAATTTATCACAGACAATTTTCATCCTTTGCTAAATCCTTCAGTTCTTCAATCATTTTAATACAGCACCCCCAGATGATACCTAATAAATATATTGATATCGAAATTTTCATTGTAAGTGAATTCAGTGTTATTTTTAGCTGACTTCTTAAATTCAGCTATCAGCTAACAGCTTCATGTCAATAAAACTATATTTATGCGTTCATTGCTGTTGCTATTTATGAAATATGAAAGTGTGCCGTGAGATATAAGAAAGTGTGCCGGGCCAACGTAATTTTCTATTACGGTAAACGAAATACAAATTAAGAAGAATACGAGCTTCTAACAAAAAACAAATTTTCTTGATTTAGTGGACAAATAACTATGACTTTTTGTTTAGAGGCTGAAAATAACATATCTGAAAGCAAAAGATGAATCAAAAGGATGGGGAATTTGGCAAGGACACATGAAAAAGATCGGCGGTATGTCTCCTGCCCCTTGGAATATATTTGAATGTACGCACATCAATATACAGAAAAAAGGAACCAGCCTGTGCTGCAGAAAACAATACGAAGGAGTAGTTTAAGATTAGGAAAGCGTAACCCACGTAGACAGACACAACCTCACAGGTAGCGTCTGATTTGCAAGACGGGAGGCTGCTCTGGAATTGATTATGTTGTAAATGGATGAAAAGTTTCGTAACTCTTCAATTCTTTATCAATTGAATATGTACACCCTGTTTGTACGGCCTCTGCTTGGCCACTAGTTTCAGCGTTGAGTTAAGGGCCTTGATTCTATATATCCTCACTGGATAGATACACCAAGAGGCAGTGGCGGGACATGGGGCAAAAAACATCTGCGGGGCCCTTGTTCTTTACAATTTATTTCTCTTTTTCTTAGCTGTTGGGACCTTTTTGGCCTTAATAAGCGCCTGGCCTGGAGCCATGGCCCTCCTGAACCCCCTTAAAACCGCCACTGCCAAGAGGGGAGCAGTGGGACCAATGCTTCAGGGTAGGCAGCTAAAAAATTCAAAATAAATCTCTAACTAAGCTAGAATGATGCTGAACCTCTTGGAAATCAGATAGCAGGCTCGCAGCTGTAGCTACTGCACTCCAGTTCACCAATATGTATACAAATTTCATAAGATAAATTTGATAAGAGAGAAATCTAACACTAAAAAATAAGAGCCTTCCTACTTTGCAATTTAAATTTGTTGGCTTAATGTGATTCCCTTTTCATGATATCTCTCTCTAGATTACTACAAACTGACACTCCCACCCTTCCCCCCTCCTGCTCTTCTTAAAATTATGCTTGGATTGCAGGTCACTTTGGCAACGGCGTTCTATCGTACTTCACATTTCTAAGATGGCTGCTTTACCTTAACATTGCAACTGGCCTACTCACGTTCACATTCATCACCATGCCAACGTTGGCTTTTAAACCAACTATTTGTATGAGACGGTCTGGAAACGAGACAATCGATTCGAACACTTACATAAACAACTCAACAGCAAATGCAACATTGCAGTTTTACCGCCAGAAATCATGTGAAAGTGACGATCCCCATACGAAGAACTACGTCTTCAACAAAAACAGCGTTCAAAATGTGATTGATTTCTTTCAAGGAACGGTATGTATCCAAAGATACTGGACCAGTATCTTTGATGTATCCTTCTGGTTGCATCAAAGGACCAAAACAAAGATTTGCTCTGGTACCGTATTTGATCTATTAAACACCCTCTCTCTAACAAACGCTTATCTCCAATAAACATCAATAGATATACGAAATGAAATAAATGAAATGAAAAAACCCGCCAAATTTATCTAATAAGCCCCTAACCTTCAATAAACGCCTGGGGGCGTTATTAGAAATATTGCAAAAAAGCAATTTCGTGTATTTATGTATTTTAAGAACTTGCGAAAAGACATCGATTAAGATCATTCTGGTGTTGTGCATGGTTGAGATTATAAAGAAATAACGTGTTCTAAAGAAGAAAATAAACCGTGCCATACTGATTACGAAAAATTGAGCACCGTTATATCTTGTGATAACAATGAGAAAGAGGAACTTTTTGAAATAACAGATGTTGATATGGAGGAGAATCTTGAATGAAATTGATTTAGAAAATGAGGGAAATGATTTTAAGCAATTGATTAGATTTTGTAGTCATCAGATTTAGCCTGGATTGATCTGAAAAATGATCTTGCAGAATACACTTTTCAATAAACGCTCCTCTCTCACAAACACCCCTCTCCAATTGTCGCCCTACATTAAAGTTAAAAATTTTAATAAACGCCCGTACGTTTAAAAGATCAAAAACTGTGTGATGTGTAAATGATGCATGAAGAAATTTACCGATCACTAGGTTTGAGTTCTTCTATACCAACAAAGCTAATTTCATGGACACAGTTGAAAAATTGTAGTAAAATTACTTCGCTAATTTGGAACAAGCCATTTGTCACCAGAGTGCATCAAAACTTCCACTTGCGAACAGTTATTCTGGTTTTCCAAAGCTAAGTTATTATCTCAACCAATTGGTCCTTTACAGTACACATTGCCAACCTGTCGCAAGTTGAAGCACTAATTAGTTTATCTTTCATGCTAAGGGGATTACTCAGGCACCTTAGAGCGTTAAAGAAGCTGAGGGGGTCTAGAAAAGGTGGGGGGGGGCTAAAACTGAATAAAAAGAGGCTTTACTGGTGGTTCATTTTGTAACATTATGCATTTTGCTAAAATTGGGGAGGGGCTAAAGCCGGGTTTCCCCTGTCTGTTTCAGGTTTATATAGGTAACTTTTTGCAATTTCAAATGCAATTTTCATATTGACGTACCATTTGTGCATCCATTTATACAAGGGCTGGACGAATACAACGGTGATGTTTTATGGACGATATGATAACTCTTTTCTGCAAGCCTTCAATGATTGGACATACAACCTCCCACTGGCGTATCTAATGACCTCACTTGGATACTTTCTCCTTTGCCTCTATCTGATGATATCCACGTGAGTAATGTTCCCTTCTTTTGGAAGCAAATACCAACTGATGCAAACTTGAGAATTTGTTTTACTGTACGTTACTGCAGCTATACAAACTTTTGTACTCAATGTTAATAAGCACGTGTTGCTCAGACCTGCCATTGAATTTCGATTGCCTAGCGTGCAACGAAGGCAATTAAAGCAGTGATGTGATTATGAATCCAGAGTGCACCAAAACATTCAACCAATGAACTAAGCTGGAAGACCGTCCTAAGCTGGAAGAACATCGTCTATAGCCATAATCCATTCGTTTTCTTTCTTAGAGGGGCCAGCGGTAGCTGATTGGTCAATCATAAAGAACCAATCAAATGCACCATTCCTCCTCTCCCGCTACTTATGATCCGCGCTGGATAAAAAGTTCAATTTATAAATTTTAGGCATTATTCAACGCTCAAGCTCGTAAGCTAGGGCTCTATTTTCCTTTTTATCGCAATATCTCGCAGTGCCAGAGACTGATTTAATTTCGTGTTCCTATATTACTTCCATCCATTTTTTCTCCATATTTATCACATTTCTACAACAGAGCAGTAAAAACGTTTGAGGATGGCTACATTAAAGGCGGTGAATCAAATGCATTTTCGTTCAGCAACACGCTGTTTGGGAGCTGGGATATGTGCATTACAAACGAAGAGACAGCCAACTTGACTTCTGCCAGTATTGCAATGGAACTCGAGGTATTGTCATTTTTATTGATTTTACGTGTCAAAGGTGCCAGCCTTAAACTTCCCTTCTGATTGCTTGTACTTAAAAATATTCTTACAAAACAAACCAAGCTTCATACCATTCTAAACGTCTTTATGACACTTTGTCACACATTTTGCATAAAACAAGAACACTTGCTTTCGTTATCAACCATCGTTAAGGACGGCAGTATTTTCTTCAAGGGTTTGCATTGTATTAGCTTATGCCTAATAGCGATCAAAATTTTTCTATTCTGTCCCTGGCTTGGACACTAAAATGAGATAAACGTTGTTTTTCTTAAAGGCTGCTGTCGAAGACTCTAGACGAGAATCTGAGAAAGAAAGCAGAACAAAGAAGGAAATTTACAAAATCAAAGCTGTTCGTGTCCTTGTCAATGTCATCGTTCTACTGTGTTTATTTGGAGGAGGCTTCGCAATCTACAAAGCAGTAAAATGGTCAATGGATGTAAGCAATGCTTTTGTACTAGTCCTTTATTTTCTGTGTCATGTGTTGTCAACGTTACTTATGGCCTGATCCTTCTTGGGAATATTAGCATGGTTATACACAAATTTTGATACGTGATCAATTTTTTACATTCAATACTCACAATTTTTAATTCCAAACATCCCTTAATAAAGTTTACTAGGAGCTATTGAACTCGTTTATTGGTACAGATCATCAAATCAGATCATATCAATATAATTGAGTATATGTTTTATGCTCTGAGGAGTGGGGGATAAAAAAGTTTTTAGTAGTATGTTGTGAACTGTTTGCTTTTTTCAAAGCCATTTTCAAGTTCTGCACCACCAAAAAACTGTTCAGATAAATATTTCATTTCGTTTCAAATCATCAGTAACCTTAAGGAACTTAAACTGCCATCTTTGGACACATCTCTGATCACTTAGCTGGAACTTTCAAGATCCTATGAATGGATTTATGCACTTCATGATAAAACCTTATGTTTTTTCTCCTCCAGGAAACTCAAGTTGATAAAAATGATATCTCTGTGGAAAAGTTGTAACGAACACGATAATATTTAATGATGTTTAGAAAAAACAATGAAGTATTATCACGGATATCTTTTTTTCTTATCTTGTTTTGGATGCAAAAGTGACGAATCGATTTGCAAAGTGATTTTTGCAGAATACGTTAAAATTGCATGGCAACAAATTAGAAACATCAGTCTGATGTCACCTTTAAGTAGGCAAAGTAGGAAGATTTCTCCTCTTCAAAGAAAAAGAAAGCAAAAGAATTGACATAGAACAGTTAAGAAGCCCCAATTTCCTAAATAGAAGCTGTCTATTGTTCTTTGATATCTTAGTTTCTTTTTTAAGTTATCCTAACGCTCAAATTTGTGTTTTTTCGTATTTGTAGCAAGGCAAAGTTACGAAAGCGACGGAACAAAACTTCAGAACAATGCTTATCAACTATGCGTCGCAAATAACTATCACAGCAGTGAACACAATGTTGCCAACACTGTTTTACAAGCTGTCAGAGTTTGAGAAGATGAATCCTAGAAGAAAGCTTAATATGGATTTAGCAAGGTTCTCTCCTTATTCATTTGGGCTCCAAGATTTCGTCAGGTCAATGACTTTGCTTCGTTTCGTAGCAAGCGAGAAAGCTAAGTATTTAAAAAAGAAAAAACATAAAGCTCTTTCAAGGTTTTCCAGCTGATTTTATAGAAACAACATTACCACTGCTAGTTGCATCTTTTTTAAAATGAGACCATTATTTGTTCAGACAACTCATCAACATGCTCTGTTGTCTTTATCTGATCTCGGTTCTTTTGAAAAAGGATCCACCAGTAACTTTATGTTTTTCAATAGAAGAAGAAACCAGTTAGAGGCTATATGCTAATGAGCCCCAAACCCCCCTCCCCCTCCCCAAATAGATAAAAAGTCGTCATAAAAACACTTAGTGTTAGTGTTTTGTTTCAAAAAATTATCAATGTTATTCTTAATGCCACAAATACGTTTTCTCGTTCTAAGAACTGTCTTGGTAAAGCTGGCATCGATTTGCGTTTTGGTTGTTTCAATATTTCAAAGAAACAAAAGCGATAAAGTGATAGTAAGTGTGTTCATACATTGACTACTTCCGATGCAAAATCATGACATTGGTGTTGGTCAACGATATATGTTGATGATCTAGGCTGAGGAGATGTGTCTTGTACTCCTTTGATTGGTCAGCATTCTTCCGCTCAGGCCACTTTCAATTTGAAATATCGGTATCATCTTCTTCTCACCTTAGTCACAACTCGACATTTAGACCCCGTTTACACTACATAGAAAAGGAACTCTTTGGTTCCGTTCCTGAAAGCAACGATAGGCCTTGCGTTTACACTAGCCATCTTGGTTCCGTGCTAGATTGGGAGCGGTTTCGTTCTTCTTTGGTTCGCTCAAATGCGAAACTCGTTTCCGTTCCCAAGTCGTGCTTGTTTTCTCTAGTGAAAACGGTCAGGAACGGAACTTTTTGATTACGATTGAAAACGGGGCTTAATTTTGGGGTTGGGGCGAGGCTTTCTGAAGATGTCAGACGTCATTGCCGCGCCACAACGCATGCCTCACCTTAAAGTTCCGTTATTTTTACTTAACTGTAACGTTCCTTTTTGCTTCAGTGTAAACGGGATTAAAAAAGTGGTATCGTGCCCAAACAAGAACGGAACAAAGAGCTCCATTCTTCTTTCTGTAGTGTAAACTGGGTCTTATACTCTGAGGACTGTCCCACGAAAAGTACTAAAATGTGCTACAGCTTTCTGTGCTATCCTCAAATTTGGAAATTGTAACAGTTCAAGACGATTTAATTCATTTCCACAGTGCTGGGAGAATCTCCTGGGTGCTGAGATGTACAAGCTGATATGGATGGACTTCTTTGTCTCGCTTTTTGTTACTTTTTTCATTGAGTATCCAAGGGGGTATGTCTTTCTTTCCTTACTACCGTTTTCTGGTTGTTTTCATAGAAGTAGAACGGTGGGGTGTCTTAGCACCTGTGCTTGATTTTTCCAGGTAGAGAAAAGGTAGACATTGACCTAGAATGTAAACTTTTTTATCTTTAATTTTAGTCAGATTGTGATCATGAAGGCTGTCCCCATGCGCACTATTAGCCCAATCCCCTTATCCCCACATTTTTGAACTGCTTCCTATTTCTTTTGCAGTTTTATAAACAATATATTTTATCTTTTACATTGTAAATATGTCATCTAAACATCATTTTTCATTAGAAGTAGAGAAATCCACAGTGCTTCCTGTTTAAACGTCTGCAAACACAACGAATGCTAGTTGTTTTCATCAAATGCTTTTACCCTAGTTAATAAAAAAACCTCGATATTGCTGCTCTCAGTCTACTTTCCGTCTTCTCATTAGATATATTGGTCGCAACGTGGACTCAGGATGCAAATTAAATGAAAAGATCGGAGTTCCAGAGTTCCATATTCCAAATAACGTTCTGACTTTGATATATAACCAAACAATCATTTGGTAAGTCAGCTTACATCGACTCTCGCTTGCCAGTTGAATGTCTCGTAATGAGATGCAATGCTGTCTCGTAGCCATTGATAAGGAAGTCCCATGTAAACACAGTTAGTTACATCTGCTCTCGTGATGTGACAGCATAAAGCTCTTATCCATATATGAATCTCTAGATATATTTTCTTGTAGCTATTTTGAAGTATTTGCATGTGATGTAATGCAATGCAATGTAATGTGATCTGATGTAATGTAACGTACAAAGACTACCAACAGTTCTGATGGACGGTCTCTGTTGCAGGATTGGTGTATTTTACAGCCCCTTGATGCCAATGATGAACTGTTTGAAGCTTATTATTCAATTCTATATTAGGAAGGTAGGAAAATACACTCCAAAATTATGCAGTTTACGATCATAAGCCAACTCAAATCGTGAAATGGTTTTAAAGTTAGCTCTTTTAACATTGACTTTTGGTTGAGAGAATAAATACTTTAATCAAACGAAACCAAGACCAAGTCATTGGCGGATCTACAGGGGGGGCCGGGGGGGGCCATGGCCCCCCCCAAACGATTCGACAACGAGAAACTTTGAATGAAAAGACAGTAAATACATTAACTAAACATGTAAATTGATAAGGTAAAAGTTTTTGCATAACAAGAAACTAGTTGTTTATATAACTAACAAACCAAAATTACTTATTACATTACATGAGAACACTAACTGCGAGCATAGAAACATGAGAGCTTTGATTGAGTAATTTTGTGGAAATCAGTGATCCCAACTGATGTCAATATATTCAGAAAAGAATTTGAAAAGGAAGTAGCTATATCGTAGCAAAAACGTTATCGGAGATTTTGCCTTTGAAACGAAAAGCTACATGCGAGCTCATTTTGCGCGAGAAGTGGTGTGTTTCAATGTTGAGTATTGCGATATAATAGCAACGTCATTTTGTCCATCTTTTAACTACTTACAGCTTTAATGGGATTCGTCTTGATTTTAATGCTGCGAATGAGTCAATGAGTTTATCGCTCGTTGGTGTTCTGTCACGGTGAACTTGCAGAAGAAGTAGGGATTCTAATCTCTCCTCAGACATTGTTGACCGAATTGCTGTAAGGGTACTATTCAGTTTAGAAAATAGTCGTTCGGGTTCTGCTGTTGTCACCGGTAGCACAGTGAGAATGTTGAGTAATGTATGCAAATTAGGAAATACATCACCTTGGCAGTCGCCTAAAGCGCCGATAGCGGTATTTGCTACTGTACTTGTTCCACGTGACAGCCATTGCTGCTTCCAAATTTCATACTCTCCTTCAACAATGGACAAGGGGTCTAAAAAGACTCCGTATTTTAGTGCTGCAGGCAAAATATCTTGCCAAGTTGATTCTTTGACGAAACAAGGCAGAATTCTTGTAAGCGTCGCAATCTTCTGCTGATGGGGACCAAATCTTGCTTTCATATCTCCAGCCACTTCATCAAGAAGAGGTAAAAACACATTGATACGATAATAATCAATGGCTTTTTGATTGGCTTCACCTGCATTTGATCTGAACCTGGATTGACTGACTGCTCGAGGAATTGCGTGCATCTCTTCTCTGGTCACTCCAATATTTTCGCCAAGAAGCATTGCCTCTTCAAACATCGAAGCAAACTCATTTTCTTCACCTTTACGCCACGTGTAAAGCTTTGACTGTGTCGCAGAAATCGTCGACATTGCTTTCACAAGATCGCTACCAATTTGTTGCAAAGAACGGGACACTGGGCGAAGTACAGCAGACACTTTCTCGGCCAATACTAGCGCTACAAGGAACTGAGGGTCTTGCAAACTTTTTAACAATCTCCTGGCATCTTTTCTTGTATCTAATGAGTCCCAAGCGAGCATTTCCTCCAAGCACACAACGATGTAAGGCAAAAGCTGTCGTGCAACCAAAACTGATTCATGACTTTCGACAAATCTTGTTTCACAGAGGGTCACCAACTGCCGTCGCTGAAGCTCTTCAATTGATTCTCGTGCTATGACTGCTTGCAAATAGCTGTTTCTTTTCGCATGCTTGAAGAAATTGTTGATATCTTTGATGTCATCCATGCAATGTCTGATTGCTGGTATCTTTGCGGCTCGAGAACAACTTAGATTTAGCGCGTGCATGCAGCAGTGGAAGTAGTCAGCGAGTGGCGCAGCAGATTTGATAAAGGAGCAAACACCAACTCGCTCACTGGACATCGATGCAGCACCATCATATCCTTGACCAACGAGGTACTGCAAATCCAACCCAAGCTCACTTATATGGCGGAGTAGAGTCTCCCCTATTGCCTTGCCACATAGCTTAATTTCATTGTGCTCTGTTTCATCTGATTGGTCACTGCTTTTTATGTCTGCAATCAGGTCTAAAATTGCGACCGGTTCTTCTTTGATAATTTTTGGCACATTTTTTGTGTCAACGTAACGAATTGCAATGACCAACTGTTCTCGTTTCGCACAATCTTGGGTTTCGTCGGCCATTATTGTCCAGAATTTTGCATTTTTTACATCTCTTACTATGTCCTCTTTGACAATATTTCCTGCACAGGCAATTAGCTCGTTTTGTATCGTTTTGCTTACCAAAGAAGCATTGCGTTTGCAAGATTTCAAGTGATCTTTCAAGTTTGTATCTCCTCCCCGTACTCTCAATCGCAGCAATGCCCTGAAGTTTCCATCATTGTGCTTGGGTTCCATCCCAGTTGAATCTACTGGTCCATCATCACGATGGCCTCTAAGCGCAATATTTTGCCTGGCGCATGTTAGAAGGGTGTCGATGATGGGAACCAGCGCAGTCCTGTTTCTTTCAATCTCTTTCTGCCTTTCAATGTTCATTATTGATCGAACGTCCTTCTCACTCCCAGGTGTTGCACGGCTCAAGAACTCCGTGTACTTTATGGCACATGTCTTATGAAAAGATGTTTCTTGGTGACTTGTGAGGGCTCCATTTTTCCCTGTCAAGTCTGAAAAGTTTACAAGAGGCTTGTTAACAAGTTTGCCCATTGACTGGCCTGCTCCACCTCCGTATTGTGCACCTCTTCCACCTCCACTCTCGCACGTCTTGAATAAAACGCAATAAACACACCAAGCACCGCAACATTTTGGCTCTCTGCTGACAGCTAGCCAGGGGAAGGTTTTCAAGTGATTTTCACCCAGAAAACGCTTCGTTGTCGAGGACATACCAACCATGAGCTGATTCTTTGGTTTTTTCTTTTCAGAAAATGGATATTCATCCCTTCTCTGCGGCACCCACCTCTTCGATAAATATGCTTCCCTTTCGTTATCTGTCAGCTGTTCTCCTCGTTTTGTTTTCATTATAGCTCTACCAATGTCATATCTATCAGATATTGCAACATTTACTTGTGTCGCCATACAACAGAGGTCTGGGTGTGTTTCCTCTTCAGGACAATCCTGGACTACCGCAACTTGGCTTTGTGTGTCGAATTCTTCACCAGTAGATTTTGATTCAAATTCTTGGCAAGTGGTAGTTTCACATGTTTTAGAGATTTCAGGGTTATCTCCAACTGAACTGGTGCGGCTACTTTTTGAGAAGAATGATTCAAGAGTTCTTGATTTCTTTGGCGGACCAGACATTTTAATCAAACCTCCAGTCGGCTTTATTCTCTCGCTTTCAGTGAGGCAATAAGTTGCAAGTGGATGTGTAACACAAGAATTATGATAAGCCTAAAACAATAGTTCAATGCAAAATTAGATGTGACCGGATCTCGCGGCTCATATGGACTATGGTTTAACACAAATCATGACTGCGATCATGAATGAATGACGTCTGCAAACGTTATGGTTGAGAAAGTTATGGCTAAAATGGGTTACAGTTCAAACATTGTTCATCGTGTTATTGCGATTGTGATACCCAAAAAGCGTCACTATTTCCAACAAAAGCAAAACAGTACCTATAACTACTCAGCTTTGCCTGTTATGCTGCGATGAATTTTTGGTGACTACCCATTTTGAAAATTTACCATTCAAATTATACGCACCAAATACGTGGGGACTTTTGCTCATTTTCTAAATCTTTTTTTCATCTTAAGGGTACGTGTCTTATGCCGGCTTCTTGAACACAGGAATTATAATGTCATTCACGAACTCTGATGCGTCATAGTTCCCCTCCCAAGTCAAGCGCGAAAGCTGCTGACCAAATATTCAATATGAATATTTGTAAAGGCTGAAATACACGATCAGTTTTTTATGTCAGTTTTCCCCAAAGTTATTTCTATATCCGTTTTTCATCCGTTTAACTAAAGAAGCGCGTGTTTACACGATTAGCCAAAGTTCATCAATTTTTCATCATGTATTTTAGCCTTTACTTCGCTTGGAAGTTTCTCGCAGCAATGAAGTTTCTTAATTTTCAGTGTTCTGAGAGTGTACCTTCTTATGAAATTTTTTGATAGAAAGGGGCGTTTCCCGCGTTCGGTGAGACTTTGAAGGGCGTGTCTGTGAAATTTTCGCAGGCCTCCTCTTCTTTCATAAATGGCCCTCCCCAAACGCAGACGCTGGATCCGCCCCTGGACCAAGTTGGCCAATTTTATTCCATTTTCTATAAAAATATGCATTTGATATGAAGACTGTGAGAGGTTCTAGTAAGTTTGTTTGTCTTGGAAATCATATACCAAATTGGCTGAAAATATTTATACAAAGGAATTAAATTTGGTTTGTCAAAGTTGCAGTTTATTTGTGATTTTTTATATGCCTAGGCAAGTCTGATGAAGAACTATGACCCTCCGAAGAAACAATATCGAGCTGGAAAATCGAATTACTTCTTCATGGTGTTGGAGCTGATCGCCTTCGCATTGTCACTAGTTGCAACAGTATACGCAGTAACACAGTACGTCGGTGTATTACCGTTTGCACGCGAAGCTTTGCATAGTGTGCAAGTTATATCAGAATATGCTTAGGTTGAGTTTTTTAAAAACATGAACAGTATTACAGTGAAATTTAAAAGAGAATTGTTTGTTATTGAGGCAAACAAGATAGGCAAAGGACTAAAAAGAAGTTCTGAATTTATTGAACTTATATAAATTTTTACCAGGTTTGAATGGTCTGAAGTATTTACCATATCAACCGAGGATATGAAAAAAGTCTTAAACTGACAAAGACGAGGATGAGCCTCATTTAGGCTTCTGTTTGCGACGACAAAATACCATTGCCATTAACTATAAAGCCAAGTGCCGTTTGTCTGGGCAGGCGACACTTTCTGAAGAGGTCCAGGCTAAAGGCTTGCAACCATTAAGGCATAAGGTTAAATGTCGAGTCAAAGAGTAAAAATAAGTTACTTTTGGAAATCAACGAGTATTGAGGCTCGTAAAGTAACATTTAGATTATTCTTTTCAAGGGTGACTCCATCATTCGAACATGGCCCTTTCAGGTAAGACAGTCTCGACTTTTTAAAATTGGAACGTAAGCAGAAGTGGCATTTCCACATCTCAAAAAGTACCTTTTCAACTTTATGGGGGCGAGCTACACGATGATTTATTAACATGGCATTTAGGGAGTAAGTAAAAAGAATGAAATATGCGTAGCAATAGCTACGGGAAGCGTTTCAAAGGCGTGTGTCACATGTAGGCAAAAAAGGGACACCTCTGTGCGCTGTGCATGCGTATTTAACCTCTGTTCTTCAAAGTAGGCCGCACGTCCCCCCAAAAGGAGTTTACCAGCCATAGTTTTTACTTTCAGGGGATTCGAGAAGATGTACGACGTCATACTGCTGGCCATTGCTGATTTGCCTGATATATACAAATACGTAATTTATATGATCTTCTCACCGGTTGTTCTTATGTCCGTATTTCTCCTTTTGTGGTAAGTTTCACTCTTTTCATGGTATTCCTCACTCACGTTATCAATGATCAGCCTAGAATGGTGAAGTGAACAAAATTAGGCCAACAAACGATTATACATTTTCAGAAAAAAACATTGATGTTGATGACGACGAATATGGATGCTATTGATTATGATGATTATTATGTGCTGATGGCAATCGTGATGATGACGATAACGATGATGATTATTATATTTACTCATCTTTTTCAGCCTTGCTGCATACTTCTTTCATGCAATGTACCGAGCATACTCCAAGAGTGCAAGCAACCTACAAAAGAGACTGCAAGTGGTTCGCATACCCCAGTTTTCATGTTTTATTATTCTCTAAAAATCATGTAAAAGTCGATGTCTATAAAAACTTTATTTATATCCTAAGCCTATACAAATCTTCAACAAGGACGGAGTTTAACATACGCGCTTATGCACACGTACATGGGTCGCCTCTATGTCACATGATTGGTATATGTGAAGATCCAAAAAGAATTTGTATATGTGAAGTATTGTACGGTTGCGTGTTGATCACATTACGCACGAAACTCGGAGTAGCAACCCAGCACCGTCCTGTTCTATACACCAGAAGCATGCATAGCTCTGCCTAAACGACATTAAGAACTTTACAACAGACGGCAAACAGTAATTTTTTACGCGAAGAATTAAAAGTAATAATACTTGCAACTGGATCATATGTTGAAGACTCTGCAACTGATCTGCTGAATTGAATCTACGCTGAAGCCGCCATCTTCCCTTCTTACTGTGTTATTTTAACCTATTTCGTGGAAAAAACTTAGACATCCAAGATTTCCTTAATTCTGATTAGAGCAATTATCGCAGAAGATACTAAAGATAAAGGGCTTGTGACCGATTGTGCTCTTAAAGTGTATCTGACTTTTGCGATTCGGTCTGATAAGCCACCTGTTTTTTAAGCTTCGTAATCACTTGGGACTATAGTTGTCAAACCTCAAAGATAACTGCCATACTCGGATAAATAGCACTTAAAACATAATGTAAAGGGTTACATAATATTGAAAAAAAAATGATTTCATTTGGTAACAATATAATTAATATAATATTGACAGAAAATGATTTCTTTTTTTAGGAGCAGCAAGAAAAAAAGAAGCTACTGAAAGAACTTGCTGGCAGCAGATCGAAACAAAAATGTTTTGACCTGGCGGAAGATGGCCAAAATATCCATGAATATATAGAACTTGAAGACATAGACCAACCAGAAGATTCTAAATCGGAAAATGCGGGAGAAGAGGATTCTGGAAAACATTAGTCATTTGTAAATTCAGAGCCTTTTTATGAATACTCGGAAAACTTAAATAATATGAATTGGAATAATATCAAGTTTAAATATAAAGTTGCTAAATAATCATCCCTCATCATGATTTAAAATAGAAAATTCACTGTATTTAAGCGTACTAGAGATTTTTGTAATTAAAATTCTAAATTGTCAGTATTTGAGTTTTTTAGTAGATGGAAGCCTGTAAAATTTCAAATATCAGCCACACAGTTTTCCACAAACCCATTTAATGTAACTTGAAAAAACTTTTAGATTCTTTATTGGTTGAAAAAAAATGATTTTCGATAAAGATGTCATATCAAACCTGAAAGCACGAATCATAAAAATAGATGCAGAAGTTTTCATAAATACGATACCAATTCTTCTTTGATTTTTCATAGAATTGAGAATTGAGTCTACAAAACTCTTACAAACATTTTAAATTTATTAACAAATATGAACAACGTATTTATTTACAAACAAAATGGAAGTAAACGAAGATTATGATGGCCCCAGCAAACCAGTTTGATTCTATTGACAAAAATAACAAAATATCCTCAAATTTTAGTCAACAATTAAAAACATACTTCCATCGATCTTATTGTACATTTTTGATAACGTTTCCAATGATTGCATCAGATTCAAAATTAAGTGGATTTGATCATCAACTCTTACAGTGGCTAATTCTTTCCATCTTGGCTTCAACTCCCAATCTGGTATAAATCAGAATAAAGTATATCTAACTTATCCAGAACGAACATCATCTTCTTTTCCGGAACTGTACATTCACCTCAACTCTTCTCGCGGATTTTCTATCCTAGTTAATACATTTAATGACAATACAAAAAGACACCACATATTCCCTCTCCGTTTCTCCGGATACTTCAAATGCATCATCAAATTACCATTCAGCCATTTCCCTGTGCATTTATCAAATATTTTTTTAAAAATAGGTTCTTTCAATATTTGCTCTCCAATTCTTGAATCACTTGTGACTCAACAAATCATTTCAAAACGAACCATAAACAAAACAATTAGCTTCATATCAAACTTGGATTTAAAATTACAACAAACTTTAATCATTGACTCCATACCATAGATTTAGTTCCAAGAAACAATAACTTTAAATTTTTTACATAAAATACAGGCAATTTTAAAAAATTCGTCGCATCTTTATGTTAGTTTTCGGTTCATAATGGCATCGCAATCGAGGTTACCTGATTCCAGCTAATTATGATGCATCATTGTTTGAGTCAGCTGATGTTTTACATTCGTGTACGGTGACTTGCTTACTGCACTTTTAGTTTCAATTGATTTTTGTACCATTCTCGTCAGGCTATCTGGGGCTTCTTCTAATCATTTGTAGAGTGCCACAGGTCAGGAGACATTTGTAGTTGACAAGGGAAAGGTTACTGAAGGTCAAAAGACAACTGGAACCTTTGGTTCTCTGAATCAATCTGACATGAAAACCAGCCTTTCTTTGATATCATTGGGCCACAATGAGTCGTAGTATAGGTATGAGGTTTTTGAGTCACAGTATTGGTATGAGATGAACCGATAGAAAACGGATTTAGTTGAGTGTACCGCGGCACTGCGGCGTACCACATAGGCATTCGATTTTGTCCTCTTCAATGGGGAACTTATAGTCGTATGTTATTTCGTCGTTCATTTTTATGTCACCCTTTGAATAGATTACAATCTTCTTCTCATTTTCCACGTTGATGATCTTTGCGTAGCAATTAGGCTATTAGAAAAAACGGTTTAACAAATTCACATTTGATGATAATGGAAAGTTAGATTATCTTCAAAACCAGGTTTTATCACGAGAATGATTCTTCTTCGCTTTTTGATGATAACAATTTTACAGGGTTGAGCATTATAATTTTGAATGAGTCCATTAAATTTGCAATCAATTTCTGAAAAGTTTCTTTAAGGAATTGAATAACTGATTCAATAGTAAACAGCCTAAAGAAACAGAATAGAGATAAGAAATAAATCGCAAAATAGAAGTCTAAAAACCAATCAATTGACTGCACAAATGAAAACATTACTTGCTTTTGAAAGACTCATTTCTAAGATTTTATACTTCTTAGTGAGTAATTTTAAAAGATTTAAGAACATTCTTTGGCCAAATCCTAATAGATAAAAGCAAGATAGTTCTCTTCACGCAGCCTTATGGAATCATAACAACAAACCAAACGACAACATCGAAGTCGTTCTTACCGTACAGCTGTGATTAATAAACCTAGCGTTGTTGCCAACTTTCGTCGCATCAATGACGGTCTCTGCGTCAAGTCGAAACATGTAGCTACTCCCAATACCCCTTTGCTCGTAATGTTTCTCGCGGGAATCCGCGATAATCGAACGCACACTCTCGCCAACGTATTCAATCACCATCTCCTCCGCAGCAATTGGCTCACGTGTGAACAGTCCCCAGTTATGAATTCCAGATTTTGCAAATTTCAAGTTCTTCTTTCGAGTCTATGATTGAAAAATTTGGTTACAAATCTTAGTTCAGCATTAGAATTGGAAACGCGTAATTTATGATGCAGCATTAGACTGCCATAAATAATTTAGTTAACCCTTTTTAGCTTGCATGAAACATTGTACAGAATCTTAAACCGTGATAAAGTTGACTGAAAGAAAACAGACCTTCAGCTTGTTGAATTTAACGAGATCGCCGAAGTCATCGTTGACAAAAGAAGACACAAGTCGTCTCTGCATCGCCCTGTTGTCTCTCGACTGCTGTTTGTGTTTTAGTCCATCCTACAACAGAAAATATTTTTGAGCATCTCTATAATAAATATATTAAAAAAAACAGACACGTTATATGCGAAAATTGTAGGGAATTTGCCAAAACCGTCAATGTGAAAAGGGGTTGTAGAGGGGGTTGTTTATCGCCAAGCAGCCATTGTCTTGGTAAAGGCTTTCTCAGCATTATAATAAAAAATTGCAATTAATTCTCTAAAACGAGTGTCCGTCTATCTAACAGGTGAATTATCTTAACAAAGAAGTGAGTAAATTGAATTTGACATACCGTGTCTTTTTCAACTTTTTCATCCATGGCTTCAAGGTGCCTCATGACTGACGATAAATACTGCGCCTTCTCACTGTAAGGGATTTTGTAATACCCTTCACTGCGCGCGCAACCAGTCTTGTGTACACGTAGCACTGCTTCACCTTTCGATCGTTTCTGTTTGGCTTGGATTTGAGTTTCTATGTAAAGTCAAAGAAAAACTACGAAGAACTACTAGAAAATAAATCAGAAAACTTCTCTTTCAAGTCACCTTTCACTACCAAATCATTTCCTTTCACTTCCTAATCACTTTCTTTGAAATGAATATCAGAAGCATTTTGTTACAAAAAAGAAATTTATCAAATTTCGCTAAGCAATAATTAATGGCCCTATCGTATATACCACGAGCTATAATGAGCCTCGAATGTAGCTTAATAAATTGAATTTCAAAAAAAACTGGTGGTGATTCGAAAAAAGTAGACTGTTGAACTTGACATGAAAGATAAAGAAAACCGAAACTTCATTAACTCTTTTACAAATATTTTATAAAAGGAGAATAAACAAACAGCAAGATGTGAGGTCTGTTACGACTGACAATTTTTGGAGGTAGAAAGGCAAATGGCATTGCTTGGGTGTAGTGACTCCGAGCCTTTTAGGCCACGAATTCTTTTGACAATATTTCCAAAGTTTCTCTTATTGGGCATTAAGAGCATATGAGTGGTCTTTTGTACAAAAAAATGACTCGCTTCTCGCAGACCTTTATTTGCAAAATGACATTTAACCATGTGTGGCTTCTCGCAGAATTTCGTTTGGATACACAAGTTGAATCTAGCTTCCTCGAGAGGCAGCTCCCAGGTAGAGAACCCAGTTTCAATTCTATATAAGTTGAGCCCTGGTACTTATAATTTACAAACACCTTTCACTGTAGCAGCGATCTAAAACGATCAAACGACCTAAAACGACTGCCATTTGGAAAAAATACAATAACTGAATTAAAAGACAGTGGAAGGATTCAAAGACCGAGTGGGAAATTGTGCTCATAACATTAAGAAAACAATGACGTCACAACAGAAAATAAAATGAGGTTATAAAAGTTTCACGGACTGCTAGGAGGGTACAGGATTCTGCCATGTACCAATCCACTTAAACCTTTTTCAAAAAATCAACACGAAAAACAGACGGAGATTAAGACATATACAGAAGAATATTTGATTAAGTAGAAAAGGATACCAGGATGGTGAGCCCAGTGAAGGTCTTTGACGACACTTGATCCAAATCCATGCAAACTCTCAAATGCTGACTTCAAATATTTCAAATCTTCGTTATCAATCCCCTGACTAAGAATGTCTAAGACAATCGATTTCTCGTCCTCGATGCTTCTCATTGGGAAAACTGGCTTTGGTTCCGGTTCCTTATGATAAAAGTCTTTACTTTCTTCATCATCAACCACGTCGATAATAGGAGACGGCAATTCATCTTTAAAATTGTCATCTTCTTTTTTAAACGAAGTTTTAAATGCATAAGAATGTTCGTTAAAAACTTCTTCGTTCACCGTTTCTTCATCTGGCTCAATTTCTTCGATCACCTCCTCAGAAATAAGTTCCTCTTTAATCTCGGTAGTAACTAGCTCACTGCTAACTTTTGTTGAAATTTGGGTTTCTTCTATTGTTTCTTCCACAATCTCAGTGAATTTCTCACCCTTTTTCCCCTTAATCAGCCCATCTGTAACCTTGGATTGCCTGATGTTCTCCTTATTCAACTGATCAATTTCTGTTAAAACCTGGTCATTATCAGAGTATTTTGGCTCAGTCTTAACTTGAAATTTGTCATTCCGTAGCACATCCTTATTCTGTTCAACAACCACACCTCTGTCAACAATTTTGTTCGTGTCCTGTGCATTAATATCGTCCTGGTCTATTTTCAAATGATCGTTCCTTCGCTTTAAATACTCCACCATCATAATTTCATGCTCTATAAGTTTCTTCTCCTGGTCTTGTTTCTTTGCAGCTGTAGAAAAAACAGACAGTACAATTAGCCAAGCACGAAAAAACAGACAAGGAAGTAAAGAGGGGGCATTTTAATACGGTGAAACACGAAGCAGATTACGTTTAACGGGGACAAAAGAGCCTCACACCAGGCCTTTTTTATGAAGAATAACTTACGAGGGCGATCGCCCGTCCAACAAGGAGGAGACCTCCAGGGCCTAATGGGGATAACACAGCCTCATATACTCTAGCATCACGCCCCAGTATGGTGTTCTTACAAAAGGGGATGACATCTAACCTAACCTAACAACCTGCTCCGAGTTTCTTAATGCGTTCATCAGGCAACTAATTGAAGATCATATATACAGCTATGCACAGAGAGTCATGTAGCTCCTGATGAACAGGCTTCATTGCGATACTATCAAAGAAACAAGTGGGTCAGTACCTAGATATTATATCAAAATAGAAAGCCCTTACTGGATCAAATGAAGCGAGCAGCAATAATGGTCTCAAGAGAGGCAAATAAACAAGAAAAATGACTGACATTAATCGATGTATCATCTAGAGACTTACATTTCTCTTTGAACTGCTCAAGCCTTTTCTCTGTTTCTTTCATGACTTCTTTGACGGCTTCTTCCGCCCCACTGCTTTCCCATTCCGACTCATCTTCATCCATGCTCTCTTCATCTTCTGCTTCGTCATCCGTAACTTCCTCTTCTTCATCTTCAGATTCTTCTGCCTCTTCTGCCTCGTCCTCCTCATCTTCTTCATCAGAAACAGTTTCATCTTCTTCCACTGACATTCGATCTTTCTCCAGCTTTTCTTTACTTATCTTGCTCATCAGCTTTTGCTTACTAATCAAATCTTGGAATTTTTCTTCTTCATCATCTTCTTCATCTTCATCCGATTCCATGGACTTATCTTCATCAGCTGATACTTCTTCTTCACTGCTTGATTTGTAAATACTTTGGTACAAGGAAGATCCGCTTTGAACAGTAGCCCCTAGAATTGGCAAAATGTGTGCTAGAGAAACATACCACAATCGGGCAATCTTTAGATAAACAAGACATTGTGACATTATTCACATGAAACTTTTGTGAAAAAAACTGACTAGTCATTCATGTAGCCTTGTTATGCTGAAGGAATAAGCCTCAAATGTGACAGCTTAGAGCTTCAATTAGAAATACTAAAGTTGATCTACTGTTAAAACGCAAAATGAAAAGAGAAGCTACTCTCCTCTCAAATCTCAAATTGCAGATCAAACAAGAGTGTTTAGAAGATGGTGTAGCACGTAACATAAGTAACTGGAAGAAATGGGCACACACAAGTTTCATGGTTTATAATAGAGTGCGATACACAAAAGTGCCTGTGATTTTTAACGTTAAGTATTTAGCTCTTTAAACCTTTAGGCCAAAATGAGTATATATATCAAATGAGAGTAGATGGGGTTATCAAATACGTACGTTTACTTGCAAGCAATGTCCTTTCGACTTCGCTATCAGAGTCCGACTCAGATTCTTCTTCTTTCACTGTCCTCTCTTCATCACTGAATTCTTCCACTCTTCTTACTTTATTGACAGCCTCGTAATCATGCGCATGTGCCTCCTTTTTGAATCTTTTGGCAGCAGGTTCTCTCGTTACTGGTCTGGCTTGGGGTATACGATTGATTCTGAAGGATGGTATCTTGGCAACAGGAGTATGTGAACTTGTCGGTGATGCATAGGAGGAAGATAGAGACGGTTGGTGTGAACGACGGAATAAACTGCTAAGCAGAGATGACGTAGTCGAATTTGCAGGTGATTCAACTTGCGGCTGCGCTAAAGGTGATGTGTAGGTACTGGAGGTGGCTGCTGATCGAGAACTGCTTAGAGAGGTGTCCTAAAACAAAAGAGACCTTGCTGTTTTCAACATATCATCATAGAAGAATGCATTATACCTGAAACGAATAAATAACAGACAGAGAATACACTCTACAGAAAATAAGATGATACAAGGTCTTGCAGCCCGTTTGGAAAACATTGGGTGTATTCTATATTTTACGAAAATTTCCGAGAGAGAATTCCACAAATTCTAATCTGTCTTGACAAAAACACTCACCAATAACATGATAGGCTCAAATGATATCCCTTAACCAAAATCAGTAAGGATTACATTCAATTTTACCTCTTTTGTTATTATTAATAAATCATTTCGAGTAAATTTTAACATCCTAGTTAGGACAATTCCTTTACTATAAAAGAACTTGGAAGAAATATGAAATTTGAAGATAGCCGGGGAAAGCCAAAGCATTGCATTTTAAACAATGCAAAATTACAATGGCAAGCAATATTTGCAATACCAAAGGCTTACATAAGTAAGAAATTCTAAAAACCTTCTACAAATGATACAACGAGGAGATTCCAAACCTATTCATTACGAAATTAAATCAAATCATTTCACCTTCTTTTTCGTTTGATTATCCCACCAAGCCTCCAGTGCTGAAAATCCAGAATGCTCGACAAGCCGTTTGATTAGGTCGCGATGCAAGACAAGTTTAAGATCCTTTTTAGTCCTAAGTGTACATGAATTTCGCAGCTTCTCCTCGTAAGGTATTTCCTTAACGATTGCTGCCGCAGGCCTTTCCTGTTTATGTTTCGGATAATTCGGGTAATTTCCTGGAAAAAATCCTGAATAAGGTCTCGAATACGATCCAATAAATCCACCAGCACCAGACTGGGGTGGATACGTTGAAAGTGGCTGTGACTGTCTCGCAGGAGGCGGGGGTCCTGGCGGAGGGCCATATGGGGGCATATGTTGCTGTTGCTGTGCATGGGGCTGGGGGAGAGCTTGATTGAATGGATGTCCAGGAGGAGGGACGTGGATATTCACAGGCGGAGGGGGCGGAATACGAGCGATCATTGTCGTTTGCTGAACGTTCATTGGCGGTTGATGTACATTCACGGGCGGCATATTCATTTGGGGCGGGGGCGCAACATTAACAGGTGGTGGAGCAGATAGATTAACAGGGGGTGGTGCAACAACATTAGTAGGGGGACCAGGCGGTCTGGCTAAGTTGATGCCTGGTCTTGCAGTTGCAAATACATTCAAATGACTAAAAGAAACGGTACCAGAAGATGATGCTACTGGCATTTGAACCTGCATTCTTGTTACTGGAGTATTCAGAACCAATTCCGACTCTTCGTTTGAGCTGATGGATGACAGCGACATCGCATCGTCATCATCATCATCAATGTCCATTTCGTTTTCTGCCTTCGCAGTATCCTTGGCATCCGCTGACGCCACGGTCTCAATTGCACTATCTACTGCCAAGAGCTCTTTGGTAGTGGGTCCATTCATAGAGTTTCTTGTAACCGGAGAGTTTGCTGGTGATATATCCTCAACATGTAAATTTTTTGCTGTAAAATTATTGAGTTCGTTGCGTTTCTCCTTGTCATCCTCGTCGCTGTCTGAAATCGCCTCATAAACAGATTCGTTTTGCGGTTTCCCTGTATCTTGCGCTGAATCCCCGCGTCGCACAAGTTTTGAGTCACTTGTTTCTCCCGATGCCTTCAAGCCAACATTACTCGCTTCACGGTTGTAGGGTGAGCCGCTTCTCCCCCTGTCTTTGGAGCCCCCTGATCCACTAGTTTTCCTCGATGAATTATTGGGACCATGTGATGACGCATTTTTCTCTGAGATATACTCTTCTCTTGAAGTAGAAGAATGCTTCTCCTCCTTCTTTGCATGTACACTCCCTTTCTCGGATTCATGATTCGGCGATTCATAATTGCTTTGAGCTTTGTGCGGCTTCACATTTACATGTTTATGCCCATCTGAAATATCTCGTTTCTTACAATTTTCTACACCACACGCGATTTTCAAACCTAAAAGGTGGGCTTGCACAAAAGTTTCCTTTCCTCGCTTAGCATTTTTATTTTTACCATGTTTTCTTTTATCAGAAGATGGCGATTTCGAGTCATCATCAAAATTTGCTGTAGGCGAGATATCTTCGTATATTTCTTGCTTCGTAGGTGGTGGTGGCGGAGGAACATTTGACACTTTATCTGGGGGTGGCGGAGGAGGAAACGAAGTGGAGTCACTCGAAGATGCTCGATAACGCGAGACAGGAGGGGGTGAAATTGGTTCGAATGTTGCACTGTTAAAGGATGCTGAGCAGATACTGGCAGGGCTTTCCAATGGGGTTGCATCGGTCTCCACAGAGCTGCCCCTCCGACCGTACAATCCTATTCGAAGGCCAGCTACAGGTTGTGCCCTGCTCATCGAGCCGATAAGGGGAGTTGGAGGAGTGCTTTCAACTGAAGGCGAATATTGACTTGGAGATGGAGTGGGCAGCACCGGCTGTGATGAGCCCACTGAATTAGACCGTCTGGGATCACGGAATTCGCGGGGATCTTTGGAGCTTAATGTAGGTTTGGTTTGGGCATTTTCTGCAAAACAAACATGAAAAATCAGCTATGCAATGGCATTGTAAGGCAGACCTTTGTTCACGTCCCTCTTGAAATCACTTAAGTCGGATTTTTACTGCAAAACAAATATTGTTCGGCTCAATGGCTTTCTTGAGCAACCAACATGTGACTATATTTAGATACTGTAAGCTTTTTTTAGGTATTTGATACGATTTTTGATGTCAAACTTTGAATTTTTCCAATTTGGTTACAATTTCGGTTTTCCATACGTTAGTAGAATTTCGCATAAATCAGACTATTTTTATGGCCTAAAGAAACAACAGTGATCTTCCACTGAACGACAGTAAAGCTTTTAAATACCACTATGCAATTCTCATTAAACCATTAAACTTCGATTTTTCTTACTATAATAACGAGGATAATATTGTAGGGAAAAGAAAAAGCTTTTCTAAGGCGGAGGACATGGGGCAGGATTTGACAGAGTTCTGTGACCTATGCAAATAAGTCACAGATCCAAACAACATAAAATATTTTGCCACATGATTTCTAAAATGTCAGGGCAACATTTGTTCTGCATTCCAAAACAGCTAAGCATTAATTAGAAGCCTAAACAAAGGGTATCATGTTCAAAGCCACTTTCGTATGAGAAATTAAATACGTGACATCATCAATGAAATGTATTTTACAATTCTATTCAAGCAGACGAGATTTTGTAAAGCATGTGTAATTTCTAGTCTATTGCTTCATATAACTTTTGTTAGTTGTTGTGCATGATTAATTCACCTACTAATTTAACTTTTTAAAAAAGATAATAGTTTTGATTAAGCCAATTCGACACTTTAATTTTCACATTGAAGAACATGTTCTCATTAGTTTTCTTGACTCTGTTGCAGCGTGCTTGAACATTTCAGCCCCACATTTAGAACAAAGGTATGAAGAATGAAACTCAATTGTTTTTTACTATGAAGGTGAAAGGGATGTGGTGTACTTCTGATTTGGCAGGTCAGTCCAAAGTCAATTGAAAAGTAGGACTATGGTCCATCATACAACCAAACAGACCTTTCTCTAGAATCTAAAATAGACTTTTTTTCATTAAAAGAGACCTTTCTCCAAATCATAAGTATAAGGGTCCAGATGAACCCCTGTTGACTCAACTTGCCTCTTATCTTAGGTCTGTCTGGTAGAGTTTCTTCATAAAATTGAAGGACTATTTCATTATATATATTTTTGAGATAACAAATTTGAGAACATCAGGAGTTTAACAAGAAATTATTTCTTCAAATGTTACAGAAAAAGAAATCACACGACCACAGAGCTCAATTTTGAAGATATTTTTAGAAAAAAAATTGGGTTCCCTTTATTTTAAAACATTAAAGATTCATAATTTCAAATACAAGGAGAAAAAAATTTGCTTTTTGAGTCTATGAGTTTGCCTAATGTCAGCATTGTGGTGGAGATTGAAAGATCATAAATTATTCAGATTATCAACCAAAAACCAAAAAGAACACAGCTTAATTTGCAAAAATAAAATGATAAGAAACTAGATATATCATAATTGCAGATTGGCAAGGGGGGAGATCAGCAGATATTTCAAGGGGGTATTTCAGCCCACTCCTGTTGGAAGAAGAAAGGAGGGGCAGAACTGTCTGAATATATTGCGAAGAAATTGCTTAAAGTTACCATCTAAATTTTTTGACTTCACCACACAATTTGAAGGTGTTCTGAAGAATTCTACTTGTCCCTGATGAGTAAAAACCCCTAATGAGAAAACCATACAATGGTAGAGAAAAAACAACTAAAAATGGATATCACAGAAAGGCCTATTGAATTAACTGGGGAATGTAAGGAAATGCTAAGGATATGAGTTAGGAGACAGTAGTAACATGAAATGAATGTAACAAAATAATAACTAGCAAAAAATGTTTTTGGGCAAACTATGGTTTTCAGGCACCTCCTGACAAACAAAGGTAATTGGAGATTTAAAATGAATGTTATATGTGATCTATTAGAAATAAAAATGGACCTTAAAAGAGGGGTTAGTAACTCTTGCAATAAAACAGGCATTTCTTAGAAGACCAGCATCTAGGGGTCAAGTTAATGGCAATATCTAACAGATTTGTTATGGCAGTCAGGTGTCCTTATCACAAAAATTGTGTCATTGGAGTTAACATAACAATAAGAAATAAGAATGGAGAGATGTGATTGCAAATTTGAAAAAGAAAAACAGAAACACTGACAATTTCAGTAGGCCAAATAATAAATCCAAAATGATGGTAGGTAAACAGATATAAATATCAATTTGTTTCACAGCTTAAATATGGGGCTTTCAAATAAGGCCCTTCAAAATCTATCACCAAACAGAACAACAATAAGTAAAACCATAGACTTAGAACTATACTCAATACATGAACAAATGTAAGATTGAATCACTGAATTGTGATGAAATGATGCTTTAGACACCAATGAAAAATAAATGATCTTGCTATTTGTGGTTAAAGAAAGGTTTTATTCTGTTATCAACTCATGATGAGCCATAAATATTCACCACAATGATTGTGATAAGCAATTGGGGAATCTAGTGAAACAATGCTTTTGGTTGTCATTTTTCTTCCCTAAACATAGAAGGGAAGTTACTATCTTTGTTAGATAGAAATCAGGTACTCACAATAAGTAAAAAACAGCAAGGTTCTACTATTTGTATTTCAAACCTTTGATAATCTAACTTTTCTGCTTATTGGATCAAAGTTTGGTAATGTGATTTTGTCTAAAAATAAATTGCAAGCTTCTTTTTTTACGGTCTTCTAATAAAAAAACCTTGAAAAAATTCATAAAAAGGCTATGAATCCTTTTTTATACATTCTTGGCTTGTCTTTATGCTTTTATATATTTGCAAACTTTCCAGCTCTCGAATTATTTGGAAGTGTTTTATCATGCATGATGTAGCTAGCCTGATTCCAATAAGTGACAAGTAAACACATTTTGAAAATGACTTGGGAATAAAGATTCTTCTAGCATATTAACTTTGGTTTTATATTACTTATTGGCCTTCATTAAGTATAGAAACATAACAGCAAATAAAAATTTGAACAATGTTAACTAACTGTTCAAATACAAAAGGATTTGCTGTGTTGGAGATACTCTGATCATTTTTGAAAACATTGCAATTTGGATTGAAGTTAACCTTGTTTAAACAAACCCTTTTTGTGCTCTTCCTTAACTCTAGCGAATTTTTAACCACGGCATTAAACCACGGAGAACTGTATTTTTGTGATGATATGCTAATTAGCACGTGATACATGAAAATACGCGTACGCACAAAATTTGAACCGCTGTTTTGTCACAGGGCTCACATCTACTTCCTCAATTCCGATAATCTTTTATTTAAAAAATATGAACAAAATCTTAAAGAAATTCACTTACTTTTTCGTTCAATTGAAACGCGAATGATATTCCCCATAACTGAAGTTCCATCGAGTTCTGAAACGGCTTGTCTCGCTGCTGACGCACACGAGAAAGTGATTTTACCAGTTCCCAGATGCTTTTTCGACTTGATATCATAGTAAACTTTGCATTCCTCGATTTTACCAAACTTTGAGCAAAGTTCTCGTAAAAATTGACGGTTTATGTTGTCGTTTAGACAACCGAATCGGATCGTGTTTTGTGGCAGGGCTCCAACATAGTACTTGTCGACCTATGAAAAGACGAAAATATACAAGCAACACGTATAAAAAATGATATCACAGAGTAATTTTAAAAAATTTTCAGGCTATCTTTATTTCGTTTGGCTTGAATTTACCTTGAATCTTGGTATCGGAAGATCAGCAACACTTGCAGTCCATAGCTTTGTCCGAGGTGGTCTAGGATCTCGAGGAACAACTGGGGGTTGCTAGAAGAAAATAAACTAGGTTGAGAGTTGAATAACCTATGAAACCCAACGGAGACATTGTACATATTTCTTAAGGCGGAAAACAAACAATCTTTATACTTACGCCTGGGAAAACGCCATCGAAACGATAGATTTTCTGGTGCCCTTTCTTGATTGCAGGATCTATAAGCAGTTTGTAATTACGCTTCGCAGAAGTTTTCGTACTGTGGCTATGTCCATCATCTCCATTGATACCTAGAGGCAAAGGAGAAAGTTACGAAACGAGGTAAACAAACAGTAAAAGCAAGAAAACTTAATAAACTTGAAACATGCTGCAGACATAACTTGGCCTAACCTCTGCTAGTATGCAATGATTCTTCGCAATTCCTGGAAACAGAACGTGGATCTTTTGCCCTGGCACGATTGTCAGCCATTGGCAGATATTACAGGGCTATATGTGTAACTTAACGAGTGTTTTGATTTGCTTTGTGCAAGGAATTAGCAGTGAGCTGTGTTCTCTTTGCTCCGCCATTTCCAATTATTCTAAAGAACTCTCCTCGAGGCATCCCACAATGCATCATCATCTCTAAGGAGAGCGCCACGGGCCTCGTTTGCGACCTCAGCTGAAATGAAAAGAAGATAAAAGGAAGAATGTTTGTGAGAAAAGAAAATACGATATATTCATGGGCTCCGACACAGATTTGAAAGTGGGGGGGGGGGGGGCGGGGGGAAACTTAACACCCATATCAAAAGACTTTGAACGAGCTCTATTGTTCTGCAGAAAAGTGGGGGGCCATGGCCGGCCGGCCCCCCTTCGTCGGAGAAAACACAATCTAAACAGACATCTGTGTCTCAGATGACAGAGCATCGTATACCTACTTATTGTTAGATAAACTTTTCTTTTTAGTGTTTATATTTGTCATTACCACTTCACCCCCAACATATAACCTTACATCGGAGACAAGGCAGGGTATAAATTTTGTTGATACCCAATTTCATAGTTATTATCAGGTAGCGTACAATTGACAAGTCAGTTATGAAATGCTTTGTTAAACAATAATTAAAAGCACTTAAAATTCCATCAAATCTGGATTGGTTTATGGCTTCTTCCTCAGACAGAGAAGATAAAAAGTCCATCAAAAAGTCCAGTTTTCATTGTAATTTGACGATGGACAGATTTATCAAAGCTTAGTCAGATGAAGACATTAAAGAGTCAGATGAATTTCCCATGACTCAAAGCGCTCTCATTGACCATAATAATAGTAATACGATGGAGAAATAACAGTAATTCCGAACAACAGAATCACGAACAGAATGCAAAGGGGAAATTCGACTTCCCCTTATTGAAATACCGAAAAAGGGTTTATGGCAATAGAGATGCCTAAGTTCGTGAATCATGTCAAAATTGTTGAAATATAGTCAACAAAACCTATTTCATGGCCATATTTCAAACTTATTTCATTGGCATATTTCATCATCTGCCTTCGTTAGAACAACGTTTCATGAATTTACTTTCAATAAGACAGTCTATGGAATAGCTTCTCAGTTTCGTAAAACCAGATTTACCGGCACCTTTAGCAGTGGCGGAAATTCAGGCTTTCATTTGGGGGGCCCAGGCCTACGATTTTCCGACAAGACAACATCATGGACCATGTATAATTTTAAAGTAATTGAATTATAAAGTAAAGTAATAGGGATTTTTCTATCTCTATTAAATTTAAAATTCATAAGACGATTATGTTTGATTGACGTTTGTAAACTTGCAATTAATCGGATAAATCCTACTGAAGCTTCGATGCTACCCTTGCTTTCAAGACCATGTTCTCATTTTTTTGCTCTTAGTATCAATATATTCAAACATCCTTTGGTGGTACAAAAATTAAAAATGGCTTTGAAAAAAGCAAATATTTGAGTATACTAAAGCTTTCTTCTGACACTCTTCAAGAGTATAAAACGTCGAATAGATCGAAAACTCTACGCTTGGAAATGTATACCCAGTTATATACCAAGTTGTGGATCAAAACAGGATACTCAAATGTTTGCTTTTTTCAAACGAAATATTAATATAGGTATCTGGTTACCCTTTGACAGACCCAAGACCCTTTGGTCTGGTTATCCTTTGGTCGAGTTGAGGCAGTTTCAAAAATTACAAAAGCACATAAACAAGTGTACTTTGTCAAATCGTTACAGGCCCCCCCCCCCCAAAAAAACACGAAGTATAATATTTTGAGGTAAAACAAGTTGAAAAACCGACGTTCTTCAGTTTGTGTTTTTATGATGAAATTCAAAGCTATTTTGAATTTAGCTGCCTGATGCAGAAAGGCCCAACCTAAAAATTATCTTGTTTAGCATGGGTGATGCAGGTTCTTGATGCAGCCATCAAGCGCAATAGTTAAATTTAACCGATGAAACAAAAATTTCCTTTGTAGTGAGACTCGAGAATGAAGAGAGAAACGAAAAATGTTAACTTGCACATGTTTAATGTCAAGACATTTTCACCAGAATAGTAGCTACGATACAGAGAAAAAGACAAACTTTAAAATCACAGAAACTACCGTTTCCAATTGGAATGTAAAAAAATGGCAACAAAATGTGATAAAGTTATACTTAAAGAGGTTTAACATGAGAAGATATTTTAATGTGCCTTAACATCTTGTGGTCCCATTATCTTCGAGGACATACATACGTCTGTAAGGTAGCAACTTAAACCATACGTGTGGATGGAAATGAAAACAGTTGATGAGTTTACAAAGGGCTTTTCGGTTTATTAGGAGCTCGCTTCTATGGCCTTGCGAAATACGTTCAGCGCAAAGCAATAATCTTGATTTGGCATCAAGCATCAATATTAACAAAAGCAGTTGTCCCATCAATGTGTTGGCTTAGGACAAGTCCTTGTAACGATCAAATCTGTTTATCTGCCTCCTCTTGATCCTCCTCTGGAAGGCCCGCCTCGACCTCGTCCTCCGCGGTCTCCTCTAGGCGGACCACCACGACCTCCACTGCGACCGTCTCGATCGTAGTCTCTTCCACCTAAATCAAATAAATTATTATCAATTTTTTGAAAATTGAATTTCAGGGTAAAAAGTTTGCTTCACGGGAACAGAGATCCAAAGGTTTTGGAGTTAAACAATGGTAGACTTGATTTACGAGATACATTAACAAACAAGGTTTCTAAAATAACAAAAAACGGAAATATTCAATTAAATACAGAGGAAAAAAATAAAATGGGAATTTCAAAAAAGGGTTCGATAAACATATCTTAGCTATAGATTCATAGGATTTGTGGTTTGAGAGCAGTTAAAAGGCAATGACTCTTGTGAAAATAATGTTTGTTTATAAAGGAGATGCACCATAATACGACAACAGCAGGGCAATCAGTTGGCTATATGAATAAGTCTGAAAATTACACTAGTCAGTTAGAGAGGAGGGTGAAACTACAGAAGAATCGTTACGGGGGGAAGGGGGGGGGGGATGAAGCTCTTTTCCCCCTTCTAGCCCCAGCAGATACCTGCACAGCAAGATGGTAAAACCACGCTTTAAAAGATAAATAATTACCTCCTCCTCCGCCAGAGCCGGCATCATCTGGTTTTGGCACCTTGCAACGATTACATTCATCTCTTCGTGCAAAATTCAAATTGCCACATCTGAAGGAACAAAGATGGACTGTTAAACAAAAAAATATTTTTTAGACCGCTCTTCAACATTAAAGTGGGTAAGGTTACTGAAATTGAGCTTATAACAGAGACTCAGAGAATATTTGAAGGTTGTCATCCAAGTCCAATGGAAATTAGGTCTCTAGCAGTCCAATAGGAAGGGGGGGGGGGGGGGGGGGGGGGGGGGTTGTGTCGCTTTTATATTTCTGCTTTGCAAGAAGAACTATTTGCTTTAACATGTCGTTCTTCGGGGAATAAAACTCAAATCAAGAAAAGCTCGGCTCGCATTCCAAACACGCTGAAACAGCTGCAGTCTGTATGGAGGGATCAATGAAAAAATGAATAACATTAGTCATAATTTTGCAGGCATAAATATTCGTACTAAACTATTTCAAAAAACTATGTGCTACTCACTGAGGGCAGTTCCAGTCACCACTTCGTTCTGAAAGGGAAAATACAATCATAATTTTATATTTACAAATAGTTACAAGTCACAAACAGAAATTTTTAAATTTGGCGGACATTCTACACTTAGTTTCCATAAAATTTATAAACTTTTTGAATCAAATGACTAATCATTTACCACCGCCTCCACCACCGCCGCCTCCGCCGCGTCCAAAGCTACCTCGTCCTCCACGTCCACGGTCTGAAAGAAAATAAAAAATAAAATTCATTTTGTTGTAGGCAAAGTAAAAAATCTCTTTACCCCACTCTTAAAATCAGGAAAAATCAGTAAAACTTTAGAACAACGTGGATACAGTATTAACAACAAGTGTTCGAGCAAATAATGACGAAAATAAGCAAAAATAATTACAGGCCTTATCGACATCCCACAGTTAGAAAAAATTTGAGCTGTGAGAAGCGACTTTGCCGAACTTCATGTTACGGAAAAGCGTAGACGTTTCGCGAATGGATAAAAAAGGCAAAGGAAAGGAAGGGAGAAGGGATTCGCTCAATTTCTCACATACTATAAGTATTTTCGATTTCTTACAGTCTGGTTAAAAAGATTATAGAATTAAGCAGGCGAAATGAGGGTAAAACAATCTTTAATAGAGAGTGCAAGCTATTAAATCTGGCTTATTTAATGCTGAACCGTCGAATTTGAGTAAACCTTTAGAGTGAACGCAGCAAGCAGTCAGTTAACGGCCCAGAGTATGTCGAAGAGCCAAGAGCTACAAAGAGTTGCTAACTCTTAGTGTTAGATCCCCAAAAATAAAAAAGGGTGATTCAAGTACAAATTCCCCAGAACAATGAATACTTATAAAGTAAACATACCCTTAGGTCCTGATCTGTCGAACCCTCCGCCTCCGCCTCCGCCTCCTCTTCCGCTTCTTCCGCGCCAACCACCTTCAGGCACCTTGATTTCAGCTAAGGATACTGAAATCACGTGCTCTGGATCGAAGTTCTTGTTATTGAACCAATTTATGGCAGCGCTAGCGCTTGGTGGATCATCATATGTCACCGTGCATTCACCCTGAAACAACATAATTATTGTTAAATCTTAATCATACTTTCTTCCAAATGGCTCCAGCTAGATATCTCCACATTTTTTTCGTCGTGCATATTACTGTATTATCACTTTACAACATGAGAAAACAAATAAAATTGAATTTTTAAATCAAAACAACATGTGATTGGTCTTCGGAGCATTTTCCCTATTATTAAAAACAGTAAAAATTACCAGTATTTAGAAAAGACATTAAATGCTTCCCAAAGTTTGGTCATTCAAAATTGAACGTGAACCATTGTTCAGCTGACACAGAAAGCTTAAATGAACATTTGGAAGAAATCTAATGTTTAGGGTCAGTTTAGCGAAAATTGGTACTGCTACGGTTTTAAACCTTTAAGTAACGTTTTCAACTTTTCACCCTTAAGTAACGTACCAAGTTACCGCTTTAAACTTCGTGATACGGTTTTGTTTGCGACAAGAATTTGTTTGTGATTGGTGTCATATCAGCAAAAGTGGTCAAAAGTTATCTTTCAGAAAATCTGTTTGGAGCATACTTTTCTACTGCATCTTTGTGCAAGGACCAAAGAAATAATACATATGTTAATGAAAGTGGGACTTCTCACCTTGCCTTCTCCCTCTGGAGTCTTGTAGATGTAAATTTTGGGATCCCCTGTTCTCTTATCACGCTAAAAATTAACAAATAATAGTTTTGATCAGGAACACAAACTTCCCTTAACATTGTATGCTCAATTATGTAACCTTGACCTTAAGGAAGAACATTGAATAGTTTAAGTCTAACTGAGTATTATTCTTTAAGTATTTGGATTGCAAATTAACAAAATTTGGTGCGTAAAATAGTTATATACATTCTGAGTTTCACGTTCAATAAAAATTTGGAACCGTTCTGTTCTAAACACCAAATCATTTACAGCTCTGCCTTCATGGCATCAAGCGCTATACGACAAACTGGTAAAACAGTAAATTTCATGATTTCAAATACACAAAGAAGATTCGAAATATGGAGGATGTTGACAAAAACGTTAAGGAAACAACATCCTTGCAAGAACTGACTGAATATCCCAATTAAAGCCAATTTTTAATATTGTTTGATTAAGAAGAAAAGAATACACTTGCATGAAAGTGAGAACATAATTTGAAACACAATTCACCTTGATTATTCCAATCTGACCAAAGAAATCACCAATCTGTGAAGCAGTAGCAGATGGTGGGAGACCAGCGACAAATATTGTATCCTCCTTAACCTGCATGTTGCCTGAAATGGTTAAAAATCTTATTCAGGTACTTATCAATTTGCCGTGAATCATACCAAAGAGATCAATAAAGCAAAAAAACTCACTATAAGGCCAACATTTAAAAGTTTCAGTAAATAAGTGGGTGCATTTTGTACAAAAAATAACCCCACACTGCCCATTAAAATGCAAGCCGTAAAATGGTAACAAACATTTCTGCATTGTGATAAAGAAGTGAAATAAATAAATTTGTAATTAAGTATAAACATCAAACGATGAAATAAACAAACCTGATCTCTGCGGGGGAGCATCTCTTCCACCAGTAGAACCTTTAAAGGAAAATAATGATGTCAAAATCAAGTCAACAGTCTTCTTCGATACAGCCAGTCAGTCATGGGAAGAGTGTCACAAAAGCTGACTTCAAACAAAATACAGCTTGAATATTAATTTCAAAAAGCTTAGAGCCGAAAACAATAGCCTGTACCCAGAACCTTGGTAATTGAGATCCCCCTAGTGTAAAAATTAATAGCAGAATCTGTGTTCTTCAGCTATTAAAATTTCCGGTTTGCCAAAACATCGCTTGAAAGCACGAAAAGTAAGCGATATGGCCAACATCTTTCTAGCTAACGAAAGCAAGAGAAATACCTAACGAGCCAGTACTTTGCTTTCAAGCAATAAACGAAATGTTTTCAACGCTTGAACAAGTTTTTAACGTATATTCACCATTAATTGTTATTTATCCAATCACCAGCGAATACCAGAACTTATTCTCTGTGGTGATATATTTTAATACAGTATTAATCCTTTGGTGGTGAAAACGTTACTGCAATAAGCTTTATGTGCATTTCAAAGACTATAATTTAAGGGCAACTAAACATTTGCCAAGGGCTGAATATGTTAAAAAACAAATACACAAATTCAAGATCTTTCTGGTAGCATTCACACAACAGGATCATATACATCAAAATGACGGCACAAAGCATCAGGAGCCAATCAATAAACAAATTTCGTTTTCATTACTTAAAATTCTAAGAGAAACTTTTTTATACTAAAACCGAGGATAGTTTGTGCGATATGAAGGAAGACGTCAGAAAAATGATGTCAGTTTGAAGGAAGATGTAAAGTTGTACGTAATCAAAACACAAAATAAGGGGTAATCGTGGTTCTTGAAGGGTTTTCATTACTTGCAGACAAATAAGACCAAGCCAGGCCTTAGATAGAAAAGGCCTTACATAAATAAGGCATACCATGATATTTTGCTCTTGCAAAGCATTCTCAAACCACCTTTTTAATACCATTTTCTACAAATTGTCACGGACTAAATTGTCACCGTAGCAATGGTCATACTCTGAAATGCTGCTTATTATAGAAACCTTATCAAATGTTTGCTGAACTTGTGACACGCTGTAACCGTTTTATTTAAAACTTTTTACCAGCACCACATAGGTGACAATCAACTGGCACACCTTTAAACATAAAGACACAGCCCAAAAACACTGTGGGTATAACACCCGTTATATCTACATAGTAATGTTAACCCTTTAAGTTTGGGAGGACAAAACACAGTTAAAACATGGTAAGTAGGTGGTTTTGTACCAACCCAGTTTCACTTACCACCGTAACCACCTCTTTGACCACCTCTTCCAGCATAACCTCTGTGAATTTGATGGTGAACAATGAATTAACATCTAATTCCTTTTCTTTCTATCTACATTCAATTTCATCGATATTGCAGTCAATACCTATTCTGCATTTACACCCAGCTGCCATTGTTAGACTGGCAGGCTCATCTACCAACATTGATGAATCTGTGTGCTTATAAAGACACACTAATATTCAAGTAAGAGTGTATTCGCTGATAAAGATCAGTTTTCACCACAAATAAAACACTTGCCACCTGGATAAACAACAAAGAAACACCAGAAAAATTGCAACAAATATCTTGGTGTTTGGTTCAACTCCGTTTCTCTAAAATTCAAACATCGTTTAGCAATTAGCATAAGTAGAAAGGATGTGAGGGGCGTAAAAACCCATCAATCAGATGTTGCATAATCTGGTATAAATACTTACTTTCACTATACTATGAAAGTATATATTTAAGTCTTAAGGCACTTTTAACTTACTTGAAATAAGGTACGGATAATTTGCAAGCAGGAAAGTGTGGTATTTAATCGATTCGTGTGAGATGCAGTTCAGTTTATTCCCACTCAGGACAGCTACCAATTTTGGAAAGCTTATAAAATTATGTAATGCTTTGGAAAAGTGGAAAGCAATCTATCACCTGCCACGCAAATGAACAAAAGCTATTCAATTTATTCATCAGCGGCACCACGGGGACTAGGGCTTGTCAGGATCAATTTGGTATTTCCCCTAAATTTTTGATGAGGAAAATTTTTGGGAAGCGGTACTATTTTGGCAACATATTCTTGGTGATGTAATTCTGTGACTTCTGTGAAACTGCCATTACGCAACCAAAAGCTAGTCACGAGCGTTCCATATAGGTAAAATTGGTGTTTCCTGATGGTAAAGTGGCGTTTTCTGACAACAAAAAGGGCGTGGCCATAAATTTTTGTTTTGTCCCCCAGTGCCTAGTCCTGATTTTCAAATTCCAGTCAATAAATTGCGATAGTCTGAAATAAACTGGTTTTATGATGTTAAGTTGTAACAAACAATGTAAACCATTTTGAAAATTCATCCTTTTGGTTCCTAATCACTGAATGTTGATACACGCAATTTTTGATAACTCAATGCAACCTTGTTTTTCACCACAATACAGCATTGGTGAACATCTGCCTTTATTCTTGTTTCCCTTAAAGATAATACCTCTCACGACAGAATTGTGTCGGTACAGCATGAATGGCTGGTATTGCCTTTAGAATGTGGTATGATGCTGACACAAAAAGGTTTGCAAAAGAAATTGACCTCCTTATTCCCAAAGGAGAAAATGCATTATCATGTGATAGACTCCAATTTTGCTTTATTTCTTGTTGGCAAGATAGCTTTTTTCTGAAATGTTTACTGAAACTTAGACAAAAATCAATCACAAGGCTATTCCTAATTTCCCTACCTGAAAAGTATTTTTCATGATAATGACTTCAGATCCTTGATCCTTTGGGAACTTGGATTCAAATTTACCTTCTTTACCTGTTCCTTATTTTTCAAGATGAAGCTTCTGCCTTTGGCCAAATGTCATAAATAAATCCACAATAGTGCACTACTTTGCGTAAAAACATCAATGACTTAAAATTACATATACTGACAATGTGTAGGCCTGAAGAGGATTTACATGTAACCCCATGCATATATATACATGAATATGTCTGAATTACTGCTTTAAATGAATGCTAGCACTCCTTGCTACTTTTTTGGCAACCCCATCAGTTTCAAAATCAAGCCCAAAATGTATAGCCCTCAGCAAGAGTCTATTAGTTCAGAGGATTCACTAAGCCTGTCAGTTTTGTGTGCCTTTCCGGAACAAAATCTGTCAGTTGCAAGCTCCAGAAATTGGAACACTTGTACCAGAAAAAAGCACATTCTTGACATGGAATTTCAGCTACTAAAGTTCCATTTTTAGATATATTGATGCGTGGATAGATTGATGTGTTTTGATGGACCAACTACATAGGGCTCTCAGCTTTTTATACAAAATTTGGTTTAGAAAAAAACCTCCAGGAAACATTTTGTGATAACAAAATCCCTTAGCTTACATTATATGGAGTTAATTTTGTAATGGAAAATATGCAATGGTTGGCAGGTGCAATGTTTCATTGGCAGAATTTAACCTTAACCTTATCAATTGACCCAGTATTACGTTTTAATACAACACTTCCGTAGTACAGGCCTGGTCATTTGAGGAGAGCCATAGCTCTTGCTCTCTTCCAGGCCCTCCTTAAATGCTAGAGAGGCTACAAATTGCTTTCCTAAACTAATCGAAAAATAAAATAGCACTGCTTGAAATAAGTTTTTCCTTTGTTTCTATTCTTATTTATCAACAAAGAGATCACCTGGAGGTTCATAGTAGAGCTTTTTACTGCTCCATTGCTAAATGTCTTATGGCCAGGCCTGGTAGTAAAATTAAATCCTATCCATTAAGTAAAAAGCTGGCAAGCGTTCAATAGGATTGATCACAGCATTTACTACCAGGCGGTCTGCCGTGATCACCTCAAGATCATTGGGGGGAACCGTACACTGCTTACAAACAAGTAGGCATGTATGTGGGATCCATAACCCTTTGCATCAAAAGTTTTATAAGCTCCATATTCAAAGGGCTGATTTGCAGTAACTGACTCATATTAGTATTGAGGTGTGCCTTGTCCAATTATAGAAAACAGACCAAATTATACAGGAATTTCGCATCACTTGAGCCTTTAAGAAACTTTTCAAAAAATTTGTTTCATATGTAGCTTTAAATGAAAAACCATATAAGCCTGGTTTTGGTACACTCAGCCTTCCATGTCTTAGTTAAAAGATAACACTAACCCTCTTGAGCTTCCTCTGTCATCCTGGCCACCTCGTTCACTTCTGTCAGATCCACGATTGCTCCATCTATCTCCACCTTCTTGACCGTATCCACCTCCTCTACCGCCATCATATCCTTGACCATAAGAACCTCCCCTGCTTCCACCACCAGAGGCATACTGTCCACTACCATTTTGTGGTGCACTGTAGCCTGACTGGGGTCTGGAAGACTGACCCGGCTGATAGCCACCACTGGATTGATATGAAGATCCTGATGAGGCTTGCTGGCCAGACTGTTGGTATGGTGGGTATGAGGACTGACTTGAGTCTTGGAATTGTCCCTGTCCTTGTCCCTGTCCCTGGTATTGCTGTGGAAAAGATGAACCAGACTTTTGATAGCCTGGCTGTGACTGCTGATAGCCTGGAGTGGGCTGTTGGTATCCTGGAGCTTGCGGTTGTGTTTGCTGATAACCCTGCTGTGGTTGCTGATATCCTTGTTGTTGGTATCCACCTATGATTGTTTCAAAAAATTTTAAATCCTCATCGTAATCCTTTGCTTACTTTAAAAAACATATCAATTTGTAAAGTAAACAGTGGGGCTTGTACATTGGGGCTAGTGGGGTTCAGCCCCACCAATGATTTCAAAGAATAAGTTTTAGATTCATTTACTTGTAAAATAAACGTCCATTAGTATTAGCATTGTTTACTAATTCTGTGGCTCCCCACACCAGACCTGCCAACTTGCCCCAATCAATTCAATAGTAGCTGAAGTTTATGTTGCTGCAATAGGTCATGTTGGTCTTGAGAGGAATATACAACAGTGGTGTTTAATCAATGACTTGTATTTTAAGCTGTAAAATTTCGAAGTAAAGCATGCTAAGTTCAATCTGAATCAGAATCTGTTTTGTCAATTTTCAAAAGCAACACAAAATTAGAATGGTTAGGCCTTCTATACCAAAGAGATTTCTCTATCTCACAGAAGTCTTCCTACAGCATAAAGTATGCAGGTTTTCAATTTGAAGAATTCGTCTATCTGCTAAGTTCAATCTGAATCAGAATCTGTTTTGTCAATTTTCAAAAGCAACACAAAATTAGAATGGTTAGGCCTTCTATACCAAAGAGATTTCTCTATCTCACAGAAGTCTTCCTACAGCATAAAGTATGCAGGTTTTCAATTTGAAGAATTCGTCTTTCACATAATATGACAATTATATATTTACAACATATTTATATTTAAATTTTGAATTTTACGTCATCAGCCCCACCAAAATAAAGTTTTTCTGTGAGCCGCAACTGAAAATAACTGTTTTCAGATTAACTAAAACTTTGCCATCACATCATATTGTTAAATAAGAATAGGCCGGGCACAGCATACTGTGATGTAATAATGGTTCCTTCTATACCAAAGAGATTTCTCTATCTCACAGAAGTCTTCCTACAGCATAAAGTATGCAGGTTTTCAATTTGAAGAATTCAACCAACTAGATTTAACAATTATATTCAATAATACCACATGGTAGGCCGGGCACAGCATACTGTGATGTAATAATGGTTCTGATCAAATAAATGAAAAACAACCAACTAGATTTAACAATTATATTCAATAATACCACATGGTAAAGAAGTAAAAGACCAATTCAGTAAACACTTCAATTTAAGTTATGGCTGCATGTCAGATTTTTGTTGCATTAAGTTATTTTCTTGTGGTATGGTAAGCTTGCTTGATAACAGATTAAAGGTAATGTGTCCATATAGAAGGACTGCATATACCCAACTTGCCAAGCCACTAATCAAAATAACGGCTTGCAATTGGTTAGTATTCTTGCAATGCTAAACTACTCACATAAAAAGTTAACCTTGCAGCAGGGTAGATTAACAGAACGACCATAATGGATGGGCAATGACATGAAAAATCACATGTTTCTGAAAACCCCCGCATAGTCACTTGCTTTAGCTGGACACATTATAATATACATTTAATGGATTAACCCAATGCAAACCATGCAACACAAACCATGCCAATGTTGTAAGAAATTTCTGTGACATCACTTACTTTGCTGTGGTTGCTGATAACCAGCATATGAGGGTGCCTGTGATGCTGTTTGGGTATAAGCTTGGCCTGCTGCTGCTGCCTGGCCTGCTTGAGTGTAGCTGGCCGAACCTGAATATCCAGGATAACTAAACAAAGAAGAAACATTTATCAAATATATACAAAAATGAAAATTACTGTAACTGCTCTGTCATAAAGTGTTTTATGTCGTATAGGCAGGGATCAACTGTTGTCTGATGATTGCACCAAGCATGAAACTCAAGAAACTTATTTTTTCAGTCCTAGAGGGGGTGCTTATTTGAGTGAGAGGGCTTATTAAAAATTTAAAATGCCCCTGTCTATAATTTTTGTTGTAAAAATGTCATAAAAATTCTCAGAAAACTTTGCTAGCAGTTTTGAAAGTCTAATTAATCAATTAAAAGGTCCTCATCATCATCAGAATCACCAGGATTAATTGATAACCCTGGGACATCTTCTAAACAAATTTTGACTGACTACTTAGGTGCACAAGTAAGTTTTTACATGGGCAGTATTTAATACACATGATCTTATCATCACCACATCAGTCAAGAGACCCACTAAATGCGCAGGTTTCCTTGTTTGACATCAAAGGCTAAAGAGGGGGGCTTAATAGAGAGGGGGCTTATTTTAAGTATTTGATTGATTCGGGGGGATTTGATAGAGAGGGGGCTTAATAGAGAAGGGGGCTTAATAGAGTTTTTACAGTATATATGATTTGTCCCTAAAAATAATTGAATAAGAATAAAATCGTTCAAATGGGTCTTCTGTTCAAGCAAGCAGCTTTCTAAATATAAATGCTTTACTTAGAAGAAAGACAGGTGGAGAAAAGTTTAACAACAAAATGTTGCATAATTTAAATGTTTTATGAAGAATTCAATCTGTGTAAAAGTTTCTTGAAATTTAGAAAATCTATGTATTAGATGATTTGGACTTTGGAAATTATCATTTTAGATTAAATGTCTGAATTGCTTTCATGCTTAATGTAAACAAGTTCATAATTTATCTGTGTTTTGCATATAGTGTCAAAAGTTAAATAGGCAAGTTAGTAACATATCTTGACATAAAAACAAATATTTGTCACACAGAAAAGCTTGATTTGAAAAATAATCTCACTTTACATACCCTGGATATTGTGAATATGAACCATCTAGAAAGAGAAATAACGAATTTGAACAATATAGTCGATACAATAACTCAGAAATTGATATTATTATGATTTTTAAATATTTATATATATATATATCTAAATTAGAAGTTGTATAATCTATGACAAAGTGGGAAAAGAACATCTCAAACTTGAAAGTGGGCTCTGTATTGGTTTTATGCCTTTCACCACTATAAATCAATGAACTTTGTCAATAGACGTAACATGGTCTAAGAGGAATAAACCCTGAAGACTTATATCGGATTAGTCTTCTACATCCACTATTTCGTTTTATATCTGTTATAAAATGGAGTTTTCCTTTTTTCCAGTTAAAGATTAAGTATACAAATCATTCACAAATACGGGCACTTGTCATTTTTTGACGAAATCGAATTTGAATATGAAGCTTCTGTCTATTGCCAGAAAGAAACACACCTAATTCTCTCAGAGACTCAGCAGTAGGTTAGCTTGACATTTCGAAACGGGAATTTTTTTATAGCGTGTCACGGTTTCATGATATATCAGAGTTGATTCCTCTCCTGTAGTTGTGCTATCAAGCATCTTTGCAATGTAAGGCGAAAGAACATATTTTCAGCATGATTGGTGGGACAAAATTGGCCTAACACATTGTGTGAGATATCTGTAGTACATTCTCGAAATGGTGGTAAATCGCTAGGAAAGTATTTTCTGATCAAAGGGAACATAAAAAGGTAGCATTATCAATTAAATACTAACAAGGATCTTGATTACCAGATGCTGCCATTGCTGTGTTTCCAGGCGACGATAAGCTCCTACAGAATTATCGTCCTGTTTTCTCCTTCCCGCACGCGTGAAAGGCGAAGACCCGTATGAGCATCCCAGAATGCAATGTAGATATCAACGCTCCTCCCTAGCGATGTTTTTTCAATACCATTTTCTCATTTCACTGGATAATAAGTGAAAATTTATAAGACAGAATAAAACAGAATTTTACAGCGATCTGGAACAGGCGGCTAGTCTACACTACATTATTTTGTTATGTTTTGTCAAAACATTAATTGCAATGTATATCGTATATCGTTTTTACAAGCAGTGGGGTGGCAAAGTTTTTCAGCAGACCCCCAACTAGGCACACTTCGTTCACCTTTGTCCCCCCAATTTACCAAGGGCCGGCGAAACCGGGGAGGTCGGGGGCCATGCCCCCACTTTTCTGCAGAGCTAAAAAGAAAATTTAAGGCAAAAGTGGAAATAAATGTAGAATTGTTCTGTAAGTAACTTTGCCTAGTATTCTCTTAAATGTGTCCTTAGCTTTACATTGGCTGCCATGTCTTTACCATAGAAGACATACAAAGAATTGAATATGGGAATTAGATCGAAGAAATCAGTCCTTGTTTAAGATTTACAACGAGTAAAAGCTTGGCTTAGCAAACAAATCGAGAAACCTAGTCCAGAATAGCTTAGTGCCAGCACAAATTGACGGAGTTTCGTTTTTTTCCATTGCCTAAACTTGGCACACAAGGTCTATTTGTTAACAAAAACTTTCTCAGAGACACTACAAAAAGAGAAAAATCAGCTGTTGAAGAAAAAGAAACAGCTGGAAAGAACTTTTCTGAGGATATGAGAAATAAAGTATGGACAGATTTGTTCTTAAAAAGTATCATCAAGAAAACTTTAAAGTTGATCATTTGAATAATCCATTTTTACTAAGAAACAAAATAATATCGACGCAATTATAAATTCTATTTAAACTCACTTTGATAAGCCCAGTTTGAAGGTTTTTCAAATTTCTGTTCATGCACTTCATTTCCGTAAAAGTTAAGATCAAATGTTACAAAGTTATATCTTAACTGTACAAAATCGTTTAACTTTTTATTTTTAGTTGATAGTTTTTCTGTTGATATTTCAACATTAATGTTTTTTATTATTCCGTGTTTCATTTATTTTTCTCCCCCATCTTATTTCGGGTACTTTTAAAATATAAAAAAAGGTTTCATTACGAGCTATATGATAGTGATTATTGTAAAACTTTGCAAAACTTTTCTATTTGAAGTCAACATCACAATAGATGCGACTTTGCGAAACCTTCAGTCAAAATTCATTTTAGATACAGTTTCCGGCCATCCCTAAAACACCATAATTCTAAAATTTTTCTTGCCGCCAACCAGTCGCGGCCTTTCCGAAGCCCTTTCAAGACTTTGATATTTTGGCCCCTCCACTTTCAAATACGTTTCGCCTGCCCTGTTACCGCCTTGGCTGTGCTATGCTGCTGATTATCATGCAGTCATTAAAACAAGAAGGGAATATTTAAACTTGAAATAATTGATGTACAGCGCAAGATTTCCCTTATGAGACTGTAGTCTTCCATTAACTAAATTTCAGTGAACGGAGCAAAAAAGGACCTGTCAACCCTATAGATACATCGGGACAATCAAACCATGACTGCCACAGAATTACAGAAAGGAGAAAAACTTTCTAAAGTGATGCTTCCAAATGCCTCCATTTTCTATTCGCTGAAAAAGGCATTCTTTGAAACATTTTTTACTGAAAGAACTTTATTCTGTTACTCCTTATTTTACCTAAAATTAATATTTACCTAAAGAGAGGCAGATAGCTATCTTGTGGTTTATATCGATTTTTTGTTTCAAAGTTTTTCACTTTAGCTTAAAAAACATAAGTGGATGGATATTTCCCAATGCCATCAAAAATTTATTGAATCATTTAATGTCCTAATGTCCTCTCAAAATGAAGTTCTATTTAATGCATGCAATATTTTTCCTTAGATCAAATTTTGTCTTTTATCACTGATGTGTGCTGTTAGTTCGTAATCCAAATTATATAGGTAACTAATATCAAATTTATTGCAGGTCAAACGGTATTTTCGTTAGAGGCCATCTTGGCCTGAAAACCTTTGCATTAAAAAGTATACACTATTTTTGTTAGTAAAAATATCTGCTTTTGCAGTTCATTGCAAAAATATGTGGCTAAAATGTTTTTGCTAAATGGCCTTTGTATGTTAGGAGACGATTTCAGTATATATAAGATCAAAATATTCAATTCAATTTTTGAAGTTTGTGCATGTTGAGGTTGTGTATTCGCATTGTGCTTGAAAATAAAAAAAGGGTGATTCCCAAAAGTTACTGCTTGCATGCAGATTTATCATTATCAGGTACCATCTTCTATCAAAGGTTGGCTACCATGACCCTTCAACTATCCCAAAATCTGAGGGTTTGTTGTCATGGTCATAGATAAAACTAAGGGGCTCATAGATAAAACATGCAGATTACGAAGCAGTATAAAAATCCAATTTATGAGTGTAATTGCTCCCTGCTCCCCGTTTTGAACCGCCATGTAGTCTTGGAGAAAATTACCTCTATTTTGTGCACGACTTCATCATTTTAAGTTCAAAGGATGAGAGAAATATTCATCAAATATAATCAAACAACATTTTTATTATTTGTGAACTTGTTAAACTTTTGCTTTTCATTGCTACTCAAGATTTGCATAAGCATGTCTCTAATGTCAGAGCGCAAATTTCATTTGGAATATCTCACAAATGAATCACCATCTCTCGGAACAATTAACAGCACTTTGCGAGGCTCACTGTGGCCACCAATGCATGTCCACCCTTGCTTATATATGCCCAATTGTTTTACATTAGAAGAGTTGATTTTATGCAATCTTGAATGCACACTGTTTATTAATCTACAAAAACAAAAGCATTGGTCTACGAAAAAACGGTATTGCTATCCCTAAACAATGGTATCCCTGAATAATGGTATCCCTGAACAATAGTGTCCCTAAACGTTGGTATCCCTAAACATTGGTATCCCTAAACAATGGTATCCCTAAACCTTTTTTCCCCTAAACAATTGTATTGTTGAACAATGGTACCCCTGAACCACAGAATATAAATTAGGCAGAAGGGGGACTCCTGCCTGTCAGTTGAAGCCTGAAAAAACTAGCGCATGCGTTAATTTATACGAGGCTTAGCATGAATCTGTCGGGGAAATTTAAAAAAAATGATAGTAGACATTTATATAGAACTTTATTTGAGACGAAATGCCCCATGACAGTGAACAAATTCAATTATGTATCATAATTCGTTTATATCTGATTAATGAATGATAGTCATGGCTAAGTTTGTCTAATGAAATCAAGGTTGAAGGGAAATTAAGGAATTCTATTGTTGACTCGGGCTTCAAAAACAACAAAGGAACCGACGAGAGTTACCCTTCTGCCTATTTCCTATTCTGTGCCTAAACATTGGTATCCCTAAATGATAGTATTGGACTACCAGACAAAACTTAGCTCAATTTCACTGGGCAACAGAATATAACTCATAAAAGACCAATCAAAAGACAAAGGTCTCCCTTAAACTCTTTGCGAAATAAATAAATCTCCCTGTGGGCTGATTTTTTGAAGACAAACTTACACCCTTCATTAATTTTTTTTCTTTATCCAGCCAGCCTGGAGAAAACCAGAGTTAAGTTCCAAAAGTTGTAATTTGTGCTGATGCAATTTATGCAGTTACAGGTTGTAACAGTTACAGGTTGGCACATAATGCTAAAATTAACACAAATCGTCTTGACCACTTTTAATTCCAATTTGTTTGAGTTCTGTTTGGCTCTACAAGTCCAGATAAGAATTAGACAGACACACAGTACACGCAAGCTAAATCATAAATAATTTGATACAGCTAGCTCTTCAATATAACTATCATCTACTTTGAGCGATAAAAACACACTTCTGCTTAATTAACCTAATTTGTTAACACAATTCTCAATTGACAATCAAGTCTAATATTTACAATATAAACGAGAAATATCTGTTAACGAGGAAAGATTATTGAGTGTTTTTGTCTTCAACTAACAAACAGCTGTAGGAACCAACTTCATAGTAATTAGATCATAGTCATAACAATTTGGAAGGATTGGAGACCCTTCAACTAGTGTAAAGTTTGGAAGGATTGGAGACCCTTCAAGTTGTGTAAAGTTAAATCATCTTTCTGTCTGGTTTCTGCAGAATTTTGATACCGAGGCTTTCTTTGTCTACTGACAAGCTGTCTTAATAACCGTTTATCTTGTAGTGCCTCGTTTGCATAAAACAGCCAATGCCGCGCGTCTTAAATCTTTACGTAATGCAAAGTATATTACAGGATCCAAAAGGGAATTTAACAGAACGAAAGACGAACTCAAGTACAGCATGCGATCTCTGGTTATATATTCAATGTCTAATAACAGCCCTGCGAAAAATGCCGTGATGGGTGCCCAGCATATTATAAACGAGCAAACAATGAAGGAACACAGCACTAACGAGCGCCTCTCCTTACTAACATAGAGCAATCTTTTGCGCACTGTCTTTTGATCACAAAGCACCGGGTCTTGAGCTACGTCATAATCCCCGTTGTCGATATCAAGTGTGTATTCGAGTGACCTTGTTGGAATCATGTCAATGTCGATTGAGTTCGACTGAGACACTGATTTGCTTCTGATGTCCCTTCTATGTCTACGAATTTCTTTGTAGAGATAAACATACACGACACTGAGGAACACTGACATTGTCAATGACAGTGTGACTATGACAATACCGTTTATCTCAAAGTACTTGCCATCGTCTATTGTAAATGCTGCAGCTCCTTGCACAGATGTCATTCCAGCAGAAAGCATCCACGTAAAAATTATTGCTGCATTTACTCTTGATGACGTCACGAGCTCCTGGTACTTGAGAGAATCTCTCACTCCAACAAGTCTTTCGTAGGTGATACAGCACAAGCTGAATATGGATGTTTCTAGTGAAAATCCTAAAGCAATCGTTGATACTCGTTTTGACACAACACTAAGACTTGATTTGATGCTAAGCAAGTAGCCGAGACTGCTGACACCGACTAGAAAATCTGCCACGGACAAACTCAGCAAAAAGCGATGGCTTTTACGCTTGCGGATCTCACGTCTTTTGATAAAAGTCAGGATGATTAGGCCATTGAAAAGAATGACGAAAACACCAACCATTCCGAAAATCAGTGTGAAAGGCAATGGGGTAGAATTCGACTTGGGCAAGTAAAGTTTCCCGTGTGAAGCGTTTATAGATCGTCCTGGCCCTTGCAACACGGCTTCTACAGTCCTGGAATTGTTTGACATTATGGACAACAATAATAAACTCTTCTGATCGAAGCTCCGCGATATCTTAGTGGTGCAGCTGTCCCTTGTTACATCAAAATGCTTTGCCAAACAATTGTGATCTTAGTGTGCAGTGAAAATAAGTATTCCCTTTTATGCCCAATCCTAAAGACAAATGTGAGAAAATAGTCAATTCTGAAGCACATTAATTGAACTCGTTATTTACACCAACAAACCACTTATAAAATGATGTAATATACTTGGCGAAATGTTTCAATTAAGCGCAAAATAGGCAAAATGATTGAATGAGGACAATGAACCAACAGGTTAAGGATTGTGGTGAAGCATAACGAGCTTGATAAACGATTTAGTAGTTCAATGCCTTCATGAACAACATGTGATCAAAGTATTATTCATAGAGACTGCAAACAGGTACGAGCCAGTTGCATACCCGTCAAGATTTTCCATCATGACGTCATACAATTTCTTATTATTTCCAAGCACTGAATGACATTCAGTGAATGTCAACCACGAACTCTTCATCTCGTCCTTTCTTGGTATAAACAATGTCGTGAAATGTATAGCTATTCTAAGTGAGAAGAATTCCTAAAGCTTGTCCGCTATGCCAATGAGAGGTGAACTTGTCATTTGATTTCTCAGACAATGTTTCACTAAGAGCAGTTTCTTTCTTTGCTTAGAACCACTCTCAAATGAATAAAAAGTCTAAAGTATGATTCTGGACTTTGTTTAGCAAAATTCTCAAATTCTATATGAGAGAACTAAACTGCAAAACGAAGTTGCTTTAATGGTTCACAGCGGTGCAGCATCGGTAAATGATTGTGAAATTTATCAGGTCAAAAGTTGATCATATTTCTTTTATTAGTTCTTTCTTTTATTTTTTCAGCAACTGGAGAAAAGCAAACATATAACTGTATGAATACATCATAATGGTTACCTACAAAGTTTCGTAAACTATAAAAAATCATCGCAATTCGTCGCAGATGTTTGAAAAACGTATTAAAACCAACAATGACGTAAAACAGCAATCTTGCAAGCAATCAAGTATTTTACTGTATCGCAACAGACCAAAATGACCACAAATTCTTAAAGAAAATGATGCCGCCTGAATATTTAACTTAGAGATTAGGAATAATCTGCTTTGGTTGCATCTTATGCAAAATCCTTGATATATCAACCCTGTTTCTTTAGGCAAGATACAAATAAGATCTTAAGACTCCTACGTTCAATCTACGTAAACAGTATGCTTCACAAAGTCACTCATTAGCGCCTTGGTTTAAGCCTAGCCATCTGATGCATCTCTATAGTGTTCTGTTATCACCAGAAGCAACACCTGTCGAAAATATGAATTAATTATTCATTGATTTGACGAATGTTCTTGTTATGATTAAAAAAGAAATGCCAACTTAAAATTTACGCCTCCTATTCACCTGGTACATTCATTTGAGGTGTGTCTTTGTAAGCATGGTGATATGATAAGTTGCTAGAGAGCCTCATGTATTAGGAAGCTTCGCGTATTTGAAAGCTTTTGGTCTAACGTCAGTAATCAAATTGGACATAGCCCTTTTAATACAAACCAGCTGTGTTTCCTCAACATTATTTTTTACTAATGCATCCTATTGAATTATACGGAATTGAAGCTATCATCACAAGATTGAAAATAGTCGTAATAAAACAGCCCCCTTTTTTTTATTTTTTGCATACACATTCTTTTTTATAAGAACAATTTTATACGAAAACGAGCCACAAAATCGGTAAAAAGTTTTGAACAAATTAAGAACAATTTTTTGAGAAAAATTAAGAACATCTAGCCTGAATTTAATTTACTGGTTCCTATAAAAAAAAGTGTAGAAACAAAATTATTGACCTCCTTAACTTTAAACTGGCCAATTTGATATCTTTCTTTAAAAAAGTTTATAGTAACTATTTAGGCTAGGTAGATTTCAGTGCTCCAAAAAAGATGTCGATGTATTTTGAACGGAAATCCTGAAAAAACAAGCTACTGCATAAAAGGTACATTCAAGCCGTCACACAAACTATTAAACACCAATGCATTTGTCCTCGGAAACGGGAGAAGGACCTTTCAAGCTCTCAAGATGAGATCAAATATCTTGGCATCAAAATTTATACTCAACTATCTTAGTAAAAGCACATTATATTCCTGAAAACACTATATGATTCTTTTGTGTATTCAAAAATAAGCTACTTCATTGAGGCCTATAGTCTGGCAAAAAATTTTAGCCTAAACAAAACACTTCAAAGATTTGCAAACAGATTACAGAATCAATGTAATATTCTTCTTCTGTTGTATACGAATAGAACTTGGCTCTGGTGTGCCGTGGAGGGACCCGAACCCCTAATAATTTACGAAGATTTAATCCTTTTAGCCACTTTATCGACATCATAGGGTTATATATACTATACCAAAAAAGTGATTGTGCGCTCAGTCACAAACTATATGTGCTATATCTAGCTTATTCCTCATAGAGACAGCAAATCTGGAGAGATATGGTAGGGTGATGGAGTAGAATGTTGTGAGAAGGCAACGAAATGTGGCAACGAAATGTGGCAACGAAATGTGGCAACGAAATGTGGCAACGAAATGTGGCAACGAAATGTGGCAACGAAATGTGGCAACGAAGCGAAATATATTTACGTAAGCTACAATACAGAATCCATTTTTCAATGCGAAGAACGCAAAAACGAACTCCCAACAGTTCGGAATATTCAGCTCTGTTTTCTGATACAAATTATTCAATTACTGCAAAAATTTATTGGCAACTCTTACTGGTTTAACCGGTTTTTCTTGTTTATTTGACTCGTTACAGCATAAAGGAACTATAGTTTTAATTCCTCTTGGGAAGCTGACGGGCCAGACGCTTAAGGAGTTTTTTCAATTGCATAATCAACGAGGCGTGAACTGAACAGCCTAAACAATAGTGAGCTGGTGTAAAAAACAAACAATAAGGGAATTATGAAATCAATAGGGAGGGGCTAATCAATGCCCTTTGAAGTCAATGCCTGCTTATTGTTGAATAAATCATATATTAAATCCTTCAATAGCAGAAAGGGACTAATAGCTTCGCTAGTGAAACTACCTCTGCAATAATTTATCATGATCATGATACTTTCAGCATCATTCTTATCAAATAATTCATATGATGAAAATATCAAAATTTAATATAAATCAAAACTTTCAGCTAACAATGACCGACCGACAAATCAATCTATAAAATAAAAATAAAATTCCTTCAAGAGTGACAAACATTATTTTATGAAACTTCATAAAAACTTGCTGAAATGGTCCATCTTAACTACCTATCACAAGCTATTCATGAAAAATTTGATTTGAGAAACAAACCAGTAACCAGCAGTGTCGATTGGCTGAAACATGCATATATGATTGGATCTTTTTACGATTTATCAATTTACCGAGAATAAGCAAATTCACTTGCACTTATGCAAAACCCTTACCTTCATCAAACGACCCGGCGTTCTTGCAATGCAGCTTGGCCCCTGTGCAGCAAAGCCTACACGCAAGATAAAATGCACGGAGGCCTCCAAAGCGTTTTTCAAACGAAATCTCTTTTCAAGTCAATAGATGTTTACGATGATTTCACGTGGAGACAATGATTTTGACAAATTATTGAAACCTACTATTTGGTTTTCAATACAAGAGGTGCACTTTGATGCAGCTACGTATGACAAATCTCACGATATTTATGCTACAAACCTCTTGACAGCAAGATGAAGCTGCGATTCCGACTCTTTCAAATAAAATGATCTTGTGAAATGAGTAATAAGCGTCCTTTTAGAAAATTGAATGCAACCAGCAGACGGCGAATAACAATAACCCTTGATCAGACAATCGCTGCAGGCTTATATTCCCAACGGTGATGTGAGCTAAATCAATTATTCATGCATGCTGCATACTTGACTTAACAAAAAGATAAGAATATAATTTTCGGATTTATTAGCATTCATCAAAATGCTGCAACAGCGATTTGGATCGCGTTTTCCAAGGAACTTCATCCAACCACTAACTTGTTTTCATGCCATAAAGCAATCATTCCCAATAAACTGGCTCAGTTCCTTTGGAGATAAAATTTTACTCATCTTTTCTTTTCACCTGCATCATTCATTCAGCATGTTTTGTAACAGTCTCAAACTGAAACAAGCGCAAAAGGACGTCAATATCTGAAGCAAGCACTCATTCTTTGGCCTATAACACGCATTTGTTTTCATTTCTAAGAGGAAGCAAACACATTAAAAGAAACAAGACAACTCTTAAAAACTAAAGTTTTGCGATCTGTTATTTGCGTGAAGCTTGTTCATTTCGTCTTGTGTTTCACACAGCTTCAATCTCCATTATAATTCCTTGGCAGCGTTGTCCTACCTAAGCAAAACATTGACCTTGCCTTTGTCTTGGCCATATGCGTTAAGAAATGTACCATATGCGATAAGAAATGAATGCTTTCCAATTTACACCAATTATTGCTGTTCAAGACTGTACAAAAACTTATTTTAATATTGAATTATTAATTTCAACACTGATGAGTGTCTATGAATGAAAATTAAAAGCTTAATGAAGAACGAAATGAATAAATTAACTCGCTTTTCAACTTCCTTGATAACTTGTCTTGACATCACGAAATTCCGTCAACATTTTAACACCACTGGGAACATTTTTGAAGCAAGGAAGGAAATAATGCATGGTTTTGCTCTTCTAATGCACGTAAGGAAAACATTAGATTTTCTAGAACCTCTGCAAGGCACATCAAGAATTTAAAAAATGTAACAATAATTTTTCTTATCAACATAAAGTAGTATAATCTTATCTTGATCTAATTAAATGATGAAATGGAGGTGTACAACTTTGCTGGCATTCGAATCTTGAAATACCTTTTATAGGTATGAAAATAATACGTTGAGCATAATCAGTGATTTTCCTCTAAAATGACGCTACGGCTGCAACAGTAATATGGCATCAAAGATGCTTAGTAAAATGCCTCTCGTTTCTTTTTAGATTGATGGAGAGTGCTAGTGAGTGCTAGTGTGGTGGAAACAGCGCCAGATATGTGGAGTCGCGAAGTAGAAACAAGTTGCCAAAATGTCAACAAGTATATTCTGGTACAAGAATGCATTGTATTGGATCGAGGGGAGATCCACTCTTGCAATTAGCGTACAAGATCTCCACCAAAACAAAGGCATTTACAGACAAAAAATTGGAATTCTACCAAAGATTTTTTATACAAGATATTCCATGGAGTAATTTGTCCCTCTTGCCTAACTAGAAGTCCTTGGCAGAGAACGTGGAAGAAGGAAGAGATTAATTCTATGCAGAGACAGCCATTTATGACGCATTAATACGTTAAGCAAACTCCAAATTCACCATAGAAATAGGTTTTTATGAATTAAAAAGAGAAAGACGGAGTGAGTATGACTAGAACTAAAACTAGAAGGAAGCAAAATTATGAAGAGAGATGAGTTTTATTGCAAATCTTTTTGAATGTAGAAGACTTGAAATAATGCAATCATTGGAGGATTTTTGAAAAACAGACAATGACAGATCTCCTATGCTAAATGAAAAGCGTGGAAATCCACAATCAACACATTTAAGATGACAGAATGTGTACAAAGCGGAACAAAAGTTGTTGATATAAATTTTCTAGTACTCTAATGAACTCTTTGTAAATATCGTCATTGACTTTTTTGTGCTCAAAGATTAGAAAACCTAAATGCACCTAACAAGCTTGTCTGCTGCAGAGAACCGAATATCTTAGAACCATTTGTTGTTAAAAAGGGGATTACTTAACGAAGGCCTTTGCAAAAAAACAAAGATGCACAGCTGTAAATTCCGTTGAGCATTATAAGGAAAATCTTCCTCCTACTGCGTGTCTCAAATGACGGATATTATGAATTATTTAACTTGACATAGAACCTTTCTTTTGCAAAAAAACTTCTCTTTGAGTTATATGTGAGTTATAAACTTTAATAAAATGTCTAAAGGCTTTGTTGATATGAAAGTTTAGAATTTCTCATTAGAATACTAAATCTAGAAAAGCATGGCTCACATTTTTGACAACAGTCCAATTATTAAAGTTCTTCTTAAGCAGAATTCTGACTGATTTTGATTTCCACATCAACTCTCTCCAATTGACTTCAGATAAAACCTGTTAAAAAGATAGAAAAGGATATTTACATAGATCAACTGAGATAGAAGGAATTTGTTGTTCAAGGAAATAATGTAGTCTTCAAAGGTTGGTTTGGTAGAGGAATGCCGTTGTGGTCGTATTTAGATGCTTGATTTTACTAGAGTATGTGTAAGGAAAAACACAAAAAAATGTAATAACATATTTTCTTGAGGTGCAAAAGTATTTTTAACTAAGCTGATGAAAGCAAACAGAAAATAAATCTAGAAAGTAAAATGAAATCATTATTTTAACAATTCTAAAATAATATATTGTTATAATGAAACTTTTCAAGAATGACTTGAAGTGGTGATTTTCAAACATTTGTCTGTTGACAAGGCATCAGACTGTTGAAGACAAATGATTAAGAAATCAGACACAAAACACAAACACCCTTAGTGGAAATTAATGCTGATAAGATCCAGGGTAATCACTGGCAGTTTGATGATAGATTTTGTTATTAAATTGAGAGCTAAACTGGTTGAACTGGTCACGTAGAGAGCTAAACAAAGAATACATCCTTGTAACGATGTATAACGATGTATAAGATTAGTAGTAACGTTAAATTGAAAGATTAGAAATATGTTTAAAGGTGCAAGTCACAAAAAGCAAAGGCAAATGTGGCAACCAAACCCTAGAATCACGGAATGGATAGCTGCTTTTTTTACGCTTAAATATATTCAAGGTAATTCTAGTGATAGCAGAAAAATTGCCGAATATCGCAAGGACAGACGAAAATGAGAAGGCTTTGGTTTCCAGATGTTCTTTTTAAGAGGCTTACTACAGTGGCCAAAGAGCATTTTGTAGGTAAAGAAAGGAAGAGAAAAATTATTTTCTTCTCCATTTCGTACCACAAATCTTGAAAATTCAACATAATTAAACAAGTTGGCGGTTTTTGTGTGTTTTTTCGACAGTTAGGTTGAAAAATATGGATCAAATTATGTCCAAAGACTCATAAAGGATCAGCTTGTAAACTAAAAATTTAACAATATAGATTAAATACTAAGCAACAATGCGCTTGGTAGAAAAACGAAATTGAGTATTTTAGCAACATATTTGTAGTCAAAGGCTGAGATTAATAAAAAAGACAGTTTTCTGATATAATGAAATATTAACATGATTACAACTGCGAATATTTCTCATCAAGTTAAAATTAAGGAAAAATGAATGTCTGTTCAAGTTAATTAAATCCATATGAAAATTTGATCCAAATCTTATTTAGATTTTAATGATGGCTCATATGTGACTGCGTATTGAAATCAACTGAGTTAAAGCTTGCCATTTCGCAATATCACCTTGAGAATGAACAATTCTTGTTGATTTTGGAGCTATAAATATTGCTTGGAGTTTGGAAAGCAATGGTCTTTCAATAGAACATGACAGACATTGCAGATGGTTTGTCTAGAAGCACCATGGAAATTTTGAGACCAGCAAACCATAGATTGACCAAGATCAGCCATAACAACAAAGTAAGAAAAGACACCGAATGTTCAACATAGAGATTAACAGGCAAGAAATGAGAGGCGTTAGGCCCATACAAATCCATCACCCAAAAAGTGATTGACCGCAAACAAATAAAAACTTGACTAGCTTCATCAGTGGAAGAAAAAGATGGAGAAATAGGCTCCCCGCATGTTTAAGCTCGAGCAAAATAAGTCTGAGCTTTATTGAGATGAAAGCCATTACAGTGATCAAGAATATGATGCCATTTGTTTATGCTAATGCTTCAATTCACCTCTGGTTGCAAACAATAATCAAAACTATCATGAAAAAGGGCACAAGTTCTAGAAAAATATGTCTGCAATATGTTTCTATCGATTCGTTTATCACTGTAGCGTTTAAAAAGACGTTTGCTTCTCCAGGAAAAAGAGATTGGCGCAGCATTAGAAAAGTCTAAAGATAATAGCACAAGGTAGTTTCGAATTCAGCCATTTGGAGGCTTTCAGAAAATTCAGCTTCTAAAATTTCGCTGGCTAACAAGATAATACTTACTTTGTGTCTTTAATTTGTTGTTCAATTCGTTCCTATAAACGCAACAAAAAAGTGTGATCATCACAAACGTAACACAAATGTGAAGGTATATTTACTTAAGAACTCAATTGTGGTTAACAAATCGTTCTTTTTACAGCTATACAAGTTAATAGACCTTCAACCTGAAAGAAATTCTAGGAAAAGAAAATATAAATCTCCATAAAGGTATATCTTATAAATCATATGAAGGATATATAGATGTAAAGATATTGCTTCACAAAATACCATCTTCTTGTATTGTATAAACAAAAACGGAATTATGTAAAATGTGCAAACCTTGTGTGAATCGGATTTGACTTTTGATAACTTCTGTTTGAGATCATCAAGAAAAGCTCTTGCCCCGATTGGATTATGCCAGACGCGGATTGTTCGGTCTGATGACCCTGATGAGATCAACATTCGAGAATCCGGACTCCAAGTTAAGCAGTTTATTTCATCTGCAATGTAAGATGTTTATCCTTAGAGCGGCCAAAGCAAAGTCAGTAAAAGACTAGATAAACGTCACCGGTTTAGATTATGCTTTAATCAACACCCATGAAATAAAAAGATCTTTTTCAACAATTTAATTGGAGAAAAGGATGAAATATACTTTATATTGGGCAAGGCTAAGGTTAGGATCAAGGCAAGGATGGATAGCTGTAAGGTAACTAACTGGCGTTGTGAAAAAATTATCGCTAGGAAAATTATGTCCCTTGGATTGGTTTATAATCAAAATTTGTAGTTTAATTAGAATAAAAGAATTTATTAGAGAACTGTTGCAAGTTTAGGTACGAAAATGCAGCATAATTACACACAAAGAATGCAAGACAGGCAGAAGTAAGGTACAAAGCACATTGATCATCACAGACATTCTATCAGTAGGTAAGGCAATTCCCCAAGAGCTTGTTTAACAGTGCTAAAAAGCCCCCCCCCCCCCTTGACTGCTTAAAACAACACCCAAGAAAAGATCCTCGGGGAAATAGGGACTGCTTTACTCAATTAAAAGTAGCTAGCTTTTTGAAGGATAAAACTTTACTTTATTGGAACACCAACAACCAACATGACCATTGTGCCAAACAATATCTTGTTCAGTTTTTAAAGTGCTAGCCCTGCGTGAACTGGAGAACACCTCTATTATTACACGCGTTTGAAAGTCTTAGATCGCAGCAAAACGGTCGACACAACTATATAGCAAAAAGGTGTATGTTCTACCTCCATGGACATCCTCCAAAAGGTCAGATGTGTCCTTCGCAATCGTGTCAATCAAAATAAAAGACTTTCCGTTGGCAATGGCAACTGTAAAAGCATCAGGGGATATTGAAATTGATCCGGCATCGAGTTTGATAGGTTCGGGAAAATATGACGCGTAAGAGCCTGTGAAGAGCAGATAAGCTTCTTGGCCTTGTTGGTAGTTGACTGTGAAAAGAAAGAAGAAAAAATGGTAGAATGACTGACAAATAGAGAGACCAACATTTCTACCCAACATTATTGAGATTTTGGGTGCTGTACTGGTTTTCCCGGGGATTAAGAAAGGCTTCGTGCAAAAAGGTATGAATAAAATTGAAACAGAAAGATAAATATACAACAGTATTCCCTTAATTTTTCTGCAGTTCTGATATTGGCAGACATCATTGGGTACATGCGTTGTACGCACTTCATATTGCGCAATATCATATTATCTGGCTTCTAGCAAACTTTCACAAATTTCAGGCTCAAATTCCAAGTTTTGGTAGCAAAAATTACAATTCTTGATTTCAAACAGATGCCTAGCTTCTAATAGCCTAAATATCCTTTAATTAGATATGAACACACAGCAAAACTGGCATTAAGAAAATATTTAAACAAACTCTTGGATTCGCTTTAGCGGCTCTTTTAAATCGCTTTCAACGACGTCGTCAATATGGTGTTTAAATATATTCATTCCATTAAATATTCTGCACGTTTTAAAGCCAAAATTAATCCTTGGTTGCTATAACCACTCAAAAGTGCAACGAAAAAAATAATCTCTAATTATTGACAATCATTTGTTTGTTTTGTCTGTTTCCACATTGATCAACGAAACCTTAAAACTTTGCTTCAAATTAATCTCCTCTTCAATTAAAACAGCGTAAAAATGATCATTTCTAAATGTATGACCAAAATGTTCGCTGAATATTGTCATACCATCAACATCCCATAATTTCCAAGTTCCGTCTTTTGACATGGAGGCAACTCTAAAGGTAATCGTAAGGTTGGTAATCAAGTATAGGTAATATCAAGCTGGCTAACATATTACCTAGAACAACAATCGTTACTGAATGAAAAGCTTCTAATATTAGAGTTTGATTTCGCATTAGGGTGTGAAAGCGTGTGTTTCTTCGTGTAACTTAGGGTCCCCAACTAGAGTAACAAATTAAAAGACAACAGAAAAAATACAAGCATTCCAGACCTTGTCTGTAGACCGCACTGATGTTACTTGGGAATTACACAATATACTTTACGTTGCATTTATCTGGTTCCCTTAAAAAGATCGAATCCTAGAGAAGATCGACGAGTCTTGCTTTTATAAGTAGAAACATTTAGAGTTAACTCAATCAACTTAGCTATGAGAAGAATTAATGCCAATGACAGATGTTATCCTCACAAGTGGTAAACTGACCTTTTTGAATCATCAGAGAATGAGAACGAGTGCACTGCGGCTGAGTGGCCTTTAAGTTCCAAAGCGCGGGAAACCTGGAAAATGAAGATTTGTTGAAGGTTCGTTATTAATGTCAGTCGGATGAGTCAGATATACTGTCTGTATGTAAGAAATCACGCTTGTCTTACTCTCAGTAGGGATACTAGAACTAGTCTTAGCCAACAAAAGTAGTTCCTTACCTACAATCTTGCCATCAATTTCAATTGTGTCTATATATCTTTCGATTCTTTTCCCGAATACCTATTGTTATGTCTATAGTATAGACAAATATCATACAGGTCACCGGAAAAATGTGCTCCCTAACCCCTTACGTTGCTTTGTAGTGAACCAACAGAAGAGGGATGGCTGAATTTGCCTATGGAAACTGATGATAGTGAACCAAGACTTTTGGCAGCCATTGTAGTTACTGGGTAGACTGAGGCCTGTGTCTAAATTATAAACCAAGCCTGGATTCGAACCTTCTTAGTCAAGAAGCCATTTAAGGTCACTTAACTTCAGCTAATGTTTAATATACCATCCAATTCGAAAAACTGTCATGCATATGATTTGGTGCTTATAACTGGCAACAACACTTTTCATCAAATTTTACAAAGTATAATAAATAAATCTAATTCTCAGTTTTATTTACAAAAAATGTAATAAATGGTCAGAAGTAAAATAAAAAACAAATATTTTTAAAATAATACTTAGCAGTGTTTCACAGAAAATTATGACTATCAAACGATTTTCTTTGTTGATGGTTTATCAAACAATTCAGAAAGATGCCTGTTCTTACAAATTCTCACCTGCTTGAAGCTTCCATTCCCTTTGTCAAACTCAACACTCCACATTTTGATATCCGATGCAAATCCTTAAAATTTCAACAAGATATAATTATTAACACGTGAGTAGACAGTACTCGACCAGCAAGTTGACAAAAAAACGTGGAAGAACTCAGTCGAGGAGGAAACAAGGAAACCTAACATTTGTTAAGGAAATGATTACAAAATAAAATACATGATGAACACTCACACCCCTTGTGCGCAATAATTGTCAAAAGTAGCAAGGACAACCAAATACCTGATGCTGCAACCAATGTACCAGATGGAGATACCCTTGCATGAGAATTATAGATCAGAAGTGTGTCAATTTTGGCTAGAACTTCACCTGTGGCAAAATAGACAGATCACATACTACACATCCAAGGTAGGTTGAAAATCCTACACAAAGAAAAATTCAAGTTAAAGTCATTATCCACTTGTTAGTCTATCGATCATTAAAGAATCCTCTTGCTAGCAGTTAAAAACAATACAAAAACTTAACAAAAACTTTGATATTCTGCTGAAAAGCAAAAACAATTATAAAAACAGACAGGTAAGAAGCTGTGGTTAGACTCAGACTATACTGCAGCATAAGTGTAGCCAGATTATTTTGAAGCAAAAAGCAATGGGTAATCTTAAGAACAAAATACTATTAGATCCCGAATAAGGGGAGGGGGGTCAAAATAAGTGGGGGGGGGGCTAGAAATTTGGTGTAAAAGAGTACCAGGCAGTGTTAACAGAAAATACCCGTAAACATCAAGATGATAGTTTCAAAACAGAACAGAACAATAATGTTCTACTACTTTTACCAATCAACTTAGCCTTTTTGGCGGGCTCTCCTACAAAAATTGAAAATTTAATAAGTGGGGGGGGGAGGGTTCCTAAATAAGAGCAGTGGGGTCAGAAACTTATTTGAAAACAAATAAGCAGGGGACAATTATGCGGGAATTAAGAGTACAAACCTTTCAAAGACCAAATAATGATTGTGGTGTCTTTGCTAGCTGACATTATAAATTTTCCGGTGGAGGAAATCCCAACATCTATGATCTCAGTCTTATGAATCTTTGGAAAATCATTTTCTGTATCTGATGAAACAGATGCCAATCCATCTTTCTTTTTGGATATTTTGAAAATTCTAATTGTGTTATCCACCGCAAGTGATGATACAAAAGCTCTGAAGAAATAGAGTGACATTGTCAACTATCAAGCAAAAAAAAGGTTAACAAAATTTGAAAATAACTTTAAGGGAATTAATTTTCACATAATTTTCGAAAGGACTTCTAAAAATAAAGAAACCAGAAGATTTTTTGTTACAATACATTGATGTGATTTCACCACTAAAACAGATAAATTTTCTTTTCAAACAATAATGTTACACTGGTCTTTGCATAATGGACGAATGAATGATTATATGAATAAGTAAACTAATTAGTTTCTGAATAAAGTAAACAACTAAATAAAGATGGATGAATAAATAAACTAAGTAATTAATTAGTGAATGATTGAATGGATAAATGAAAAAACTGTTTCTTCAGTGGTATATTTTGAGGAAAAATAGAAAAACCCACTAATAACAGGATAACTGAAATGCAAATACAAGCTCACCTTGAATCAGGGCTGAATGAAACTGCATTGGCATGATCTAAGTCAACATTTGCTCTTACGTACCTTTTTGAAAATAAATATGATACAATTACAGCAATCCTAAATTATTAATTTTCTTGTATGTACATCTTTTAAAAAGACATTTTAGACTTTTTTGTCTGACCAAGAATTCCTATCGCTGAGATAGACTTCTGATGTCTAAAACACTCAGGTTGGTGTTTATTAAAATAAAATGTTACTTTCTGTTAAAACAAGGTTACTTCGTAAGGATCAACAACCATAGATTAATGGAATTTTAGAGAAAATATCAGTTACAGAAAAAGCTTACTTGTGATCTTTCTTGTCAAAATCTTTTGCTGTCCACAACCTGACTGTTCTGTCTGCAAGAAAAGCAAGAGCTGTAATATCTGTTGCACTCAAATCTTTTTAATACATATTACTAACTACCTCTATCTATTCATCTTTACAGTTCTGTTGTTTACATCTGCTAATCTTGCTTTACTGCAAAAGTTCCATAAGTAATTTGACAATATACAAAAAGCAGAGCTATCTTGAAATATTGTTCAATAAATTATGGTTTAGATGAAATTAGACTGGATTCTTATAGTCACAATACATATCAAATTAATTCAATTTTTCATAACACAAACTTCAAGCTATATCAGGAAATAGCCTTTGTGCTAACCAATTTAATGCCATACAAGGGACCTACATGGCAGATTAAAATCAGCCTTAATCAGCCATATCTCAAAAATCTTTCAACAGGTGATGAAATTGCAATATATGCTATTTTTTTAAGCTAAAAATGACGTTGCAAATCTATTGATTCCATATTTGCTCACACATGAAGCTTACTTTTAGATTATTCAATAAAGATAGTTTATAGGTAAACCGCACATATTTTAATGCTTTCATTTCTATCCAATTGCACATTAATTGTTTAAAAATATACAATTTTCTTACATTAACTAAAGCACTTGATTATGCTTTTCTGAGGATGTTTTTAGAGAATTTATGTGAATAATTTTATTGCAGCTAATACATTAAGTTTTTTGTTTCAATATTGAAATGAAAAATGAAAGTCTTCAGCAACTGATTCTGCTAAGCTTTTTACAAAGTTTAACCTAGCTGATCTGCTTAAAACAAAATAATCTCATAAAAAAAGACTTGTAGTAGTATTTCCTGGACTTTTTGGGACCCCTTCATAAACATACCTTTTGCTTATAAGCAAATGAATTATAAACACTCTAGACTTAGAATTCCAAAACTAAAAAACTGATAATGTTGTGTGATGAAAATATAAAAAGTTGATTCAATTTTTCTAAATGTAACTTTTTTGTCATTTTCATTTCCTGCCAGAAATAATAATTTCCTATCTAAAATGTAAAAAGTGGGCCCCATTCACCAATTTTTTCAGCAAATTACACAATAAGTTTGAGAGTTTGTCCCTTACCTTCAGAGCAAGAACCAAGATAGGTTCCACATTTGCTAAACTCCAGATGTGTCACTCTTCCTGTGTGTCCTTTCAATGTAGTAAGCAACATGGGGTGGGAAAGAACAACATCTTTCGACTTAGTCTTGAACTTTTCTTTAGTAGAACTCTTTTTCCCTCCAGTATTTACATTGTCAGCTTCATTCTTTTCAGCTTTTAGATCTTCCTGTTTGCCATTTTCTTCCTTTTCGTCACCAGAAGACTTCTTCTTGTTAAAGATAACCAAAATGGCTAGGACAAACGCCCCCAAAAATGCAGTTAATGCCAATATCGAAATAACCTGGGAACCATCTACAGTATCGTCACCCATCGTTAAAGACAATGACCTTAGTGGATACAGAACTAACACAGAAAAAAACTCAAAGCGTCGGCAAGTAACACAAAAATCTAAAAGTACATATGAAGTATCAAATGGCCTAAATTGTCATCGTGTTGATGTCTCGTTTCCAGGTTGAGGCTTGACTTGTTAGCGTGAACCTATCAAAACTCTTGAGGAAAGGGCTCTGTTTCTATCTTCCATGTTCACTTGTTCCATCTTCAGAAAGAAATAATTACACCGTTCAGTCACCTTCTACGAGATTGCCTATAAATATTTCCTTCGAAATCTTACACCAAAAAGCATATTGTAGCAAGATAGATGTAAACAGGCTTTGAACATAAACACCTTTTTACCAAACACTTTGGAGTAAATGTAACTGGACAGACTTGGACAGAAAGAACTTCGAGGTTGTGTACAAATACAATGTATCAATTGTCGCATTTACAAATTATGTATTCCCGCGTTAATCTTACAAAATACTTTAGGTCGAAAATAGTTGCAAGCTATTTTGAAAAATCTGAATAGTATTCAAATGAATTAGTGTTGAAAGATAAACATACGAATTTACAAGAATGTATGCATAATAAGAAGAATGCAAGTACGAAACCATGTCATAAAACCCTAATTATCAAACGTTAAAGACACATTGCTGACAATGGGCCTTTGCGAGCGTGGCGACGATCCAAACAATGGCAGTAAACTTCTACAGATGAACCAAAATTGTTTGAAAATGCATTATGGGATGCTTGCGTAGCGCAATGGCTCATTGTTAGCAGTGAGTCTTTAAGAAACCATCTATGGGAGGTTCAGAAAACGTGACAAGAAGATTGAGGGATGGGATATGGGAAGATGCAAACTGAAGTCGGTTTCATAACCCAGAATTATTGGAAAAGGAATTAAATTTGATATAAACCGATAGTTTCAATATAAGTAGTTACAATCTAAAATTGTACGATAAAATGCCAAATCCAAGATGCTATTGCTAGCTTTTTGCTCCTTAGACAGAATTGAAAAGAATTAACAAAGAGCCTCTTGTCAGTACACCATCATGGAATCCATTTAAAAAAACAAATGAAACATGAACAGCTGTGCTGGGAATCATTGAGTAAGCTCTAATCCAATGTGATTTAAAGAAAACGTCCTTGGAGTTATTCTTACTGGATAACTCTTTGCGGTATCACATAATTTAAGTCTACAAAGTGTCGAAGACAAAAGCATAATCTAAAATTGATACTCTTGTAGCAACAAATACATCTGACCCAAAACTATAAGCCCAAAGCGAAAAGTTCATGATAGGAAGATCAACAGACTTAAGTGTTTTGATCAATGAGTCATTAATATACATTGGCTTGGGTAAAAAGCATAAAGCATAATGTTTAAGCTCAAACCGGTGCTTCTTGAACCTTGTTCGTCTCCCCTAACATGTTCAGTGATCTACTACAAATAAACTAAAAGATGATGAAACGAATACTGAAAAAACAATGTGATGGAAGAAGACCTAATATGTTACATAGAAATGGGAAATGCTCAAAAGGACCGTGATAGTGACGATGATTGACAGTTATGATGACTGACAGGTGGCGATAATGACTGATTTGTGATGACCTTGAAAATCATTATGATGATGATGATAATGACATATAATCAATGGAAAATACATCGGATATACAAATTTAAACTGCACGAAGAAGACAAGCGAGGAAGTGGGTATGAATGTACACAACCATCTACTTACGGCTCTAAAAACTTCACTCACAGTTGTCAACATGCAACGGTGCTCGAAGTTTGAAAACAACGGCAAAAAGAGACTACCCAACTTTATAACAAATCGGACAACTCAAATTCATAATAATGGATGAAAAAGTGCAATACAGTGCACGAAGCTTTGATGTTTAGCAGTTTGGAGAAATTTTGATTAGGGGAAAGGTTTGGAAAAACTCTGAAAAACCAAGCAAAAATGAAATGGTTTAAGTTGAATATATGAGAGTGTTGATGAGCAGTAGTTTAATTAGAGCATGCAATGCTTTAAAGAAGCTGAGAGGGTAAAAACATAAGAAAAAATAAAACGACAAAGTGCTGATCTGCGGTTTGCATGAAATAACTGTAATATATGTAGCAAAGTGTTTTGACATCAAGTTGACTGTTTGAAGAAAAAAACGATAAAGAATTAATATATTGATTTCGAGCGGTGGTTTTAGCCCTTTAAAAACTATACTTACTTAACAAGTCAAATCTACACACCGCAGTTTTCGAATTACCAAACCTAGTTTTCAACTACACTAAAAATTAATTCTAACGAGAGAAAATCTAACGCAAAAATTCAAAACAAGTAATTCAAATTCTAATCCACCTCTTCAAGTTCGCTTGGCATGAAGAATGAAAGCGTATGCCAGCGAGTGACTCGTCTGTCAGATTTCTTCATTGTCTCAAACCAGTGCTTTAATGCCTCCCCCCTTGCATTGATCCCCAAAGTCAAGGATCCTATAAAGTAAACAATGTCACTTCACATTCTGCTTTTACTGCATAAACAAACTATTTCCTGCATAAGTTTAACTTCAATAATTTATATTTAAGATTGCATATTCATCAGTTTAATTGAAACAATATTTGTTCTCTCCGTCAAAGGGGTCTATTTTTGCCCAAAATCTGAGACTTCAATTCTTTGTTTGCCCAAAATCTAGAAGAGAATATAGACAGGAGTTTTTGTTTGAACACATCGTCGCAATTCTGTGTATGCTTTTAGCATTGTCTGCAAGGAATATCTGAATATTTTTTTATGCCGTTCAGAACTAGACTAAGACATGTCGTTTTCACCTTCTGACGGATCTCCTGGCATGTTCAAAGAAAGCATTTCAATGAGGTGTTGCTGGAAAATGTAGAAGATGCTGGGGGATGTCAAAATTTCAATTACAAAAAGACAAAGTGCAAAAATACAAGATACGTGCTTATGGAAAGATCAAAGGTTTTATCATAAAGATTTTTGACGGCCCGCTAAAAAGATATCTAAAATTGAGAAAAAACAGAAACGGATGGGTATGTTTGTGTTTACATTGGGAAATGTGTTTAAAAAAAGTTTTTTGAGAAATAAGATTCTAAAAAATTGTTCTTCTGTGTGACAATCCCTTCATAACTAACAGATCAGTACACTTCGAAACAGTGCAGATAAAACTATATTCAACACAGTGATAAAATAAGACAGATAAACGTACCAATGAAGTCATTTTTAGTTCCAACATCATAGTCCCACACTGTTATACACAAGGTTTTCTTGACCAGTTCATCGTGTGATATTTCATAAGTAAATTCCTTGAAAAAAATAGCTTGAGATTTTAGGGGCCTGATGTCCAGCAAACAATCTTTAATGTAAATTCGAGAGTCGAAATATTTTCAAACATATGTTATGGAGCCATTGCAAAAAGCTTGAACTAAAAAGCCCTTACAGGAAGTTATATCCGAATCACTGAGTCAGCAACAAGATTCGTCGAGTGTGGATCGCATTACCAGAATAATACAATAAAATTATTTTTAAAAAACCAAGGCAACATTTAGGACAGTGGAAAAATAGGCTGTAAAAGTAGCAAAACGCCTTCTGATCAATAATATTATTTGCAAAGTTTTTTCTGAGGTGAACATCACTTGATAAAATTCCAGAGACATCAAACAAGAAAAATGCCCCTTGGATATCGGCCTTTCAAAGTCTAAGTTATTTTAAACTTAACTGATTAACTGCATTTAACAAATATTTTAAATCGAGATTTAAAAAGGCTTTCTACAATTAAAAGAAAAGGATTCAAATCGTCAACTTAAAGGGGCAGTGGAGAATAATTTTTACCACAAACCTCATTAAACTCAGGATTCAACGTCTTTTTCTTGATAGCTGTTTTCTTTTTCGACTTTTTCTTTGGGTCTGGTAGAAGGTAGCTGTAAATACGAAATATTAAACTTGATAACAGATCCGAATGAAGGTGAACGAATGAAAAATTACAGTAAAAAATGTACTGAAAAGGAGTTGAAAAGATGGTTGCAGGTTTCGGTAGCTGCGCCGCCTGCGTTTGGCGGAGAAATCTCGGGGGATTACCTCACTTCGGAATTTGTGCCAGGAGGTGCAAAGAAGGTTATTTAACTTACAATATCATTCTGAATTTGAACCAATATTAAGTTAAACTTTATGGAAACATTCGATTTTTATTTTTAAGCAATATCACTGCTATCAATAAAAATCTAGCTACCAGTATATACCCAAATTTCCTATTAAATGACTGCGGAACAATTTGGACGTCACATGATATTCAATATGTGTTTAAGGAACATAGATAAGGAACATAGACTTTTGGCTCACTTCTGTTGCTTCAGACCTCTTTAACAATGAGATGGCATATGATTTCATAAAGAGATTTTCTTGAAGAACCCAGCTCTCTTACCAACAATAAAAATAGGGCTAGTATGCTTATATACAAATAAGGTATACACTATACAGACAGAATATAGACGAGCGACACCAATTAGTACCAAGTCGGACTAAAAGGTGGTGTTTTCGGACCCTATTGACAACAAACAAAGAAAACCCCAACGTGACTTTAAATGGTGTTACACAGAAAATGCCTTGTTTATTTCAATAGGCTGACATTCATTGACGAATCTTCTAACAATATATCTTTAATTCTTATCATTATATGACGTACTTTCATTGAAAGCACAATGTGTCCTAGAGCAAGAAGTCAAGACAAACAGCACCAGTATACAAAGAGAATGCGTAAGCTGGGTGAATTTCCCCATATTATTGCCATTTGTCATCATATTTCAACAGCAGATGTGATGCTTAGAAAACTCCGTTGCAATAAAAACATTGTGAAAACCAGTTGAAACTAAGAAATAGAATCGGCGTCGAATTTCGTTTGCTTAATTTGCAAAGACAGGTGATCAACAGAGAAAAAGATAAGTTTTTCATGGCAACAAATCTCGTTTTTAGGACACGGGATTCGATAAAGTAGACGAAAATCAAATTAAGAAACGCTAGGTGAAGTATGACACAGTTTATCATATGTCCCGTGTTTGCTAGAATGACGACAGAAATGGCCCAAAATGAGCTTAAGTTTTTCAAGGAAAAAGACCTGCAGTACTTGAAAGGTAAAGCTGTATGGAAGATTTAACAAAAACATGGGGCCTAAAAAAAACTTTTAGAAATTGGAACCAGGGCGCATCTAGAGATGGACACTCTAAACTTTGAACACCTCTTTTTCATTGGGTCCACAAAATGCCTCCTTTCCAGTTAGCGTCCCTAAACGTCTCGAACGTTTCACCACATCAATGCTCAGACACAGCATATAAAATTGAAATGCTAACAACCTCCTTGTTAAACCAACTCGTAACCATTATTAGTTCGGTATCTCATTGACGAATCTTTTAAAAGCAACGCTAAAGATGGACCCATTGGCATTCCAATTTCTTAAGACATTATTTCATTTAGATGTCTAAAATATTATAAAAACAGGAAAAGTAGAACAGCATTAGTTTATTATTGTGACTGATTTTCTATTTACATCTCTCAGAATACATGATAACTGATTAGAGAGCTCACCATTTCACATAAGGATCCGAGTACCCATTGGGATCCATCGCCTTGAGACCAGCGCACCTAATGATTCCAACTACAAGCTTTTGTTGCTTCGATAAGTAATGCAGAGCGAGCTCAATTCGGCCTGGGATGTCATCAACGTCGACGATTTCTTCATATGAAATGTCCTGAACAAAATCAAGCTGCTAATAAAATAATATTCGAAATTCTATTGTTGTTTAAGCATTGTCGAATGCAATACTATTGCATTAATGCTTTTCTGGTACTGAAGAATATAGCCAAAACAGTACAAAAAATAGTAGTTATACTTGTCGTCACAAATAACAAAAGACAAATCACGCAAAGAAAACCAAAGAGTATAAACGAAAGACAAAATTACGTCAGACTGTTCATCCAGAAGCCTTCTAAAACGCTGAACTGGCCTATTGATGAGGCTCTTCAACGGCACACAGGTTTCTCCAATAAACGCGTTGCTTGAAAGTTTGTTTTCATCCATTACTGATAACCTGACGATTCAAATTAACATGATTATCACGCACTGGTTGTTAGAGAAACAAAAAACCGAGAACTTACAATTCAATACGTGCTTTGCCTACATCAAAATAAAAGTGCTCAGCATAAAAGAAAAAGATTGGTATACTATAGCAGATTGGTATATTTGTAAATCTTAGGTTTTATGCGTTTGCAATCTTTCCACATTGTCTCAGAAGAAATTGTGGATTTCTTAAGCTTCGTCTAACTAATATATTAATAATAAATTGCAAGCTTGGTTTAACTTGCAAGGAATACAGAATCATTAAAGTGAGAAAAGATAAAATCAAATCGAAAACAGAAGGAGAAAAGCGAGAAATTGCCAGTAAAAAACATCTGACAAATACAGTGAATCACAACTACAAAATTAACAAAGGCTTGTGCTGGATACCTGAGTATCTTTTGCGAAATGTCTTTTTGTGAAATTCCATGGTAAATCAACGTCTCATTGAAAACTGGATTTAAATTCTTCAATACTGTTTGGGTTCTTTTCTTCGTTGACTAAAGAGCAAACAGCAAATACATGAAAAAACGAAGCTGTTAAAACCGTCTTAAAGACTAAACAAATACTTAGAAAAAGGAAACAAATGGGCTGTTCATTGAAGCTACGGTCGATAACAGCTCTTCTTTAAATGGCACTACATAAAAGAACATGCAGACTAGACCTACTAGAGGTAGACCAGATTCAATTAAAGTATTTATCTTCATTCAGGGCAACAACTTTCTGCTACTTTGAAAACATTCCTCACAAACCTAATAAAGGAAGACAGTGTCTTCGCGTGGTCCTTTCAATTTTGTACGAGGTCGATAAGTGTATGACCAACATGCTTTCTGGATTCGTTTAATTTAACACCCTTAACGTGAAAATCTAGATGGGTAAATGTTATGTGAATACTTCTCAGTAGCGTATCGCAAGGTATATTCCATTTCCATGATGCTGCTATTAACTCACAACAGGAAAAACACATCACATAAAGATATAAAAACGAGAAGCCAACAAAATACAAATATCATACAACCCAAACAACAAACTCCTGCTTGATTGCAGTGACAGGCAAGTGAAGGCAATCGGGTGACGTCAACCTTTAAACTAGGATGAGGTCCCTGTTAAACCAGCTATTTTGAGCCAAAATACAAGCTAGAATTCAACCTGACGCTTTACGCATTCTTGTTTCTTTGGGAAAACGTTACCTTAGCAACCAGAAAAATGGACTGTCGGATGACTCAAAATTCATATTAATTCAGAAGCATCCATGATACATGCAGTTCAAAAAGGATTTTCTTCCTACTCAAGGTAGCTTGCTATTAGAAGGTTCCTGAAAATATCAATCCTCTGTTTAAAACAAAAGATATAAAATGCAGAAGGGATGCCTTCTACTTCAAAAACTAAGATGGGATATAAAGGAAATACCTTCAAAGCTCCAGGTAAAAGATGCGCTTTTACATATGGGTCCGAAGACTTCCCATGATCCATTGCCTTCAAACCCTTTCAAAAAACAAGATCCCATTATATGTTGACTTCAAGATACGCCTTCAGAAATATCGGTTTTAAGGTACTGATCGCATTTCGATCAAACAAAACACCTCTTAAACTGGTTATTTAGTTAGTGTCTTAACGGAGTGCCAATTTTTAATTAAATTGATCAAAATTGCAAGAGAGGGCGACAGAAGTATACAGGATTCAGTCAATATCAGTTATGAGAATAAGTCAAAATATAAATATAGGTTAAAATATAGGATCACAAAAATTTAATTTAGTTACAATTATGACTAGCTTTGAAGTTTAGCTAGGCCAGCTTAGGAATTCTACTTGGGGATTTAAAATGTTTCGACTACATCAAAACTTGATTTCTGCAGACACACTCTTGTCTCCACTGCCGATGCTACACTTTCAAGTGGCTTAAAGATTTATTGATTCAAAAAGTGGTTATAAAATTTAGCATTTAACTTTGGTGCCTTTTTAAGAGTAGTCAAACCGAGGTAACGGTAGGCCGGTGGCGGCGCCAAGTGTTATGGTGGGGTAAATTACCCCCCAATTTTGTCAAAACATGGTCTGCATAGTCTATCTAGAAACTGATTAAAAAACGTTAGGTAGAGGTAGATCCTATTTCCACCTGAGGAAAATTCAACTGAAACGGGACAAAAGGGGTGTGGTCTCACTCATCACGCCCATTCCCCTCCCACTCTGCAGTAGCTGGCGCCGCCACTGGGGTAGGCGAAGATTCAATAGGAACTTGTGGAGATTTTTCGTCGGAGAATGGATCGCAGAATAATCAGCGCATCGATTAAGCTTGTGATGATCAAATGAGCTTAAATATTTGTTTCACACCATCAAAAACGACAAACGCAAGATTTGATTGACCAATAATGTCCTTTAGTAGATGTAAATAGCGATTTTTGACTAGACCGAAAAATCCTTTTAATACAAAACGGTTGAAGGGGAAAAGGTCTCTGTGTCAAAGCCACGTTCAGTGGCGAAGCCAAAGGTCGTGCCCGTCGTGCCCGGCACGACCATAAACTTCCAAAAGTAAGGTTTTCACATATTGGCAAAAATTCATTTTGCTCCGCGAAAAGTTTTCAAATATAGACAAAAATTAGTCGTATAATCGACAAATCGATCAAGCTTATCCCGCAGACATAAGTGAATTCTACTCGAATCGCCCAGGGCCCCTGGAATTATTTCAGGAGCGGAGTAGAAATCCACAGGGTTTCATATTGGTCGTGCCCAAAATCTGGTACCTTGTGATTTGGTCGTGCCCAACAATAGAAGCTTCAATTGGACAGCCTATGTTTGGTCGTGCCCAACAATAGAGAAAAACAATGCTAGTCGTGCCCTCAGAAATGAGCACGACCTCGTCATAATAATAATAATAGTTGAGGTACGATTTCCAGCGTTTGATTGGCTGAAGCTGGAGGAAATCAATCACGAGGTCGTGCCCGTTTCTGAAGGCAAGACTATCTGCACCCTGTATCATTGGGGCCTACTTGTCAATCCTGCAGGCGTTTGTGGATGTTGCTGTGATATTAGGGTGATTTGAATGGTGCATGTAAATGTTCCAGTCCAATAAACCGTTGTAATTTATCAGGAAACTGGTTAACGACTGTAGAGGGATTGTTTCATAGTTATTTTGACTCAGCCTATACGGAATCAATCCAATGGATCTCTTTGGTAGGCGAACAAGTTCTCATTCACCTAAACAGAATCAAGATCTTCAAATGTGCAAGATGCTATCCTATCTAGAAAATGGACAATAATTTGAATATCATCTGGATGTTCAATAATTTGAATATAATCGTGATCAGAATGGAAAATATGGCAGTTTTTCGCTCGGATTTGTACCAGAGAGACGCACACTGAACGGGATAAACTCAATCAATTAATCAATAAAATAATCAATATTTATTTTGACAACAGTATACTTAGGTGTTCAAGACGAAAGTATTATGGACATTTGGGGCAAAACGTACATAAATATCTATTCATTTTACATAAGTTATGAGGTGTTTGATGTATTTTTGGACTAGAATCTTCCCAGTAGAAAGTTCTGAATTTTGAAAGTATTTATAGTAGAAAACCTCTTTGCAAATTAGCTCTACTGGAGTTTTACCCTCCTTAAAGCACGTGAAAGGGAAAAATGAAAAAGCATTGATCAACCTGTTGATGATTTTGTTTATGTTTCTGATGATATGTTTTCAAGCTCAGCCTAGTGATTTTCTGATTTTTTCCCTTGCTTTCCATGTAATTTGGTTGTGTGCAGTTTCCTTGGGTGTGTTTGTCTTAAATAAGCAGGGTGAAATAATCTTTAAGCTATTACACATACCCCTTAATTTTTTGCTCAAGAAACACTGTTGTCTGCAAATAACTCTCAGGCTAATGATTATTCTGTATTAAATTTGTGACCCCAGTCATCTGATCTCAGTATTTCCACCTAGCTGGACACTGAAGAAATTTATTGAACATTCTTCATTTGTGAATGCTGCCCTGTTTATTCAAAAATTGTCATGATCTGTTTTTCAATGATTAATTTAATGCTGCTTTTCAATTGGAGTTTTATTCAAACCTTATAATGGTTATTTCATCTTATGCAACTTTCAAATATTGTCATACATAGTGTAGTTTATCATTATCTCATAAGGCATAACCTTAAATTAAGTATCTAATTGATTGGTGAATCTCTGTGAGTGGTTTGGTTTAGCTTAACAAAGTGGCTACCTACAAATCTTAATGCAACAAACCTGATGAAAAAACAGGTCTCAAGGATTTTAAAGAAAGATTGCCTTCATTCTGCCACTCACTATTTAGTGCTTTTTAACTGTGGCTAGATCAATAATGCTGCATCACAGTACTGTCTTCAGCAGATATTCTAATATTTCTGTTTCATCTGTTTCATTTGTCATCTAATTCTTGATACATGTCTTGCACTTCACAGTCAAGTTTGCCTTTAAAGCCAAACTTTTGCCTCTTTTTTTAAATGAAATTCTAAATTTTATGTGTGCAAAACAAATAGTGCTTGCAATTATTATACATTTGAAATCTGAGTCCACAGGTGTATATTTTGGTCTCATTGTTGCAATAATTTGATAAAATTTTAGAAAAAGTTTGTTGTTCAAGCTTTATTATCCTGTGAACTGATATTTGAGTAAATAATACCAAAAATAAAAAAAGTTGCCAGGAATCACCATCACACTTTGGGAAGAAAATGAATTTTGAGTATCAGCCAGAGGCAGGGGAGACACAAAAGCAGCTTTTATACTTTTAATTTTAGTTGGTTTCTATCTTGTCAGAAAAGTAATGCAGTGCCATGCAATTGCTATATGAGCTCCTTAGATCACTGAAATATTTTTTTTGATAATATTGCGGAGGCGCATTTCTGTTGCACAGTGGCCAATGGGCACGACCATCCATGGGAGTCCAGCTTCGCCACTGGCCACGTTCTTCATCAAATATTTTCAAAACATTTTTCAGTTTTTAGCAAAATAAAATAATCCAAAGTGATATTTGAAGGGTCATAAACCTTTTTTTCTTGGTGATGTAAAATTGCTAACCCTCAAAGTCTATACGAAGATTGTCGAGCCTACAAGCAATTAGAGCAGGCTGTTGTTTGTTACGAATCATGAAAGCTGTTTCAAATGCATTCATTAACAGGATAGCAGCTTCTGATCAAGCTGACCAATTATGTTATCCTGTATAAATATAGATTATTATTATTATAAGCCACCAGACCAGGTTGTTGTTTGTTACGAATCATGAAAGCTGTTCCAAGTGCATTCATTAACAGAAGCCATCTGAGAGTTTAATTGCGATATAAAACACCGTTGTAAGATAAAACAAAGTAAGTGAATCACCTTTCCACAGTGAACGATCACCAATAGTTCTAATGTTTTCGAATCATATTGCAGCGTAAACTCCAGCATGCCAAGGGGTCCTTAAAAGAGAGGTAGCGAAGTTTTACGAATTATAACTATTGAAACAATAGAATGAAACTTAACGATAGAAAAAACATCTTGATCTTACAATAATAAAAGAGTCTAAAATTGACGATGTAATACAAAATATCTTACGATGCCGTATGGTTGACTTGAAAAATCATTACGAAATACTACTGACTGTGCAAAATTAGTTAAATGTGTTACAAATTGGCTGAAAAATGACCACACGAGCAATGCTCTCTCCCAATCAAATCTATGTAATTTGGTTTTGGTTTTTTTAAAATCTAAGAACAATCTAAAACAGCACAATTCCATCAGCAACTCAGTTCTTCCCTTTACTATATCTTAGCCAGTGTGCAACATGTTTAACTGACTTGGCATTTTAAATGGTATCTATTGGTATTCTTCCAGGGTATGTGGTCAAAAGTCAAACAATTTTAAAACAGATTTCCGATGACGTCACACTGTTACTCCGTTGTACAAAGATTATGATTCAAGTTCTTTTTAACATCATTGTAACCCATTACAGAGACGGAATGAAAACGGCGATTTCATACCACAAATTAAACATACCAAGTCATTAACAATTTGTAAACAGAGGGCAAGGTAAAAAAGAACGGGTTTGCAGACACGCTCCATTAATATACAAGAAACCTACCAAATGATTCAGGTTTTTCTTCTGATTCTTCTAGACCATTTTCTTGTTCGTAGCTTTTAAAAATTTGATCAATATCCTGATCGTCTTTTCCCTGCCCTGATTCAGACTCGTCCTTTGGGTTCTGCGAGTGTGCATCTTTTCCCTTCTTTCGAAACTTCATTGCTAGCTTTTTCTTGTTTTCTGACATGTTGCTAGTAGATCTGGGCCTAATTCGAGGGCTCAGTGAATCATTAGACCCAAAGCCATCGGCTTGGTCAAACGCATTTGCAAAAGATGGGTGTGGCTGAGAATCTGGTGTCTCAGGTATCAACGATATTTCAGGTGGCGTGACTGAACGAGGTATTTCTGCAAGGAAAAAGTTATGTAACATGAAAAAATACAGTCAAAGCTGGGTTTGGCCTTATCTTGACATATCGCTTTCTTAATAACACCCCCTCTCCAATAATCCCTTCTATTCGAAGAAAACATTTGAAACAAGTCTGCACTCTCTTAAAGCCCCCATCTCTGTCATCCAAATCCCTTTGTCTTTCTATCCTGCCTTATGAACGTCCAAAATCGAATAGGCCCAAAGGAGCATTATATAGCGTTGACAATGCTATTCGAAATCTTGAAGACTTATGACTTTAACTAAACAACATGAAGGAAAACAAGCAGAAATTATGTGTGAGAAACAGGATTACATATCCGGGCGACGAGATTTTATGCAGAAACCGTTGCAGTAAAATCAATACATTAGCAAATGAAGAATTCAAAATGATCACACAAACATACAAATACAAAACGAAAACACCATCACGAATTTTGCTTAGGTGAAGTCATATTTATTTCTTATTGGACTGATTTCTGAAGTGTATTAATGAAAACACGAAAGTTTAAATTTAGTAAAACGACATATAAGCAAAGAATGCGAGCCTTTAAAACATGGAAGTTATACGAAATTTGTTCAATAGAAAAGTATCTTTAACCTTTGCTGACTTCACTAACATCGATGCCAAGATTAAATCCATTTGTTTTTCCTTGGCAAGCATCAGATGATACCTCGAAGTACGATGAAATATCATCATCAGTTTCTTCGCCAGATTCGTCTGTGATTTCGTCTGGAAGACAAAATCAAATCACCTGATTCAAGATTGATAGCGTGATGATGGTAAAAATAATCTTTGCTCCCTTGAATCGTAGTTTTTGTTCCTTTGATTTGCTCCAATCAAAATCCATTCTTACATTATCCTTCACCGTTTTTCAATCAAAATCACTTTCAAAATATCAAAACTGTTCTGGCACTAAATCTTGCTTGTTTTTTAACATTAAAACAATTTGAGATGTAAAAAGTAGCTTGACAGCCAAACAACATAGAAGTAGGCTGCATCAAAAACCTTCAAACCATCTCTTCCATGATCGTACATTGAATCAAGAAATTTCTCACAGGTCATATATTCAAAACGTTTCGAAAGGCGTCTTGCTCTCTTAAAAACCAACTTTTGCAATTTAGAACAGTTTGCCAAAGAAATTTTTTCATTTGGTACGTCTTCGCGTCTCCCAAACGGGTTGTCTGCAGAGAACACGGAAAGGCGGAAAGAAAGCATAATTATGTATCTTTGCAAAGTAAAAAGATATTTATACATAGTACCCAGTTTCTGGATACAAATTTTTGCTTGTTTCGGTCATTATCTGACCTTTATATTCGGATGAAAAGTACTTTAGAATGTCAAATTTCCAGTTTTCCTTGCCATCCTGCAATTGTCTGGTAACAAAAGTTTATTTGGTCCAATGTGTTGTGTTTAGAAAATTTAGTTAGAAAACTGAGCTTACCGTCTTCCGTAAAGAAAGAGGGCCTTCTAATGCTTGTGGTCACAGATGCTCGTGGATTCAGAAGGTTGACTGGATCATATCCTTCTGGGACATCATACCCTTCTGCTCTCTAAAAAAGCAGAATAAACTAGATGCATGAAAAACTCCCTGTTTTGGCATTTCAGTCAACAGAGAATCCTTTTTTTGAATTTCTGTCATTTTAAAGCTTACTGTCATGAAGATTTGAACTGTCAACCAACAGGAAGTTTAAAATATAATATATTGGAATATCTAATGCTCAAACTGGCCAGGTCTTCATTTCTTGCTAAATGCTTTTAATTAGAATATAAGAGCTGATTGGGCTGAAAACGTTTCAAATAATTTTATCAGGCAAATAGGTTATTAAACTTTGGTGCATTATGCTGAGAAGCTACAACCAAACAGTTTTACATTTAACATACCATTCTGGCTAATCGTTCTTCTGGGGTTATGAAAACCGGCATACTTTTGAGAAACCAAGCACCTGACTTCTTCCAAAGCTGCAATTAAAAAAATATAACTTTGCAATGAAATAGCATTTAAAGAAATATTGCAGCCACAAATAAATGCTCTAGAATAGGAGCAGGTTTCTGCAATAAAACCATTAAAATCAATTATAGCCCCTGTTGTATCGTTTGCGACTTAGCTTCCGAAGGTAGTTTTAGGACACTGAAAAGCGATGCTTATCGAGCAGTGTCTTGGTCCTCTCTCTCCAAGTGACCACACCTAGATGATTCCTTTGCCTGGAATTACAGAGAGCTTGCAACTCTCTTCACTCTGAGATAAAGTTTGGTCATGTCAAGGTCTCAAGCCACTGATCTTTAGGTCTAGAGTAAATGACCCTAACCTTTCTTGCAACCTATTGATTCACATCCAGGAAAGCAGGGGGCAGGGATGGTTTTAGCCTTGCTTTAGGTTTCTTGCATGTTGACCCCTCCAAAACTTTCAAGAACAAAAATCGGTACTATGGTCCTTCGTGCCTGCTCACATCAATACAAGATTTGGTTTTGCTTGCAAGTCTGAAAATGACGGACGCTTATTTGAGAAACTGTTTTTCCTTGGATGTGATCAGTTTGTGTTTTAAAAAGCTAAATTTCTCTAAAATTCCATAATCCAAAATATAAGGTTGAATATGATTTGCTTAATGGTAAGTTATTGAGAGAACTGGAAATGCAAACACTGAAAGATCAATAAATGCGAAATCTGGCAGATTATCTAGATATACTGTTGTATAATTACCTCCCTTTCTTCCCAACAAATGATACAGAATACTCTTTTAAGCCCTGATGCATCTGCACTCTCTTTAACACATTTCGGGCATACACCCTGTAATATAATGAAAATTATTAGAGATAAAGACATTCGATTATATATGAATCTACTTTGATAATGGTTACTAGAGAGACTGCTGCAGAGACATTAATGGTGTAGACAGAACTCTACACAATTGAAAAGTATATACAACATATTATATTATGACTGGAGCGGCTCAAGGAGATTTTGAGCTATTCAGATCAAGATCTACTTAGATGGGCCTCTATGAACTGCCATTGAAAGAAAAAGGTTCAGGATATTACACAAGAAGTTTCAATGAAATCTTACAAAATAATTTTAAAAGGAGGAAATTCTAAAAGTATCATGTTGTATGCACTCTTAAACATTCACATTGAACATATAATTTATAACAAAAACCTTTTGAAATAAGTGCCCTAACACACCTGAGAACAAACAATGCAAGGTTTTAATGAGCCCTTTTTGATGCCACAAACCAGACATGATGTTTCTCCATCACCTCTTTTGTTGTCTTTCAAGCTGTTCACCTTATCAACAAGAAGTCTAGAAATTCAAACATGTTTAAAGATAAATGAGAGCAGTGGGCTGATAGCCAAATGGCAGACAGTTGGAGGAAGGGTCAGCAACAAACACAAATTAAAATTGCAGTTGCTATTTGTGGAATTAGTGACAGGAAACCGAAAAATAAATCAATTGCAAGAGGTTAATATAGATCAGACGAACAAAATTTGTTTACATTTTGACTTCAGACAAAAATAAGCCATTGCAATGGACAACTTGTTGAGGTTTTAATTTACTGTATGACAGGCTTTCTGCACCATGAAAATAAATTGAGAAAGTTTGTTCTGGTTCTTACATGATAATCAAATAGGCCTTATGCATAATTTTGAATATAAACATGTTAAATTGAAGCATTCTACAATCTCAAACACAGCATGGATTCAAGTATCATAGAAAATAACTGAGATATCTATGCAGCTATATGAATTGAAGGCTAACAGGTTTGCAGTCCTGGTAACATGAAATTTATCAGGGTGCTAGTAATCGCACACATTGTAAGTTTTGGCCTGTGATGATGTGCGATCCACAAAATGGAGACCTTACAATTGTTATGAAAACTTGATAGCCATTTAAATGCCATGTATGTAATTTAATGGAAGTATCACTGTTTGAAAAAGTGTTTGAGGTTTTCATACTACTAAATAGATTTGACAGAATTTAGAAGAAGCTTTTTGAGAAAGCAAATAATTTAACAAAAAGCATACAAGTTTTTAGGCCCTGTTGCCAGTACTCCATTTTCATATGAGAACGGATTCAAATGATTCAATCTTAGATTTTGAGTTTGATTAATATGCTCAAAAAGGGAGTCATTTGACACCAAACCAAAGTCATTCAAAAACGCTTTTCAAAATGGAGTCATTCAAAAATGGAATTATTTGAAAATGCATTGTTTTATTTGGAACAGTGAAGACAGAGGCATTTGAAAACAGAGTCATTCAACCTCAGCAAAAAGAACTTGAACAAAGGGTATTAGAACGGAAAAAATGGAGTAATGGAAACACCCATGTTATCGTTTTGACCAAAATGGAGTGGCTCAGGGAAATGTGTTAAAGAGAATATGAAAACTGGAATGAGAAAACGGAGACATATACTAAAACATAGTAATCGAAACCGAGCCTTAAGGAGTTATAATGCCCCCCGGAAATGCCATCAAGATAAACGCACACAAAAGAAATTAAAAACTACTTTAGAGAAAATAAACAAGAAACTCAAGAAACAAAAGTGAACAGAATAGTAAGTCAAAACATGGAACTGTGTCTTAGAATAATGAGTCAAAAATAGAAAAAGCACACCTCGGCAGTTTTAGGCATATATGGAGGTGTGCATGTGCGATTGTATGCCTAATATTACCTGGACTGGGTTTGGTTACATATATCAACATAATGGAAAAGACTTCAAAACACGGCTTCACAAGAAAGCACATACCCTATTCTCTCTTGCTCTTTCTCCTCTACTTCCTTTGCTTGAAGCAAAATATTTGCTATCCGTACTTGCTCTTCATCACTTATTGGTGCAACATAACTTCTTTTGTAGACATTTTCAGCAAAGGTTGACCAACCAATATCTAATCTAAACAACAAATATAAAGAAAAAATCTAAATCACAAAGAGACCAAAACAACTGGGTGCTTACATTTTTATTTATTGATGCTGAGTAAGTGCAATCAGGATGAGAAACAAAACCTTAGAACTTTCAAACTATCAAAATTGAATATAACAAATATGATCAAAGAAAGTTTTGCTGAAACCTATACCAAGGAAAAAACAAAATTAAGAGATTGAAATAAAGAGGTTATATTGTTTCTTTGGCAGTTTAAAGGTGCAGAAGCTGTAAAAAAGGAAAGATTAGTTACATCATCTCTAATACAAATGTATCTTAATTTGAAACTTTATACCACTTCAACTGCACTGTTCGTCAAAGGCATTTCTACCAAAAGAATCCAAATCTTTTAAAGAGGCTGCTCTTTTGAAGTGGGGAATCTAAAAAGGTGAATACCATTCCATGTGTCAAGTGGGACATCATCCCATTTCTATGGTCCTCAATGCCTTTTAAGTAAAAACAAAAAACCAAAATATGTTATTTTCAAATACCTTCCTCTAAGTGCCAGCTGCCTGTCATTAGGACAAACAAATTTATCGACATGATCATTCCCAGATTCCATCTTAAAGAGATCTTTCAATCTAAACCATTGCTATTCAGAATTTGTTCATTCTGCCTTCAGGTATCTATAACAAGTTAATGTGGAAACTTGTCAAGCAGACAGGTAATAAAAATACATAATGCATAATAAGAATAATGCTAACTGAAACTGTTTGATGACAAGACCAGGTAAATTGCTATGAAGTAGACAAACAAAAGTTTTGTTTTATCACTTCAAATTAACATATGCTTGCCCCTTTTGAATAAAATACATCATATGGTTTTCCTACTATAATTGCTCATTATGTTCACTTCCCAAGCAACTTCAAGCATTTGGTTTTATTACCAACATTTTTCAAGACTGGTGCCCTGCTATGGGCAATAAGTGTATGAAATTAGAATTCTTTTCATATCATTTTGAACAGGTGAGACAAATTCAAACATATCCCTGTTATTTTGGGTGGTGATTCATAACAATTACTACCATATAATTTCAAAACAAATATTCCACTTTAATTAGCATTTATTACAGAAAAGCAGGCTTTCAAGCCTTCTGTATCATTAGCTGTACACTAGACTGGAATCTATGGGGCTTCATGCATATCTATATTATCATATTTACAGTCATCTCTGTGGTGTAGCAGATAAAACTGTTCCCTCTTGTCACAGTGGGCAGAAGTGTACAGTACGAGCCCACTGCTTAGACCTTTCAGGTTCCTGGAAACCCAAAAATATTGCTAATAGTCCTTTAGTTCCGGTATAAAGCAGCACTGGTTGATGCAACTAGCAAACTCTTGATAGACTGTTGATCTATGCTACACATCCAGTTAGGTGACAGGCACTGGTAATGGGCAGTCATCGACACAGGAACTGGGGCACTGAGGGCACATCCCTCCGATAATCAGAAACAGAGGCAAAGTGCCTGCATGCAGCTCATGGAAATGCCCCCCTTTGCCAACAAGTGCCTTCTATGTTTACAAAGGGAAATTCTATAATTCACCGTTCCGGGTTTATATCATCGATTCTGCATCTCGCCATCTACAGATCTTTCTAAAAAATGGACTTCAGATTTGAAATTTTCATCTTGAAATTAGTTTATATTGAGAACTCCACATTGTTTGGACCGTTAGGTCACGAGTTACTTTGTTTTGAATAATTATATATTTGTTCAGATTTGACCGGAATTTGCTGCTGTAGTGAAAAATTTCACTACAGCAACAAATTCCATTGAAATGTGTAGGAAAAGCAAAATTTTGAAAATGGGGTTATTCCCTGCCTGACGGCCCAAACAACATGAAAATTTCGGCACATAGTATTTTGAACTTAAAGATTTTCATTCTGTGATCCATTTTTGGTAGATAGGAAGATAAAAAATTGCCCGGAACAGAGAATAGATTAGAAAAAGTACTTTGGATCTATCAGGATGCATGAAAAATGAATGTGCTTTCAGTCATCTTAAATCTGTATAGGCCATGGGCAACTTGGTTTCATTGACATTATTGTTAATGTTTACATCAAAAAACACGTCGGTCTTGTTAATTAAAGTCGCCAAAACTTTGTTTGATAATGTGGATATCAGCTTTATTACTTTAGCTATACATACCTGACTTTATCTGAAATTATATGTTTGCATTTGTTTCTGATTAGAATCGCAAAGCAATCTAAGCGTCAAAATCAAATATTTGACAACCGTTGAAAGGAGAGTCAAACAGCGAAAGGTGCTGCAACAGGTACTAGATGCAGCAATAATTGAGCCACGTGATAAAAGTAAGTACAATATGCATTACAATTTTATCAGCAAAACATTGGGTATCAACTTTCATGCAGGAAGGTAGGCATTAATTTTGACATAGCCTCCCAGGTTCTTAAGTCGCCCTAGGAAGCTAACATTTCCCTCGATAATAGAGGAACACGTTTTGTTTAATTACAGCTGAAAGTTTCGCGATGAAAGCCAAATGAAAACAAAAACTTTGCAAAGTCCAAAGGAAGTATTACAACGAGGTCTTGGTTGCCACACGAAATGACCAAGCACCCATTTGTATAGCTCTTTGTAACTCACCAATTATTTGCACACTTTTCGAGAGTACTTTGTATGAGGTGTGAATGGATCCATGTCCCCAAATTAAACAAATTATCGCCCTAACATCAACATAACAGCACAATGCAAAACTCCAAAAGTCCTTGAATTAATTAGGCCTATACAAAAAGCAATATTACTACTTGTTTGTTTCTATAAAGTAACGCATGCGTACATGCACACAGGAACCTCTGGGTGAGACAGCCTGGCTCCGCCCTTCAAAACAATGTAATAATGACCGGGAATTATTCTAAATTATTAGACCAAGCAATAAATAGCATCAATGCCAAATCATATCGAAAGTTGTTTTCCATTTTTAGTGGACTATTGAAGTCAGTCTCGTATGCTGATAATAAAGAAGCGAAGTATGTTTTTTGCACTTCCTTGAATTTTTCAACCTTTTCGCATTCAGATCTCTGTCAACTTGCACTGATTATTGGATTATTGGATCTTGTTCGTGCTAGACGTGGCTGCAAATAATTTGCATTTTTTTATGCGCAAGATTGGCTTTACACTAATTTGCATTTAGTCTACAATGCCCACGCTGCTCCGCTTTCCAAGTAATTCGACCGCTTCAGAACCGCCAACACGAAGAAATTATTTCGCAGTTGATTCAGAAGGAATGGAATCTTAATGGTCAGTTCTAATGAGTCATAAGTCTCTGATTATCGTGTACTATATAACAAACATAATGATGTAAGACGACGAAAAATATTGGAAACTTAGGTCTCATCCTGAAACTATAAGTTGGTTTGGATTTGGAAGCAAGCATACTTTTACTGAAAAGCCTCCACGATGACCCGAAAAGCACTAAATTTCACATCAAGTATTTACCGTTTCTTGCTAAGGCTATTTTCAAACAGTAACTCAGAAACTCTTTTCAGATTCGCTTTGAGTTATTAAGGATTTCTTCGATACCACTGTTGCTCCTTTGAGCTTAGCATAAGGGGCTTGGCTTCCATTTTCTACCATGTTAATTTGTTCCCACCTTATGCTTCCAGTTTATGGAAACCTAATGTAAAATCTTTTATAAACAAGCCACGTGAGCGAGGTCGCCCAACTTACCTAACTGCACTCAAAATGGAGGATGACTGCAATACAATTTTCCAAATCTGACTGAAGTCTTCAATTCTATCCAGCCATCTGCATCCTCGTGTGAAGCTGTTAGAATGAAAAACGGTCTGACAAACGCAGATTGTCTGCAAGGATTTCCGAGCATTTGTGGCTAATTCTATGACGCTCGCAAGCTCGACCTTTTCAACAAAGAAGAGCTGTTGAAACTTATATTCTCAAATCTTTGAACAAATGTATCAGGTAAACATTCAAATCATGCGAAAAAGCAATCTTTGCACAATTAGCCAACGAATTTTTAAAGCTTGAGATCGAATCAAAACAAAGATGTCACTGTACAGGGCCTACAACATTTCTTATGTGTTGATACGTACCAAATCAACTTACTTTTGATTACCTAGATTAGTTAGGAATTACCTACGGCAGTTCTAAATACTACTCAAAACAACACCTCGCGACGCTTTCGAATGTGCCATTATCCTCCTGGTGGCACAATTATCTTGAAGAGATAAAGAACAAATCGAATACTATTTTATTTTTTCGGAGTGAAGAGCTCCAAGCTTTTTGCTATGGCGGTTGATTTATCTAATCCTTACATTTAGATGATATAACTCTATGCGGAAAAAGTATAGAGACCAAACTATGCTTTAATTTGATTGAATTAGCATCTCCGTTGTTTTTGGCATTAAAGCACTAAACTGCAGAACCAAGACCATACAATCAGGTTACAAAGTTTTCTATTGCTGAAAGAAGTTTTCATTAAATGATTACTAAAACCGTGATTGTTTGTCTTGCTAATATCTGGTTGTTTGTAGCTATAAAGTATTCCTCTTGGAATATCCAATATTTTCTTTTATGAGAACATTATAATTCAATATAGGTTCCTCTTAATTAGTTTAATTTTCAACTGCATTTTTTAATTTTTACTGTTTTCCCTCCTTTTTATTTACTTCTTAAAAACAGCTGTCAAAATCAATCCTTTATTCCTTTCTTCCCTACAAAAATTTTTTCTTACAATTTTTGTCTGCTGTTTTGACTCAAAAAGTTACATTATTTTGTCTAAATCTTAAATGCCATCAATATTCCTTTTGAAAACTTTCAATTGTGATCAAACTTGTCGTCAAATATTTCAACTGGCAATTAAAATTATTCTCGGCGTATTCCGGTGTTTCATATTTGCTACATTTTTATCGACTTTTCGCCGCAAGAACTCCTTGGAGCCCGTCGAGCAGCCTGCTACAGTGGCCTTTTCTTAATTCACAAATTAAAATTTTGTTGCCGAGGCTTATTTTGTTTTCATGGGTAATTGTGGAGTGATAAGCAAGTAAAAATACATAGAAAAGTATTGTAATTATACGTTTTAGTGATTTAAAGGCTGTGATTATACGTAAATACATCGAACAATGGCTTAGTTGGGAATGATTCCTTTGATGTTTGCGACAGACAATGACGTCAAAATTAAGAGAATCGAAACTAAATGACCGATACTAAGTTATATCCTTCAAAGCATCCTTGTTATACGTATATCATTAATTTTTTTTTCCTGTAGAAATATTTCTACACCCCTAGTTTTGGTTTCAGAACACTTTCTGTATTCATCCCTGTTTGTCTTAATTTCTCACCTCGATAGAAGACCCTGATTTTCACGAATGCAACCCTTCCAATAATCTATTCTTTATTGAGGATTTCCCTGTTTTCTTCTGGGTTAAAAAAGCATCAACTGAATCCTCAGATTGACAACCATTTCGGTATTCTGCAGAGCAAGACGAACCAGGAATTTTCTTAAAGTCCTTTAAAGAAACGTAGTTATCGGAAGACCCGTCAAAATTTGGGTAAAAAAATAAATTAAAACAGTAACTTTGAAGATACCTAAACAAACTCAATTTCAATTCCTAACAGCAACAAGACAATGTTTCTTTTTACTGTAAATTCCAAATAATTATGAACATTTTATACCTCATATAAAAACCTACAAAAATGCTTCATGATCAAGGTTTTCTCGTTTGATTGTAACAAATTGTTTTAATGCTTTAAGGATACAAGTATGACAAAATTTTCCAACTAGAAGAGCAAAATTTTAGAAACGACGCAAACAAAATACGTAATTGAGCTATGCTTGATATGAACTGTAATAACACAAGTGCTAGAAAATAACAATTGAAATTAAAAGTAATAGATGAAAAATACTATGTACCCAAATCAAAGTACAAAATAATGACGTAAATAAATGATACAGCTAGTTTATCACTGCTTACATTACAACCAGGATAAAGTAAAACATAGCTAGGGACTTCTATGGCAGATTCGTTTACACATTGATAAAGTATATTTAAAAGATTGGCCATTACCTTATGATAATAAAAGGTACTCATTAATATATGGTTAAGTTATCAGAATGACAAAAACCGTGTTGAGAAGATATATAGGATTAACTAGTTCAAACATTGTCAAACGAGGTCAATTAAAACTGGAGAGGAAAGAAGTGGGCAATATCAGTCAACAGGTTCGGTAGTAAAAACGTATAAAAAATTGCAGATAGAAATTGCACATTCTCTTCACCCTACCATGAAATTTACAGCAAACAAGGCCATTATGCTACACAGAACAGAAGGGTGCCAAATAAAAACACATCAGGACTTATAATTATATCGTTTAATTTTCGCTCAACCAGGATCACAATTATGGCTAATATCAAAATCTTCAATAAACCTTCCATACCGTAACTGCAAATTATTGCAAATTAATTATTAGATAGGGCATGCTTTCTGACCTCCCCTATACCTTGGTGATATAAAATTCCGTTTAAGTTGAAATAAAAAAACAACGCCCCCATTCGATACATTCACTATATCTATACAGCATTTACTTGATAATACTCCCTAAATTGTGGTTAACACAAAATTGAGTACTCTTTTCAACAGTTAAGTCATCATTGGTTGGTTATCTGAAAAATAAAAGAAGCAAATGAAAACACGTTCCCAAAAGAAAAATGTTGAAGGAACACTTCTAAACGGGTTTTGCTATGTATTAAATTCAAGGCCATCAGTGTTAGGAAATATTTGCACGATGCAGTGTTAAGTTCATTCCCAAACCACTATAAATGTCCGTATACAAAACCAATAATACAGATCTAGACTGAAATTTGAAACAATAAAAAACTGTTTTACCATGCAATGACTTGAATGCAATAACACGCAAAAACATCTCACTAGCTGACAGCATCTACGCAAAGTTATCTAGACCTTCAAAAAGGTTTTTTACTTTTGATTCTTCAATAAACATATTCCAAGGTTGGGAAATATTTCAGATAAATAATTCTATCAAAACTATGAACTCGCGTATAAACATGGATCTTGAGTCCACTGATGAACGACAAAGCACGACTAAACAATATCATATACTTTATTCAATGCCAGCAAGATAGAATAAAAGACCTAGCAGGTTTAAAAGTCAGATCTTGTAATCATTTAATTTTTAATTGAAGCAAGGAAAGTGCAACGTCCTATAATACTCTTGCAATCTAATTACATAATTTTGCAGCCAGCAAAAAAGTCCAAGTCTCTCCAGTTGTTGCTGGCCTATGCTTGTTAGACAAAAGATTATCATCATCCAAAAGAGAGGGAAAAGAGGTCTATTTGAAATAAAAGGCGGTAGAGTTACAGGTACGGGAGCACAGAGCATTAAAAAAGAAGTTGTTGTGCCTTTTGAAGGATTTTGAATAATTGATAGTCTATTAAATAAAAAATGTAGTTCTTACCACAGAAAACTTTAGTCTCCTCGTAAATCAGCTCTAAAAACAAAATAATCAATACACTTAATTCAAATTTTCTAAAATACAAGATTCGAGAACAAATCATTGCTTCTTTGACTTGAAATGGTGGGTTCCTATCCAGTATTTATTGTTGCTAATTTGTCGCCACTTGTGAAGGACCCTGGGTTATACTACCATGTCAATCATTAAGGATATAAGTCTGCCTGGCTTGGCGCGATGCCTTATTGTTTAGTCCCCCCTTCGAAGAATCCCCAGAGTTAGAATGGGGGTTGTAAACTAAACGTAACCCCGATGTGAAGGGGTTGTAAACTGAAATTTCCAGTCCAAAACAGTCTTGGAACGCTAGCATAGTCTAGGGTATTTGAAAAAGTGTTTAGGAAATAGGAAATTTTCACCATGGTTATCCAGACATTTTATAGAGGTTTCTTGTTTGGCCCGGTGCTTGTTTACACGATCATTTTTAGGTACAATTCCCATCATACTTTCTTCACATTTTTTATGTGATCACAAAATGTGATTGTGTAAAGTACCTTACGAGTTGCTTGAAGTTGCACGGTGGAGTGGAGCAAATTGGCCATCACAGATTTTTCATTTGATCAGCTATCAAATGAAAAGGTCTGTGATGCAATTTGTTCAAAGGCACCGACAAATCATACTATTCAGGAGTACGACAAATCATACTAAACGAAGTACTTACTTTTTGGCGGACTTTTTACTTGCCAAGACTTTACTCAAACTCATGTTTATTTGCTATGAAATTCTGCTAGTAAAACTTTTCGATAGTAGCCGTTTAAGCATAAAAACAGATTAATTGAAAATAAAATTCACCTTTCAATATTTCCTTTGGTAAGTCATCTAATTCGGTATCGAAAGAAAATGGCTTCTCTGCGACGGGCTAAAAAATAACAAAGATATCTTCAGTCCTCCGAATCACAGCCTGTAAGTTTTAATTGCATGTTATCATGCTATGACCCAAAGTAACTGCATATTTTAGTCTTTAGTAGCAAGCAATGTATGCTGAAATTTCGGAATAAGGCCCCTACGAAATAATAACCCAGTCAGCCGGAAAATTGAAGTAGGGTCTTATTAACAGATGAGTAAAGATTTGAAAAGAAACTTTTTCAAAACATTACATCATCTTGCAACACACAGTATCAATCACACAATCATAATTCTGAATAAACAAAAATGATTGAAAACTTGGAATCAAATAAGAGCTTTTTCAAATTAACGCCTTCTAATTAAGAACCACTATGATTGACATGCCATATAGGTTCCTACACGAGGATATTTACAAATACCATAAGACTAAAAAGCAGAGGCATAGGAGACTGAAAATTTCAATTGGTCATAGCTTATTGCAATCAAGGGAACAAACTCTGACGAGAAGCAGTAAGTATTGTCATCTGCTTCATTACAAATTGGCAAAGCAAAAGACAGGATGTGTAATCAAACCTCATCAGCTGGGTCGTAATACTGCTCCAGATACGGATGGGCTAGGGCCTCCTCGACTGTGATCCTCTGAAATGGGTTGAAGCAGAGTAGCTTGTTAAGCAGATCCAGGGCTGCAAAAACAAAAGAAAGGATGCAGTTATATAGCGCTGCAGTGGAAACATAGCGGACACCTCAAACTAGGGACATGGAATTATGTCGTGAAGTTTCTGTTCAACAGTCAAAGCCATGTACACGTAGCAACTAGACAGAAATTTCCTCACAACAAACATCTCCTCAGAACGGACATTTCCCCATAGCAGACAGTCAATCTCGTTTAAATAGATCTTCGCTGTATGAAAGTTTCAATTTATATATCTTTTCGTCACTGTCACGCATAGATATAGTGTTCTACAACCTAGCAGAGTATACCGCATCTAATATCAGAGTTTAGGAAGATAATTACGTCACCAAAGGTTTTCGATGTACTGCCCAGACAGAAGCTTAACATATAATTTTCAACAACATAAAATAAGATCAGCTGCATACACGTATTCGGTTAAACATTTCTATTCCATACCAGCTATTTCAATATTTCTTCTCTAAAGGCAGTAAATTTGATAGGAGAGAAAATTACGTAGCAAAATTAAAAAGACTTAATGAGCGAGTTAATTCTTAGCTAAGCCTGTTAGATTATGATTCGGGTTTGCAGCCTACAATATTGAGTCAGCATGAAAGCACATCAGAAGAAATGACATGCAGTTAGGAAACACGTCTTTTTACCACTCAATGGAATCATTGCTCTTAACGAATGCTATAAATTTCCAAACAAATATGCCTGCTGCTCTATCAGTATATGGTATAAAATGCTCTAACGGTAATATTCTGGTACATCTTTCAACCTGCCACATTTTGGAAGCTTCACCTAACCGAATAGTTAGTTGATGACATAAAACAGAACAAGTACCAATCGAGCACCACAAAAAAACTTTAAATAGCAGGCCAATTGTAATTACGGGCGAGCATAAGCTATTTGAAATACGTCAGACAATTTCTGTCTCTAAAATCCTACAAGTATATGTGGCAACATTGTTAAATATGAACAAATGACCAAAAAAGAACTTTAATCAAAGAAGAATTTTCCTTCGAAAATCAAACCTTTCAATACACCTTTTCCCCTCAGTACTAACATTGTCATTTTTTCATTCATTTAATGCTATTTATACACAAACTAACCCTTCAGAAAAAAATATATAACATCTAGTTATTATGATAAAACCCCTAAAGAATACAAAACCACAGTCCTTTAAATTTGCAGAGGAATTGTTTTTTAGTGTCTAGTATATCAGATGAGTTGTTTTTAAAAGGATCTAACGTCGGTAGCTCAAGAACTTTAGCAGGTGTATCGTTTTTAAGGGCTGCGTAATGAAAGTCTTTTTTGGAAATTTAGTCCTTATCTAAGGATTTAGAGATCATTACATTGCCTTGTATTGTAGGTCGAGTGAGAAGATCTTGATTGATGTTTGTCCTAAAGGTTTTCAAGGCATAGTCTGTTCATAATCTTACAGGTTTCAATGGTAAAGGAAAAGATTGTTTACGTTTAACAAGCAAGTCGACCAGCGTTTTTTATGCTTGCGTTTGCTATTATTGGATTTGCCCGATCTTGAAAGTGTTGGAAAGCAACTAGGCTTTTTTGAGAGATAACCCCAGATAACATCGACATAACTCAAAACCTCCAAGCATTTTTCTTTTGGTACGCTTAAATTGTTTATCTCAATTTAGTTTTTTATCAACTATCACTCCAGAGGGTTCTTCCTTATCAACTCGTTTTATTTCAGAGTTATTCAGTTTCCACACTTCTAACAGGTCTAAATTTTTGGCTTTAAGCGATTGCCCTATGATCAAGAATTCAGTTCTATTCGGATTAGGGCTAAGTTTATTCACCCTCACCCACTCAGAGAGATTGAAAAGCTCTTGATGTGGGTCTTAAACTGGCTTTGTAAATCAAACCAAGGAGAATAAGAGATACTTCTTTAAGTCGTTCCAGTAAATGATGAAAACAATAGAGCCCAATCAGAACCTTGAGGAACACCATAGACGATGTATCTGACTTTCTAGTGTTGCCAATTAAGATAACAGAACTATTTTCTGTTAAGTAAGATTCAAACCAATTCATAGCTTTGCCTTTTATTCCATATCCATGTAATTTTTTTCATTAGTATATCATGATCGAGATCTAAATAGGTAACACATAACATGAACAAATTGTTTGTAAAACGAAAGAGCACACAGTATTCACCTCTTGCATCAGCGGTCGGAAAGAGCTTCGTCCAGTCTTTGCCTTCTTTTTGTGGCAATCCTAGGAGATAGCATTTCGCCTGAAGAAAAAACAGATAATGATTTGTCAACTTCTAAAGGAGCCACAATATTGTGCTTGAACAAAGTCAATCGATGTTCGTATGAATTGTGTTTGAAAAGATCTGTTTCACTTTGCGAGTATGAAATAGTACAATGATAAAGAATTCACAAAATTTAAAACTATACCTTTTCATTTCTGATGAACTGCAAATCCTCTTGAGATGGCGATCCCAGAACGCTTAAAATGTGATTTAGCTGGTCCAGGTCTGAGCACTTTGAGTCAAGGAGACCAACATCAATTAGGGGAAATCTATTTAAGTACAAACATCACCAAAGCGAGGTCTTATGCTAAAAGAGGCGAGATCTGTGGATGGGCTAACGATCAAAGTCAATAAAAATTTGAGAATTTTAAAGTTATTAATGAGAAGCTTCACTCGATATTGGTGCATCTGCAGACCTGATAAAGAAAGGTGGTTGCTTCAGCTCTTTAATAAAGAAACTGCTGAGCCTTACTAGGATTTTTGCCAGAAAATCAAATTTCTAACGTTGCTGTCATTCTAATAAAATAAAGTGAAAAAAGCTTAAATAATCCTATTTATCTTTAAAATTAAGTCTGGAGCACATTGAAAAAAATGAAAATTACAGCAGATCTCTGTTCTCTTATTTCCTTGTTCTCTTATTATCTCACAACGTCGATCTAGACAACGAAGAAGCTCGGCAAATGCAAAAATTATCGAGGTTTAGTTTCAAAACTGTCTGAATCGATCTCGCCCATGCCGCATTTATTTTTTATGAATCAAATCTCTATTTTTACAAGAGATAAAGCAATGTTTGCAAGCAAGAAAGATTTGTCCGAGGAACAAGCAGAAAATATTTTTTGCAAAATAAAAAGGCTCAAAGTGAAAGGTAACAATTGTAAATGTTGCCTTGCTGAATTATAATGTAAAAAATTACATACACCAAGAAACTGAGTGATTAATAAAGAGTTTTTTAAGCAGGTTATAGTCTTCTCAGCAGTGAATATCTCAAGATTGAAAATTATCAATAGATGGAATCACTGAATTGAACAACGATTAGCAACATCGGGAAATCGTCAATTGTTTGTGGACCTTTTCTTTCATTCGCCTCTAAATAGTTTAAACATCTTTGTGTGACATTTTTGCTTGATAAAAATAGAATACTATTTAACAGATCGTGAAGAAAACTTCATTTATTTTAAAAAATCAGGTGATTTAGGAAAGGGCAAAAGAAATTCAAATAGAAATATATCGATAAAAAACCAATGAGATGCTAACTTGACCTAGCAATTTAAGGATATGACCAACTAAATCGGAAGCTGGAGGCAAAAGGAAAGAAATGCTATTTGCCTTCAAAGACTGATGGACAAATATAAAGCTCAGTGAAAGCTCAGTTAAAGCTGCACAAAACAAGCTATGGAAAATTTAATGTATAAAGAAAGGTTGTTAGCATCCATCACAGTTGATCTATATCCTTCAAAAGAGGACGCGGTGCAATAAACAAGATGATTTCACTTCTTGGAACAGCGAGAGCTTACCAGATTGCTTAAATAGATGTTTCTCTGTTAGACAGAGAAAATTAACGTGATTTTGAAATGTTTTCTTAATTAAGCTGGACGAAATGCTCAAATGTAGCATACACCTGCTGCCTACGCCAAAGTCAATGCACTGACGTTCAATAATTTGCTGTTTGTAGTCGACTAAATCGTTCTTTTTTTCCCACAGAATTGTGTGTTGACAAACACAAATTAGTGTTACAAAGATTCTAAGCCCCGTGCAACTTACAAGGCGACATTTAACGTAACACAAAGATTTTAGGTTTATTAGCAATGAAAATTTCACAAAATTCACCAGGCCGGATAACATCAGTAGGGCAAAAGAATCATCGAAATAGTCCGCTATGGTTTAAATGTCTCCAGCGGAAAACGGTGTCCCATCGAGGCGGGCTCTCAATTCATTCAAGTTTATGGCTTATTTTATAGCAGAAGCTAACTGTGTGATTTTAGCCATCGATTCACTTTAAACTCAATAAAATCAACAGAACTTCTTTCTGTAAGACCGACGCTTTAACGGAATACGGGAGTCCGTGCAGGGCGATTCAGTAATTGAAAGGATACAGTGTTTTCCAGGGAACAATGGCACGTTTGAAAGCATTTCAGCCAAGATACAACCGACACTCCACAAGTCTATTGACTTTGTGTAGCCTTTGGAGTTGAGCATGATTTCTGGGGCTCGGTACCATCTGGTAGCAACGTACTCTGTCAGTATACCAGTGTGGTCATGCTGGGGATCAGCAACTCTCGCCAAACCGAAATCACATATCTGAAAACGAACCATACCATAAACATTTAAAGAAATACGGCTATAAGCATAAGACACGATTCGTGTAACATTTTAGGCCAGTTATAGAGATAGGCCATTTTGATAATTTTCAAAACATTGTGTTCCAGCATAACAAATGTAAAAAGCTCACTGCTTTTTCCGTTGACTATAGTTCCACTTGTCAATATTTTTCTTCAGGCCATAACACCACATAGTTGCTATTCGGACGAATATTTCAATGATACACAAAAGCATATAAATACAGGTGAATAATTTCATTACAAGGATAAATTGCCAAAACGTCCTTGAAACCAGACAACATTTTGCCACAATCCTGCAAACAGTTTTTAGCTATAGAAGATTCCAAGCGTTTAAAATACTCAAATAAACTTATCACGCAATCAACCAAAAACTCAAAAATGGAACATTTCGAAAATGGCAAATAATACCCCAAAATCTAGCGAATTTTACTTTCTGTTTTGAGAGTTCTGTCAAAAAACGTAGCGAAATCTGTTTCTGGATCTTTTTACCATTGCATATGCATTTTATAGATATCTTAATGGAGAAAGATTAACCGAGGATGGATGAATAAAACCATAACGGTTCTTCTTGACGTTCGGCTTATCACATTCGTCAATATACATCTCACAGATCTGCGTGGGTATCGTTTAAGAACAGTCAAGATTCGACGAGCTGTTGCATTCAGTAACTAAACATTGGAAAACCAAACCTCCTTAAATAATGCAGAAATGTAGTTAATCTAGATCTGAATTGGTCAAGCACACACAAGCACATGGCGAAATTCCCATCTGAAAGCCGAATTTTAAGAAAGGTTTCTCAAAAGAGGCTTGCGTAGATTTCTAGAAAATTTACCTTTAAATCACACGTTGTGTTCAGCAGCAAATTGCTTGGTTTTAGATCTCTGTGCAGTACATTTGCCGAATGAATATACTTCAACCCTCGAAGAATTTGATACAGAAAATAGCAGACATGGTCATTGCTAAGTTTCTGTGTCTTCAGGAGTTTGTACAAATCTGTTTCCATCAACGTCTGTACAATATATCTTTGCATTTGTCAAGAAAGCGTTTTAATAGTGTCAGTGTAATGGCTGTCTCGATTGCACTGTGAAATTCCTCCGCACACAATATAAAGTTGCTCTATTTTTCAAATGAATAATAACATCTAATCATAGCTTTGATTGGGATGATAACCTTTCAATTTAATAAAACAGTAATAAGCAGTGCTGCAAAACAAAAACTAAAGGTTCAATCATAAAAAATGCATTTACAACGCATAGGTTTCCCAAAACAAAAGGCATTCAAAAAACTAACTAGACTCAATTGATTATAAACCATATGTCTTCAAAAGACAAAGGCTCAAAAATACACATCACCATAATGATTAATCCATTTGCATAGTTTTCCTTTAGATCTGCACTTATAAATGTATTATATCTTTTGTCCTTCACAGCAATTTACAACCTTAGTACAGCATTATGTAAAAAGGTTGAGCGGTACAGGCATGAACATTTCACAAACAGGATCTTTCAACAAGAGGTTTAATAAATAAGCCGGTAAAAGATAGTTATGTAGTTACATAGTAAGTTAATTAATTATTATGCTCTTGTGAGCTTTTAAAAGCTATATCACTGAATACAAATAAACAAAAACAAAGTTAATTCAATTAATAAATTTAAGATATTTTCAATATGGTAACAAAATTTCAATATTGGAAGCTACTAAATTTTAGACTGTTTGAAAGAAGTTCAAATACATAAAGATAAATAAATACAATTAAAATTATCGAAAAGATACACATCTTTCATTTCCTCAAGATGGGGTGCCCTCAAAATGTCTTGAATGTTGATGATCTATAAAAGAAATCAAATGAAAATTCGGCAGTGTAAAGAAACCTTCGTGATATAATTGAAAATTAAGCAAGCAAAAAACTGAGTCATGTAATTGGTGTTAAGATTGCAGGTAAAGTCAACTTCAATTTAAACAAGAAGTAATTGAAAATTGAAAAAATTTATGACAAGCAATCCACTGAAAGTAGCATAGTTAGAAAATTAATGAAATTTACATTTTCATGGTTGAACCGTGTAAGAATCTTGATTTCTCTTAATGTCCTCTGACAGTAAGTTTGATGCTCAAATGGACTGATCTTCTTTATGGCCACTTTCTGTTTATGAAAAATATCTGTTGCTGAACTGCAAAGTAAATAAAAAAATATTTTAATGCATCTATCTTGCAGATATATCAAATGAAACACAATAGGAGCTGGTATGTTTTATCATGGGGGTAGTTAGGATTTTGACAATGGGGGTGGCTTAATCTTTTTACAAACATATAGAAAGAAATGACTGTATTGAAAATAATGTTAAGAGGCAATGCACAAACATGTACAAACCAACACAGTCAAGTGAGAGAGGGTTATGAGGCAACATGTGTACATTTTGAAACTCAGTACGATCTGCAAGCATTTTGGCTGGGGACCCTCTAGATATGGGGGGGGGGCTCAGCCTCCTTGCCTCCTTTTACCTACGCTTTGCATTTTATATATGCACGACATAAACCAATTGACTAAACATGTGGACACTTGACATAGACCTTATTCATTGGAAAAGGGAAGCACTTGAAAATGAAATGTAGTATCTAGATAACAATGAATTGCATAAGATGAAAATAAAACTCTGAACAACCTTCTACATTAATTGAGGTTACTTGAGATAACAACTCATAAAGGTAACAAAGTCTAACCCGAACTGCGTGGTTTTACACAAAACGAGATTGATATCACCTAAAAAATGATTATGCCTCTTTAATAATTGTTTTTGACCACAAAACTTTTCTGATTAGATTCATCTTATAAAAAACCTGTACTACAAAGGGTTAATAAGCCAAAAATCCATACTTTGAACAGTTTATCAACAGACACAAAATAGTATTGAAAATAATTAGCTAATTCATCACAGGAACCAAAACTATATCAGCAGGATTTGAAAGTTCTGGGACAGATGTGAAAGTACTAAAGAAAGTTGCTAACAATTATTTTGCCCTTACTCACTGATTGAACCATAATATGACATTAAGATAAATTTAGTTTGTTATATATATATATAATTGCAGTTGCGCAGTCCTGACATGAAGGTTTCATGTTGTTTCTGCTTCTGCAGCTCTGCACACTACTTCTGATATTCTTCTCCATTCTTTGCAGTCCTTTGCTGTGGATCGCATCTTTTCAAAATCTCCATTGTTCTTTATGTTCGGTAGCGGAAAAGACCTTTTCCATTGCTCTTGCTCTGGCGATAGCATTATTTAAGGTTGTCATGAGAGTTTCTCTAGTTTTTTATAAGAGATTTTATTCTAAAACCTCAGGCAAGGTCCTTGCAAAATTCATATGACTATTGTATTTAGAAATTCTGGCTGAGTTTTCAGCTTCAGCATCAAATAACATAAACATTTCAAAAATTTCAAATATTGTCTGTAATTCACTCTCTAGCACCAATTATTTCGGTGCAATTAGTTAATGAATATTTGAAAATAAAAATCCAATAAAAAATATTGAAGATAAGGAAAAAATATTTATAATTTTGGAAGAAGGCTGCTAGCAGAAAAGTTGCTAGCGGGGGGTGTAGGGGAGTGTGACATCCCCCAATTTTTCATGATTTTGGTGGTAAATTTTTAGTTTGTGCTAAAATTCCTTTGTTTATCGGTAGGTGAAATAGCATGTGGCTTTTAAAAAACAGTGCAGTATGCTTAAGAAGTGAATCCCTTGCAGAATGCAAAGAAACTTGCACTGAAAAACTGAAAAAGGTTGGGTTTTATGCAGCCGACAATTAAACGATGATACAGATAAGGTCATATAAATACAGATTAAACTTGAGCCTGTTCACTCTTGAGAGAAAACACAATAATATAATTTGCAAATAGCAGATGAGATCCTATTACAGCTGTCTTTAGGTTTCATTAATATTTAGGGAATAATTAAACTGGCAAAAGCAGTGAAAAGTGATAAACATAAACCTACTTATTTACAAATAACAAATGATGACAGATGTTTTTGAGCAACAGAATAAACAACTGAATGATCCAGGGAAAAATAGACAAAACAGATATATATATATCATTGTCATAAAACAGGCAATAACCGTGAAAAATTGTGACTAGTGAATGAATTAATAATTATGGCTAGCAAGAAAGAAAAACCAAACAAGATTAAGATAAGCTCAGTCTCATTGAAAATAGACGACAGCTTTAGAACCATTCAAACTGTAAATTGATAATATTAGAACAAGTCATAAAATTTACAAATCAGGAGAAACAAAATGCTGTTTTTACATTCCTATTTTACACTGCCCCTGTAAATTGGACACTCCTGCCGCCCCCCAATCAATGTTGGACTAGAAGTTCTCTCATTTGTGCTTCAAAAAACATGCATTCAACATTGAATAGGGGGGGGGGGGGTTACTTTTGAAAGGAAAGAGAAAACATCAACTTTCTTGAAAAATTTCTACTATTTTCATCCTTAAGAACTGAATTGGATCGATATATTCTAAATCAAAATTTTCCTAGACAAAATTCTAAAATCCTGTATCAACAGCCAGACCATAAAGTATAAAGGAATTGAAGCATGAAACTAAAAAAAAGGTAAACACCACCAACTTATTCCACAGCTCTTTGTTGTTATGGGGTAGTCTGCAAATAACTCCAAAAATTTTAACTATGGTGGGTTGGAAACAGTGCCTTGCAAATACTTTACACCATGATCACAATATAATTTTGAAGTATAATTGTAAGGAGGGGGGTAGTATGAGGTCATTTCATTTGCAATCTTTTTCTTATATTGGAAGCACTTTCCTTTACTACATTTCAATCCATTCACTTTTGGACAATTATCAATAAGATATGTACTAGATTTTTCATGAATGTTCCTCTACAAATCAATCTACTTCTTACAACAAGCAGAGCAAAGGAGCAGTGTCACCTTTACTGAGAAAATGGCTTTACTTTCATAGACAATCTATTGCAAATTAGCAAACAGAATGAGACCCTGTACCTTGGTGCAAATAACACAAAATGAAGTTGAATTGAAAATTATTTGCCAAATAAATTGGTAGACTATTGGTCTGAGAAATGGCATAGGATTTGTTTGAAAAAGGAGTCACACAGAGCTTTCTCTGCCAAAAATTTTTTAAAAAATTGTGCAATGCAATCTATAAAAAGAGAACAAAGAAAATTTTAAAATCATTGATTTAAGAAGTCAGAAACAAAAAACTCTACGGACAGGTCCATCCCTGGCACCTTGTGCTGACTTTTCAGAGGCTGAGAATGGGCTTTTTGTAAAAACTTATAACACTTTCTGCTCCAAAACACAGTTGTGCATTTTATTTTTCACCAACTGAGAACGACAGTCAGTAAAAATGAGCATGATTAAACTGACATTTGTAAATGCAACTGACTTGAAAAGGCACTTCCATGTGGCTTGCTTGATTCAAATGAAATGCAGGTTTATGAAATAGCACTGATAGAAAGGTTTTTTTCTTTTCTGTCAAGTTCAATAGCAATGATAATGAAATAAACTCTTAGGAACACAAAGTACAACAAATCATTTAAAACTGTGAATCAAAACTTTCCAGAAATGGTAAAACTTATCAAAATCTTAGAACCTGAATCCAATCATAACTTGTTTTAATTCTCTGATAAAGATTCATTTGTTCTATTAAAGCTATTCACTGTAATTTGCAACTTCTCAAAATAAAGGATTTTTATAAGCCTTGCAAAATTTAGCCATTCCAAGTCCACTGGGAAACATCAACATTGGATATGTTATCCCCACATAAAAGGACAATAAAAACATTAATTTACGAAGTTCTATACAGGCTCATCAGAATTGGTGGGGGCTGGGTGTGCTGGAGCCCTTCTAATAATTGTCAAACTGTAGTATATTTCCTTTATATACATGTACTAAATGAGAAGGAATACAATGGGTAGCCCCCCCCCCAATATGAATTTCGTTCTGACAGCACTGCTATATAGTAAGTTTGTTTAAAAAGAAGACATTTGGGTGTTACTATGAGTTTTATGACATTGCAAGACACACCCACGCATCAAATTGCCTTAAATAAAAAATTTTCTGCATTTCTTTGCATCAAGCATTGTTATACCAAAATATACAACACATACTTGAATCAACAAATTGATACATTTTTAGGGGGTTATTTTTCAAAAAGGGGCTGACAATGTTTCTTCTCCATTGCCATCAAAGTTTAATCAGAGATTTACCTCAATATACAAAAGGTGATCATATGCATTTGTGTGCTTTATAGTGATTTTGTTCAACCACCTATTCTCTCAAATACTTTTTCAAAAAAGGCTATGCAAAATCAAGTACAAATAACCCAAGTTTATTTTATTATATTCAAATCTGAAATTCATTTTCAGAAAATATTAAGCTCCAAAGTGTTTGTATCTATTTAATAATTGATTATACATTTAAACCCAGTTATTTGAATAAATTTTGGTTGTTTTAAATAAAACACCTCTAGCAGTGATTTTATCATCCATTGAATAAACAGTAAATATTGTACACTGTAAATAGCTAATATTCCTAAAATTATTGGTGGCACAACTTGGTTTGCCTGAAGTTTCTGATGACATGTCCATCTTTATGTTTCCTTAAGTTGCAAAACCTAATACATTTAGAGTAAAAGTGTACACATCTCTCTTAGAAATGTCTTTATCTAAACATAATAAACTGATTAATTGGTTAAATTGGAGAAAAAGTGATTTCTTTGTCAAAGACTTGTGAAGGTTGTATTCCAAGAAAACATCAGCCAAATGTTACCTAGCTTTTTACAGCTGGTGTAATGAGCTCTTATAATGCTTAGTGTTTGCGTTAAATTCTGGCTTCCAATTGACAAACTGCCTATTTTAAAAAATTCAGTTTGAGGCATGAGCAGCAGCATTTTCAGAAAATGCTACATTGTACATAAGTTATTTTTGAGATAAATATAATAATGAAATTCAAGAAAGGGCATGATTATAAAAAAAATTATTATTTTATCTGTTTACAATTTCGGGATGGCTGAATTATTCCTCCTCTCTGAAGGAATGTGCACATGCCATAGTCTCTGAAAAACTATCAAGGACAAGTTTTCCTTCGAAGAATATGGAAGGTTTTAAAAGCATAGAAAACATTGCACGTTTAAAACAACGGGCTTGCAGGCTAAATATTCAAGACATTGTGTTTACGCTCAGTTAAAGGTAACTCGCAGCTGACTTCGGTGTTGGCCCAAGGTTTGGGAATTAAATCACTGTAGCGAACATGTACCGTTTCATGCCCAAAACTAAGCAACAGCAAAACTTCCTTGAATTTAAGCTGCAAGGATGAGATGGGCATCAAAATAATTTTGCGTATTGTAAAGGCGCTAATCATAGGGTATGATTTATGGACGCAAAAGGGAGACTTGGTAATACAGGTCCGTCTAACCGTGTACAGAAGGACGGGAAGGTTGCTAATAGAATAAAACAGCCAAAGCGATAACCAAGAATAAAATCATGCATATTCTTACCAAACCATGCCATAAGCACCTTCTCCAATGTAGCTTAGATTGACATATCTTGGTCCTACAACAAATGCCTGCCCACGAATAATCTCAACCGGACTGGACGCCATCTTCGTTGCAATTCCAGACGCCGAGATTCGCGGAGCTGGTTGCTTCTATGTTCTGCTCCTTCCCAGCAACAACCGCAAACATTCCTGATGGATTCATTTGAATGATTCAGCGAACAAAAGCATGATACCCCAATTCGTGTCTTGGGATACACCCGAGAACAATTTTAAGGAATTTTAAAGGGATGTGGTGGGATTAGGCGGAAGTAATGCTTTTAAGAATCACAAAACATTTTAAGAACATACGAGAAGTAACTTACACTCAGGGCCCACGCTACAAATTAAAAAATGGGTGGAGGGGGCAAGGCTAGCAAAAGTAGGGGGCCAAGGCTTCTTTCCCCTGCTAAACTACTTGCTTCGCAAAAAGTGGGGGCTATGGCCACCCCACCCTTCCTCCCAAGGCCCCCCCGGTGGCGTGGACCTTGATACTAAAGTCTGTGATTCAGGTTGGTATTAAAGAAAATTAAATTCGCACAAAAAATTAACTGAGAAGAAGCTTTAGAAACGACGTCGGAACCGGGGGGCACCATGTACCCCCAGTATTTTAAAGCAGTGTCCCCTTCTGAAAGAGTATCCCCTTTTCTGCGACAAAGAGCCCCTTCCTACGAATGCCCCTCAAATTTTGTGAATGTTTCGGACACCAATGAACTTTCGACCCATGCAAAATAAAAAAAATGGTCGTTAATAAGCTGGGGATTTCGTAAAACGATTGTGACACGGCTTAAATTTTGAGGACATTATTGCCCAAAGATTTTGAGACGTAGAAGCAAAAATCTTTTTTGTTTGCATCTTATCAGAAAAAGATTGATACCATCAACATAGATTTATACAATATATTTACCATGAAAATTCATATAGCTTACGAGAATTTTCCAGGTTGCATATGAAACTGGAAGATAGGTAATTTTCATTTTCATCTTCAAATGAAATGTACTGTTTTGTGTTAATCAAATTTAATGATTTTTCATGAAGTTCCATAGAATCGACAAAGCGTTCAAACATGGGTGAGGATAAACCATTGATATGAAAGATATAATGTTCGGATTAGTTTATATGAAAAAGGATTATTTAACTAAAGAAGAATGAGTGGTTATCTGAAAATTACAAAGGACAGTTGAAAAGAAAAGGGCTTAAGATAGTGAATTAACCAACGCATATTGTAAAATATCGAACAAGGAAACATCAAATGACTGGAGAAGATACGAACACTGTGGAGGAGAATACTATAATGAACAACAAGTACGCATTGATGCACTCCACAAGAAGGTGGGCGGGGTTTTGGCCTGTTGTTTTCAAACAAATATAAACTATTGCCCTCTTGGCGTGGAAAATTTGGTAGAAACGAGCACGTTTTTAGACATCACTAAAGAAATGGTCTCAAGAAATCAAACAACATATTTCATAGACATCGCCTGATTACAGAACAAAGTTCCCTGTCTAACTGAATATACCATTTATCATCCTGTCAAACGGGAATCATCTCTACTTTACGGGCACCCATTCAAGTATCCTTCATAATACATCTAAACATATTTGCGATTCTAATTTAATTCTTCGTACCCTGAATTTTGATAAAGATCGAGAATGTCAAGATCAGACAGAAAAAGATGTCACGTGCTGGATCTTATTCCAGAATGCAAATAAAACTCTGAAATTTCATATACAACATTGAATCTAGCTATCAGTTGAATTTTAATGATTTCAAAAGTTGCTGTTTAAATAACTGTCGATCATCACGTCCTCATCATGGTATCCATGCTATTTTCTTGCTGCCGTCCGCTAACCAAGAAACGTGACCAGAATATTGACTCTCTGAGCCTGGGAATATAAAACATTTTATTAGCTTCAGTTGCTCCTATGTTAAGGACTAGCTTTTTTAGCACTAAGCATTCTTATCTGCAGCATCCCAACAGCCAACACCATGGACACTATCATTATACACGTTGACACTAACGACCATACTGACTTATATTCAAGTAAAATAGGCTCAGTCCTAGAGGCCCAATCCTTGAGACTCAGTCCTAGAGACTCAGTCCTAGAGACTCAGTCCTAGAGACTCAGTCCTAGAGACTCAGTCCTAGAGACTCAGTCCTAGAGACTAAGTCCTATAGGCTGCCCAAAGGCGTGAAGAGACGCGAGATTCTAGACAAGACAGTCATAGAAGGAAAGACAACAAAATGTTCTCGTGGCAAGAAGATACGAGGCTGGAGTGACTCAAATGAAATCAAGGCTGCAAACTTAGTGAGCAAGGGAGGTTTTTCCCACATAGTGATCGTTATATAGAAACTCTGAGCTTGGCTATGTCTTGAAGAGGAGTTTTTCATCATCACCAAGGATTGAGTTTGAAGAACAAGCTACCCACAATACGTTCTAAACATTCATCGCTCTGGTTTTGACAAATTGTTTTTTAAAAAAATATTATTTTCCCCTTAGTGTGGAAATTTTGGTAGAAAGGAGTAAGCTTTCGGATATATCTAAATAAATGGTTTCTAGCAATTAAACAACTGAGTTAACAAAACCTCTGGTTTCTTCGAAAACTTCATCGATCCAAAAACACAGTTAGTTAGGAATGGCTGGGGCCTGATGTTGTGAATTTTCATCCTATCGAAGCTGCTAGCCATTAAGACTGCTAATCGCCTGGTACAAGCTATTATCGTGTTACCAAAACTGTGCGGGGGAGTCATCATCCGATTTAGTAATCATAAATTGCTCTAATTATGTCTTTGAGAAGGGTGTTGGGTGAAGGTGAAAAAATATAACAGTTAAAGAAAAGCCAAAATCGGTCCGAGTCATAGAATTCAGAACTAATCATCGAACATCTAAGTAAAACATTGATAAGGTATATCGCTGAAATTTTTAACAGGCTAAACTCAATATCGGGCTGATATCGGGCCTATATCGATGCAATCACTATCATAAGACCGATGCTTCTAAAATAAAAAAATCTGAATTTACTTGAAAATATATTTTCAGCACACGTGTTACTAACTACGTTGAAAATACCAAGTACGATGCTAAGATACTGCCTGAGGCAGAATATACGATTAAAAAAAGGGGGAGGGTTTTTTCTAACAAAGGGCACTCTTAATTCACTAACTTAAGAACTGCTTGAATTTGATTGGGTCAAAATAAAATGTTTAGAGAAGAAGAGCCCTAAGTTAAATTGGCGAATGACTGTCGGCAAGGAACTAAGGGCTTTAGACCTGAAGGCACTCGCATTTCTGCGAAAGAAATTGAGAATATTGCTGGTACAAAAAGTAATTGTCTCTAAAGTGAATCGAGATAACGAGGAAATTGTAAGAAATAGGAGCAAATTGGGGACAATTCATAGAAATACTTTGAAATCCAAGGAAATTGTAGAGCCCATCAATTTCAAAAGCTTAATGACAATAGCATGAAGTGTTATGGTCCTCTTACCTACTTAGCCTTTAAGTGAAGACATTCCAGCTTTCATCATCTCATCGACCAAAAGAATATTACCAGCAATGGCAGAGCTGCAAAAAACAGAATGTAGAAAAGTCATTGTCAATGCAAAGCTGGGCGAAAAAAGATCATTATATTGAATGAGTTTTGGCATCAGAAAGGAAATCTTATCAATGCAAGTCTTTGGAAATTTAGCACGAAAGTTATTTCGATTTTACTATGACCCTTTAATTTGCAGCCATTGCTGCAACCCCGGCACTTTTAAATACTAAATCTCCGTCTCGCTTCAAGAGGACTGAAATCCTTCGCATAACAGAACACCATTCAGCTATATCCGTGACGCTATTACTTGCCACAGATCTGCCATTTAGTGCCCCAATTATGATTTGTTATCAGGGCCGGTTCAAATGAGGCTGGGAAAATCCACCCAGGTACGAGCCAGCCAAATAGGTGACTACTTTGCGAAACTGATACTCTGTTCTTATGAGGAGTGGGCTGGCCAAGTGGGCCCACCTAGGCGATATCCCACTGTAATGACACATGGATCCCACGAAGATGGAATAGAAATTTCCAATATAAACACGATTCAGTGAGACAGTCCGGCAAGGTAAACAAATAGAGAGAGTGCACAGCACTTGAACAAGTTAGCAAAACAAATAATTCTTTTTTTCAGGAATTGAAGCTAGCCTACAAAAAGTGGGATGAAGGCTCTACACATAAAAGAATAACGAAGACCTTCAGAAAATCAGCCGGCTATCGACCGAAATGGAATATCTCATGGAACTGGCCCTTAGTTTCTTAAAAAAATTCCTGGGAAACAAAATAAAATGGAGGGAACATACTATCAGGAAAACCTTTCTGTAAAACCAAACACAGGTAGACAACCGTACATCATTCAGTAAAGCATCTAATTAAACTCAATAAAATATTGAGAATAAGCCTTGACTTTCCTATTGATATTCAAATCATCCAGTACAACCTTTCCACTCGTGAACTCGGNTTTTATCTGTTTACAATTTCGGGATGGCTGAATTATTCCTCCTCTCTGAAGGAATGTGCACATGCCATAGTCTCTGAAAAACTATCAAGGACAAGTTTTCCTTCGAAGAATATAGAAGGTTTTAAAAGCATAGAAAATATCGCACGTTTAAAACAACGGGCTTGCAGGCTAAATATTCAAGACATTGTGTTTACGCTCAGTTAAAGGTAACTCGCAGCTGACTTCGGTGTTGGCCCAAGGTTTGGGAATTAAATCACTGTAGCGAACATGTACCGTTTCATGCCCAAAACTAAGCAACAGCAAAACTTCCTTGAATTTAAGCTGCAAGGATGAGATGGGCATCAAAATAATTTTGCGTATTGTAAAGGCGCTAATCATAGGGTATGATTTATGGACGCAAAAGGGAGACTTGGTAATACAGGTCCGTCTAACCGTGTACAGAAGGACGGGAAGGTTGCTAATAGAATAAAACAGCCAAAGCGATAACCAAGAATAAAATCATGCATATTCTTACCAAACCATGCCATAAGCACCTTCTCCAATGTAGCTTAGATTGACATATCTTGGTCCTACAACAAATGCCTGCCCACGAATAATCTCAACCGGACTGGACGCCATCTTCGTTGCAATTCCAGACGCCGAGATTCGCGGAGCTGGTTGCTTCTATGTTCTGCTCCTTCCCAGCAACAACCGCAAACATTCCTGATGGATTCATTTGAATGATTCAGCGAACAAAAGCATGATACCCCAATTCGTGTCTTGGGATACACCCGAGAACAATTTTAAAGAATTTTAAAGGGATGTGGTGGGATTAGGCGGAAGTAATGCTTTTAAGAATCACAAAACATTTTAAGAACATACGAGAAGTAACTTATACTCAGGGCCCACGCTACAAATTAAAAAATGGGTGGAGGGGGCAAGGCTAGCAAAAGTAGGGGGCCAAGGCTTCTTTCCCCTGCTAAACTACTTGCTTCGCAAAAAGTGGGGGCTATGGCCACCCCACCCTTCCTCCCAAGGCCCCCCCCCGGTGGCGTGGACCTTGATACTAAAGTCTGTGATTCAGGTTGGTATTAAAGAAAATTAAATTCGCACAAAAATTAACTGAGGAGAAGCTTTAGAAACGACGTCGGAACCAGGAGGGGGGATGTACCCCAGTATTTTAAAGCTGTGTCCCCTTCTGAAAGAGTATCCCCTTTTCTGCGACAAAGAGCCCCTTCCTACAAATGCCCCTCAAATTTTGTGAATGTTTCGGACGCCAATGAACTTTCGACCCATGCAAAATAAAAAAAATGGTCGTTAATAAGCTGGGGATTTCGTAAAACGATTGTGACACGGCTTAAATTTTGAGGACATTATTGCCCAAAGATTTTGAGACGTAGAAGCAAAAATCTTTTTTGTTTGCATCTTATCAGAAAAAGATTGATACCATCAACATAGATTTATACAATATATTTACCATGAAAATTCATATAGCTTACGAGAATTTTCCAGGTTGCATATGAAACTGGAAGATAGGTAATTTTCATTTTCATCTTCAAATGAAATGTACTGTTTTGTGTTAATCAAATTTAATGATTTTTCATGAAGTTCCATAGAATCGACAAAGCGTTCAAACATGGGTGAGGATAAACCATTGATATGAAAGATATAATGTTCGGATTAGTTTATATGAAAAAGGATTATTTAACTAAAGAAGAATGAGTGGTTATCTGAAAATTACAAAGGACAGTTGAAAAGAAAAGGGCTTAAGATAGTGAATTAACCAACGCATATTGTAAAATATCGAACAAGGAAACATCAAATGACTGGAGAAGATACGAACACTGTGGAGGAGAATACTATAATGAACAACAAGTACGCATTGATGCACTCCACAAGAAGGTGGGCGGGGTTTTGGCCTGTTGTTTTCAAAAAAATATAAACTATTGCCCTCTTGGCGTGGAAAATTTGGTAGAAACGAGCACGTTTTTAGACATCACTAAAGAAATGGTCTCAAGTAATCAAATAACATATTTCATAGACATCGCCTGATTACAGAACAAAGTTCCCTGTCTAACTGAATATACCATTTATCATCCTGTCAAACCGGAATCATCTCTACTTTACGGGCACCCATTCAAGTATCCTTCATAATACATCTAAACATATTTGCGATTCTAATTTAATTCTTCGTACCCTGAATTTTGAAAAAGATCGAGAATGTCAAGATCAGACAGAAAAAGAATGTCACGTGCTGGATCTTATTCCAGAATGTAAATAAAACTCTGAAATTTCATATACAACATTGAATCTAGCTATCAGTTGAATTTTAATGATTTCAAAAGTTGCTGTTTAAATAACTGTCGATCATCACGTCTTCATCATGGTATCCATGCTATTTTCTTGCTGCCGTCCGCTAACCAAGAAATGTGACCAGAAAATTGACTCTCTGAGCCTGGGAATATAAAACAGTTTATTAGCTTCAGTTGCTCCTATGTTAAGGATTAGCTTAAGGACTAGGCATTCTGATCTGCAGCATCCCAACAGCCAACACCATGGACACTATCATTATACACGTTGACACTAACGACCATACTGACTTATATTCAAGTAAAATAGGCCCAGTCCTAGAGGCTCAGTCCTAGAGACTCAGTCCTAGAGACTCAGTCCTAGAGGCTCAGTCCTAGAGGCTCAGTCCTAGAGGCTCAGTCCTAGAGGCTCAGTCCTAGAGACTCAGTCCTAGAGACTCGGTCAAAGAGACTCATTCTTAGAGACTCAGTCCTAGAGACTCAGTCCTAGAGGCTCAGTCAAAGAGACTCATTCTTAGAGACTCAGTCCTAGAGACTCAGTCCTAGAGACTCGGTCAAAGAGACTCATTCTTAGAGACTCAGTCCTAGAGACTCAGTCCTAGAGACTCAGTCAAAGAGACTCATTCTTAGAGACTCAGTCCTAGAGACTCAGTCCTAGAGGCTCAGTCCTAGAGGCTCAGTCCTAGAGGCTCAGTCCTAGAGACTCATTCTTAGAGACTCAGTCCTAGAGACTCAGTCCTAGAGACTCAGTCCTAGAGACTCAGTCCTAGAGGCTCAGTCCTAGAGACTCATTCTTAGAGACTCAGTCCTAGAGACTCAGTCCTAGAGACTCAGTCCTAGAGACTCAGTCCTAGAGGCTCAGTCCTAGAGGCTCAGTCCTAGAGGCTCAGTCCTAGAGGCTCAGTCCTAGAGACTCAGTCCTAGAGACTCGTCCTAGAGACTCAAAGAGACTCATTCTTAGAGACTCAGTCCTAGAGACTCAGTCCTAGAGACTCAGTCCTAGAGACTCAGTCCTAGAGACTCAGTCCTAGAGACTCAGTCCTAGAGACTCAGTCCTAGAGACTCATTCTTAGAGGCTAAGTCCTATAGGCTGCCCAAAGGCGTAAAGAGACGCGAGATTCTAGACAAGACAGTCATAGAAGGAAAGACAACAAAATGTTCTTGTGGCAAAAAGATACGAGGCTGGAGTGACTCAAATGAAATCAAGGCTACAAACTTAGTGAGCAAGGAAGGCTTTTCCTACATAGTGATCGTTATATAGAAACTCTGAGCATGGCTATGTCTTGAAGAGGAGTTTTTCATCATCACCAAGGATTGGGTTTGAAGAACAAGCTACCCACAATACGTTCTAAACATTCATCGCTCTGGTTTTGACAAATTGTTTTTAAAAAAAATATTATTGCTCTCTTAGCGTGGAAACTTTGGTAGAAAGGAGTAAGCTTTCGGATATCAATAAATAAATGGTCTCTAGAAATTAAACAACTGAGTTAACAAAACCTCTGGTTTCTTCGAAAACTTCACCGATCCAAAAACACAGTTAGTTAGGAATGGCTGGGGCCTGATGTTGTGAATTTTCATCCTATCGAAGCTGCTAGCCATTAAGACTGCTAATTGCCTGGTACAAGCTATTATCGTGTTACCAAAACTGTGCATGGGAGTCATCATCCGATTTAGTAATCATAAATTGCTCTAATTATGTCTTTGAGAAGGGTGTTGGGTGAAGGTGAAAAAATATAACAGTTGACGAAAAGCAAAAATCGGTCAGAGTCATGGAATTCAGAACTAATCATCGAACATCTAAGTCATAAAACATTGATAAGGTATATCGCTGAAATTTTTGACAGGCTAAACTCAACATCGAGCTGATATCGGGCCTATATCGATGCAATCACTATCATAAGACCGATGCTTCTAAAATAAAAAAATCTGAATTTACTTGAAAATATATTTTCAGCACACGTGTTACTAACTACGTTGAAAATACCAAGTACGATGCAAAGATACTGCCTGAGGCAGAACATACGATTAAAAAAAGGGGAGGGTTTTTTCTAACAAAGGGCACTCTTAATTCACTAACTTAAGAACTGCTTGAATTTTATTGGGTCAAAATAAAATGTTTGGAGAAGAAGAGCCCTAAGTTAAATTGGCGAATGACTGTCGGCAAGGAACTTAGGGCTTTAGACCTGAAGGCACTTGCATTTCTGCGAAAGAAATTGAGAATATTGCTGGTACAAAAAGTAATTGTCTCTAAAGTGAATCGAGATAACGAGGAAATTGTAAGAAATAGGAGCAAATTAAGGAAAATTCATAGAAATACTTTGAAATCCAAGGAAATTGTAGAGCCCATCAATTTCAAAAGCTTAATGACAATAGCATGAAGTGTTATGGTCCTCTTACCTACTTAGCCTTTAAGAGAAGACATTCCAGCTTTCATCATCTCATCGACCAAGAGAATATTACCAGCAATGGCAGAGCTGCAAAAAACAGAATGTAGAAAAGTCATTGTCAATGCAAAGCTGGGCGAAAAAAGATCATTATATTGAACGAGTTTTGGCATCAGAGAAGAAATCTTATCTATGCATGTCTTTAAAAATATAGCGTAAAAGCGGTTTTACTATGACCCTTTAATTTGCAGCCATTGCTGCAACCCCGGCACTTTTAAATACTAAATCTCCGTCTCGCTTCAAGAGGACTGAAATCCTTCGCATAACAGAACACCATTCAGCTATATCCGTGACGCTATTACTTGCCACAGATCTGCCATTTAGTGCCCCAATTATGATTTGTTATCAGGGCCGGTTCATATGAGGCTGGGAAAACCCACTCAGGTACGAGCCAGCCAAATAGGTGACTACTATGCGAAACTGATACTCTGTTCTTATGAGGAGTGGGCTGGCCAAGTGGGCCCACCTAGGCGATATCCCACTGTAATGACACATGGATCCCACTAAGATCGAATAGAAATTTCCAATATAAACACGATTCAGTGAGACAGTCCGGCAAGGTAAACAAATAGAGAGAGTGCACAGCACTTGAACAAGTTAGCAAAACAAATAATTCTTTTTTCAGGAATTGAAGCTAGCCTACAAAAAGTGGGATGAAGGCTCTACACATAAAAGAATAACGAAGACCTTCAGTAAATCAGCCGGCTATCGAACGAAATGGAATATCTCATGGAACAGGCCCTTAGTTTCTTAAAAAAATTCCTGGAAAACAAAATAAAATTGAGGGAACAAACAACCAGGAAAACCTTTCTGTAAAACCAAACACAGGTAGACACCCGTACATTATTTAGTAAATCCTCTAATTAAACTCAATAAAATATTGAGAATAAGACTTTTCTATTGATATTCAAATCATCCAGTACATCCTTTCCAGAGTCTGGCATAGCCTCGTGAACTCGGGGGGGGGGGATTCATGAACTCGGGGGGGAGGTGTTCATTTGCCAAAGCCCTTATACGTCATTAGATGCCACTGGTTACCACTTGTATATTGTTACTGTCAAACAACAGAATACACCATTCAAGCACAAATAATTTTCAGCTCAAGAAAGGTCAAATATGTACAAATTTTGGCAATAAACCACTAAGTACTTTTAATAAGTAACGAGTATGGCACCGTTAAATCTATTTTTACTAAAAACGAAAGAAAAAGACGAGTTTCCTCACCATGAATTGATAAGCTGCTTTTTAACTTGATAGTTATCCCATATCCCTGTATCCGCTGGGTTCATTGGCTCGCCTACAATGTCAAATGACTTACAGTAATGATCAACAGCTATTTCTCTATAATCTAATTAAAAGCGAGACTTGCAATTGGAATTTTTATTGTAAACTTCATCTTGAACTGGATAGCATCCCAGTTGTGGCCTCTAATTCAACACAAGTATGGCAATACAATGCAATGAGAGTAGCCGGATGGAAGTGTGATTACATTATCAGTGTTCTTATGATCTATTCCACTTTTGAATGCCCGATCTGCGTAACAGTAAAAGCGAGGATAGCTCAGAAAAACAGAACAGTTTTGCTTGCTTAATCTGCGATGTTTTACAACTAAAGTGATTTAGATAAATTAGCCTGATTGGCTTGTCTTGACCAATCAGCTTGTGACTTTCTAAGCCGTGTCCTGATCAGCAGTAGAGACTAATTGACATGCAGGTAAGCGATACGTGATTGCAAAATTAGGGACACAGCAACCAAGTCTTAAAAGCAGAGCAAGAATACAGCCACGTAGGTTTATGACTTACAACTAATCTTTTGGCAGCCAGGTCAACAGCCTTCTTCAAAGCCTTGTGACAAGGCGAACGAACATCGACGTTTTACAAATTCAGCTCTACTTACATATGTGCATCAAATGAAAAAAGTTTAATTGTATTGACAAAAGTTGCACGCGGGGGTCATCAAGAAGAGAGAAACCTGCTGTTCCGGACAATTAAATCTAAAGTACAGCGTCCAAAAAAGTTTTGATAAATACCGCTTATCAGAACGCCAAGATGCAACCTAGTCCATTTTTACAAGACAACAGGTAAAGAATTCCGCAAACTCGCAAAACTTTATAAAATTCCGTGTATCATTTTCAAGAAAATCTGCGTCCGGAAAGTATGGAGAATTTTTCCGTGATCCGCGACAAATTTTCTTCAAATTCCGTTGTTCCGCGAACCCTGATGACCCCCACCTGCACGGACATCGGTATACACTTACTGATGCGAAGGAAAAATGTTTACCTGTACTAAGATCGATTCCAACGGGAACATTGGAGCTCTTATACTCAGCCTGCAAATCAATATTTGTATGTGAATTAAAGCAACAACAGGAAATTGATGCTTGTGTAGGTTGCATGTTTTCCTTACTTATTTCTGCTTGCAGCACAACGTATTATGTTCAGTTTCAACAGTCAAATGCTAACAGTGAAAAATATATGTTTCTTTACTACTATTACTTACAAGAGCTCTTTTTTCTTAAGCGCCTTATTACTGACAGTGCATTGACGCAAAATTTCCAACTGAATCCATTCTTAACAATGTTAACTGGTTCTCGTTGTCTCAAGTTGCAAAATCGATTAAGTTCTTTTTGGAGGGTGGAGGGGGGGGGGTGGTTTTGGGCGATAAAATGTCATTTCCTTAGTAAGGAAAGAATTTCAATGACCAAAATTCAAACAAAACTAATTAATTTGCTGTAGTGATATTACATGAAAACCCAGTTTTTTATTATGGGTTAAAACAAAATTAAATGAAACAGTCGACTATCCAAAGATTCCCATGCAGCTTAATTCTTCACTTGAATCTTTCGACCAAAGCTTTAATACATAGTGCACATGTGCATAAATATTTTACATATAAAAGACAACAAGATGTCTATTTATATGCTGATATGAAAATCTTAATCTACACACGCAGCTGATAAGCATGATCTCTTTGTGAGCTTATTTCACCAAAAAACTGGAAAGGGATGATTGAAACCTGGCATTGTTGTTATCAAGGGATGCTTGCTTTCTTGATCAATATACCTGGAGTTTGACTACGGATTCCTGTGCATCATAACCAGAATTCCTTGCGAGTGTTTTTGGAATGATCATCAGGGCGTCTGCGAATGCCTGCCAAGAGGATTTCCGTGTTTCAAAGATGACACGAGAGCAATTGGAAGAAAACAATAGGAATAAATCGAATAAGAAATTGGAACTTAAAGAAAAAAATAAAATCATGGAAAGACAATCTTTGGAAAAGGAAAGCTAATAAATAATAAATAATATTTATAATAATCTTTATAATAGAAAAAGAAATCATTTCTCACTTAACAAAATAGTAGGGCGTGGTTGTGTTATGTGTGGTTGTGAATATGTCTGGGAAGAATACCACCACACGAAATGCAATTAAGACCGGGAAAGTAATTTTCATTGGCAATACAACCAATTAAAGATAAGTGAATACAGATTGGACCATAAATTCCTTTTTCAAACCCTTTTGTTAACAATATGCATTCTAAGCATCACCTCCTCCATGGTCCTATGCAACACCCAAGGCCTAAGCACCACCTTAGCCCTAAGCACCATCTAAATCTCCCTTTCAATCCACGACCTCGATACAGATAGGTGTTTTGGTCTCTTCTAACTTCGGTCTTCACAATAACATTTGCTTGGTATTAGTCTTATTTAGCTGGGAAGTGGAGGGGAGATAGCTCCTTCATTTTCTCGATTAAATTATTAGATTAGTTGTTCTAAGATATTTGTAAATGAAACTGAAACTAGAACTGATAACTTATATCATAAGAGACTTCTTTACATCGATTAAGGCTCTAAATAATTTGGTTTAAGTGGCTATGTTCACAGTTAAAAAGTTAAATTGCTTTAAATTCTGGAACAAATGCGTACCTTGACACCTAATCTTGCTCTTGATGCGACAGTATTCTTGAAAGAATCCAGTGCTTCGCTGACGGCAACTTCGAATGCTCCGGCTCCTGGGACAACCGCACCTGAAGTAGGGAAAATACATGAAATGGTCTGATCTGCGATGGTGATGACATTTTCCTGGTACCCAAAGCTTGTATATACATTGATCTGTCTTTCAAACAAGCCACTTTTTTATCAAAGAAAAGGCAGTTCACACAACCAACTCTTATACGAAAAGAGTGATTTTGAAATCTCATCAATAAAGGAAATTCTGCATTTTGTGAGGATCGTTTTCCTTGCCCTTTTTTTTCGAAAATTAACTTGTCTTCTTTTAAATACAATCTTTTGAGGATTTTTTAGATGGAACAATAAGGATGCACAGTTTACTCGGACAAAATATTAGTTATTATATATGTTTCGTCATTTCTATTTATTCTAGGTGCTTGCGGTATTCATGAAGTACGTCGAGCAACTTTGCTTCCGTGGACTTTAAATATTTGCAAATAAATTGTCCTACCAATTTTTGCATTCCTTGTGAAATTTTGATTATATTAACAGTGCTAAGAAGACTGTGAAGACAATCAGTAAATTTAAACAGTTCCAAAAGCCTTAATAATTTATGACAATGACCATTAATATATTATAACGCCATTGTGATATCCATCTTCTCAGCTGCTAAGAAATTCTTGGAAAAAACGTTTTCACTTCAACCATCATAATTAGTGAATCTTTTTGAAGTGTTCTCTACCTTTGAGCAACTATGAGAAACTAAAATCATTCGCATGGGGTAACGAATCTCTTGTGCATCAGCTGGGATTGCTTCCCTAGAGCCAGTTCATTCTGGGCAGTAACCTAAGATCCCTACTCGTGAATATCATACTGCACTGGATGGTATTGCATTTATAAAACGAAGCGCGCTGTTAGACGATGATGCACATCAAATGAACGGCCTGAAGAACTAGGATGTTATCAAGATCTTACTTTTTGAAGACAAGCCCGCCCCTGGCACAACATCGACGCGCAGCGAAGCATCTTTTACGGCAAATTTGAAGGAAACCTAATTCGTTGTCGTACTTCTTACGTAATTTTCTAACATTTCACAAAAGGGAAGCAAACCTTTGTCAAAGTTTGATTCAAAAGTAGAAAGGAATAGCTGTGAATTGACAAAAAAATTAAATTATAGAGCGGGACAATGTCTGCATCCGTAAATCTGCAATTGAGTTATGGGCAGATGGTAAAACATTGGTTCGCTTGCTTTGATTTCGTTGGCCATGCTGACTTCAATCTTGAAGAGCAGCTGTTTACATACCGCAAAAGTTAAGCGTGATTTAACCTGTTTTGATGAAAATATCCCCTGTTTTTGATCAAACAACACGTGAAATGTGTAAATGGCTAACACCTTGAGGTGATCCGTCAGCAAATGTGATCAACTATTGGCCTTTTTCTGCAGCTATCAATAATTTTTTGTTAATTAGCTCGTTCCTTCAATGTGTAGGAGTCACTGAAGATCAGAAATGTTTACATATAGTATTTTGGGAAATTATGAAAGGCAAGAGAGAGAAATATCAAACCTTTGGGTCAATGGTGCGACACTAAAAAACTAGGGCAATGAAACAAAAACCTTAAAAAAAATATTTGAACTGGAGCCTTTCACTGTGAAGAATCTCTTTTAAGTCAAATGATTTTCAAATTGACACAGCTTCACGTGAAATGCGGTTTATGCAAAATAATGTGGCAATACGTACTGTCTTCAAGCGCGTTCTTGACAGCACGCAGTCCATCTCGAACAGCATCCTTGATCATTGTAACTGTATGCTTGTTTGGTCCTAGAAAGATATCAGAAGCATTCAGAGACATGCATAGATTATTCTGTTAATACCATGATTGGTATTAGTGGATGCAACAGGTGGATGCAACAGATCTATGTATCAGCTATTTGCTACCTTATTTACTTTATATCATATAGCAAGATCGCGGGAACTGTAGCCCCACAAAAAATGACTGAAACAGTATTTATCAAGGCACCGAAGGGCTACTGAGGAACATTTTTGCTGGTGTCAAAAAGAAACAAACGCCCATTGGCCTGGCAAAGTATTCACATTTTTCATTCAGTTTGTATTTGCTACTACCTTAGCCTCCGAACGTAGTGTTAGGACAATGAGAAGCTGTGCTTATTGAGCAGTCCTCGTCCTTCCTCTTGATGTAACCGTACCTTTTTACTCCCATGCCTGGAATTACGGGGCTGGCGACTCTCCTCGCCCTAAGGGAAAGCTTGGTTATGACAGGGACACAATCCCCAGAACCTTGGTCTGTAGTCAGTGATACTAACCATAATGCAATTTTCACATTGGCTTCTAATTCCAGTGACCATTTTCTCCTGCTTTAATTCAGGGAAACTGTGAACTATCTGAATTCCAATTTCATCCCTTAATAATTTATGAAATATTTCGTGCTCTTTATGAGTATCATATAAGGTAGCAAGCCAAGGGTCCTCAACGAAAATACATTCCTGTTAAAATTTGGTAACAGCCGAAACAAGTGGTACCTGGTAAGAAAATTACCAGAAAACCAACTACAACTTTAAAGCCTTTGACAAGGCCGTCAATAAGTTGTATTGCGATATTTTGAATTCTGTTGTGGCAATGAAATTTGTTTCCATGGGAAAACGGAAGCATGATGAAAAATCTGCTAGTTTGGCAGTTGTTAGCAATCACAAAAGAATTGTTAAGGTTGTTCGCTATCTAGCAGGTGGCTATCTTATGGTCCAAAGGATGCAGGATCTCAGTTCAGACGGCGCAAGATACAAGCGAGACTAGAAGTCAGCTGGTTGCAAAAACACTCCTGTGCTTTTAATCCAAAATGGTTGTTGAGATTGTCATTTTTGGCTGCCTGCTGTGTGGAGGGGTGCTTCTTCAGGTCTATGCTATTTACAGAATAATAAACAACTCGAAGAAAAACAAAAAAACCATGGCCCAGAGTCAATATACTCCTGATCTGCGTGCATTTTACTTGTGAAAACTGAAATATCGAATTGGCAACGTCATAAAGACGGGAAGTGGAAGAGTGTTTCGAATCCGATGTGGATTATTTTTCAATGTGTTTACGTGAAGAAGTGTTGGTGGTTGTTGACAAACTAATCAATATAAAGTGGAACTGAGAGGGAATCAAAAAGCATTGATTGGAGATTATTCAATTTAGAAGATCTGAAGATAAAGACTGGCATAAATTATTCACACTTGATGAAATCACTTTCACTTTGAACTTTCATTTAGTCAGCAACTGTGGGGTATTGACTTTCTTCTTTCGTTAAGTAAAACCATTTTCTCTTAATTTATTTCTTTAAACGCTCAAGGACATCACCAGTCGTAAAGGAATCCACATTTCATCACATAATACCCAATAATATATGCTTGCACAAACACTGCTAATGGCACCTTTATAGCATCTTATTTAAATTATTGATTAATCCTACGCGGAGTCTTAAAGAGATCATTTGTGAAGTGAGCAACAAAAACGGGAAAGCGAGCAATCCATTCGTTCCCTTTTGGGCAATACCAGACATATTATTTGCTAATTAGTGAATTTATGACTTTATGATGATGCCTTTCATGAGTTTTACAAAAACGGAGGCGACTCAATATTAACTAACAGAGACGTATCAATATTCCATAAAACCTTAAAAATAATTATCTTTCAGTGATAAAAACCAAACGCTGTCACTGCTTCTAGAACATTAAAAGTTGATTCAACTAAGCCCCCTTATAGTTAGACTAGAATTAATAGCAGCTGTAAGGAGGTGCCCACTGTCTGGAAGTCGCTTGCACAGAAATTTGAAAACATGAAACATATTTTGGCATAAAAAAATTGTCCATTGTTTGGGGTATCCGGTACTGGGAGTTTTTCGTTCATAGGAAGTTACTCTGTCTTTTATGAAGATTTTAATGGAAGATATTTTCAGTATAAGCAGTGAAATTTGTTATGTTTTCTCCTGCAGACATCTGCTAAAAGTATATATATATCAATGTTCTTTGTTTTACTTAGTAAGAAGCACTTATGACATTACGTTATCTAACCATATCTATGTTTAATGATCAGTAGTGCATGCCTCAGTGGTAGTGACAAGATAAATTCTCAATCATAGTTGAGATCAGTTTAGTGAAATTTCCATCATTGGCATTCACTCTTGAAAACTTTATGCAGTCCAACTGAAATTTGGCAGCATAAACAAGGCGGAAATCGAAAGAAAGAAGAAAAGGAAAGAAAGAAACGAGCTAAAGGGAAGGGAGAATCGAGAAAGCAATGACTCGAATCACAAACAACAAACAGTAATAAATAACTCCAACCTTTTATCAGAATTGTAACCGACTTCGAATATGGTACGTCTTCGATAAACGTGAACTTGTCTTCGCCCTGACAAAGAAAATAAATTCCTTTTATATTAGTGGATTGGTTCAAATAAAGAACAAATGTTGCTTTGAAATCAACATATGTTAACTGTGTGCTTAGATAAATCAAATTGCCAAAGATGTCAAAGAACAGCATTAGATAAAACTGGGTCGAAAATATGAATGGAATCAAACTGTTAATAAAGTCAAATTTATAAGAAAGACAAAAAAGTCAAACATTTCATTTTTGAAAATTTGCAATAATTCGGGCTCAGTGTATAGTTTTTTATATATAATTGCTAACCAAAACATGCTCATAAACGACTCCAGCATGTCCTAGGCACTCTGCAGAAAGATCATCGAAGGAATTCATGGCCATCCCACCGCAAGCAAGGACAAGCCTGAAAAAAAACAACAATAAACTATATTCTATCAAAATTTATATTCGAAAAATAGACAACAGATTGTCAAGATGTACAAAACTTTTCGAAAGGAAACTAGCTCAAAGCTTATTCTTTGCATTCCTTATTTTTTTATCTATTTTGATCACATTATAACATCAAAAGTTTTTTTCGAGTTTCTTATTTTCAATTGTATATTTAGTGCCCTGAAAGTAGCATAGACGCAAGAAAACATTGAAATCCGGAAGTGTGTTATAGATTGTAGCTAGAAAATAAGGCCAAAAAATGTAAAGAAGGCATGAACGAAGCTTGATACGTGTAAAAGTATGATGTCATGCATGGAACAGGCTTCCTAATTCTATTTGGAACCGGGTTTTATCTTTAGTAGTACAAGCTTCGTCGCTGTTTCAGTCTTCTACATGTAGGTTCTTTATAAAAAGCGTGTATACTGTACGGACAGACATCGTGGTTTTAACAACCGTTTTATATTATAAAAAGGCCTGGTTGGTCTGATGACGACGGTAGGCTGATAATTTCAACTAGAGATCGTCTTTTCCTCCTCGCTCAGGGATAATTCCCTTGTGTGGTTTACGGTGTCTCAGAGGTAGTGACAAATGTGTGACATCCATTGCCATTAAGGTACCTAATGGCATCAGGGCAAGGATAACTCTGCATCATTGACACCATACCATCCACCAACAACAAGGAAGGACAGTAGAGAAAATCAAGTTTTTGTTTACAAAAGAGCAATTATGATACCCCAAGAACAACATTGACTGAAGTGGTACTATAAACTTTTCTTTTTGATATTTCAAACTTTTCACCTACTTTTTCATTTCCTTGCAAACAAACCTCCTACTTTAACAATTAATTAGATAATCATAACTTTTTCAAATAGGGTTGTGATAATCGAATAATACCCACCTTTCCATGTTTCGTCTCTTTGCTCGTCGCAAGGCAAAAATGCCTTCCTTTGCTAACATGTCCAGTGAAAAAGGATCAATTCCCTGGGAAAACCAGCAAAATAATCAATTCATCATAGGGTTATCAATAAGGCTTGTACGTTCATGGGATCCAATACAAAGAAGACATCAACAGGTCATGTGACGTTCGTTGTTAAAAACAACTTCATTATTTTATTTATCATTGCTAGTTGAAGCAAATTCCAAAACATTCATTCATTTTTAAAATTAATTTCATTATAGACTTAAGATAAATTATATTTAAAGCTACTGAAAAAATTGGCATCGTAACAAGTCGAAAAGCAACGGCAAAGTAACAAGAAGAAAAGTGTGTAAAGGGAAGAAATGAGGGGTATTAGACAGAAAAAGGGAGGAAAGTAAGAAAAAAAGATACATGAATAGAACATAAATGGAAGGATAAAAAGGCAAGAGATGGAGAAGAAACGAGAAGCAATTGCTGAAAGAGAAGCAGAAGAAAGAAAAAGTGGAGAAAGACAGGGATGAGGAAAAGAAGGGGAGAGGAAGGGGAAAGATAGGGGAACGGAGGGGAAATGGAAGGGGAAAGAAGGGGGAAAGAAGGGGAAAGGAAGGGGAAAAGAAAGGAGAAAGGGGGGAAAATAAGGGTACGAAAGAGGAAAAGAGAGGAAGGGGAAAGGAATAAGTAATGAGGGGAAAGGAAGGGGGAAAAGAAATGGGAGAGGGAAGACTATGAAATTGAAGCTAAAAAATAAAACAAACCTTTTGATTTATGACTACGAAACCTTTGTTACTTCCTTCGCAGACTTTTTTCTTTAAGTCGATTATTTGCATCACTCTCCTGTCCGTAAATTCTCGCTCTGCTTTTACTAACTTCTCTCGATCTTCTGCACTTTTGTAGAAGAAGCCAGCATTTACCTCGCTGAGAAAAAAGATGTCCAATATTCAGGGGAAAAGCTTTCAATAAAATATTATATAGTGTTAAAGTGGCATCTGAAAAAAATCTGATTTGAATACAGAAACGCGTATTAAATCTGGGGTGAGCAGAGGAAAGATAACGTTTGGGTTATATCAAAAAGTATACTTTTCCAAAACAAAAATAAAATTAGATACACATATTGTTTATCATAATCTGTAATTATAACACTGAATCAATCATTCCCCGTGAATCAATAAGTGATTCCGTCGTCAATCATACAATCACTCCAGTTCTTCCAGTCAATCACTATCAAGAAATGGGCAAAGGACCAAAGTCTTCACCTTCATTTTTCCTGTGACACAATTTTTCTTTACCCTCCTTTTCTGCTCACATTTTTAACTCTATGTCAAAACTTATATTGCAGCAGTTACGCAGAATGCTACCTCCAACTTGCTGGGTATTTTTGTCGCTTTTAGCGAGAGTGTGGGTCTCAAGCTCCCAAATAAGCTGTCGTTAAAACAGTACAAAAGAAACTTTGCTTTTGGTCCGTTGCATGTTTAGCCCCCAACGTTTTTAGCCCCAAATCTGTTATTTGCTTCAAGGTCAATGAGTTGCTGACGATTTGTCAATTCGTCCAGGCAGTTTAAGAGCTCCCCCCTTCCAACGTAAACACTTCAAAATACACACCTCTTTTCGTATTCAAGTGAAACATTGCATGTGAGAATGAATGCATCTTCGACTTTCTTTCTCATATCAGGATGCCTTGCACCATGGTCCATCACCAGCCCTTTTACTAATCTAAATGTTAAAGAAAATATTCATTAATACTAAATTAAGCCCGTATAAATAAAGCCACATACATAAAACCCCTTCCAATTTAAGTATGATCAATACACACAGACTACATAGTCTATATACGACTATATTCATATATATTTTAGGGTAATGGTATACTTAAAAACAGATTCCTTACAAAGTTTTACAAAGGTTTTCCTTAAAACGCTCTTTTTGTATTCATTTTGAAAACTCCACTACTTTTCTGAAAATTCCGAGGTATTAAGAAATTTCAACAAATGTTGCCTTTGTTTTGCATCAAAATAAAATTGCAACATTATATAGGTTCTCCTTAAGATATTTCTACTTTTGACAGCGAGGCACTAGATGGAACCGACGTGGACAGTAACTTTGGCATGGGCTTTATCTAAACACTTTGTTCTGTTGAACAGGCCCTAGAGATCCAAAAATGAAAGAAAAGAAGGTCTTGTACCACTTCACAAATATTGCAAAGTAACAAGATTTTATTACGTTTTTCCTTTTTGTGCGGACTTAAATTATGAAAAACACAAAAGACTTTGCAAGCTCTCACTTCGTTTCGACTTCCGTTTTATGTTTCATTTCCATTACTTCGACCATATGAAGATCTATATCTTCGTTTTCATTTCTAATCGCTAGGACAGCATCCACAACAATCTAGAAGGAAGCAACAAGATCAAGCACCATTTTCAACAAACAAGAAAAAACAGTTTAAGCAAAAAGTAAATAAAATTTGTATGCCTCAGTGGTAGTGACAAGGTATGATTTCACATCAATCATCTGTCAGACTTTGCATTCTGCATCATTGGCATAACCAGAGTCCTAAATATTTTCTAAAAATTTGAAGCATTGAATACAAATTGTTGGTATTATATGTTATCATTTTTAAGATATTGGCCCAAGTGAGGTTCTTTTGTAAACAGTTTAAGCCAAATTAGCTATTTCCAAATTTGAAAAAGGTCTGGCCTTAAATATATATATATATGTATCAGGCCTTGCTCTAAGCAAAATGAAGGTGCTCCATAAAAAGAGCCCCTTAGAAACTCTAGGCGCTCTATTTCGCACCTTTAAAAAAAATATCCTTGAGAGCATCCTTCAAGAGCCTTGGAAGATCGAGAACTTCCTATCGAAAGCTTTGGAAGAGTTTTAAATAAGAAATTCAATGGTGATACCAAAAAGCACCATAATATGAAATAACAAAACATGCAGCAAACACTATGTTAATACAAATATAGAAATATAGGAAAACGCATGGCTTTAAGTCGAACATTAACTTTGTTTCCCTTTTTATGCTATTCATTCTATAAGACACACTAGAACATCTACTACTCGCGAAAACAAATGAAAACTGAAAAGCAATGCGGTAATTTGGACGGAAATGTGATCTCTGATTTGCAAAGGTGATTTGAAATTATTAAGAGAAAACAGAAAATAATACTTCAACAGAAGATTAACGCTTGCTCGGAAATCAAATAAATCTGACGGAGAATACTCTTGATGGCCTGTGTCCTTGGTGGTTATGAGAGGGTTATTAGATTAAAAATGGTATCGAAAACCCAACGTTGAATTTGCTGAATTTTTTTCTCAAGGGGTAATCTTACGCAAATCATAACATTGCGGTCTATTGGGAAGATTGTTTATGCTTGATCAAGTTAATTAGACAAAAGCCAAGAAATTATTTTGTTCCGTGGTAATATTGTTTTTACGTTTTGAGGGGCTCTATAAATCGCTCTCCAAGGCTTCTTTTGGGTGCGCTCTAGGCGCGCGCGCTCGATCGAGCGACTTTCCGGGCAAGGCCTGATATTGTTATCTTATGAAAAATCTCACAGTGTTATAAGGCATATGATACTAATTTGCCATCAAATTTATATAGTAAATCTTATGTAGTTTACGATATATAGCTTCATCTAAGCATTTGGGATAAAATCCAAGATAAGCAAATAATAATCAGTAATTTGAATAATGCAGGGATTTGTCTTTTATATATGAATTGTTTTGATTTTTTCAGAAAGCAAAGAAAGAAGAGGAAGACGATGAAGAGACTGATTCATTTGATATATCAGAT